TTGAGAGGAACTGAGCATGAAAAGATAAATCAACCGAGTCTTGGCAATTACATTGATGCTTGACATAACTAACGGATACAATTCCGACCCCATCAAGACGAACGAGAAACACTTTTGTTGTCACCATGACCCGAGAATGACCATATAAAGATGGGAGAGAGAAAGGAGAAAGAAAATCGCAACCAAAACGCCGCCCGATCCCAACCATGTCACAAAGATCGTATATCACCCCAAGCAACGCCTGATCGACAGATTGTCGCCGATTCTAAATGTACAATTCGTGTCACGGTCATGAAAAGGAAACTCAACCAACACCAACCAGTGGTGTGATCGTGTGTGATGCTCATGCACCAAGTCACACGCGAGACTGTTTTGAATGGCGCCATATTCCACCCGGAAGCAGATTCTGCTTCAGAAGCGCTAGCTCCTTATGCAAGGCTTGATTCTCCTGTTGAACGTTGTCGATATAGGTGAGTGCGTTGGTGAGAATCTCGGATTTCTTGAGAGAACCAGCTCCGGCTCGTGAGGTCTGCTTATGCACTCCGGCTGGAGATATGGCCTTTTCCAGTGAGAGAAACTTGGCATTCATGTTTGTGCGGTAGCGCTTCTCAATGATGTTGTGAGCAGCGCGCTTGGCAGCATTGCGTGTCTGAGGGTCTTGGTTGGTTGAGTGATTAGAGTCTTGGGAAAGACTGCGAGTCTTCCGACCGCTGGATGTTGTTGCTGTTGACTGCTTCTGAGTTCGAGGGGCGGTGTATTCTTCGGTCTTGATATCTGGGCTCGAGGACCACCTGGCCGATGAACTGTGTGAAGCATTCCGAGTGATACGCTTGCTGGGGTTGACGGATGGCTCGGGTAGGGCGAGATCGATCGATTGACGAGCCCCAGTTGACCAGGATTGATCGTCACTGTCGATCTCCTGTTACATCAGGTTAGCATTGACCCTATTTGATCATGCATTAGTGTGGATATCATACCGAAGAGGGGGAGATGGCATCATCGCCGGCTGGCATCGTGAAGCCATTGATCGCGGTCGGGGTTCCGAAGGGATCCATGAATAGATCCTTGGTGTCGGCATTGGTCATTTCGGAAAAGTCGAATGAAACAGGATCCATATCGGCTGGGTTGACAGAAAACAAATCGATGGCACTGTCGTAGGTCCAATTGACGGGCAAAGGATCAGTTCCCTTGGTGCCAGGGAACATTTCCATTGGACGCGTCTGTGGACTAAGCTGTTGATTGAGATATCGCTCATCTTCCGCCGTTAAAGTCGACATTGGATTTGGTCGACTAAAAGCGGCCATCGTGGAGATGGGAGGGATACACATTGAGAGGATGCTTGTGTTGATCAGCGGTAAGTGGAGTCGATGGTGTGAGGTATCAGAAGATATCGAGATATCAATGACGAGCCAAGTTGAAAGAAAGGTGGCAGGATCGAAAGGTTATAAAATAATAATGAATCGACCGAAACAGATATGTTACCATGGAACAAATTTAGGTTCCAATCGGCCGCAGCAGCAGTTATATACCTACCCGAAAGATCTTCGTCAAAAATGGGCCAGGGGGATGGGGCAGATCCGGAAAGGATTACGACTGCTTCACGGTCGAATGGCCGAAGCTAGGAGCCGAGATCTACTTGTGATGTCAGGGAAAACGCCAGGCCAAAACGAGCAAAAGACCCTGGTGCCACAAACGGCGTCGTCTCCGGGCGCGAAAATCTATTGCGCCCCGGTGCAGGCGAGCCGAGATCACCTTAGCATACTTACTACTAACTACTAATATAAATTATAGTTACCTCAAACTAATACGGCCGGCTCCGAATGCAGCCGTTGGCCCTTTCTGATGGGCCCCAAGCAAGAGAAAAGGGTGAAACCGTTGAAGACGAGGCCAGCCAGGGCCGGGGCGAATGTTAGCGGTGGAGACCCAACGGATGTCGATCCAGTCAGCTGGAGTCGCCAAGTGACGCCGGCCGAGACTCGGAGCCGAAAAGGCTAGCAATCATTGCTTTATATAGTAGGCCGAAAGTACTTCGTACTTTATTTTCCGTGCATGTGGTTAGTGTATACAGGGTAGCTCTTACTAATTCATAACGCGGATTTCTGATTGATCCTTTTTATTTGGCCTAAAGGCTCGGCTCGAGCGGAAAAATCCATTTCCTGGTCACTCTACATGCCTGCAGGACCAAGATAAATCCCTGCTATGCGACCCGTCAGTGTAAACAGGACCTGGATGAGGTATTCATGCAGCTCAGCTGCACCCATATAAAATCCAGGATAATTAAATACTATTCAGAAAGCCATGTTTGTGATGTGTTCTATCCCTGGGAAAAGAATTCTTGATCAGCCGCATGATCAGGGCTTAATAGTCACAAAAGCCAATATGTAAACATTACCCCAACGGAATCGTTGCCACGGTCGGTAGATATAATATAGAGGAACATAATGCATCTAGAAACTGTGGCATATGTATCCTCTGAATGGAACAGTTGCAACCCTGTCCCCTCTCCACTCGTACAAATTCTTCCGACGTGTCAACTCCATGTGTCGTCGCCCGTCTCGATTGACTGGGATGTCTGCAGGCTACAGTACATGCCTGCAGTCCTTGCAGTGTCTGCGATGTCAATCCAGACTCCATGCACCAGGCCCCAGTGAAACCGAAACAAATGCAATGCACAACTTCCGTCCCGCACCCATAGGAGTGGACCGAGTACGACTGGTCATTGTCCATTCCAAGTCCACATAATTCCCGCTGACCTACGGAGTACACATAGAACAAACTCTCCTGTCAGTTGCCGCTTTGGACCATGGGGTGACTCGGATCGAGTCCTTCCTCGCCCGCAACCCGGGAGCCGCCGGGCTTTGCTATGGACTCTGCGACAAGGCCAGCCTCGTGACTCCGAGGCTGCGCTTCCATGGCCACGAAATTGAAACGGAACATCCCCAATATCCATTTTCGGTGAACAGTTCCGTGCGTTGAATTCTCCGCCATACGAAAATCTCCTGATCTGCCCACTCTTATTATGTTTTGGTGAACAGAGGGACGCTACGCCTACCAAACTGAGTTCCAGCTGCTGGTACCCACGGAAACCTGCCGTGCCGGCGCCTTGAATATATTGGGATTGCGTATGTGGCTTTCAATTCCTGCCTATGTCCTTTTTGAATTCTTCAACACCTGTTCATGGCAGGATCGACAGCAGCGCCCGAAGCGTAGGGAATCCAGATCTGAGGGTCGGCCTTGACCAGCCGATTTCGACACCGAGCCGAGTGGGCCCGAGCCACTCTGTTAGCCTGCTGCGAGCTGACCGTTATCCCCCCGTTTTCGGTGGCATATCATAGTCAATCGACGGTAATCTCCCACATCAGTCTGGTATCAGTCGACACGACAGCCCGCTGGCCCGGTGGTGGATACAATGCTAACGCTAGTATCGCCAGATGACAGCATCCACGGATCTGAATGGATCTGATCTGCCGGCCTCAAGCTTCCCCGGATTTTGGGTTCCGGTTCCGGGATCTACCTTGGTATATAACAAAAATGTGCACACAGGATGCTATATAAATGAATATCCAATATAGTGGTATAAAGTTTGAACCACCCTATTGAGAAACACCGGCTCGGCCTTTTTTTTGTGGGATCGAGTCCAACATGATGTCGAAAGTTCAGGAAAGGATTCGGGTAACTCGCATGGAATTGATCCCAGATGAAGGCAACACATACTTGAAATTCATTTGCGCAATGAGTTCCGCAATATTCCAAGGTTGTGGGAATGATTGCGGAATCATTGCAACTCCCACATGCCTTTCTCCTCTGGTATAATTAATTCCTCAAGTTCAGCCACAGGGCTGACTATCAATCATGTACGGGGAGGAACCTCTCTGGCTGGCAAGAAATTTTGGACTGTTGCTTGTTGTCATTCTTTCAAAGAAAAGAAAGAAAGAAAAAAAAGAAAAAAAACCGGACCGCTAAGCAATTGGCTCTATCTAGCCAAAGACATTGGATCGACATCAAAAAGACAATGCTCACGTCCAGATTTGAACTGAAGACCTCGGCATTACTAGTGCCGCGCTCTACCAACTGAGCTACGCGAGCTTGTTGATATGTTGATTAGTACAGGCTGGAATTATGAAAAAACAAAATAAGCCTGCAGCAAAGGTATAGCAGGTTCGTCATAGAAGCGGTGGGAGAAATTGCTCTAAACACCATTGTCACGAACTGTGATGCATTCGTGCAACAGTACGGAGTCGATAACAGAATCTGAGTTTGCACGGTACGCGGGCACGAGGCTCGGGCGGCATTTTTCGGAGTGGATATCAATTCGAGCTCTTTTAATCGTCCACCGGGAGACTTCTTTCAATTTCCAATGCATTCTCGGCCTACTCGGAGAGGCCCACGAGCCCGATTCCAGCCACCCAGATTTTACATACTTGTTCGATCGTCGGCGATCTCGAGCGAAGATCTCGTTCCAAGCATCAGGTCGTGGGGCAGCCCTAGTGGATCGTTTGCCTCTGATACTGGTAACTGCACACACATCTGCGTTGTTGTGTACCCCTCCAATATCCCTTATCATGCTTCACAAGTCACAATGCGGATTTCCAATGTTATCGCAGACATTGCCGTACTCAATATGCGAGTGGCGGATTTCTGACTGTGAAAATCCATCAGGGTCCATGGTCAGCTCAGCTTTGCCACCAATACCCCTCATTGGCGCAGCTGGTTATCCGCTATGGAGTATGTTGTCCATTGAATGAGCAAGGTCGCTTTGATCCACGGAGATTAGCCCCACCGTTCTCGCCCAAGCGAATGGAGCAACAGAGTTGAGATGGAGGGGCCGATCGATATCATCTGCGACGACGATTCATGCACTAGACTGGAGACTGGAGCCCAGTGACGCAGGCAGAGTCAGCTACATGGAGGCGAATATTTCGATTATAAATAAGAAGGCTCCTGTCAGGGGTTAACCCCCTCATACGAACCCCGAATTTCTATCCCGGTCGACCGATAACATGTCTCCGTAGGTACTGCGTTGCTACTTTTAGGTGGGAATCCTTTTAGGATGACAACTGACAATAAATGAAGTGCACCTGAAGAACAAGTCGAAGACCTGATCAAACGTCAAAATCTCACTGACGATGAGGTCTGGGGGCTTTTTGATAAACTCAAGCCTGTCGGCCCCGAGCATTTCATAGGCGCCTGGAAAGGCGGTAACGTGAACACCAACCACCCGACCGAGGCAAAGATGGAGGCCCTGAAATGGGCTGGCAAAGACTTCCGATCCACCGAAGATGTTGACCCCATCATGGGCTACAAGGAAGATGGCTCTCGAGTTTGGAACGAGGACTGGGGCCATGCCAGAGTAAGTAAATCTCGAGGATTCTGTTGCATGCTAGTCCTTGGCGGATATAAGCTGACTCTGTACCCCCCAAAGCTTCGTCCTATGCAATACCGTGGTGGTATTACGACAGCCATGATCTATGATGATAAACCTATCATTGACTATTTCAAATACGTCAATGACACATTGATTTTGGGAGCGATGGATGCGAAGTCTGCACCGGGAACATTTTTCTTTTACTTGTATAAATAAGATTACTATCAACTTGGAATGAGGAGGATTTAAGGTATCGCAATTAGCCTCTTTCAACTCTTTTCGGGATGAATATACTAGTTTTATACTTCGATGGCTAAGGAAATTACATATAAAGACAAGCGATGAAGGAGGACGACGAGCGAGAATTTAGATCAACAACTTTGAAACGAAATTATTTAGTAGCAATCAATAAGATAACAGCAAACCTAAACCGAGGAACGAGATGATATCTTCATAAAGGGACCACATCTTCTATGAATAGCTATAAGCTTCATCACCCCACCCGCGCAGCGCTGTAAGTATTTCCAATACCCAGTGGGACTATTTCAAAGAAAGGCGGCGGAGCAGCATTTTTGTAGTCCGGAATAGGCATACTGGTCAAGATCTCACCGACATCGGTGCCAATATGCTTCCTTCGGGTGTTGTCGGGCATTGACAGAACAAACAGCAGATGCTGTATCCATGAATTAGACAAGCGATCATCTGACGCGTGGTTTCTTGGAGTTATAGAAGCAACAAAGTTAACCCAAAATGGTAGTAAGTGGCGACCATCATGGAATATGCTTACTTGAAGCATCACGTTCTGAACCTGAATCTGATCCATGGCGGTTTGTTCAATTTCTTGTCCGGGAATGGGTAGAGGCCCACCCGATAGTATTTCAAGTTGATTTTTATCATCAGAAAAAATTCGCATGGTTGAAGAACCACTGTCCTCGAGAAAATCCAAGGTGAGCGTAGTCGCCATTGTACTTGTTGCCTGGGTGGTTGGATTTCAAATGGTTATATGAACCTATTCATGTTGACTAATGCTTGTGAACTTAGTATTCATGTCGTGAGAGATACCATATGAAGCGCAAATCTATCGTGGCGTGAGCCTAAAGTAAGAAACACATATAAAGGGCCCGGGCTAAAGCAATCGATCTTAATCTTTAGATCAGTACTGCAGGGATGCTTGTCTGTGACTTGGTTCAGACTGAAACTTACACCCTCTACCCAAAATCCCTTTGGACCATACTTTGCGCTAAGAGCATAGAGTTCCGGCATATCTAACTTCTTAGGACCAGCAGTCAATTGGCCATATGCCCAATAAGTGACTGCATTTTATTCCAGTGTAGGTTCTTGGAGCGGTCAGCAGCCAGATAGCTTTAACGTTAGAAATATTATTGTCATCGTCTTCCTTTCCAAGGCTTTCTGATTGTTTCAAGCAACTAAGGCGCTGGACAACTTCCCAAGTAAGGCCATGAGGTTCGGATTTGATCATGTCCCTACAGGAAAAGGAAAATACCCATTGACATTAGTGCGTGTGATTAAAAAGAAAAGAAAAATATTATACTAGCCTCCGTTATATCTTACATTTGTTGGTGTCTGATATCGGAAAAGGTTTTCAATCTGCTTTCGAACAATTGAGGCATGATACCCAGTAAAATACGTTCTTTAGCTCTCCCAATTTGGCCTTCGATATCACTTCCAGAAACGTAAGGAAAAAAAAAAGGAATTTACTCTTGGTCTTACTCTGGGCTGAGATCCGGCTCATCCGCACTCTAACCTTCGGGCAACTGGGATGGGTCCGTAATAGGAAACTCATGCGGCGCCCATACCACCCTTTCGGATCTTACTTGTCCGTGAATTTGAGGGAAATCAAGATCGGCCCCACGTTCGAGAAGGGCGGCTGCAAGAGAAGTATGGGGTGAATTCGGGTCTCGTTTCTTGCTTTTTCCCTGGTGGGGCCTCGCAGTATCAGCATTGTTAGAAAGAGAGTAGCGGGGCATGGTACCTTAGTCGCAGATCATTTAGACGTAGTAATGGGCCTAGCAGGTCTTGGATTCCGAATACGCCTCTCCTCGACAAGACCGGATAGAAGATCTGAGTTTTTCTTCTGACGTTGTTGGCGAGTCGTGGGCATTCTGATCTAGGATTATGATTACCTCGGATTGAAATATATCCTCTATGTACGGAGTATGCAACTTGAATTAAAACGCCGCGTGCTTAGCACAGCCACGTTGACTGCTCTGTACTCGTACCCAAGAATTGTGTCTTGGTCAACAAATCACATAATATTTATGCAGAGAAAGGCCAAATCATTGAGTGATGGGAAATCGATTATAAACTCGTACTCCGCATCCCCCCAGAATTCCGATTGCCCAGCCTTTTTTCGACAAGAAGAGCAAAAAGATGTCATGGGGAATACCTCCGAACAAATCCCGATGATCATAGAAGATCGGCAGTAAATAATACCTTAACAAGCCATCTCCACACAGCGGATAGAAAGGCCCCTCAGCTCAGGGTCGGCGTTCAGTTTTCATCAAGGCGAAAAGGGGTCATCGACAAAAGTTCCATTCGCTAGGTAAAATTCCGATGTCAGAGACACCGGTAACCTCTCGTTATGCATGACAAATTGTCCAAAGGATGCTCTGCGAGAGTCGGTGAAAGTTTTTTGCCTGGCCGTGAGGTGATGAAAGACATGTTTCAATTCCCCCGAATGATCGTCCCTCAAACAGGTTTACCACTACAGTCAATGGTTATCCCGATTAGAAGTGTAAAACCCCCAATTTGTTGATGGTAATTGGGGTTAGTAGTGTCTCACCAGCTGCAAACGGCTCAACCGGGAGATTACAACATAGCCACCTGAGAGATAATGTATAAAGGCTCATAGCCCTCAACATCGATGGACTCCTCCATCATTATCCAAACTAAATTCAAATGAAATTCTCCCTTGCTGCCATCGCTGGCTTTGCCAGCGCCGTTGCTGCTGCTAAACTTCCTGCTGCCTTCACCCTCGTCGCTGACGGCGGCAATACCGTCCTCACTGACGGCGGTAAGTCATTAATAGTCTCAATTCACCAGATATACATGAGTTAATCCATACTACAGAGCACCTCTGGATCGGAACCAACACCACCACTCACGAGATCGCCATTCGTAAGTTCCCAAATGGCATGATAATGTTCCGACTCTCATCTAACTCTATAATAGTTCGCAGCGGTGCGAACGGTGCCGTCTCTTTCACCTCTCAAAATGGTGTCCCAACTGCTTTCCAGAGCCTCTACATAGTGGAAAACTCTGTCTCAGAAATCGGCCTTACTCGTCCTCATTCTGGTGCCACCCCCAAGGATGTCACCACTATCGGCTTTGACCAAACTGCCAAGGGCTACTTCGCACGTAAGGGCGACGCTTGGTTCGCTATTGATGGCTACGGAGAGAACAAGGCCAAAGAGATCTTCTGGTACGGTGCTCACAACGCAGAGTACGCGGGCGCCAACCTTTGGGTAAAGAAGTTCAAGGAATAAGCCAGTGCAGCACTATGTGTAACAAAGAAAGTGACTGAAAAGCAAATCAAATGGGATACAGTGGATGCCCAACAAAATTCCATTTATTAATAATGGATTTAAATATTCCGAATCCCTTTTATCTAGCCTAAACCTATTCGAATGCGTTTTGCTCGCTTTTATATTTGGCAGTATACAATAACAAACCCCGGATTTCTATCGGAGACAAGGACTCGGAAGAGGGACGATCCGTTACACCGGATCGCTGAAATGCTATTGCCGTGTAGCCCAGACACAGAGTCATCTTCATTCATAGATGTTATAAGATCAAGCCGAGGAGGTCATTAAATCGCAATAATGGGACATCTATCGTCGCTAACTGCATTGAACCAGCTAAGAGTGTAATCCTGCTTCTTTTGCCTCAGCTCCCATACCCGCTGAGCGGTATCAGCAGCCGCAGCAAACAAAGGAACGTGAGTGCGATTTCCAGTCGAGAGTAGCCACTCGTGTAGGATGTTTTGTAAATCTCTGTCCACTGCCTCACAAGACGCGATGAAAATGGGCCATAACAATGACGCTTCATAGTTTCGATTATTCATGGCAGCTTCCTCGGCCAGCTCTGCAGACTTAATCACTTTGCGGACCGTGTCCTGGAGCATCAATGCATTTATGTTATGCACACGCCGGTAATAAAAGAGTACTAAAGCCTGGTGGACAGCTGCAGCCGAGTGATAAGCCGCATTTGCCTTCTGGGTGTCAATTGGAGAAGCCTTGCATCCAGATTGGGGACATACCATGTCTTCAGATGGCTCCCAAGAAAGAATGGATTGCTCAAGAAGCTTAGTCCGTCTGTTGAGAGTCATGACAATATCAGGATCAAGTTCAGTATCACGATGTAAAAGCTCTTGCTCATTGGCTAGGCGAACTGTTTGCGACAGAAGACCCAACAACGACTCTGGAACTCCGTACATCTCCTGAAATAACGAGCATTTCCAGGCCCCGAGTAGCTCCAAATGAATGTCATTGTATCCAAGCTCGTTGCTCTTTTCAGTATCACAGCCCATATCGTCTTCAGTGCTATCATTTGACAAGCGAAAGCTCCGCAATGAGTTGAAAGCCGAATGGACAGAGACGAGACTGGCATTTGGTCGCTCAGGGCAGATGTGCATGAACGCACATCCACATGTAGTCTCGGCCATGATTCGCAAATAGGCATAAACATGATGCAGAGTACGAACTTTGAGTGATTTTCGCTTTTTTGGCAGTCCTATTTTTCGAATAAGACACTCAGATTCTATGAGTAGACTTTGTGCATGAGTGTAGTCGCCACAACTGATCTGAGAAAACATTAGCCATGAATATCGCAATTGTATGGGTTGAATCGTGCAGATACCTCCAGTATAACCATAGAAAGCAGAGACATTAGCAGCTCTTTGTATGGGAGTTGACCGTCTGTGGCAACCTCTTGTTGGATACTGAGATTAAGGTGATGCATGCATATTTGTTTATAATGTTTACCGAGCCGATCCCAATCCCTTGACTCTTGGTCTCTTCGAGATAGATGTATACAACTAGCAGCGAGAACCGAGTAGAATAAGGAAAGGCCTAGACTATTGGCGGTTTCGTGAATTAAGAGTTCGGCAAACGTCTTCTTCGCACTAGGAACGTGAATATTCCTCCACGGACACAGTCTATTGTCTTCAATAGAAGGAGAAAGTGTCACCACGTGGTTCTCAAAATACCGTAATAGCTGTGTTGCGCGTTCCGGGATAAACTGAGAGGTGGTAGGCGAAAGGGGAGAATTAGAGAAAATTGAGGAGAGGGTATCGCTTTCACAGCTATCCAGCGTATGGGATACTGGACCTTTATCGTGAATTTCATCCTCTTTGCGTGACCAAGCGCATGGATCTTCTTCGGCACCTGTGATGCTGGGACTTTCGGGGATTGTATTGGAGAAATGACGGTTTACAACCGGTAAGTCCGGAGTTGGGCTGATCGGAGCTTCTTGTCTCTTTTGTGTTCCAGCCAAATATGCGTACAATTCAGCTCGATCGTTAGGCAAAGCCTCATTGGACATGAGATTCAGAATCCCAAAAGGCCCTTGGAATAGACACTTCGATGGGAGGAGATTGTGGTGGCCGCTTTGAATATCAAGGTTTTCGAGGGCTTCATTGGCATTCTGACCTTGAAGACTGTGTACTGTCGCCTGTGCCATCAACTCTTGTTCGTGGGCTGTGAAATCAGTGAGCGGAAAATATGTGGCAAGACCATCATGGATCTTACTTGGGAATAGTGGACGTCGGTAGACTCTAGTTTCTGATTGCGCCTCTGGTGGTGATGCCAGTTGTGCCTGAGCATCTCGGGTCCACTTAAGTTGAGATGGATAACCGGGACAGGGCATCCCAAGCACCTGGCACAGCTGGCAACCAGGACGAGTCTCATCGCATTTCAGATGCCGAGAGCGACACGTCCCACATCCAGTCAGGGAACGATTTCGAGGCGCCATGGTTCACATAGCCTTTCGTTTGCTCGGGAGAAAGTCGCGAAAGACGAGAGTTGAGAATGCGAGCGCGTGATGATTTGTCATATGGTGGCAAATCAGAGCAACTTAAGCACCAGAAATGGCGAGATAGTTTGATCAACACCCAGAAAGTGATTTTCTTGAAACAAGTTAGTTAGAAGTTGCTTTCCTTTGCAGAACTTTCAAATCTTGTGAGAGGTTGGAGATAACCACGCAGGTAAAAAAGAGGTGCGATTATGGGAAATTTGTCAGCACGAATAGTGGTGGCTTACCATTCACTAGAACTTTTTCTGCTATATGAGGTCGCGTATTTCTTTTTTTTGGTTATTCGAACTTGAAATGTAGCTGTTTTTAATAAAAGTTCACGCTTAGTTGAGAGGACGAGAGAGAACGGGAGAGGAAAAGGAAAGACAAGAAGGCAGAAAAAAAATGAAGAAAAGAAAGCCAAAAAGTGAAAGAGAGAGAGGGTCCGGGCATTAGGTCAGCTTTGGCTTACCATGTCTCCCTGCCCGATTAATAAAAATATTCCAATGCAATGTTCCTTTTATTCACGTAATTCCGCTTCTGATCCTGTAACCGGGCGAGGCGCATCTTAACTCTCCGACGGGCAATAATTTACAGGTGTTGATCACGACCGCTGGGTTAACGAGTGATAACCAAAACATAATATAATTGGCCTATTGAGAGATACTGGTACCTAAACACCTGTTCACAGCTCGCAATATCCAGTAGCCTCATTATGTACTCATGCTAGCTTTAGAGAACATGCATCCTTTTTTGCAGCCACCTCCGCCAGAATGGCTCGGGGGATTTCTTCATCCAAGCTTGGGCCCTCCGGCTTCCATCCAACAAGTTGACGTGCCCTGCACCCTGAAGTCTGCGCATTTGTTCCCCAAAGCACCGCGCCGTGGGCAGTGAGGCGATCAGCAGTGCCAGCATCGATCGCTTCTACATGAGCCGATTTGATGAAACCCTTCGAGTGGGCAAAGGAAGCAACCTTTCTCCCGATTTCCTTAAAAGACTAGTGAAAATCCATTAATCAATTTGTTGCTCAATGATGAGTTTGGAGTTGTCGGGACGTACTTGTTTCCTTGCCTCTGGGAAGTAAATTCCATGCTCGTTCCATAGTGAGCCACCACTTAGATTGGAGGCCTCTGCGACCAACATGAGGATTAGGCGTGATATATCCGAAACATGGACATTGCTCCAAATGGAATTGCCCTTTCCAACATGGAGACCATGGCCGTGCTGCAGAGTCGCCTTTGCAAGATCGGGTAGTTGGATACTGCGCTGGTTGACTGGACCTCTTCCGAGACCGTAAATCATGGGTCCATAAATAATAGCTGTCCGAACACCAGATTGGTCGGCAGAAAGACCCGTCACAAGATTATCGACAGCCCGCTTCGGATTTGAAGCGATAATATCACGGACTTCGTCAACCCCCTCCAGATCGTTATACACCTTCAGGCGCGCTTCGCCATAAGCGTTGTTGATAATTTCGGGACCAGAAAGCAGGCTCGCGCCAGAAATCTGAATCCAAACTAGGTGCTGTCAGTCACAAATCTCTTATTTATTTATATTTTGATGAAGTAGTAATACCTGGACTCTTTCTTCCAGTCTCGGACAGGCCTTCGGAGATGGCCTTAGCGCTAGGAAAGTGGTTGGAGCTCGCCAGATCTGTTATTTGAATAAAGTTTTCCTGGTTAGAATGGCTATAATTGACCCGAAGATTCTTTTCGTATTAACTCACGCAGGATAACATCGGCTTTAGAGGCCTCGTTTTGGATCGCGGCGGTAGAATCCAAATCTCCGATCAGAGGTATAACAGAGGGATATTTTTCAATGACACGCCCCGCTCGAGCTTCATTGCGTACCAATGCCACAATGCTAGAAGCGAGGTTGGACTTGGAGAGCCTATATAGTACATCACCGCCGATGTAACCGGAAACCCCGGTTCTTGACAATGTATGAGTATCAGTAACCAGACATCAAACAAAGGCATCTTTTTGCCATGGGAGAGAGAATCTCATACATGAAGATGCGACTCATGCTGTGTCAACGTTTAGACTGCAGGTTGTGTGAATTGTTCAGGAGACAATTTTCCCAAAAAAGAAAAACAAAATGGTGAAATCTGTGCTAAGAGCCAGTCCAGAATATCCTTCTTAAACCTGAATGTTGACCACCGTCCTGCTTACCTCATCGCGATATCTTTCCCTTTCGACGATCAGCCGTTCAGGGAGCCGGCCATCGAGATTGAAGCGGGATCCACTTCGCCCCTGAACCAGAACATTCTCATTCTCTCTAAGGAAACTTAACCCGTGACCAATGTAGTCGTTGGTATCGGTGCTCATGGATCTCAATAGTTTGGGAAATAAATACCTCCTTTGTTCAGGAAAGGCAGTCGATTCCATTTCCTAATTCAAATCTGGAAGAGCAGACATAGAAGTAATAGTATGACCCCCCCATAGATTGTGTATATAAGGGAACCAGGAGAACGTGAATTTGGCTTTCAGATTTCAAGTCTTATCCAAAAAAATATGTCTACCACGCAATTTCCTACTACACCGTCTCGCGATCACTATGATGTGGTTATCATTGGAGGTGCTACAAGTGGCTCATCTATTGCCTGGCATCTAGTAAACGACAAAAGCTTCAGCGGTTCGGTCTTGGTAATCGAGCGAGACCCGTCACTTCAATTCTCTGCCACAAAGGCTAGCAACAACTGTATGCGACAACAGTTCGCTACAAAAATCAATGTGGAGATCGCCCAGTACGCTGCTGGGTTTGTCAAGAATTTCGGACTAGAGTTCGGAGATGATCCTTGCGTGCCGACCCCTCCGATTCGCGATTTCGGCTATCTCTACCTCTCCGACTCGAAGAAATTTACCGAAATCCTTCGAGAGGACCAGCAGCTCCAGTCTAGTATGGGTGCAGGAACACAGATATTATCTGCAGATGATGTCAAGTGTCAGTACCCATTCATCTTCACAGAAGACCTTGACTCAGCAAGCTTGAACACCAAAGACGAGGGCTGCTTCAACGCCATCGGTATGGTCAATTGGATGCGAATGTCTGCAGTCAAGGCTGGTGTTGATTATATCAATAATGAGGTCGTTGAGATGATGACAAACGGAGACAAAACCGAGGGCATCAAGCTCCGCAGTGGCGATAGAATCTCCGCCAAGAACGTCGTAAATGCAGCGGGTACTTGTGCGGCTCAAGTTGCTAAGATGGCTGGTATCAAGGATCTGCCGATCGAAGCTCGGAGACGTTATACTTATATCTTCTCGGTTGATGAGCCTATTCCTCAAGACCTCCCTCTGACCATCGATCCAACCGGAGTTCACGTCCGATCATATGGCCCGAAGGATTATCTTGTTGGTTGCCCGCCCATTGGACCAGACATTGCAGTCGATGTGGATGATTTAAGCTTTGCCGAAAATGCCTGGGAGGAGAAAATACTGCCAATCATCACGCGTCGCATTCCTCAGTTCAAGACGGCGCGGGTAACAAATGCTTGGATGGGTCATTATGAATTCAACACCTTCGACCACAATGCTGTTATCGGACCACATAGTGTCATGAAAAACTTCTATTTCTGTGTTGGCTTCTCTGGTCATGGAAGTCAGCAAGCTCCGGCTTGTGGCCGCGCTGTTGCCGAATTAATTGTGCATGGTGCATTCAAAAGTCTGGATCTGGGTACTCTTTCGTATTCACGTATCCCGGAGGGTCGACCCCTAATGGAGCGAGCTGTCATTTGATACTTGTATTCCATTGATAATGGTCTACATCGAAAAAAAGGATTGTATTCAGAGGCAAGGCAGGAATTTCTTCCAGAGTGGAATAAAACCAAATTTGACCGATCGGAAATTGAAAAAAAGCCCAAGGGGGCAATTTAACTAGATTTCTATTCAAAATTCAAAAACACTATTTGGAATTGAAGGGCCTAGATATTGCCGATCAGATTCTGAATGGTTGTCTCATAATCTTCAGGCTCCCGGCCTAGGATCTCCTTTAGAGCAGGAGAAACAGCCGCCGTCTCTCCATTCCTAATGGCTTGCCAGGCAGTGGACCACTCTCTAGAGAGATCAATGCCGTGGTATGTGTGCTTATTCCCAATCTGGGGCAAATCGACATATTGATCGACCGAAATCTCTTTGATGTGAAGCTTTTTGCTGATGGCGCGACCCAGAATTTCCACCGTCTCGGCAAGCGAGATTTCCCTTTGTCCCGAAAGGAGAACTTTCTCGTTGAGATAATTAAATTCCGTTGGGGTATTTGCGTATGTAACGACTAGCTTAGCAGTTGCTTCGCCTAGATCGTCTTGTTTCACCCACGAGACGCCAGGTCCATCTCCCGAATGCGGAATCGTGATTTCTCCAACTGGGCTCTTTGGATCAAACCAGGCCGTATAGATAGGGAATGACTCCGAGTAGATCCCCTCCCGAATGGAAGTATAGGAGATTTTATCTTTCTGGTCCGCGAGGTATTGCTCGGTCAGGAGATGTGCGCCCATGACATGTGCAACGCTTTCATCGCTTAAATTGCCAGCAAAACCAAGCGACGAGTAGAATATATGCTTCACACCACTTTTGATAGCCGTATCGATTGCGAGTCTGTGAGCCTGTTCATTTGTAAGCGTTTCATTCGAGATCAAAAGTCCAGAATACTTACATCAGCGCGATGCTGGATCTCAAAAGATGCATACGAAATCAGCATCAAGACATCTACACCGTCGAATGCATTGGTCAAGGAGGAGGGGATATCATAATCGGCCTGTCGAACAGAAGCACCTTCTCGGCTAATGGCGACGAGCTTCTCGGGGTGGCGGGCGATCAGCAATAATTGCGAAGCAGGCACGAGTGTCTTCAGATGATTCACAACGCTGGATCCCAGCCCACCAGAGGCGGGGAAGACACCGATGATTGGGCTCATTTCGAAAATATTTTTACGTCGGAACCCGATTGTTTAACAGCGCTGCTTGAATAGATCTTTTTCTCTTCGGATAAGCTGGCAGTAAGACAATTTTTTTTCGAAAGGCTCTTAGACCATTAAAAGTGCCTTTCTATGCTGATTCAAGATTGTGTTCATGAACTTGGCGGTGCGCGATTTGGCGTTGCTTATAAATAGGGTGCTCGGTCGGCTGTCGTAAGAGCCGAAGAATCGGACACTTGCTAGTAAATCCGAATCCAAAAATTGATTTTTGTTTTCTATCTTTAATCTCAAATTTACTTAACATGCCCAAAATAATATAGCCATGGATTTATTTCAAGTTAGAATAAATGTCACAGGTTTGGAACCACTCATGCCTTGTAGGACAGGATGTAACGTCCACCATCATACTCGGTAACTGTGTAGTACTCCTTTCGCACGGGATTGAAGCTAAGGTCTTCGTTCCCAGCCATGAACCAACCAGGAAATTGTTGCGCTGCCTTGCCCTCTTCCCAGGTGAAAAGGTCACCGGCCTTGGGATCTCGACCATTGCTCCGGCTGAGATAGAACTTGCCATTATATGAGACACCACCTTGCATGCGGAGAATATCAACACAATGGGCCCAGCTTGAAGTGGCTATGCCCTTGTCATCAGTGCGAAGGCGGCGAGTGGTCGAGTCGAGCTCGTATTTGACAAGTCGAATGGGCACATCATCGCCATTTTTATATTTTTCACCATCACGTACGAACTCGCCAACCAGGAGAGTATCGGGAGAGTCGCTGCGGTCAAGAGACATCCATGAAAAGCGGAACGGAGACGAGTCGCCAGGGGTCCATTTGTAGTAGCTAGGAATTTTGTAAGTATAAATCGAATGGCGAACTATCCTACTAGAAAATACTACTAACCGGACTTGAGGCAGAACATATTTGTATCCAGCAGCAGAGAAACCGTCGCCGTTCTTGCCAACAGGATCCGCAATGTCAACCTCCCAGATGTTGTTCAGGTCAAAAGCCCGAATACCAATATTGGTGTCCACGACGAAGAGAACATCACCGTACCACATAATACCACCGGCATGGATAGCAATCTCCTTGAAGTCGTCATCGGCTGTAGGGTAAACCAGGAGAACATGGCGATATTCGTGCGTTTTACGATCCACGAAGCTGAGGCGAACACTGTCCCCATCGTCACGATGCCAGCTAACGATCCAGGCTTCGTGGTCATTCCACTTTCCAGCTCCAAGAGCATCTGCAGAACTGGTGATTCCTTGTGGTACCCATTTGGTAGTCTTGTAGTCACCCGAATTCCATGCCCATGCTTCTGATGGGGATCCCGTTCCAACAGAGGGTGACCCCTTGTTCAGGACTCTATTTGCCGATTCGAAGACAGCCGTGACACTGACATTCTTCCCCGTACCCTCAAAATGTTTTGCAAGAGCAGATAGATGGGTATTGTCGGCTGATTCTTTGAGAGTAAAATCTCCGGCGTTTAACCTTTTATTCCCTGTGCAGGAACGAGAGTCGGCACCGCTAACAAGAGGCACTGATATCGAAAAGAGAGCAAGCGCAAAGCGGCAGATCACTGAATACTGCATGATTTGGTACTTTCCCGGAAGCAGGAAATTTCGATTTAGTTGTCGAGAAGAGGGACGAAAGATTGGGAACAAGGGAATTTATAGATGCAAGATAACCATGAACCATGCGACGGATAAATTCTTGGGCATTATACGAACAATCCCCTTAGTTATCTTTCAAGTTGCCATCATGACAAACATTCTATGCTCGTGTCCCAAGATTATACGAGAGGGGCCCTGGACTGGGTGCCGATCACCCCACAATACGAGACTTGGCGGGGGCCAGGACTCGGATAGGAGCTTAAAATAGCCGCTGGGGTTACAGATTCTTGTGAATGTCGTATAACGTAAGATTAGATCCTGGCAACGCGGGAAATGAATCTGGAGTTCGGACCTAAAGTCCATTAAGGAGGAAAAGAAAGAAGTTTTGAGGAGTATTATTGGGGACCACATTGGAAGAACTAGATTAACCTTGGAAGCTAAAACGGAAAGGTCTGCCGCTTACTCTAGCATCCGAGGAGATGGAAGTCTCCCAATTACCCTTGCTACTACGAAGTATGGCCGTATATATAGACATATACTAACAATATGGACATGGCATCTCTACTAGTATGCCCAGGGGGGTGTATAGCAAATCCAAGTTGTGTTCGCGGGGGGGGGGGGGGAATGGGAAAGAATATGCGCCTCTTTGCTTCATTCAATCGTTCAATAAAAGAGATGAGATGGTATGTATGAACGCCCGCTAAATGACAAATTTCCTTTATAAAAGCTGTACACCAGATATCACAAGCCTCCAGTTCCGAAGAGCTCCATCTTGATGTTTCCAGATTTCACACCTAAAGCCTCAAGACTGGACTTCGTATCGTTCATGAATTCCTCGGGCCCGCAAACATAATACTGTGTTCGGGAGTTGTCCAGGAATAACTCATCACTTGCATCGAGCCTGCTCAGATCCACTCGGCCAGCATGATGATAATCCACTCCTTGCCTGTCGTCGGGGGAGGGGTGGCTGGTGAAGAAAGTAGCCTGAATATTTGAATGGTCTTTCACAACTGAGGATACGTGACCCTGGAAGGCACGCACCTTAGAATTCCGGGCACCGTGAATGAAGTGGAGTTTGCGATCGGCGGCTGATGACTTGGCAATCAATGTGTTCAGAATTGAGGTCATCGGGGTAAGACCGACACCAGCAGAAATCAAGACGACAGGCTGACTTTCTTCGTTTGAGGAGTAGAAGAAATCGCCACAGGGATGGGAGACTTTGACTAAATCGCCCTTGTTTTTGGTCTCGTGAAGCAGGTTGGAAACGTAGCCGGGGTGAGTTGCAGCACCAGGTTCACTCGAGTTCAACCCATTTTCCTTCTTCACACTGATGCGATAGTATTTAGGGGATGGTTTGTCACTGAGTGAGTACTGGCGAGGCTGATTATGTTGCAGCTCATTGATATGAACCTGGACCGAAATGTACTGGCCTGGCTGAAACGCAGGCAATGGCTTGCCGTCCACGGGGGACAGATAGAAGGAAGTTATTTCGTCCGATTCCTTGACCTTGTCGACAATCTCGAAATCGCGCCAGTCCGTCCATTCTTCGTTTTGCTCGTAGATCTGCTTCTCGCGGCCGATCATGATATCTGCCAGCTGCCAGTAAGCAGCGGCCCAGGCATCCTTAATCTCGGGAGTGAGTGCGTCTCCAAGAACCTCGCCCATGGCCTCGATCAGGTATTTTCCGACAATCTGGTAGTCCTCGGGCTTGATGTAGAGGGAGGCGTGTTTGTTGCAAATGAGCTCCACGGCAGGGCCCAATGCGGCCAAGTTGTCGATGTTCGAGGCATAGGCAAATAGGGCACCCGCTAGAGCACGAGGTTGATGACCATTGGTCTGGTTGGGCATGTTGAAAACGTTTTTCAGCCCGGGGTGTGCATCCAACATGTTCTTGTAAAAAACAGTGGTGATGGTCTTGCCATGCTCCACCAGGACAGGGACTGTCGCTTTGATGAGTTGCATTTGGTCTGGTCGCAAACCTGAAATGGAACCCATGGTGAAGAGTGTGTGTTGTTCGATGTGAGACAATGAGATCAATCGAGGTGAATGTGGTATAGATCTTGAATACAAAGGTCTATGTACTGGTCTGATTAAAGTATATAGGCATGAAATTTTCTTGTTGTGGGCCGGAAAAGCACCAGGTATTTATTCCACTGGTCAAGTTATGATCCCATCCAAGCTCGTAAACTTATGACCCGCCCTCGGCCGGAATAAAAAATTCTAGAAATATCGAGATGGTGTACCTGGCCGGTATGTGCGGTTAAAACGGGAGGGTAACGGACTATCCCGCATCTCCGCGGAGGTTGACCAAACCCCGACATCTGAGTGGCTGCCCTTTCACCATGGAAATCAAATTGTTTGACCCTGGTGTGTTTGAACTACGTCCGCTGGAGTTTTCTCGGCGGTAGCTCCAGTTTCAGGATGCTCGGGACGCGCCTACACCTAACGGCACATTCTTCGGAGAGAATGTATGTATTTGCTAAAATTTGTCCAATGTTTCAAAAGAGTTTTCATCCGATATTTATGTATGATATGACAGAGCGGGGCCTACCTATTGCAAGCTCTATAATAGCTTTAAATCGCCGATCGCACTTGACAGATAGCAGGCTCTCGCCAATGAGAGCCACACAGTTTGAAGTAAAAGATGACTCCATTGACTACAACACATGATCGGGCTTGCGCAGTTCGTCCCAGACTCACCACCGCCACGTCGCTTAGCCCTGTTAATTCACCGATTTCACTCTTCAAGTTTGGTCACGCGCCGGTCGCCAATCCCGACCGAATCAGCCCACACGAGAACCTTTAGGAACGGCCCCAGTGGGGCCGAAGTCCCCCGAGTTCGAACGCTGAACACACACATTTTCCCACAGGAGGACCGTAGTGGCAAGGACTTGTATGTCCGCACGATGGAATAGAAGGAACAAGAGATAGGATTGACTGATGTGTATTGAAGAAGGTGATAAGCAGGCTAGAAACTAAAGCAGGGATCGGAGGAAAGACCGTTTACGGTCACATGATAAAGATGTATCCGAACCTCAACAAACTGGTAACCAAACCACAACCCGTACTTTCCGCCACAACGCAGCCGTGTCTTCCAATCAAGATATCCTAGACATAAATGAACTGACCAATCTGCCGCACCCGAACCCCTATTTTTGATTAATCGCCGCATAATGCAGCGGGGCATAATCGTAGTTCGCATATGGTACAGCATCCCATCGCCAAGAGCCTTATGCTTGGCTTCATATGACAGAGGAGTCCTTATCAACTTGCAGATCAGATATCATTCCTTCCATTGTTTAAAAATATGGCGTGGAATTTGGCAATGAATATTCCAATTCAATGGCCTCTAGACAGCCGCTCTGACCGACAGCAAAGCATAGGACAGTGCCCTCAGGAGTGATACCAATTATTTGCCTTGATTTCACCCCGTGGAATAAGATGGATGCTTTGCATAAATAAGGGAGCCGCATATTGATTTGGCGAGGATTTGCAATATCTAGTCGTCCGACGAACAATAAGAAATACGCGAATGACGAGGAAGTTTCTTATCGGGGAAGAGCTAAGACCCCCAGAATCCGATGGTCTGTCGACCTTCCTATCATAAGACATAATGTTAGGGTTCAGCTGAATGCACCGTAAGCTGAGCGCAAGGCATGTCATGCACATTGACGATGATTCATACAATTCCAGAGCTTGAATCATGCCAAGTGGGCAAAATATGGAGGTTACCTTTTAATCGCCACCTGCCGACCAGATTCGAACCATATTGGTGTTTCCGGATTTTCGACTGCCATTCATAGCCCAGAGATCCTAATTTAGAATCCGTTAGATTCGAGGAAGTAAGTATTCGCATCCAATACCTACGAATAAAACGTGATAAAGACACTACACAATATCACCGGACTAGAAAATATTGCGTACCCTCTAGAGGGGCACATTTCATTAATGAGATACCAGTCAGCATTTCACATGTCCATAAAATCCAAATTGATCTATGAGAACGAAAGTTTCGGAGTGTAGCTGAACTCTACATCTCGTTAAATTAAACTTCAAATGTAACAGCCTCGAGAAGTTAGCAATATCTACGACCTGGGTAATGGGGGTTTGTGGGATAGGATCTGTTGATTTAAATATTGTCCAATAGAAGTGGTTACCAATTTTTATAGAGCCGATCTTTGTGTGGAACCCCATTCATAGTGTCGGATTGCGTTCTAGACAATGCCGGAACATCCGTTTGCGGACACTCGGAAGCACCCGTTTTGGCATATGGCTTGGCTTGGCACTCCATAAACATGGTACACATCAGAATATTGACCTCACCACTGTTTGGCGCCTGGAGTACTATCCCAGATGCTTAAAAGTGCGCCTTTCTAGGCAGAGTAAAAGGGCCCGGGCCAGCAAGACTGCCCTAACTATCACCACAGTGCTTAGCGACGAGCTCGATCACACCCCACGCCAAGATCCGGTCGATGATGAATAGACCAAGAATACCTTTGGGGAGCTTACTATAGTGACGTCTGAGATAACTTGTTGTTGTTGGATAAATATCTCGTCAGAGACGTTTTGCATGGAATCGGTCGCCTGGACTTTTCGAAGATTTTATACCTTTAAGTCTCCTAATTTTCTATCTGGATCAATTCAAACAATTAATTGAAATCCCCGCCTCGCGATGATCTTCCACAAACGTGCGCCGTCTGGAGCCTCTACTCTGGCCGGCCCGCCGGGGCCCGGTGGTCGTGGCCAGCTTCCCATGTTGCAAATGCCCGATAGCCTGCGGTATAACCTGCTTTGTGTGGTGGGCGAGTTTGTTGGAACATTCTTGTTCTTGTTCTTCTCGTTTGCCGGAACCCAAGTATCTAATACCCCAATGCCTCCACCTGGCTCTTACCCAAATACTTCGAATCTTCTATACTCGGCTCTTTCTTTCGGTTTCGCCTTGACTGTCAATGTTTGGGCATTCTTCCGCGTGACTGGCGGTCTCTTCAACCCAGCGGTACGAAGCACAACGCGTATTTGAATGTTTCGAAATGCTAACTTCAACAAGGTGACGCTAGCCCTTTGTATCACTGGGGGACTACCTCCGATGCGTGGTCTGTTTGTGTTCCCTGCACAGTTAGTTGGTGGTATTGCCGCGGCAGGTGTTGTTAGCGCTCTGTTTCCAGGCCCCTTGAACTGTGCCACCAGATTGGGTGGCGGTGCTTCGATCTCACAGGGTCTTTTCATCGAGATGTTTCTCACTGCCCAATTGGTCTTGGTCATCATCATGTTGGCAGTGGTCAAGCACAAGTCCACCTATCTTGCTCCAGTCGGTATTGGTCTCACATTCTTCGTCGCAGAATTGATCGGTAGGCTTTACTCGAATTTAGACCCCATGGTTGTTAACTAACGTCAATCGATTGCTAGGCGACTACTATACCGGCGGTTCTCTGAATCCAGCACGCTCGTTAGGTCCCGATGTGATCAACCGCAGCTTCCCCGGATATCATTGGATTTACTGGGTTGGACCTCTCCTAGGTTCACTCCTTGCCTCTGGATTCTACCATCTCCTGTGCTTCGTCCGTTGGGAAAATATCAATCCTGGCCAAGACTACAATGAATGGGAAGTCAGGGCCGGCAAGACCGAATCTTCGGCTGCATCGGAGCACACTGTCACGGATGGCCTGCACCATCATCCAGAGAATGAGGTAAGGCACCAGGTGCCTCCCGAGGAGCAGGTTTGAGATATAACTCAAACATGAAGTATTCATCCTTAGGGTGAACCATTACAAAATCTGCAAATGTTGTAGGGTTTGACTGACTAGTAGCTCTTCATCCCTGGGTGGCTACTATTCAGACTATCCATTATAGTTATTTTGGATGGTAGTTAGATCTTGGAATTTTGATCTTAAACCATCAGGTGTACGTGGAATATTGAGCTGTATCTACTTATGTAACATAATGGTAGTATAATAATATTTGAGAGTATCTTATACTTTTCATTTTTTCCTAGTTTTCAAAGTACCAACATCCATGGAGGACGGTGTAATTAATCATCGATTTTTAAGGTTAATTTCACGACCAGAATAGGCCGCTAGTCGTCATTTCGTAATGGTATTGCCGCTTGCATGAAAATCTGGCTTATTCCATAATAGGGGCAAAAGCTATTTAACAAAGGTTACTGCTTTGGTAAGCAGGCTAATTACTAATTGCCAAGTAATAACTAGGCAATGTATCCGACTAGTAACAGTGACTTTGTCACGACAGTTAATTCTTCCCGGGGGGAGAGGCCAAGGATTTAAAGCTACTGACACGCAGCCTGGCGAGAGCGGGTCAAGTAATGAAGATGCACGGAGATTTTTCCCTCTCACAATGAAAGTTCTAATCTATTCGTCTGCACTGGTCTGCATGTTTTGTCAGTAGCAATTTCAATAGTGTCCTCACCAGTGCAAATTGCATCCATTCTAGCTGCAGATCAGCCGGGCGACCTAGTCAGCTGCGGGGCCAGTTGGAAGGACCACAATCTGGTTAAATTCACCCCTAATGGAAGTACTTAGGGATCATCTTGCGATTGGATAAATAATAAAACTGCATATGTATAAAGCACATATACTCCGTACTATAAAAGGCGGAACATTCAAATCTACCGTTCCGGAGATCTTCTGGCTAACGAACGCGATAAAAAAAGGGGGGGGGGGAACTTGGCTGCTTACTCGGACTAAACTTGAAGGGCCCCACCAATCAATGCACCATCGATTGGCGATGCAAGGGTCGAAGACTCAAGAATGAGTGAGTATCTTCAAGCCGCCTACACATCAGCCACATCTGCACAGTAAGCTTATCAGACAGTGTTACCTTCACAAAAACGGAAAATCAACAAACGCCTTCTGAATGCCTGCTGCTGAAGAAACCAATCGTGATATTCTATTCACTTGCCGGTATAGGATTCGGTGCAGCGATCCATCTGCCATCGATTGCAGATCCACCTAGAAATCTTCCTAGCCCTGGAAGACCCCTACATGCACTCCCAGGCCAGGCTAGAGCCTTGTGTGACCCGCGTGCAATTCTAAAGCTCTTAAAGAGCTTCCCCGCCATGTTGCCGGAGTGTCTTCTTCTCGATCTCGTTTAAGTCGTCTTGCCATTTCTTCGAAGACTTAGATGAGGGACATGGAGGCTATGAGCTTTTCCGGGACACGGGGTTTATCGGACTCCGGGGATTCGCAACTCCTGGGTGAGTTCTCACAAGCGCGTTAATATGCCGATATGCGTGAATTGCAATCTAACGGGCACGCGCTCAGCCAAAATGGGCTACAAACAGGAACTCAAGAGGCAATACTCGACACCGCAGGTATTTGCGGTCGCGTTTAGTATAATGGGATTGGTTCCTTCAATCGCATCAACCTTGGCATTTTCGCTACCGGCAGGACCTGTCGGTATGGTTTGGGGGTGGTTCACAGCGAGCATTTTCATTCTTCTGGTTGGACTGGCAATGGTACGACCTTCTTAGATTTCGCCCAAATCCATGTTACAATTCTCTTGACTGACTCTTGTTCAGGCTGATCTTGCGTCTGCGATGCCAACCGCTGGAGGTCTATACTGGTGGACCCATTATTTTGCGGGCGTGAAATACAAGAATCCGCTGAGCTTCTTGATCGGATACAGCAACACGCTCGGTCTCATCGGTGGAATCTGCTCGGTGGATTATACACTCGCCCTCATGATTCTTTCCTGCGTCTCTATTTCCCGCGATGATGGATGGTCTGCGTCGCGAGGCGTGATTTACGCTGTCTACGTGGGTCTGGTTCTTTTGCATGGGATCTGTGCTGCGCTATCAGGTCGAATTATGCCCAAGATCCAGACTGCTTGCATTTATATCAACGTCTCGCTTGTCATCGCGACCGTGATTGCTCTGCCGGTTGGAAAGGTCACACGTGGTGAGGCGCTGAATCCCGGAAGCTATGTTTTTCAACACGTCGACAATGAGACTGGATGGCCTACCGGGTGGGCATTCATGCTTGCATGGCTTGCGCCTATCTGGTCTATCGGTTCCTTTGATTCCTGTGTGCATATGAGCGAAGAGGCGATGCATGCAGCCAAAGCCGTGCCCCTGGGGATCATCTGGTCGGCCGGCTCTGCCTGTGTACTTGGCTTTCTCACATTGTCTGTTATGGCTGCGACAATGGATCCGAATGTAAGCAATACATTAAACTCGAAATTTGGACAACCAATGGCACAGGTAATCCGTCACCCCTTTCTTTGATAGCATGATGTTTGCTAATTCAACTTCCAGATCTACTACGATGCTCTGGGTAGGGATGGCGCCTTGGGCTTCATGATTGTACTCTGTTTGATCCAATTCCTCATTGGACTCAGCTTGGTAAATCCGCTATCCCCAATATCATTCCCCTTGGCCATGCTAACAAAGTAGACTGTCGCTGCTTCTCGTCAGGCATGGGCATTCTCACGAGATGGTGCCCTGCCATTTTCGACCTTCTTTCGCCATATCAGTAAACGCATTCAGTACCAGCCCGTACGAATGATTTGTGGATTGGTAGTGGCATGCCTCATCCTGGGTCTGCTATGTCTGATCAACAATGCCGCAACAAATGCCTTATTCTCCCTCTTCGTCGCAAGCAATTACTTATCCTGGGGAACTCCAATCTTCTGTCGTCTTGTCTGGGGCCAAGAGCGGTTTCATCCAGGCGAGTTTTACACTGGTCGGCTAAGCAAGCCTATTGCGTGGATTGCAGTTGTCTACCTCTTATTTGGTGTTGTGCTTTCCATGTTTCCAACCGGTGGTCCCAATCCTTCACGTAAGTCTTTTCCACATGCGCGGCTATCAATACTGGGCACTCTGACTAATTCTCGTCGCAGCGGCGGATATGAACTACACAATTGTGATAAATGGGTTTGTCTGGGTTGGATGCATGGCTTACTATTTCTTGTTTGCGCGACACTGGTTCACCGGCCCGCGCATGACAGTCGACGATAACAGCTCTACAAATTCGGAAAGTGGCGCCTACAATTCTGTGGTCTCAAGCGGAGGGCCGATGAATGCGAAGGCAGAGTGACTGCTTCAATTCCTTTTATTTCAGCGATTTCCTTCAAGTTGTACATGTTCTATACCCCTTTCTCCGCAGTATCAATTCTATAGCCATTGAATTTACATACCGATATGCGAAAGTAAACCGCTGGATGAATTGGCTCGTTCAAGCTTCTCTTGTGCCAAAAATCCCCATAACAGCATGCCGATCTTAGCTAAAAGTAGCCCGAAATATGACGTTGCAACCCCACAGCCATCAGGGACACGGAGCTCGCCCCGTCTTCTCCAATCCCCCCGCTCCACGATCGCGACACGTTAACATCCATGCAGTTTTCGTCGGATTCCCGCCATCGAACTGTTGAATATGAGCCAAGAGCATGAATCGCCCGGTGAGATAGAAGACACCGACAGCTTCGAACTCACCCAACCACCCGAAGAGAGTGGGCCGCTCCAACGAGCGGCGACCGACAACCCACGAAATGTGCAATGGAAGCCATCGTCGAGAACTGTGGATGAGACACTTGCAGATGGTCTTTCGAATGAAGATCTTTGGATGTTGATTCGGCGATTCAATAAGGTAAGGCTTGGCCCTGCGGAAGTTTTGCTTCTGGACTGACATGTGAAGCAAATCTATCATGTGAAAGCTGTACCGGGCGCGAATCTAGATCTGGATCTCAATCGGGCGCAAAATGAAGTATATCCTCCGGAAAAACTTCGAATGACACTTGAACGATTTTATATCTCTGTGGTTGTCGGGTTGATTGAGTTCTTTCGACATGTTGGGAGATTGCGGTCGTGGAAAGAGCCCGTCCGCACTGCGGTCTTTTGCGGTGTAAATTGTCTCTCCTCAGCTTGACAGCACTCAATGCTAATTTATACGCAGGTCTACTTCGCATCCTGGGCAGCAGATCTCCTCATTCCGATGACGATGAGCCTATTCATTGCCTTGATAATGTTTCCTCCCATTCGGCCGTTCTTATTCCCCGCTCCTCCGCCGCAGCCGCCAACAAACGATTCAACCTCAAACCTGTCGGCAAATGAACAACAGGAATCTCAAGACAGCTTGACGGGTGTACCGGAGAATCATAAGGGAGAAACTGCCGAGCAAGAAGCCAAGGTGTTGCTCGACAGCTTTGCGACAATGGCCGTCGAGGGTGCTGCGGGGAAATTCGGATATCCTCTGGATGAAGAGACCGCGGAGAATTCTACTGCAGTTATTGCAGCACCACCTATAGATATCACGCCCGAGACACCCGAAGTGGCCGCGGAGAAATCTGCAGAGGACCAAACCAAAAAGCCCATGAAGAAGAAGGTCTCACAAGGGATGGATCAGGCCATGCGAGTGGTCAGCGATATCACCGATATCTATGAAAGATTTGCCAAGTGAGTTCCCCAGATTGAAGATCAAATGAGAAAGTTGACATTAACTGGATTGAAGTATTCTTTCTCCTACTCCGCCATTCTATCTCATTTCACCACGTCTTCGCATATCGGGCATCTTGAGCATCGTGTGTCTCGTCGCGCCATTTGCATCCAGTTACTGGATCATCAAACTTGTCGGATTCGCTCTAGGATTCGCTTTCTTCGGTGCACCAGCCTTCACCTATACGACGGATCTTCTGAACCGCAAATTCCCCGAGTGGCAAGAGCAACTCGATATCAACATGTATGTGCACTAACCAACCTACCATTTACCAAGTGACACCTCCTAACACCATCATGATCTAGGACACTTCTGAAAGGTGTACCCACTAACGCCCAACTAACCTTAACACTCCTCCGAATCGGTGAAATTAACTCATCACCTCTCCCACCACCACCAACAACCGAGGACAGCGAGCCCGCATGGCCAATCAAGCGCAAGAAGTCCAAGGCAGTGACCATTCCCCAATCAGGCGATCTAGCTAGCATATCAAACGATTCAACCACCAACCTGTCATCCGACAGTCTCGCAGCACCGAAACCCAAAAAACGAACCTTCTTCAAAATCCTAAAGTTTTTCCGCCGCACAATCGCAACCGCAATCCGAGGCCACATCGCCTTCGACCGGGCAATGGCAATTGCAGGATCGGCACATACAAAGAACCTCCTAGGCATGCTTCAAAACCACCGCTTCTCCGGCACACCATACGGGCCATTGAAATTCGACGCGAAGTTTGAGCGGAAGCGCGGGGCAGCCGTCATCGATTCCACCAAGGAACCACCTATCTTATACTTCACGACGTACCAATCGGCCGGATTGGAGGATCTGAGCATTGACGCGCGGAAGAAGGGGTCTGTTCTCTTTCAAATTCCGGTCACTGAGATCCAGGAACTGCGGAAGACGGAGGGATTGGGGTGGAAGGGAAAGCTGATTGTTGAATTGACGGCCGGTAGTAAAGAGGCTGCTGATGGAATGGTCGTTGTTGGCAATGAGATCGGGCAGTCATTCCATCTTACAGGGATGAGGTCTCGGAATCAGTTGTTCAATCGATTGGTTGCGATTGATGCGCAGTTTTGGGAGAGCAGGTGATAATGTTCCAAGGGGTAGGTATCTAGAGGACTATCTAGGCATACTAGTAGAGCCCAAGGCAGAATGCATAGATCTATGCTTGTTAGCGTGCAATGCATTCGAGTTTGCTCACATATACGATAGCAGTACAAATACGACTATTCGAATGGAAACCAATTGAGAGAAAACCTTGGAATGTTCAAGTTCATAGTTCAAAAGTATAGACAGGTATATATACAGTTCAAAACGCCGGTATTAATCCCTGCCAGCAAAAATGCACGGCAAAATATTTTAGGGAAAACCAATCAAGGAAAGTCGTGAAAGAAAAGCCGTATGCCAGAAACCCGAGTCCAAAAATCATTACATTCAGAGATATCCTTTACAGAGCAACCATGACACCGAGCATACCAGCCATACCAGCGGCAGCGGCGTTCATCTTGTATCCAGCGACGGCAGCGTTGGAGGTAGTAGGGCTGGCAGATTCGGAGCCAGTGGTGGAAGCACCAGTGTTGGTAGCCGTGGAGGCGCGGGAGGTAATGGTGGAAGCACCGGTGGTCTTCTCACCCTCCGAATTGGTGGAAGTGAAGGTAGAGACCCAAGCGGAGGCCTTGCTGGCAGCTTCAGAGCCGGCGGATTCACCAGCTGAAGCGATCGAGCTGGCGTGGCTCTCGACAGCGGTGGCGATGGAGGCAGCGTCGCCGGTCAGAGTGGACAAAGCAGCAGCACCGCCGGTCTCGAAGGCATGGCCGATGGAGGTAGCTTCCGCGGCGGCATCTGAGCCAATGGACTCACCTCCGCTCTTGAGGGAGGTGGCAACGTCCTCAGCCTGAGAGACAATGGAGTCGACATCGATGTCGGGGGTGGCCATGGCAGCGGTGGCCAGGAAGAGGGCGGAGGCAATAGCAGTGAACTTCATTTTGGTAGAGGTGGTGGAAGGTAGAGGAAGTTGAGATACTTTTGAAGTGGTTGTTAGTTGGAGATAAAGTATTGATATAGGGCTGGTTAGGCTGTGGATAGGATGAGAATAATAAACTATGGTTCGGGGAGATCCAGGGGTTCTTTATAGTGACGATCGGACCATCCAATTTCCTCCTGGATATAGATAGTAACCAACTACGAAGGACATACCTAACTGGGGACAAGGCATCAGGGTCCGCAGTTGTGGCAGTGGCAATGACGCCGTTTAGGGGGAAGACGGAAAACAATTGGGGCCAAGGCTTACGGCCGATCAGTGGGATTGGGGGAGAAGTGCAATTTTGGAAAGCAAATCATCATTTAATAACTCCACTTGGGCTGAGCAGACAGACAATGATTCGTCTGAGCCCTTGTCCGCCCCCATCATTGCTGCTGAGTGCGAGATCCACGAGGGAATAGCGGCACATGAGGCTACATGCTGCGACGGGCTGCATGAGCTGTGTACCGGAATTGATGCTTATTTCTGAGCTGGGCCCGATTCTACTGAATGGTGCTGTGCTGTGCTGCATGCTAGCAAAGGGGGTCGAAAATTGACACAGCCTACACTGAATTAGAAACAGATATGGTGCTGCCTTCAAACAAAACTTGGAGTCAAAGTTCGGAAACCTCGGCTGGCAGCGCCACATCGTAGGCCTTGCCCCCCTAATTCCCTAATGTTGGGGAAGATCTCCACCAGCCACGGCAGGTAAGCATATGAGTGGTGGGACGACATTTCAGAATTTCATTTCAGGAAGCCTCCGCCTAAAGAGATTTCGGAATTGAAGCGGGATGAAGGAAACGAAATGCGTGTTGAATTGATTGATGGGCCTCGTATTTCCGACTAAGCCAAGACTGATGACGTTTTACACAGTGCAAAGTGGATGACTTCGCGGGTGTGGGTTGTGGCTGTGGATGTGTGGTCTTGGATGGCTTCTTCCGGCCAGCACCGAGAGAGGCAAATGGGCGTAGCCTTGGTCACGGGAAAGTCACGTGAATAGGTAAAAATAGATATTCTCAATTGCTCACGTGATTACACCCGGGTTTAGGAAGGAGCGGTTTGTTGGGGGCCTAATGTTACGTACGTAAAATGCAGGCGCGCAATGGACGAGCAAACATCAACTTGCCAGTGCCCAATGAAGAAGGAATCAAAATAATACATTTAAGTAACTAAATATTGTAATATATTGTAAATCATGTACTTAGAGAATTGAGACAGGTATAATAGTGTACTACCTGTAACTCGAAGTTTAGTATTAGTACTACAGTATTGGATGTTCTGGATATATATCTTCCAAAAAGTTCAGGCAAGGTTCAAGTTGTTGTCCGCGACTACTACTACTACTACTTAGTAGTAGTAATAGAAGTCAACTTGGATTTCAAATTGAAGGTGTCGGATACTAAGCACCGTGACCTACGGGGACTCGGACCACTCCAGGGCTGGAGTCGCGACTCGGAGTACGGCAAAAATTTCAAGTTTACTAGTATCAGTACTACTACCTACCAGTACTAAGAGTACAGACGAAACCTTCAACTTCAAGAAGTTGGCAGTGGAACTTGCCAGTGAACGAAAGCAGAAATCAAATCATACTAGTCATTAAGAAAAGAGTACTCAGTCATATAAGACCGTCTAAGAAATGCATATGTCCAAAATAACATGCCATGCTATGCACATGCCACCACCACACGCGCACCAAGTTTAATCCAATTCCGGTCTATGCAGAAAACTGCCTGTAGGCCTGAATAATCCCCTCCCATCCACCAGGATGGCTCGTCTCGGTCGGATTGGTCTTTCCATCCAATATCATGACGTCCGTCATGCGGGTGCTGATCGAGTACCACACCAAATTCTGCGGTGAACCAACAACACGCATCATATTCGATTGACACTTGCCCTCGCAAGGCTGGTTGTAGAGACCATTCCATGACCCATCGAAAAAGGCCCAGGCAGCAGAGTTGTAAAGGGCAATGTTGGATCCCCCGTCAATATTAGTGGCCAGCGCGGAGCGACATTTGTCGTCGTTAGTGGAGCACCATGAGAAGTCTGGATCTCCATATTGAGCATTGGCAAACCAAGGTGCGGGTGCCTTCTCATACTCGCCAGAGCCTTGCATATAAGGCGTCTCAGTTTGGAGGAGGCCAGCGTACACGTTTTCGGCCTTGTGGAAGTTGTAGTTGTAGAGCCAGTGGTGCTCGGAGCCAGTACCAGTAAGCCAGGTACCTTGAGTCGCTTCTACCAAAATGCCGCGACCGGTTGAGATGATAGTGAAAAGGGATTCGCTATCCAGGTTGTGGTCTGCTGTCCATCCCCAGAAGTTTTCAATATATGCAGACGAGCTCTTTGTCAGGTGCATCACCATAAAGGCAGCCATGCAGTCCTTGGGATCTTGCGAGGTACAACTGTTGGAGATTGTCGTTTCGGCGGTACCACCAACTGTGACAATGGTGTTCCATAGACCAACATCTCCGGGCTGAGCTCCTGCAGCGTTGATCTCCAAAATTTTCGCACCAGGGAGAATTTCACCTGCTGCAAACCGCATATCCTGAATTTCAATAACACCAACATCTCCAGGACGACCGAGCTGGACCACCGCGCGAGGCTGGAGGGGATTCTTGAAGGCATCGCCATAACCCGAGATGACAGCCCATGCTTCACCGACCATTCGAGTGCCCACAGGGACGAAGAGAGTATCGGAAACGCGGTAAACACCGAAGGGAATATAAGTGATCTTGCAATCTTCGGCGTTCTGCAACAAGATAGCATTCAAAGCCTCCGTATCATCGGTACGGCCATCACCCTTAACGAGATGGCCTGAAACCGTCTTGACGTTCACGATATCATCACCGCCATATTCCCCGTAGGTAGGTTGAGCCTTGGTGAAATACTTTCCACCAATCAATAAATTCTCCGAACGCTCAGTGATAAAGGACTTTCCAGCTTCATACTGGCCGGGTACCTTTGTGCCCCAGATATAAGTGTCAATGTGCGACGCAGGTCCCAAGCGAGTAGCGCCGTTGCTATCAACCGCGATAGGGTGCTGGGAATCGTGAGAAAGGTTCTCGATAATGAACTGGCTGTTCTGGTTGCCGTAGTCATGAGAGGAGTCGTGGAACAGAATGACGGTTCCACTGTTGGTCGATGTCGAGTCCAGTAGAACCAGACTGCCCAGTCCGTTGCCGGTCATGTTGACAGCAGTACCGCAGGACTCAAAAGTCGCACTTTGGAGCAGGACAGTCCATCCGCCAGCGGCAGAAAACGCCGTGCCCACCGCGCTAAAGTGGATGTTTTTGAAATTGACCTGTTGGTTCGAGTTTATGATACCGGTGGCACCGCCAATAATGCGCTGTTGAAGTTAGTATAAGCCAGTAATGCAATATTATCATAGAGGAAGAACTTACCACATCGGTGACGGCAATTGTTGAACCGGCATGTATATCAATACCAGTATGCGTACCAGGGCCAGTCGGCATTCGAACCTCAACATTGGTCAAGCCGGATCCTTGAGCCACTCCCCATTGGAGGGCAGTGATGGCGACATTGGCATCCACCGAAGTCGTGTCCAAGATAACGTTCTTCATCACCATCATGAAGCTAGTTTCCGGGTTCCCGTTGTTGTTATCGTATCCCAGAACAAGGAATTGGCCACGGAAACCGGGAGAGGCTTTGATGACGGGTGGATTGTTGGGGTTGCCAACAATGATAGTTCCGACAGTCAATTTCAATGTGCTTCCAAGCTGGTAGACTCCGCTGGGAAGATAGACCTCTGCCGGGAACCGAGTGACTCCTTTTCCTTTGCGACTACCCCCGGCTCCGGTGTCATCGATAGCTTTCTGGAGGTTTGCTGTCTGATCGCCCGTACCATCATTCGCAACATCGTAGTGCATCACATTTCGGTACACGGGATATGAGTTATCTTTGGAGATATATGGAGCTAGACCAGCGCCTTGTCCTTTGTGATCTTGCTGGTCCAACCAGAAGACACCGCGCGAGGGTTGTCCCTTGGGAGCGCATGTCTTGGAGGCCGCAGCGAAGGCTGGGCTGCTAGAGCTAGAGATAGTCAGTACAAGTCATAGCTTGGAAGGTAGCCATCACCTACGCTGGCTTTGGTAGAGTTGTGAAAGTCTGAATCTGACTCGATGACGAACTTTGGCTCGAGCCTGGAGTCAAAGTATAGGTCAAAGTTGTGGGAGCAGTTGCCGCAGAGGAAGTGGCTGGAGTAGAAGAACCTGGCGCAGAGGAAGTGGCTGGAGTAGAAGAACCTGGTGCAGAGGCAGGACTCCGCTTCGAGCTCGATACGGCAGGAGTAGACTGCGACGGACTTTGCGAGGGAGTAATTGAAGAACTCGGTGTTTGCGGCGAAACCGGTGCTTGCGGGGATGTGGGCCCCTGTGCAGAATCAGGTGCTTCTGAGGCAGCAGGAGATTCAACTGGAGTGGATGTATCCGCTGGAGAGGGTGTCCCCGCCAGAGTGGGCGTTTCCACCGGACTGACAGTCTCAGGAGGACTGGGAGGCTCCGAGCTCGGGGTATCCAACGGGATTGGGGTGTCTGTTGTCTTACCACCTCCAAGGAGAGTATCAATCAGGTCTGGAGCACCGCCAACCTGGGATAACAGTGTCGGAAACAAACCCGGAAAGAACACTGACTCTGATGGTCCCTGATTGACTTCATGGAGATGTTCAATGTCACTCTCGCGAAGAGGAGCGACCGATCCCGACACAGCAGAGACAACTGCTACCAGAGTAGCAACAGACAGTGAGCTCCGCATCCTCAGACCTCAATTTCTCAACCGCAACTCTCAAGGATATCCTATCAAGCTGTTAGCAGAGGAAGGGAGAAGAAGAAGTAAACATTGGATCCGCAGACATGGTGGAAAAAGGACCAGAGATCTGGCCAGGCCCGCCTGGCATGCAGGAGACCAGGAGGTTGGCATGGCGTCGTCAGGATACCGGCAAACCTGATGTTTTGATCTGGGCAGGATGTTTGGAATGCGGTAGCTTCGCGGACCGCGCGGATCGTCCCCCTTGCGAGCGGAACGGGAGATGGACAGCACAGACGCGACGGCGGTGGATGGGCGATAGCAGAAACAACATATTCGCTCGATAGATGATGGAGATAAATTATGAGGATGATGATGATGATGATGATGATGATGATGATGATGATGATGATGATGATGATGATGATCTCGATCTTGATGCTGTTGAGATGGTTGTGGGTCCACGCGTAGAGGGGAAGCGAGAAGGTGCCCTTCAAAGATGGGAATGTAGTCTAGGCATAGACAGCGGACTTGTTAAAAATGATCTACCTTGAGATTACTCTAGATGGAGGAATACTGTAACACACGAGACTAAGAGACATTACTCAAAACTGATGACTTCTTGAGGCGCGCCGCTGAATGGCCATCTCATTTGACCATAATAACAACCTACCGAACCGAGAATATGTCGAACCAAATTGACTTTCTGGTGTGCTATTAAGTGATTGTAAGACTGTCAAACATGCCTGGATAGTTTCTGAATCTTCCAGAAACGTATACTTCAGATATATCGGTGGCCAAGTATAATACTCCATAGTTAACCAATGCCTCCCTCTACGAAGCTTCGCCAGCTCGACTCTATCTGATTGGCTCTGTGTACCAAATTTTCAGCAAACAGATGACACGAGCTCAAGATTCCATTCCATAATTAAATTAACTGACAGCTATTGAAAGCAACAAGCTGCAAGTTCGTACTTGTAGTTCTGCCGATGAGAATGTTTTTCTCATTCGGGAATAGTGTCCTGCTTTCCTGATTAGGAATATGGGGTCGAGCGAGCTAACGAGACTTGGCGTCTGCTAATAAACGGCGCACTTGCCAAGAATTGGAAAAAAAGGGTATGAACAGGCAGACTACCAGTCATACAATACGCGATACTGATAGAAAATCGCTAGTGGAAGATGAAGATCTCGCTAAGAAATACAAAGTGACGGCCTTTCTACCTGATATACGAAGGGCTGCCACCAATATCTTTCGGTTATCTGCCAGTTTCATTTCTAACATAGCCTCGGAAGATACTAGTATTGACCACTTAATCTTGATCATGCAAAGTCAACATTCATAGGATACGGAATGGCCATGAGAACTTGAAGGCTGAGCCCATCCCTAACGAAACCGTTTTACTTCAACTTCGGCTTTACGAGGAGCACAAGGGTGTGAGAGATGGCATAGTGACTCACGAGGTAGGGAGCTTAATTTTATCAGAATAGGCGGCGCATAAAGCGCGTCTTAATGTCTGATTGCGGAGGAATATCCATTTTTATAACACTCTCCTCACCGAGAACTTGGGAATCTTTAATGGGAAACGTAGAGAAGGATCCGCTCAGGCGATATCTGGTTGGAGCTCCGGGCACTAAAATATGCAATCAGATTCCAAGGTTCAGGGGTTGCAAGCGTTTGCCATATACACCACTCGCAATTTCAAACAATGACATACCCGTACAATTACTAACTCATAATATAGCGGGCTACGGGCGAGATTTTGGGAAGCCGGAATACCATGAGCGATTTCTATGGTGGTCCAGAAGCCTTGGGCGCTACTATGAAGCATGGGGGCACAGAGATACTTCGTCTTTTAATGGAAATGGGAAAGTAGACAAATGCCGGCGTTCTATAAGGGCAATGTCTCGGGCATGTTATTTGCTTGAAAATCGTGTCGCAGACCTGGGTGCTAACCACGTGAAAACAGTCTTGTGCTCATGGAAGCAACAAACAAGAAAGATTTCGAAACAGTACAGCTTCTTCTGGACGCTGGCGCAGATCCCAATGCGACTGATGATCAGCCTGAATTTGAAGTCTACCCGGATCATGAGCCCAGAATGCCTCTCTTAATCGCCGCGAAATCCAAAAATGAGACAATGGTGCGGCTACTTCTACGGAATGGAAAGAGTATCTAGAAGACGAGAACCCCAAGTCGGACTTTTGGGACCTGTTCTTTACGACCAAAGCAATCGCGAATTACGTGTCTCTCGTGAAACAATATCAGATTGTGGAAAGGGGAACCTCTGTTTAAGAGACCCGTCGATCCCGAAGTTCTTGCCCTACTAAAAACTATCAATCAAGAGAAGATCTTGTAAACCCTACAAGTCAATATCATCATCTATTGTCGAGCTATTTTTGGGGTACCCTTGATCTACCCCTGGCCTGTAGCCCCATTAATTAAAAAAAGATTCATGACGAGGATACAGGCAAATAACCTAATTGCGAAAGCTTACGCGATTGTTCTATGTGAAATCAAACGTCTTATCTATTTACGGTGACCACATAATATTCAAGTTGCTGCTGGATTTCCGCTGGCATGAGGATAAGGTGGTCGAAACTGGAATAAAAAAAAAGCTTGCGCTTGGATTTTGTTAAATATTTAGAAACAAGAGCCATATGAGAAAAGTTTTGATTCAGAACTAAATCCACATTCACATTCATTGGCCGTTTTCGAAGGGAATCTTTTGAACAAGCGCGAATATCGACGAAGAATCCCCGTAACGACACCTTCAAGTTCTCCCAAACAGGCCATGGGGAGTAGTCGACTTCGCAGCAAAGGCAATTAAACCACCAACCAGACACATCACACCGCTGAAGATCGACATTTGGGCAAAGCTGGCATAGTGTTGCACGAATGCTCCATTGGCAGGAGGACCGATCAAAGCAGAAATGGAGCTGAGACCGACTCCCATTCCGAGGAGGGTGCCACTTTCCTGTCGGCTCTTGATGCAGAGCGTGAAAGCTGTCGTTCCACCGGAAATGATTGTTCCGGTGGTGAACCCGACAATGACGGCGTAAACCACCAATGCCGCGGTGGACTCTGCTTGGTTCATGCAGCAGACAACCACCCCCGAAGCTATTCCTCCGAACATGAACACGTTCAATCGTCCGAATTTGTCGGCGAGGATTCCTGGGACGACTCGACCAAAAGTAGACGCTCCGTTGACGATGGCTAGCAGGTAGGATGCTAGCGTCGCATCCATGCCACGCTTAACAGCGTAGGTGGGCATATAGAAGAGTGGAGCGAACATTCCGATGAACATGAAGAAGAGCGCCGCGATTACCATGCAGTACGTGCGGTCCTTGAATGCGGAGGGAAGAAGAAAAGCGGACTTGCGAGGAGGTAGGCGACTCCGAACAGCGATGCAGGAGAAGGAGAGCAGCGGAATGAGGAGGAAGCCAATGATGCGAATGGACCATCCGAAGCCCAGATTGGTGCTGTTCAGCATTTTGGAGAGCGCGATTGGGATGACAACGCCGCCGATGGAGGATCCGGAGATCACCAGGCCCAGTGCTGCGCCGGCTTTCTTGTCGAAGTATTGGGTGACCGCGGCCATTGCTGGGAACTGCAAGAATCCCATGGAGATGCCGAGTAGAATGCCCTGGGCCAACATGAATTGCCAGTACTGGGTACAAAGGCTGGTCATCATGATGGCAAACACAAGAAGTCCCGCAGAGGGTCGAATAACCTTGTTCATATTAGTGGTTCGTCTTGAAAATGAAAATAAAGATGAGAAGATGTGTAGTTTACATACCCAAGCACCGTAACGATCAAAAAGAGGGCCACCAACCGCGCCTGCCGCAAATTGCGTGAAAACAGCGACGGATCCAATCCAGGCCACTTTGTCTGCTGAATGGCCTTGGAGTTGATGGGAGAGATAGTATTCCACGAAGACGCCGAAGGAATTAGCAAATCCGAGAGCCGAGAAGAAGATACAAGCTGCCCCAGCTGCGACGAGCCAAGCTTTGATACCTCCATCTGGAGGTGGGCCCAGGTTGCTGCCGTCTTGTACAGACTTGAGAGTAGCGGCTTCATTCTGCCATTGGTAGTTAGAAGCGAAGCATGGTTGATTGTATTTTGAGGCCACTTTGGATGTGTTAGAAGGTTGTGTAGTCGTGTTAAAGCGGTCCGAAGCTGCATCTTCATTGCAGTGGGTGCAAGAGCGGTCGTCGCACATGATGGGCGAATTGTAGGAGTGAGAAGAGTGATGAAAAAGGAAAGTTTGTGAATAGGTCAATGTTCCTTCTTTTGGTTCGCAGTTCCAGAATTATCAAAGATGCAAAGATGTCTTGTCCGGTGCTGTTTATACTCCCGTTGTACTAGTTAATGCCCATTCACCATGAAGTCCCGTGATTGGCTCAGCCAGAATTTCGGGAAATTGCAGACGAGAAGGACCAACTGTGCAATTCCCGACTCCGACTCCGACTCCGACGTTTGCTTTCCTTTGCTGTTTCGTCCTTTCTTCTTCCTTCGTCACGCTCCTTTTGTCTTTCCAACTTCCCTTCTGCAAGTCATCAGTCATCATTCGGATCTCGGATCTCGGTCTTTTGCAGATGATCGGAGTCTACTGTGGCTGAACAAAGCAGCTCTTTCTCTTATCTGATCTACACTGGAGGCTCCGAGTTACAGTATGGATCCTCTCCAAATGCCGCAATCTGAACGGCGTCGTCGCCGGCCACCGATGTAAGAGAAAGGAATATGACGGTTCCTCATGATGCATAGATTTTCCGAGTAACCGGCAACTTTTTAGATCTTGTATATTGTGCCGCAAACGAAAGATTAAGTGCAATCGGGAGACACCATGCAGCAATTGCGTGAGATCTAAAAATGTGGCTTGTGTTTACGACGCCATGTCGCCAAATCCGCCCTCTAATCGAAGCAGTACGATGAATGCATCTGCAAATCATAGCAGCCAAATCCACCCACTAGAAAGTACTCGGATGGAGATCCAGATTGAGCAGGTCTCTGCATCCGATACCGTGATGACCGCGCCGAGTGGGCCAAGCCCATCCATGTCGGCCCCGTCTGATAAGGCGGTCCTAACCCCTTCAAGTCTACCTCCAACAGAGGAGCTTCAGCACCTGAGATCTCGAGTGAAGCAACTGGAGGAACAGCTGACCAAGACAGTCCGGGTCTCTGCCGGACCTGCGACCCCAAGTCCCAACTACAATATCAGTACAACCAGATCTCACTTCGCTGGTACATTTCATGTAGCTTCGGAGAGCGCCACTGCCGGTCAGCCACCAACCATCTCACGATCTATCATGCACAAAACAAGGGTATTTGGACAAAGTCACTGGATGAATGGAGTTGCTCAGGTAAGTTACTACTCTGGCTCATGCAAGACGGAGGACAGATGCTGACAGTGAATCATCAGTTTGCCGAGGTTCTTGATCTGATAGAGCCCCTTCTTCAAAAGGAGGGTGCGCGAGCAATGTCAAATTTGACCAGGTGCAAGTGGCTCGGCAAAACGATTAAAGCTCAGCGCACACCAGCATGGCCATGCCCACCAACGCGTGATCTCCCCCGTAAGGATGTTGCTGATGCCCTGGTTGGGAATTACCTCCGAACGTCCGAGTCCGTCTACCGCGTCCTCCATGTTCCAACATTCCAACGAGATTACGAGGATGCCATGAATTCGAAGAACGCGGAAATGCCATTTTTGATTCTTCTGAAACTGGCGATGGCAATCGGATCGTCAATCTATGATGATCGGTTTTCCATGAGAGCAACAGCCATCCGATGGGTCCATGAAGCGCAAACGTGGATTTCCGAGCCCGAATCCAAAGCCCGGCTCAGTCTCCAGTTTCTTCAAATTCACATTCTCCTTCTTTTAGCCAGAGAGATTGTCGGCGTCGACGGCGCTCTTGTGTGGGTCTCCACCGGTGAGCTGTTTCGCCTCGCTGTGTACATGGGACTTAATCGGGACCCAGAGTTCCTCCCCATAATGCCCTGCTACTCATCGGAAATGCGACGAAGACTCTGGAATACTATTCTGGAACTCGTTTTGCAATCGAGTATGGAAGCAGCAGGCCCTCCCCTCTGCTCCCTGGACGACTTCAACACCTTGCCACCCGGAAACTTCGATGATGAAGCAATTACCCAAGAAAACCCAATCCCAGCACCAGATGATGTGTTCACTGATGTATCTGTTGCCTTGGCCCTTCGCAAGATGGTGCCTCTCCGCCTATGCATTATCAAGATATTGAATGGCATATCCTCCCACGCCGGATACGAGGATACGCTTCGCCTTGACCAGGAACTACGTGTAGCTTCAAAACTGATCTCTCGTGAATTACAGGGATACAAAACCAAGGGGAGCGGTGGAAGAGTACCATCTGATTACCAGACACGAATCGTGGACTTCTTCATTCGGCGTTATATGACCGCGATTCACATGCCATTCTTCAGTGTGTCGTTGAACGAAACCCAGTACGCATTTTCGAGAAAGGTCGTCATCGAGACATCGCTGAAAACATGGTGCACGATCTTCCCCATGTCATCGGCCATGGCAAGCCATTCTCAAAATAATGCTTTGCCTTTGGAGACTGATGAACTGTCTCGACTTGCACTTTGTGGAACTGGCACCTTCCGCACATCTTCCATGCAAGCCGTGTTCCTCATCGCAGCCGAGCTCAAAACGCAGGTTCAGGAAGAGACCTCCACCTTAGGTCCGATGTCCCTCCGCCGTGATCTTTATTCCGTCTTGCAAGAGGCCAAAAAGTGGTCTCTGCACTGCATCGAAGCAGGTGAAACAAATATCAAAGGATACTTGTTTCTCTGTCTCGTTTGTGCACAGATTAAAGGATTGATGAACGGTCTGTCGAGGGAAGAACTTCCCACTGTACTCCTAGAGGCAGCAGAAGAGGCGGAGGCCGGGTGTCTGAGCATCCTGGAGGGCAAGATCGATTCCGCGACGATTGATGTAGAAAGACAGGATGATATGGCAATGGACCCGGTATCCGAGATAATGGCGGACTGGAGTTTGATGGTGAGTGACCCTTCCCATAGAAATCTTGATTCCTGCTAATACTTAGAAGATGCCCGACACCCACTTTTATCTGGGGGACTCTGGTAACATGGACTGGATGACGATGGATTCGCTGGCGGCATGCGCATCATATTCAATTGATGGCATTTGAGATTATTGTGTGGCCTAGATGGCCCTTGCTATTGTGATACCCAAGGAGATAGCTGCACCCGAGAAATAACAGTTAATGGCTATGACCTAAAGGAAGTTCTGTAGTATTAGACCGACATCTCTTCGGCTTTGGATTTGAAGCGCGACGTGCTGCAGTAAATTCAATCGCAAATAGTGTAATCTGAAAGGCTTCGAGGGGTCAATATCGACACAGAATTTTGTATTCCATAACAGCAATAAATCGCAACACGTTGAGGCCGTGATGCACTCAGCTGATTCAAGTTCTTCATACAAAAAGTAACCCTGGAAGATGAGGGGCTTGTATGTACGGAATACCACTGGGCAGCGATCTCTGCTCCGGATGAACACTTGCATACCCGCATTTATTCAAAGTCTTTGATTGGGCAATTGTAGGTGGCCGTCATGCTAACTAGTAACCACTAGTAGCAACACAACTTTGAATCAAGCTGCCCAGCTGAGCTGTGGGTCAAGATCTTCAAGGTTTGCAGCAACGACCCCGATCGCCGAGGGAAATAAATACTAGACAATGGTCGCAAATGGCCAGAAATTCCTGTACAGAGCACTCAAGTATGATTTATGAGTAAATCTACTCCGTGAATATTCTTCACACTTCTTTGAATCATTAAGCGATTTATCAAAATTGCATGTGCACCATATCCCAGCTGTCTGTACAAACGCCACATGATGACACATCCAAAGTGGTACAAACTCCATCCAACGCGAGGGGGGTCGCGAAAAAAAAGAAAAGGTAAAAAGCAAAAAAGCAAAGCAAAAAAAGATTGAACATTTCGGATGAGGAAAGACAGTAGCGAGGACTACGAGCGCAATACTCCGTATAGTTAAGCTCATCCTCTTTCTTTCTGTAAGACCGTAGGAAAGAGTTCACAAATAGCCAGCCACTGATTCGGATTTTTGGACCGCCATCTATCTTCTCCACATGAATTTATTCCCTCCTGAGCTCTACGCTTCAAGTTGATGGTTTATTTCGAGCTGAGCCCAATGACCTCGACGAACCCGACGAGCAAACTTGACGAACGAGGGAAAATCCCCCCCTCAAAAAACGCCACCATGTCCCTTCTTCCCTTCAGCTCCCCACAGAGACGCATGTTCAGCTGTGTGATATCCTTGCTGCCAGCTGCGCCTTTCCCCACCGCGACCGTGTGGTTTGTTTTTCCCACGCCAGTCTTGCATTTCAATTGCAGCCAGAAATAATACCCGACCGGACGATCCACTCGAATAAAGCGTCTGCATTGACCAGCTAGCGAAAGCAATTATGACAAGGTTACACGAACTATCTGACCATTGGCATATGTACATATGTGCATGATGCATTCGAGGATGCGCAGAAGATGCGCCACGACCAAGCCAAGCTGCGCTGTCAAATCATACATATGATGGATTGGATTTCTCTTAAGACTCGGTGATCTGGTCGCAACGCGAATATTTTCCTGGATCTTCTTTCGTTCACCACCCACCGATAGGTACTCTACTAAAAATCCATCATGACCGTGACAAAGTACCCCGAGTCTGAAACAGATGTGTGAGTTCTTTAAAGTCGCATCCGTTTGTTTTCGCAATAACTAACAGTGCGACTTTTCCAGGCTCATTATTGGGGCTGGCCCTGCCGGCCTGATGGCGGCATACTGGATGGCTCGCTATGGGGTGAAAGCTCGCATCGTTGACAAACGCGCGGAGAAGGTAATGCTCGGGCATGCAGACGGGCTGGTGCCGCGTACATTGGAGCTGTTCGATAGCTGTGGGTTCAATCATCGGGTTCGAAACGAAGGGGTTGCAGCTGTTATTTCAACTTATTGGGTTCGTTTAATTGTGCCCTTGAAGCACGTTGGACTCGACTAATGGGTCTGTGAGTGAATAGGGCCTCAACGAGGAAGGGAAGCTTGTGCGCCAAGAGCATTCTGGCGAGAATACAGAATCGCGTATGCCTTTCGTTCATACGCTTTTGGGACAAGGCCGGTTGGAACAATTCATTCTCGATTCTATCCACGAAAATTCGTCCATCAAGGTCGAGCGAGGCGTTGTTGCCGAGGGATTGAATTTTAATGAACTGGACCAGGAGGATCACAGTGCTTACCCTATCACTGTTCAACTTCGGACTCTCAATCATGAAAAGCCAGTCAATGGGGAGGCACATTCGCAGAATGGGCCGATCAAGCTAGAAAATGGTATTGTAAATCGCCAACCTTCCGACGAATCGAATGGTGTCCCACCGCAAATCCAGAGGGAGGAGAAGGTCGAGATTGTCAAAGCGAGATACCTACTTGCATGCGATGGGGCGCGCAGTTGGACGAGGACCCAGATGGGACTCCCCATGGAAGGATCAAGCACCGAATATGTCTGGTAGGTAACCCGTGCCCCCGAAGTCCACTGGTGTCACTAGCTAACTTTTACCCAGGGGTGTGGCTGATATCGTCCCTATCTCCAATTTCCGTAAGTGATTCATCCATGATGGGCATCTTAGTACCATAATAACCAAGACCACCTCAGCCGACATTCGCCGCTTGGCTATGGTGGAGAATGCTGCCGGTTCGATCTTGATAATTCCCCGTGAACGGAACCTCATGCGCCTCTACGTGCCAATGCCAAAGGGTCAAGATACACAGACACCCGACGCAGAAAACGGCACAACCAACGGTCGCCGTGATAAATCTACTTTCACCCCCGACGATCTCCGAAAATCGGTCCAGGCAATCCTTAGTCCTTGGGATTTCGATTTCAAGATTTGCGAATGGTTTTCTGCCTATGGCGTCGGTCAACGAGTCGCCTCGACACTATCTCGAGAGATCCGGGTCTTCCTTGCGGGCGACGCAGCCCACTCACACTCGCCAAAGATCGGAATGGGAATGAATATGAGTCTACAGGATGGCTTCAATCTCGGCTGGAAATTGGCACTGGTGACACAAGGAGGCGCCTCTCCTTCTATACTGAACACTTATAATGCCGAGCGACTGCCTTTGGCGAAGATGCTGGTCGAATACGATCGGCAAATCTCGTCACAGTTTACAAAAGACGAAAACGCGTCCGAAGACATACAGAAGACGGACGCACGCACGATCCATCAGGAATTTGAAGATTTCTATGAAGGACGCAAGGCTTTCTATCCTGCCAGCAATCTTGTCCACAAGCTCAGCAGTGAGAAGGAACAGAAGTTCCAAGGCCTCGTCCCCGGAGAGAAATTCCCTGTTCGCAAGCTTCTCAACCAAGCCCGTCTTGATACGAGATGGACAACAAACATATTAGAAAGTGATGGGCGGTTCCGACTTGTCGTTCTAGCGGGTGACATACGCTTTCCAATGCAAAAGGAACGAGTTGATCAACTCGGCAGCGTCCTACCCTCCATTCTCAACCGATATGTCGCACCCATCAGCCAATTTGACGGCCCAATCAATACGTTGACCATCCACAGCAGTCCCTGGGACGAGGTTGAGTATCACGATTTCCCGGAGGTATTGAGACCCTTCGATGAAGTCATGGGATGGGCTTATGATCGTATTTGGTCTGAGAGGGCATGCACCTACGACTCTGAATGTGAAGGCAAAGCCTATGAGAAGTGGGGAGTCGATCTTGTTCGGGGTGCTGTGGCCATTATTCGCCCTGATCAGTATGTTGGATGGGTGGGCGAATTAGAGGATACCGCGGGCATGACGAAGTACTTCGACCAAATACTCACGAAAATCTCAGCCGGAAAATAATGTCAAATAATATGACAGTAGCTGTTTTTGTATTGATTAATCTATGCCAATCTTCCCGCATCTACCGACACGTACGATGATATATACTTCAAGATGATATATACTTCAAGAAGCCATATATCTGAACCTCCACCAGACCCTTAAAATATGGCAAAGTGGTAGCTCTGTTCCTGGCCCTCAAAGAGTACCGCAGGAGGTTTGCCATAGCGATCTAAACTGGGTAGAACCAGCATCAGGGAGTCTGAAACAATTTTCACAAAAGGGCCCGTATTAGTTCCTTTACGGCCTCCTCAATGTACCTCCCTATAATATACAACACCTTTCGCTGTTAGCAGACAGCACTAGTAACTGCCGAAAATAGAACAGCAGGTTGACTCAGCGAGGACTATATCAAAGTAGATTAATTCGTACAGTCTCATTCGCACCTCGGCTTACCTTCTAACTCACCCTTAATTACTATCCTCCTCTAAAGCACCAATGTAAAATCTAATACTCAGAGCATTACAGTAGAGCAAGAGTAGAAAGCACAGGCCATGCCTAGCGATTAAAAACCATGGCAGACCCAAAAATCGTGGCTTTTAGCAAAAGTAGTATTTTGGAAGCGCTTTTTCCTTACGTAATTTTCCCTTAAAGTCACATCAGTCTTTTATGATACAAATACTTTGCCTTAACGCAGTCGTACTACTTACCTATAATACTTCAAACTACTCAGTCACAGTAGCCAGATACTCCGGTAAGCAGTCCAAGGCTTCCAGCGTGGCTAAGAAGTCACTACAACAGAAAGGATATCGACGCAAGATATTCCTAGAAAAGAAAAGTCATATGAGTACAGCCAGTTATGCGGCGCAGATATATGCCTAGGCATTCAGAGTCGAGAGTCAGGGGACAAATTTTTTTTTTTCAAAAAAATGAGAAAATAAAGCAAATACTAAATATCTGAGATATTTATTTTCTCCGCAGATACGTTGGGATTTTGGTCCTTTCTTAGTCCCCATCTGATATGCATCGAGAGGCTTCGATCATATTCAATACATATACTTTACCTCTCTGTTCCCTAGAGTCAATTCTGGTTGGATAGCCCGTCCGTCTCCACTTTGTCATTAGATCATTAACTAACTACAAAGGCGGTCCAAAAGTTTGAAGACATCACGCTATTTTTTTAGCACGATTTTTGCCTCACCCCCAACCTGTCTTCTTCAACTGCCCCCTACACCTTCAAAATACGTCGGTTGGCACTGAAATAAGTGGCAACCGAAGGCTAGGAGGTGAGCTTTCATCTGAGGCCCACACAGCTATTATATAGGCTTATGAATATGGTATATCGCCTACTAAAATAGCTGCTGGGTTCAACGTTGCACGCTCAACAATATACTCTACAATCAAACGATTCCGAGAGCACTAAACACTTAAATCACTGCCTTTTTTAGGTACCCCTAAAGTCTATAGGTACTCTACTATCAAATATATCTGTTTACTTACATACCGTAAGCCTTAGCTAAGCCTTAGTAAGCTAAGCGCACATACCCAGTCATCCATCTTGATCAACAATTAAGCAATTCCTATATTTAAAATTCCTCTAGCGCTATCAAGCAAGACATTATATCCTAATTTTGAAGGAGAACGCCTACAAATAAGTCTGATTTTGCTGAAATTAGAGGGCCGAACGCTATAATTCCTAACTATAAAGCTTTATATTTTCCGACGAATACAGCGTTCAACATATCCCTAACTTAAACGGCCAATATATTACCCGGTTTAGAGGAGAAGCTTACTAGTAGGGAATAGTGTAAGTTAAGGTTTATATAAAGGATATTTATTAAATAGTATAGGCTAGAATATAGCTCAGAGGGTATGCAAAACTCATAATTATAGAGCGTAACTTTTCAGAAGGACAGTAAACCCAAAACCCAATGGGTTAAACCCAATAACCCCAGTGGGTACCTATTTTAACCTATTTTTACATAATTCATTCACAATTTTTATGTAGTATATTTCAATACTTAATTTATATCTTTTTCCTAGAAGGATTTAGATACTAGGATCCTATATATATATATTGTAATGGGGGGATTCCGCTCTCAACACCGGTATCCCATAGTCAGGTGATTGAGGCCTTAGTAACAAGGCAGCCATTTGGTTTCGTGAGAATAAGTAGCGTTCGTTCCATAGCATCAATAACAACATACATGTTCCCCCCTTATGAAATGTTCTACTGAGGCTGCTGAGGTTACGGTATCGATATACTGCTCATGAAAGGTTCTGTTATTCGTTCTATCGTTCCTCTCTAGCTCTCGCTTTGCCTACGACTCTCGTGCACTCTGCGAGTGTGATGGGTTTGGTTCTCTTGCAATCGACCCGTCCGCTTGACAGACTGCCAGCGAGCATTCCCATCTTACAATATATATATAGTATTAATTATTATATATTCAAATTTTAGGACTAAAATAGGTACCCACTGGGTTCCCAAATGGGTTATAGAATTGGACCCAAACCCCATTTTGGGTTGGGTTGGGTTGGGTTGGGTCCCGGTTATAATGGGTTATGGCGATGCCTACTTCGGACAATGCGTAACATACGAGCAAACAAAATTCCCTTCCAACTCAAATTTGTGTGTGTACTGATAAGCCGCTGAAAGTCCCGAAGGACAAACGGGAAATATTCTTTAGAAAACGTCATTATTGCTCATTAAAATTTCAATCCGTGGATAGGACCTTGGGGAATGCGATTAGAGTTTGGGTCATCAACTCCGATGGAGTTTTAGCGCCCGGCTGCTTTTTTGTCAAGTTCTCGCTTGTTCCGGGAGGATTCAGGCTCGATGCTTTCAGCCACAACTGTGACGTATATGGAGAGTCTCGGCATGATGATTTCCATACTTGGAAATGGCTTCGTCTTCAAAAAAAAAATTGAGACTCATTTGTTCAACTTCCAATAGAAGCGACCAGGCGAGTGTAAAGGGTGCATTTGATGGGGTAATGTATTGTAGGAACAGTTCATCTTGCTGCTATTCCTTATTTTGCGGTACGGCTTATTAAACCCAGAGCGCATGACCCCACCAATCCAGAGAATGAGACCCCAGATAACAAGGTTTATTGGCAAGAGAGCGCCACATTTTACAACAAAGAGCGTTTGATGTGGGGGAATTCAATGATGGAACTCGTAGATGAATCTAGATCTGACGAAATATGCCGGTCATAGTCCATATCATTGACCACACTATAGGTAAGACAGAGACCGTATCCGGGTAGCAATTTGGCTATAAAAACTTGGTCTAGTCCTATCCGAATCACTATATTAATTGATTTCCAACCAAGGAAGATATCAGTGACTCTACCCTTACAGCTATTATGTCTGCCACCACGGATCGCAACCCTGTACGAGACCAAGCTGAAAGCGATGCCTGGTTTCCATCCCCTTACTCGCTCACCCAGTATACGTCTTCTAAGACCGACTTTGACGGAGCTGATTACCCTAATCCTTACAAAGGTGGCAAATGGAAAGTCCTTCTCATTGCATCGCAAGAGCGTTATCTCGAGATGGCTGATGGCGAGTTTTTCTCCACTGGTAACCATCCAGTAGAGATGCTATTGCCTATGTATCACCTCGACGCTGCAGGCTTCGACATCGATATTGCGACTCTCTCTGGTGACCCCGTGAAGTTTGAATTGTGGGCCTTCCCGCAGGAGGACAAAGCGGTCAAGGAGATATATGAGAAATACAAGTCCAAAATACGCAAGCCCCTCAATCTTCATGACGTATGGGGCAAAGGCTTTACCCAACAAACGCCTTATATCGCTGTATTCGTTCCCGGTGGTCACGGCGTGTTGAACGGCGTCCCTTTCTCAGCAACCGTTGGCAAAGTTCTTCGCTGGGCACATGATAACCAGCGTTTCCTCATTACGCTGTGCCATGGCCCGGTATGTATGCTTGCCGCCGACATCGACAAGCCTGAGGGTAGCAAATTTATTTACGATGGTTACAAAATTGATCTTTTCCCGGACTCGTTAGATCAAGGGACCAATGTTGATATCGGTTATATACCTGGAAAGATGGCGTGGTATGTTGGCGAACGGCTCCGCAAGCTCGGTGTCACACCTCTCAACAAAAGCATCAGCGGTGAGACCCACCGGGATCGGCTAGTCCTTACCGGCGATTCTCCGCTGGCGTCCAACAATCTAGGGAAGCTAGCTGCCGAGACTCTGCTCAAGGAGGTTTCTCGGTATTCGTGATTATGATTATTTCATAAATAGCATGGCCGGGCAGAGACACACTGGTAAGATCAGACGTCAGATAATTAGCCTCCATCTAAAAATCCTCGCCAGCTAATCGTAGAAAGACGCACCCCTAATTGCCGTCGGTGGCATCTCTCACAGGTTGATGAAAACCTTTGGCATTTTTGAGGAGCATACATCTTCCGAAAAAATGGCGGAGCAAAAAGTCCGTCGGGGAAGAGAAAGGGTAAATTTTTGACTTGAAAGGATGGAGATCATGCCGATCATAAGGTCGAGCCGATGTGCCAAATTGGAACAGGATCGGTGGATCCCCGGCCGCAGGAGATACTAAATCTGAGTCCCTTCGGTGCAGGGGAGAGGGGATAGTGGAGCGCAGTTTCAGTATAGTATTTTGCTGTCTTCGATCGCAGAAGCGACTGGTGCAATTTGTCGATGAAAGCCAGTGTGGGCTGTTATCGAAGTCAAAACTCTTGTATACATAGAATCGCATCAATTTAACCCGGGCATAATTAGGTCCAAGTCCACAAACAGGAGAGATAATCCACACTCCCTCTGGAGATCCATTGCTGCTTATTATTCCGCTCGGACAACTATCCCGAGGGATGACGCGGCTCAAAGCGGCAAATAAAACCTAATCGCTTCGAGATGAAGAAGATTACTTCCCCATCTCCTTCCATTGGACCAAATGACTTGCCGATCGGTGATGAGTTTGCCACGGCCCGAGGGAGTATACCCCGTCCCGCCTCCATGAGCTCATTGGAGTGCAAATGGCCACTCCATTGACACAGTGCCCCGTCGACCGAAGGGAAATCAGTTATGTGACCGACCAATCTTGTCTCGACAATCCGGATTCTCAGCCATACCTATAGTGGGATGATCGGAGTAAAAGGTAAACAAGTGTTTCAATTTTCAATTCCAGGCCCAAGCTAACTTGATATTCAATAGTTTCGCTTCACCATTCGAAGGCCAATGTTTCTCTAGAAGTTCTACAATAGTCCACCAGGACAATGTTCTCTGCAGAGAAAGGTACAGACGCCTCCTCGAATGACAGTGACAGCGATAACTACTTCACCGATCCACCGGAGGATCTAGAAGATCTTACGTCGCGGTATTCCGGCGAAACCGCCATCCAAGATGAAACACAACAACCATCACCCCGAGTGCGATTCCGGTCCACAGGCGGATTGCTACAAAATGCGCCACGCCGACACGCCGAGGCCGAACAAGACCGTTCCCAGCGCGAAGGACTACCGCATCGTCCGACAGCGCCTTACGCCCACGGATCAGAAGATATAGCAGACACCCCGCTAAGGGAGAGGGCGCCGCAAGCGGGTCAGAATCAGAACCAGGATACAGGTGCGAGAAAAGAAAAGGTCGAGGGACCAGCACCAGAGCCGAAGCCACCAGGTGCACCGCAAACCACACGCAATCGAATCCAATCAACAGCAGACAAACTCAAGGGCCGAGCAAGGATCTGGGCTGAGCGAATGGGACGATCCCCAAACGGTGGCGACGATTTATATTCCGGCGTATACCACAGTGACTGGGCGACGGGTGGTCAACCACCAGTGTCAGATGTCACGGACAACAAGCACAAGTCGGAAGAGGAAAAGCGACAAGATCAAGCAGAAAGCAGTTCCGAAGCGCATCGACTGGTACGAGACCTAACGCAAGACCATTCCGCCAAGCGGCGCAAGATGCGCCCCAAACCGTATCCGCATGGTGGTAACGACTTTATTGGAGGTGAGGATGAGTATAGTCAAGATGAAGGACTACGATATCGCTCTGGTGGAGGTGGGATTTTGTCGCAGCTGATCAAGTTGAATGGCGGTGGCCAGGATGGGGGAGATAGGTCGCGCACAAATAGTCAAACGTCCGTCTCCTCTGTCGATTCCAAGTCTCGAGGACAAGGATCGACGGCAGGAACACCGTCTCAGCCTGCAGCTGGGACAACTACGCCCAAAAGAGAGCCAGTGAAATGGTATAAAAGGCCGCCTAACTCATCACAGTCGATTCTTAGCGGAAAGAATGTGAGTTTAAGCGGAGCGACCACGCCAGTCTCGAATGAAGTGATTTCCGCGGCCGAGAAACGCCGGGGCAAACAGTCTGACCGGAAGGTGAGGTTGGAAGATGAGATTCGAGTCACGGTGCACATTGCCGAGATCATTTGTCGACAGCGGTATATCATGCAGTTGTGTCGGGCACTGATGTCCTTTGGTGCTCCAACCCATCGACTCGAAGAGTATATGCAAATGACGGCGAAGGTATTGGAAGTGGACAGCCAATTTCTGTATCTTCCCGGGTGCATGATAATGTCTTTTGATGATCCATCTACGAGAACGACGGAGATGAAGCTTGTTCGCGTCGCGCAAGGGGTTGATCTAGCACGACTATCTGATACGCACCTCATCTACAAAAATGTCATTCACGACGTGATAGGCATTGAAGAGGCTGTTCAAGATTTGGACGATGTAATGTCTAAGAAGCCTCGTTACCCAAAGTATATTATTGTTTTCGTATACGGGGTTGCGACCGCGACAGTCGGGCCATTCGCATTCAATGCTCGGCCGATCGATATGCCGATCATCTTCATTAATGGTCTACTTGTCGGGCTGATGCAACATGTGGCTGCACCTCGATCGGCACTTTACTCGAATGTTTTCGAAGTGACCTCGACAGTAGTGACCTCCTTTCTAGCAAGAGCATTTGGAAGTATCCCCAAGGCCATCGTGGATGGCAAACGACAATACCTCTTCTGCTTCTCTGCAATCTCCCAAGCCTCAATCGCACTTATCCTGCCAGGGTTTTTGGTCCTTTGTAGTAGTCTCGAACTACAATCCCATCAGATCATCGCGGGCTCTATTCGAATGGTGTACGCAATCATCTTCTCACTCTTCCTCGGCTACGGCATCACGGTCGGAACAACCATCTATGGACTCATGGACAAGGGCGCCGTATCAGACATCACCTGTCCGAAGGATGGAGCGTTTTCAAACCCCTACGTCCAACGCTTCCCTTTCGTCGCCATCATGACGGTCTGGCTACTCATCATCAACCAGGGCAAATGGAAACAACTTCCTCCAATGACGATCATCGCGCTGAGCGGCTACACGACGAACTACTTCAGCACAAAGCGACTGGGGTCGAACTCGCAAGTAGCGAACACTGTCGGGGCATTCACAATCGGGATCATGGGGAATTTGTACAGTCGTTTATGGCACGGACATGCGGCGACTGCAATTCTTCCAGGTATATTTATTCTGGTACCGTCTGGTCTGGCCGCGACGGGAACCTTGATCTCCGGCGTCCAGTCTGCAGATGAGATTCGACAGAATGTTTCGTCGCACGAGGCCGCTAGTACTGCGCCCGGGGCGGGTCTTGCATCTGCTAGTTCGGTGTTTAGCTTGGGATTTGGCATGATTCAGGTGGCTATTGGGATTACTATTGGACTGTTTATTGCAGCATTGATTGTTTATCCGTATGGGAAGAGGAGAAGTGGATTGTTTAGCTTTTAGCTGGACGAGACCTCGTATTCATGGTGAATTACGGAGTAGTGGCAGTCAATTCCATATATATCCATATTCCAAGTTTACTAGTAGTGCCCGAGTAGACCACGTATATCCCGAGTCCAAGAATTTTGCTATTGATGCAGTGTATTGCTAGCCCTCGAGGAGGTCGAGAGACACTACTAGTAGTTACAGACACCTGTCAAACCCCCAAATAAACTAGTATTCAAACCATTCAATTGAACAGATTCTGGCTATAACTGCACTCTTGTATCTACTACTAGTATACTGCTATTCTACCAAACCAACAACAAAACCCTAAGCCATCCCGACATCCCATGCAAATCAGTAAAACAACACTAGATCTTGTCTGCGTTCTCGCGTCCCCAAACAACCTGAGCGGGGACACATCTTCATTTCCCCAAACAAGCCTTAGCCTCAGGATCGACAAGCGAATCAAAACAGCGCTACCGCGCATGTCGCGCCGATCGCAACGATGTCTGGCCAGGCACGATCGGAAATGTCCGACCGAGAGAAAGTCGGCAGGACAGGGTGGTATTCGGATGGACTAGCTGATTGCTAGCTGGGACAATTCGAAGTTCAAGTTTCAAGTTTCGTGCGATGGCCAACAAGGTTCGAGTTGTGCCAGCCTTGGAGTACATCGGGCCAACCTTGGTTGGATCGGGGATTAACGCAGGAACCAGACGGAAGGATATAAATATCAGCCATTCGTCACACCTGAGTCACCTGGCGCTCGACTTGAAAAATTGAACTCATCAGTGATTCCTCCACTTCTCCACGAAGCAAGCAAACAAAATGGTCAACCTATCCCTCATCTCCCTCCTCGCGGCCGCAGCGGTCGCAACAGCCTCACCAACAGCTCTATTTAATCCGTCACGGCGAAAAGCCCGACGACGGAAACGGACTCAGTGCCGCGGGTGTGCAGCGCGCACAATGTCTGCGAAATGTGTTCGGATCGAGCTCCGAGTATAACATTGGATATATTATGGCTCAGACGCCTAAGAGTGGTGGGTTGCCCGAGAGAAATGAGGGCAAAACGTGGAGCAGTGCTGATTTAATGTAGATGGAAAACGTCAACGACCCCTCGACACCGTCCAGCCGCTTGCTACGGACCTCGGCCTGACGGTTGATACATCCTGCGACCGGGATGATCCGGATTGCGTGAAGGATGTGGTTGATGGGTATAGTGGAAGTGGCAATATTTTGATTTGCTGGGAGCATGATGCTTTGACGGATATTGTTAAGGAACTGGGTGATAAGGATGCGCCGGATTATCCTGATGATAGGTTTGTGTGCCAGCTGTAAAAGCCGTGAGTAGGGTTGGAGTTAATTTGCTAACTTGGTGTACAGCTTCAACATTATCTGGACCGACCCTTCACCTTATGATTCCATTACCGCCCAGACAAGCGAAAACTGCCCTGGTCTGGATAGCTAAATTGCTGCATTACTGCATTGCATTGTGAAGACCGATATGATATTTACGCATGCTGGCTACGAGATATTATGAAACATCGAACAGAATTTGAATGTGAATAAACTGATCAACGATCATTGTCTTATTCTTTCATTGGATACATTAGAATGGCTAGACAATAACACCGCTCATCAAGATGTACATTGTATTGTATGAAAATGGCCAGCATCTATGACAATAAACACCATGCAATGCAAGCCAGGCGACCAGTCGCCTGGGCAGTGGAATATCGAAATGTAATTAGTCTATCCATCCTATCGAGCATCGACGGCCGGTTTCTGATCCCGCCAGACAGCGTAACCGAGTAACTCTAACAGGTGGCGCTCGCGATGGGTAAAAGTGCGCACGCCTTCGTCCCGCAGGAACTTCTGTGCATGGCGAAGAAGGATCGGGGCGTGAGTGGTTGGAACAGATAACTGAAGAAGAGATTCGGAATTGAGGACGATTTGGTCGGTTGGCGAAGGGAGGGAATTGAGGAGGATGCGAGTCTTTTTATCGCGGGAAAGTGAGTCGCAGTATGTCTCGAACATTCGGTTTCGCACAATGAACTGCAGGATGGATGAAAAGGAGTCTCGCTGGACGATGGTTTGGGAAAGGGGATCTTCTGGTGCAGCGAGTCCCTTCTGCATCGCAATGACATACTCCAAGTCTTCCAGCAAGGGTGTCATCTGCATCCGGGGAAGCGAAGCATGATCCAAGATAGGACGGTCGTAGCCGAGCTTCTTTCTCCAGAAATAGTTGCACAAGACAAGAGAGATGATACAAGGGATCAGGACGATGTATCCCCACCAACGTTCCGCAGTGACCATCGACGCGGCACCGGCCACCAATCCATTGATTCCGTTAACAATCGCATGCCAATGAAAGCGTCGAAAGCGGGTATGCAATCGGCGACGAATCTCATCATCCGGCTCGCTCGCCTTGACAGCAGCGTCATGTTGATAAAATCTTTGAATCAAACACACCGACCAGACAGCATTGGCGAGTCCAAACAGGGCTGCTAGTCCATTGCCGACATAGCCAGAAAGAAGGTTGCTAGCTTTGTAGACTTTGGGATCCGCACCACCAATAGCCATTAGCGTACCGACGCCGACTAGCATCGACCCAGCACCCATGAGAACATCCATGACAATGCGGTCGACGACCTCGGTGCCCATCTCCCTGAATATCACGCCCAATCGACTCCCCAGTAACCTCGTAATATCCACATTCTTGCAGTGATATTCCTGGAGCCGGGTCAAGTGTTCCCGCTCCGCCTGAAGAAGTTTGACATTGCGATAACTCAGTCTAAAATCCTGAATCGCGACGAGGACCATTCCCAACGCCAGCGTGCCACCAATCCCCATGAGTACCGCAGCAAATTTCGGGACCGGAATTTCGTTCCAGACATTTGCTGCAAAGTCACCAGCATTGGCAAGTTCGAGGTATCCAACACTGGCGAGGAGGCTATTTTTAAACTGTTGTTGGTGGAGTAGACGGAAGCGACCGCGGCGCCGGACTAGGATGATCTGGTCTTCGGAGGATTCGAGGGATTCTTGCCAGGTAATATCACTGGCTTCCCGGGCGAGTTTCGGGATGGGGGTTATTGGGGCGAGTTCAAGATCCGATGGCGAGGTAGATGAGGTGGTTTCTGATGTTTTTTGGAGAGATTTTGGAGGGAATTGGGGGTGGGATGGAGAGGACAGGGGGGCGATGAGGGTATCGGAGGAGGCCCCGGGGGTGGCCATGATGTCGTCGGTCGTGAATTGAACCAGTTCACATGTCTCACGACCGACAGAGGTGTGGAGGTGGATAGAAGAGGAAAAGAGGAAGGGGAGTAGAGAATTGAAGAGGGGGTCAGAAGAGACGAGGGACGACAGGGGAAGAGAAGGGGAGAAGTGAAGTGAAGTGGAAGTGGAAGTTGGCAGGGGAAAAGGCGGAGGAGGAGAGTGTGGGGCGTAGCCGCGTAGGGCTGAAGACCCGCAGTCAGCCCTACGGCTTGGCTATTTTAGTATATTACATATACATAGTTTACATAGTAATATACTAGTATGTATATCTAGTGCTTACCAGTATTACCGGGTTTGAGTGATTCTGTTTTATATTGATTGGATGGATGAAGTCTTCCACTGGTTCTGGCTACACCAACAGCACTACTCCCTGCAGTACGCAGCCTATAGACCCACTACAGGCAGCCAAATTGTACCGGATAAAATATGTATTACCAGTACATCATTTCTGCGCGCTTTGTCTTTTGTGAGCTTGCCTCTCACTGGCTTGTTGTTGGTTTTTAGGAACTTTAAATATAAACCCGCAAAATTAGAATTGTTGAGTCTTAACAATCCTAGTCTCTTAACACATCCGAGATCCAAGAAAAGAGACTGCCCCGGACTTGCATCCCAAAGCAATCAAAGTGTCATTGTTGCGCATCGTAGTCTTAAAAATCCTGAGGACGGAACTCAGGAGGAGACCAACCCCCTTTCTCGCCAGTTAATGCAATCCACTGCCCGTCCTCAACGGTCAAGGCTATTTCAGACACTGCATGGTACTGAGTACCCGCTCCCCTTGTGGCTGTTGGTCCACCATCTGACTGTTCTGATTGTCCACCCTTAAGAGATACGCCTGTGCTTCGCCCAACACTCATTGAACTCAGGACTTTGCGAAATTTACTGCCCTTTATCGAGGCAAGTAGTCTCACATGCAGGAGATTCATCGAACTAATATCTTCCCCAGGTTTGAGGGCACCAAAGTCTGTTCGTAGATGTATCTCCTCACTAGTCTCGTGGGAACTCAAGTTCAAGTTTGTTTTTGAACAAGGTTCGCCTTCAAAAAAACTCTAGATAAGTGATCTCCCCACCGATTGACGCCTAATGTCGAAGATGTGCACCGGTTGAATAGTCCCAGAGTACGACGTTGTCATTTACGTTAGATGCCAACCAGCCATTGCGCGCGAATGCTAAGTGTACAGAAGATAAGCAGAGCACGGGAACAAATAGAAATGGCGACTTAAGGGTCCTCTTTGGGGCACCAGCTGCTGTGTCACAAATTAATATCGTCTGATTCTCCGTGCGTATCTGCGCCAAAAGCCGATTGTCAACAGAAAATGCCATCGCGTCAATCTCTCCGCATAAGCCTTTCAGCCCGGGCGCCCAGATACGATAACCAGACTTTTCCCTTTTGCTATTCCATCCCCCCGCCAGATGCTAGCAAACTCTCCCGATTGTAAGGTGCCAGAGCCATCGAATTCACGTAGGTCCGATGGTCCAATTCTCGGATTACCTTCGTCAGTGTCAATTTAGATCGCCTATGGTATTTGATATAAATTGGGACCAGTATCTCTTTTTGTTGTCATCAATCAAGTCTAGTACAAATACGCGGTATACTCAACTCTCGACTTCCGATATTCTTCTCTTCACTTTCACCTTGCTCATCGCTGCTGTTCAGCTGCAACCCCGGCAGCATCCCACCAAAAGTTTGCTCGGAAGGCAGTCTGCTGCGAGGTAAGGGAAATAAAATAAGCTCCCAAACCAAGGCTACCAGTATGACTGACAATTTCCCAGCTTGACTGCAAGGACGACCCTCCCTGCAACTAGAACCTTGAAAAGGAGGGATAAGAGCACGGCATTCTAGTACGGACTGAGGGTTATACGCATTGAATCTCTATGTCGCTTGTCCGAAGAAAAGGCACCGGTTGTTTGGAAATTACAATGGGCATTCTCCGCAGATGGATCATCGACAGGACTTTTTTCAATGGTTCATGTACTTAGACTCCTTATACCAAGGTTGACTTTTGACAGTTTGCCATCTTTATCTTATATTTGAAGCTGGCTGCTACTTACCAATTTGCGTTGTAAATTGTATCACCAGGGGCAATCGTGATGTCAACAACAAGTGGAATGCGAAAGGAAATCTGCTGATGCTTGGATGAAGCTTATTGAAATCCTTTGTGCTCCACGTAGTGCAATGACCATTCCGAGTCCTTCCCAAACCCAATATTTACTGCATGGAAGGGAAAAAGACCGACTACAGGAAAAGGTCAAAAAAATGAAGTTGAAAAAGTAATCTATGAGTTGGATAATTCACGCTCGCTGATGCAACAAGTAACTGAAAATGCAATCTAAGCTCTCTTAGCACTCTTCTCCTCGATCGGACTCTCACTCAGCGCCCGTATAAGTTTCACCCCGGCATCGGCCGTATCGTAAGAGTGGGCATTCCAGAACGCCGCCTCCCGATCCGACCCCTTGAGAACATCATCCTGAACCTTCTCCATCGTCGGAGATGGAGACCCATCCGATTGCGTCGTATCAGTCCCAGACTCGTACACATTGACCCGCTCATGGAAACGAACACGTTGTCGCACACGACCGGGCGAATTACCCGGTGATCCAGCCCGACCCGACGCAATGCCCATACTCATTTCGAAGAAATTTTTCCGCACGGCATGGCGGCAGGTTTCTTCTTGGTACAAAGTTTCCGCGAAGATCTTCTGCATGGCTGTAGCAGCGGTGAAGCGGATGGCTAGGTAGGCCTGTTCGGCGATGAAGACGGTAAGAAGAAGGGAGGAGAGGTGTACCTCTTCCATATTACCGCGGTAGATGTGGACAATAGCAGCGGTGGAGAGCGTTCCCATCCAAGCCAGGAAATCCAGTCCCAGCAAACAAGGACCGATTGAGTCTGCACGGATAGGCGGTGGACGTTGATTTTCGCGAGCGAGTTTGAAAAAGTCACCACGTAGCTCGAGCCAATTGTTTAGCAAGAAACCGAGTGGAACGAGTGGCCAGGCCACGCCGAACAGGGCGAGATATCCGAATTGCACGCACATCTCCAGGATGTCCTCTTCAACCTCGTAGCCGTCCGAGTCGGCTTCTTCACGGAGGCGTTGCAAAAATGGAGTTTCACCGGGCGGATCCAGGAGGAGAAGATCTGTGGCTTTGGAGAAACTGCGCTGGCGAGTCAATCCGGCCTTGCGATCTTGGTAATTGCGCCACTTTTGGTATAGCTTTTGCTTGACGTAGGGGAGGATGATCTCCTCGCAGAAGCTGAAGATCTGCGCTGTCATGGATAGGTAGATGACCTCTTGCTGGAAGCGAGACGCGTCGACCTGAAAGTCCTTGTGCGCCATCTCGATATTCAAACCCGCTCGCTTGATAATATCCAGCTGCGGGACAATTGTCTTGCCGAAGGGAACATAGACGTAGGCCGTCAAGATGGTCGGCAGGAAAGAAGTGATAAAGTTCATGACGAAGGTCTTCTGCGTCTGGGCCAGATCATAAAGATCTCTCGTGCGATAGTTCTCGTACTCCGTCAAGCGGGTCGCGATGCGCGTTAGCAGCGATGTGATAAATGGCAGCGATAGCGAGAAAATAATTGTAGGCGCAAATTCCAGAAAACCTTGGAATTTCCCATCATAAACCTCGGAGATAAATACCTCCGAAGCAAAGGTCACGATGATCAAGCTTCCCAGCGCAAATGCCGCGACCGAAGCAAACGGGATGAGTAAAAGTTGTCGCAGAAACTGCTTCCATCCAGGAAAGACATGCGTCACTTGGCCAGTAATCGGATCCTTGACCTCCTTCTCCCATTTATACTGCGGGCGATTGACCTTGAGAGCACCCACACCACGCACACCCCACCGATGCGCAAGGTCGAATTCGCGGACCTTCCAATACTCGACAAAACAGATACACCACACACATAGCGTAGACCCATATATAATCGAATAAGGCCCGAAATAAAGCCAGCCCACGATGCCCAGCGCGGCAGGTATAACCAAAGCAATGGAATAGCACTGGATAAATGCGAAATAAAAAGCAACTTTCTCGCCAAAGAGCGCGCGAATGGTATCGAGATCCCGGATGGTGAGGACGGTCTTCCTACTCCACGCCCTCAACAACTCTGTGCAGGCATCTTTATCATGTAGCGGGAATGAAGCGGTGATGCGCTCCCATTTGCCAAATTCAGGTGTTATTCCAGCGCCGCCGAGTTCTTTCGACCAGGTGACGGCGTGGTATATGGAGCGGATTTCCTCGGCGGGGGTTTCGGCGGCTGCGGAAATGTCGGTGGCTGATGGGAGGGTATGGGTGATGGCGTACATCCAATCCTTTACTCTATACATCATATCAGTATAAATCATATGGGATATTATTGGGAGTGTGCAGCGAGATGCTCTTCTGGGTGTATACCTTGACTTCTGAATCATTTTGCCAAGATGGTCCCTCGGGACACGAAGACAGACGAGGAGGGCTTTTCCATGACCATGACGGACCTGAACACGAAGACCAGCTTCGGTCAGATCGGCCATGAGAGTACGAAACTCTGCGATGGCATGGGATTGGTCTAGGGTGGGTTATTAGCATATGAGCTTAACTCCGCGGGGAAAGGTATAGCTATCGGACATACCTATGTCGCCGAATTCATATTGTAAGACCCAGTCGACGCCGAGGTTATCATTTTCAGAACTTTCAATGGAGATCCCGGCGAGCCAAGACATCTAGACATACGGAGAAAAGGTTAAGAAAAGACGGTGTGGGGGAGGTGGGAGAAGAAGTGAGGTTGGAAAGGAAAGGCGGGCGTGGAAGAAAGAAAAAGGCGGCGGGGAGACGCTAGCGATCGATCAGCGCTTAAGGGGAAGAGGATTATTATTACCTTTACGGGGTACTGGGGGATTATTATCATCATTATTACTCTAATTATAGTAAGAGTAATCAGATTATTATCATAAAATAGTAATTATGCTCTGTTCTATTCTATTCTGCCTGTTCTCCTTATCTCCTTACACTGCCTACACTGCGTTGTTGTGGTGTCTCATAGATCCACCTCAGCCCTACAAGGCGAAAAGCATCAGCTGCATTGCATGAGACATTTTTCCGTGACTCGCCTAGTGATGTACATTTTATAAGATGACACTGACTTCGAATAGCCCTTTATAACATCTCTATTCATCATTTGCACTCCCATTTCCTCACCATCCTCCTCTTCTCTCGCTTGCATCATTGTGGAACAATCTCTCTCACGCCCCACCGTGGAGAGCCTCCTGAGTGGCAGAAAAGGAGGAAGAACACCTGGCAGCGGTGAACCAGGCACAGGAATTGCTGCAGGATCGAAATTAGAATTTTCATACAGCGTAGCCTAGTCTATGTACGGGGTAGTAGAATAGGTACTGGAGACCGAACTTGATGTACATACACTCGGGTCCCAGCGGGAATGTCCCGAAAACAAGAAACACAACAAAAAAGAATCAAATTTCGGCAAAAAGTTGCTGCCTGCGCCAAGCCCAATCTAGAATCTCGCATCAGCTTGTCGGGTATTTTTTCCACGACGAAAAATGGGGGATCTCTGGTGCAGCAATTGCAATTGAAAGGGAATCAGATACACGCAGCATAGTGTTTAAACAATACCCCCCAAGTACCCCGTATGCCAATTGCAATTGTAGATACTCAACAGAGACTACGAGTACTCTCCTCGTCACTACGACCTCAGCCAAGACAAATGGCCCACTCATCAACGTAGGCACCCACATTCATTCGTCTTCCCTTTCTCCTTTCTTCTCCCCTGCAGCCACCCCCGTATATATGGCGATCTCCGATCGGCGACCGGGGTGACATCTTCAATTCCAATCACCTGGCACTTGGGCATTATCCCCAATATTCACAAAAATTCCCCATTCCCTTCGATCGCATTCCGCCAAGTCATTTTATCTACCACCCCACTCAGGAGTTACTAGTCTGCTCTTCTTCCGGTTCACTAGCAACTCGCCATGGCTCGTCCTGCTTTTCGTGGCAAAGCCACCGTCGGCCTCAGCGTGCTCCTCTTTATGTTCATGTTTTTACCCACTTTTCTCATCCTCTTGGCTGTCATCGTCTTTTTCGTCCTAGCGTATCCCCGGATCCGCAGGTCCTTCTCTGCCATTCGAGGGGATAGCATTGATAATTACTAACAATCTAGCAAGTCATCGTATGTATATATCCAATGCAATCCTTCCATCACATTTAAATAATGCTGATTCTATCAAAGATTCTGCTCTTCTCTTCCAAACCCCCAAGCTTGGTGCTGGGTGCGATTTCCTCCAGTCTCTCATGACTGCTCCCATTTTGATGGATGATTCGGGGCAATTCATTCATGATTTCATGTTCAATATAATCGACCAGGAAAATTGGCGAGTAGTTCGCGAGCTCTGCTTGATATTTAGATCATCCTGTATCTCTCCTGCTGGGGTACCAACTTGTACTCGTCGTGCGGATCTCATCCCTTGCTAGAGCCGGCGGACTCCGGAAATCACCACGCACCATCAAATCAGTGAACTTCTCCTTGGATGGAGACGAGGGACCCAATACTGATCTGAGATGGATCAACGGCCGCGTTCAAGCATATGAATAATGGCATATCCACCGTTACTAAATATAATTTAATACCGCGCCAACCTGATCACATCGCATTTCGTTTGTTCCAACTAGACAAATTCCCAACATAGCTCTTTCTACGCGCTCTCTCTCTCTGCTGTCCGCAAGGTCCTTTCACTTCGTTCTCGTTTACTACCTGAGAATCCATCTGCCTAGTGCCAAGTCTACGGAAAACTTTTCAGTGCCGACCATCCGATCCAATGTATGCCAAAACCAGACACAATTGGCTACCACAACCCACCTTCATCATAGTGGGTCGACGGGTAGGGCTGAGGGCACATGGGTCATGGAGAGATGGAGAAGGGGAAAGCAAAGAGCGAAAGGGGCCAAGACTTGGCCGAGTTTTCACCTAAATTACTCATTACTCATTTTGCTGCATTGCATTTCATTTCATCCTACTTCCTTGCATACCATCCCAGATCATCACATTTCGCTCGGCACTCTGTTGTACATACCGATGAAGACGTGCACAGCACCTACACTGGCACGACACAACGAGATAATCCCATCATACTACTATGAGCTAAGCTCTCTCATGAATAATAGCGCCTTGATCAGCGCCAAAAGAAGCCCACAGATGGCCGAGCAGCAAAACTGCCAAAATGTCAGCAACCAGCACCTCCTCCATCCCTGAAAAACTGGCGCAAATCAAAAAAACAATCCAACCGGACCGCTTCAGTTTCTTCTCCTCGGACACACTGAACACCAGCACAGGATCGTCATGGGATGAACTCTTCCCCGGCGGTAAAATCGACCACATCATTCAAGAGAAGACCAAACAGCGCCCCGACCCATCCCGACCAACCTGGTGGATCGATATGTGCGATGCATCGGAAGAAGATGTATCCCAGCTAGCGCAGGCACTATCAATTCACCCGCTCACGGTGGAGGATATTGTTATCCGTGAGCCGAGAGAGAAGGTAGAAGTGTTTAAGAATTACTACCTCATGTCCTTCCAGACCCTGGTTGACAATCCCAAGGAAGAAGAGGAAAGACCTGGGTTCCCCCATCCAGCCGAGATGTACATCCTTGTCTTTCAGTATGGTGTTGTGACTTTTTCGCCCAGCGGATGCCATCATATCAGGCGTGTTCGCTCGCGAATCCGCAAAATGCACGATCCCTTGATCCTGTCCAGTGACTGGATCTGCTACGCTCTGATGTAAGTCAAGTCAAGCCGAGTCCCACACGACGGTACAGGATGCAAGGCTAACGATGTCCACAGCGACGACATAGTCGACAGTTTCGAACCCTTCACCCGCTCCGTAGAACAGGAATCCGAAGCAATAGAAGATCAAGTCTTCATCGCGCGAATCGATGACGTAAAATCCCTCATCCCAACGGTCGACATCCTCCGCAAGAAAATCACCCACATCATCCGCTGTCTACACAGCAAAGTGGATGTCCTCAATGGCTTCGTGAAACGCTGCGAAGCCCCCAACCGCTCCCCCGTCTTTCCGGGCGGCGAGTTACTCCTGTATCTCGGCGACGTACAGGACCATCTCGTCACGACGTTGTCGACACTGGGCCATATTGATGAAATTATCGGTCGAAGTCAGGGGAATTGTTTGGCGCAGCTTAGTGCGTCGAGTTTGAGGGTTAGTTTGACTATCAATTCGGCACTGAGTAAGGTTACGGTTATCGCAACGATTTTTGTGCCTTGTCATCTTGTTACGGGGTTGTGGGGGATGAATGTTGAGGTTCCTGGTCAGGAAGACAGTGGGTTGGGGTGGTTTTTTGGAATTGTGGGGTGCTTTGTTGCGTTTATGGTTATTTGTTTGGGGGTTGCTGCTAGGTTTAAGTTGTTGTAGATGCCAGTGGATAGATGTGCTTTCGAGCTTGAAGTGCGGCATTATAGACCATTTTGGCTTACTTTCAATACCACTACCTTTATTGAAACTTGAAGTTCCAGTTCCATAATAATGCTAGTAATAGATGGATTCTATGGATATCATGTGGCGTCGGTGTTCGCATTGTTGGGCTGTAGTAGTCCCGATGACTCTGTGTCGTGGTGAGTCTGAGGAATATGAAAGTCAAAATCCAGCTCTCCGACCAGTTTCCGAACGTTACTGACTAGGTTAGCATTCCATAAAGCCAAACAGGGTTTACTATACTCACTCGATCAATTCCTGCAAGCTGAAACTCACAACAGACCTCAATACCTCCAAGGCTACAAATGCAGAGAACGACGGGTCTCCGATATGTCGAATACTCAACAGCTCATCGTCAATCTTCTGCATTTGCCGCGCAAGAGGGAACGAGTCTGGCGTCGAAAGATATGGCGGTAAGGGCTGGGAATTCATGATAGCAGCAGAAAGAAGGCACAGTAATGAGGTAATGTGGTGGGAGTTAAAATCCGCGGATTTCAAAGCGATTTCTGCCAATCGTGCCATCCATTGATCATCGCCTTTATGACCAGCGTGTTCAGATTCGAGAGAAAGCACGTCCAAGCATTGTGTCGTGTGTGCCATAAGTGACATGCTGGTCAAGATGCGCTGGATCTCGGAAATTATATCATCGTAGACTTTCTTCGGGAATTTGCCTCCGATCGGGGGCTCGAATGTACTAAAATGGCTGTGCACCCGGAGGCTGTTCAGTAGCATCATCTCCTCTTTGAATATTTTGTGTCGGGAAACTTGGAGCTGATAACCTGGCGAGCTCTCATCGTCAGTACTGCCTAGTCCACCACCAAACCAAAGCTCAATTGTCGTGTGCATGCAGCTATAGAATCTGGCCAGGACGAACATGCTTCGACCAAGGAGATGGCGGAGCTGAGACTTAGCTGTGATGGGGTATGGGAATATAACCCAGAAAAAGGATATTGCACATCCGGCTGCAACCGCTGCCAACTTGTAGGGTCCAAAAAGGTAAATGGGATAGTAAGGCTGGCCGTTGGACTCTGCGGCTTGTATGCCGAGTTTACGGACTTGTAACTCATAGCCAATGATGACATTCAAGGTGACGATTGAAATAACCGACGGGCCAAAGTACTGCGGGAGTTTGACGTAGAAGTAGTACTGCACTCGTTAGAATGGCACGATGTTAGGGATTTAGATCGACAGCTTACCTCGAACACATTTGCCAAGTAGAGAAAAACGATCACACCCGCTGTCTTCCCATCAACAATATACCATACTATCAAGCTTAATACGAGCGAAATCACCGTTGCGACAATACGCGCTACGAATCCAAACATAGTCTGCCCACTTGTCGGGTTCATGCCAATGACAATGACAATCATCGCCCAAATACATCGCTGACGAATGAAAAAGTCTTGCGTCTGATGCAGATACGCGAGAATGCCGACCGAGAAAGAGGCGGCTGCTACACGAAACCCAAAGGTGCTCTCGTCGGATTTCAGTGCATGAGAAATCACACGCAATACCGCACTACCTTTCTCCCATATATTTGCAGGCGGCAGGTGTTCTGGATCCGGGAATCTGGTATCTCGCTCTGTGCGATCAATATCCGCAGGGTCCACAGACGACCTCCTATTTTCCTGCAAGGATTGACTGTCTTTGCCGTGACTCAAGGACAACCAGTCGCGAATGGACTTTTGCCTGGGGAATATTAATCTCCCGCGCACCATTGTTCCATCCACAACCTTGCTGTCAGCAAAATTGACTAGTTTCATGGTTGCCGTCAAGAGATCGTCCTGGAGATGAGCCATATAGAGAATGAGGAAGAACTCCTGGCAGATAGGCGGATCTGCAGCGACGACATGTCCACGACCACCACCAAGAGCATCACGATCATATTTCTCAGAAAATGCCTCAAGACTCGTAAGCGCCTCAGATAGGTCTTTCCTTCGCGAGTAATAAGCGTGTAGCTGATTCTCAAACCGTGACGTAAAGTCTTGATCACCCGGATTCAAGCTTTCCCCCCTTGCTTCCTCGTCATGGCGGTACCTGGCAATGTGCGTCTTTTTCAAGTGATCCAAATGCTTAGCTGAAATAAGCTCCAAGGCAGAAAGAAAATGCGCCAATCCACAGCGAACCAAATCAGCCGCCTCAACAAGCCGCGCATGATGCGTCTCCACTACCCTCAGAATATCCCCCTGTCTCGTTTTCGAGTCTCGTAGATCGTCACGCTCAGCCGTCCCAACGCCTTCATTCTTAATGATCGACTCCAGGATCTCCGGCACCATCGACATTCCAGCAAGTGGAAGCAAAAGACTTCGGAACAACGAGGCAATTCCACTCAGATCGTCCGCTGACAGTTTTCCCCATGCGATCTCATCTTTAGAATAGAACAGATCAGCATGCAGCGTGTTATGCATCGCGTTCAGTTTAGCCATTGAAACCTGCAGATCCTTAATCCTGGATTGTAGATCTGTGTCGCTCTCGCTTTCATCTTCCTCCCCATCACGGCCCATCGCGGTCCGTGCCCGACGAAGAAAGCCCCTTCCAAAGATCCCGCCCGTCGCACCACCCTCGTCGAAGGCGATCTGCGCATCAAGTACCCCCTCCACGGCAGCAACGTACCGCTTCATGTCTTGGAAGACATTACCGCGGCTAGTGATGGGGAGTATCAATAACGATACTCCAGCCGCGATGGCGAAGCCGATCATAAACCCTTTCAGAAGCCGAGATATAAACTCCAATCCCTCGGAAAGGGAGGTAAACATGCCAGCGCGGGTGATGGTCACGGAAGCGAAGATAGAAAACGCAACCATTGGATCCTGTAGTTCCATGGGCTTAAGTGCGCGTAATGAATTTGCCGCCCTAGAAGATTCCTTAGCAGGTATTGAAGAGAGTAGATATGCTTTCTGGGAAATTACCAGATCATAAAGATTAGCCAGATGGCAGAGACAGCGCAGGCATCGCTGCTGAAGCCATTTCGAACCGCCTCACTAGCGTTGTGGGGCGTGTTGTGCTGGCGTGCCTTAACGGCGCAAAATACAGCGAGACAGCAGATAGATGCCGAGACGCATGTGGATAACAGGTCGAAGAACATGATCTTCATGAACTTTGCGCGCGGCATGAGGCCCTGTGAAAGGACGGAAATCAGGGCCGACAGGTAACCGATAGTTGTAGTGATATTTGAAATTGCAGTACTCTGGTATCTGTATGTAGTGTCTCAGCAATTGTGGATTTGAAAGCCCTGGAGTACTAAGTATACATTGCAATTGTGATAGTCGGCGCTAATGCTCCCTTCAGCATCATGAGGACGCTATGCGAGTCTAAATCGAGATATTCCCACAGCCGCGCGGGGCTTAGCCATCTATCCCAGAGTGTAAGTAGCAGCATACATGCATTGGATCTCGTATGCGTACCTCTCTTTTCCGGTCTGAGACCGGGATTCTTTCGACGTCATTCAGAAGTTCGTGCACATTCATCGGTATGCTATGCATCAAGACATTCAGATGAATCAATTAGTGTAGAGGAAGACGGCGGATCAGCAAGATCGCGAAATTGAGATTTCGCTACTGTAAAATAAAGAAAAGTCGAAGTTGCGGGCGCGAACTGCATGCGGCGGAGATCGGGTTGCCGAGAAGGGTTCCGCGATTGTGCCGAGAGGAAATGCCGACGGGGCTAGTGGAGGGTGGATCACGTCAAGCTTCGAGGTGTGGATTTATTCATAGCCACTCCTAGTACTTGTAGCTCCAAACTTCGCTCTTAGCTCACTTGTCGACCTGGGAGGCGACGACACGAAATGAGGAAATGTCGGTAAATGATTCCGGTCACGTGAAAAACATGATGCTTTGTACCAACTTCCTTTTCAAAAATTAGGGAAATTCAGGAAATTGGGAGGAATATCTACCAGTATGTAGCAATCGATATGTTTGCCATCTGAACAGAATGAAGGTCTCAAATTTGCCGGATTCATCTTAAAGTCAGCCGTCCACAACTTGAAAGTGCCTCTAAACCCTGACTACTAAGACGTGAAGGTTGAATTGAAGCTAGTATATATTTCTTGCTTTGCACCTTCTAATTTGAACATTTGGCCCATATAATGGATTCAAGTTGAAATTATTCGTCCAAGTTGAATGTTTGACCTTTCCACTTCAAGTTTACTTTGATATACACACATTGACCCATAAACTCTGGGAGGTTAGCTAACGCATCCTGCAGGTGATGTTACTTCGGCGCAGAAGGGAGGAAGAATTGAATGTGAATGGCGTTCATCGTCGGTCGATGATGAGAAATATACTGCGATACACAGTCCAGACTTGCATTTTGCAGCTTGTCACTAAATTTGAGACAGGCGTCCTTTGTCCATGAAAGAAAATGGAATTGTTTGCGACGACGCACAATGCAATAGAGATACAATGAACACTGGCATGATCGAAGAGATGTTCCCTAACGAAAAGTAAATGATTATCGACATATTTGTCCTCTGTCTCCTTCCCTTTGCAAGAGAGCAAGCATACCTAGTAGATCAATCTAGATCATAGTACTGTCACGACCACAATTTGGCCCACACCCCGGTCCAACATGCATAAACTGAGCATATCAATCATAAACGAGATACTACAGACTACCCGGCAAGGGTCAACACAACAGGGGATTCCCAGCTTAAATGATCCGGACCCAAAATTATTCATGGGAAAGATGTTGGCAGGCTTTTCAAAAAAAAAGCAGATGGGATACAGCGCCCCCAGACTGGTGCAAGCATTTTGCGACCACGTCACATTGAAGAAGCACTTTCATAGATTCTTCCAGTTGTATATCTACCGATTTATCTGTCACTACTATACAGCTAAAAACAGGCTTAACAAGCGGCGCTTCATTCAGTTGCAAGGTAACAAGCAGTGGTATGAAGCGGCTCTGCAGGATTTTGCGGGGTTCTTGGCAGATCGCATTCTTCTTCGGTGTATGTACCTTTTTCAATCAGATCGATTCATCTTGACAAGAAGGATTAGTAGCTAACTAGATGTTGACAGTTACTGTGTGGTCTGCGAATTATTTGAAGCAGGCCAACTCCGAAGATGCATCTGCGTGTCTACCTAAGCCGTTGGTTTTGCGGGATCACGCTCGATGTGTGATCACTGGGAGTGATGGGCAGAGGGAGTTGAATACGAAGACCGCGACAATATCTGACGATAGCCAGGAAGTACCCGCTGCTAGTGCAAATCATAGCCAACTCCGGGGTGTTTATATTATTCCTCCGAACTTGTTACCCTCCACCAACCCGAATCAAGATCGACCAAAAGGCGAGGAAGAAGTAAGTCTCTTTCTCTCGCAGTTAGTAACATATACAACTAACTCCTTTTAGAACTACTTTCAAGATATGCGCAGCGCGACCATATTGATGAGGGAAATGTTCGAGCCAAACATTCGAGACATGCTCGACGAGGCCACACTGCGAAGCTCCGACAACATGCTCACACTGGATAAAGTGCAACACGAGCTGTTCGCATCCTCTCTGATCTATTTGGAGGCGACATCTCATTCATGCGAGTATTGTTTATGGTCACCACTCGAGGATGGTGTCGGGCGACGGACTGAGAATGAGACAGTAGTGAACTTACAGCCTCACGAAGGCATTCCCACGCCGTCTCGTCAATTTTTGAGCGTGCACCGGAGCGTGACGCGGATCTTGGCAATTAGCGGGGCGAAAGGGTATGTGAATTGGAAGGGTAGACGGTGGGAGGAGAGGATCGGTATCGCGGAATAGAAGTGACTTGGCCTGGCTTGGCCTGGCTTTGCTTGGTTTGCTTGACTTGGAACAGCACGGAGATTCGCCGAAATTGGTGGGAATACTCCGTTCTCCGCTCGGCTTGGCGAAAGAGGAGAAGACGTGGCAGTGCAAGCCACAGTCACCGTCACCGTCACCGTCACCGCCACAGTAGTACCGATTGGGGCAACTGATACGAAGGTGTGTCCCATCCCATGGGATAGTGAGGCGAAGCGATGTGAATTGATTCGATTCGCTCGCACGGATGTCTGGAAATAGAACGGATAGAATCCGGTAATTGTTTCGCAGTTGATCTCACCCGAAACTTGTATGACAATGACATCATGTAGAGAGTAGCGCAGCGTATCTGATCTAGTCTGTTGTACTCCGCACATATGAGTGTAATGTACACGTACGGGTTACTCCATATGGCGTATTCGTACAACGTTAGATAGGTGTCCTATTTGTTCTCGCCAGGTCGACCCTGGTGAGGACCAATCATGGAGGGTGACGAGAGATGAGTGGAGCCGCCCTGTGAGGCGTGGCGATCATCGAATAGGAGGTGCAAGGTTTGGGGATAAACAACGGGATCATTGGGATGTTTGAGAGTACGTGTACATTCTAGACGAGTGACATCAGGATTGTCCGTTCATGCCAGTGTCGATGTACATACAATAGAGTTACAGTTAGGGCTGAACTCGTCAGGTGGGAATGGCTGACGAGGCAGGAATGTGGAGGGGACCGAAGGGAAGGAGCGACTGGAGGGCACCGTCCAAAGTACAAAAGAGGGAAGGCGCCTGTCAAGTCGATCCTTCCTCATCTTCGATCTTTGGTCCGGTTGCCAAGACTCGTTCCTTCCTTCCTTCAGTCTTTCCTCTTCCTCTTTAGCTTCCTCCTTCTTCTTCTTCTTCTCTTCTCTTCCTTTCTCCATCTTCACCTCCTCAACTTCACACAAGGCTTCTGCCTACCCTGAATCAGTGACTGGTTCTAGAAATACATGCGTGAGTTATCATCTCCTTCTCCACCTCCACCCTTATCTCATCATGATCATCTTTACTAACTTGCCACCTCCACCCCCCAGACCGGATTAACTCGTGGGCGAAAGCTCACGCATCGTCTCGCGGTCCTACCATCACCAGGACCTCCAGCAAACCAAATCTCGATACTATCTCCTCCTCAACCTCCCGCGATGCTGAAGTGACTCCCCCCGTCGCCAAGGCCGAGGGTGAAAGCCCCACCGAGGCCGACGATGAAAAGAAACAATTAAGCATGCTGCGTCGCATGCGCAATGGCAGCATCCGATTCTATCACCACACAAAGGATGCCCTCATTCACAGTTGGGTCAATGTCCTCCTGGTCTTTGTGCCTATCGGCATCGCCTGTAAGGCTGCAGGTCTTAGCCCGGCCATTGTCTTCGCCATGAATGCCGTCGCAATCATCCCCTTGGCTGGTTTGCTGAGCCACGCGACGGAGAGCGTCGCTAGTCGCCTCGGTGATACCATTGGCGCCTTGATCAATGTCACCTTCGGTAATGCCGTCGAGCTGATCATCTTCATTATTGCACTCGTCAAGAATGAGATCCGTATCGTGCAGGCCTCCCTGCTCGGATCCATCTTGGCCAATCTACTGCTGATCATGGGAATGGCCTTCCTCTTCGGTGGTCTCCGCTTCCAGGAGCAGATGTACAACAGCACCGTCACGCAGATGAGTGCTTGTATGTTGAGTCTGTCCGTCATGTCGCTGCTCTTGCCAACCGCCTTCCATGCGTCCTTCAGCGACAGCACCTTCGCCGACAGCCAAACACTCAAAGTGAGCCGTGGTACCAGCGTGGTTCTCCTGCTGGTCTACATCTTGTACATTCTGTTCCAGTTGAAATCGCACTCCTACCTCTACGCCAGTGTGCCCCAGCGCATCATTGACGAGGAGTCGCATCCCGGTGTTCTCGCCGAGTTCTTGAACAGCTCCGACTCGTCATCGAGCTCTAGCGACGATTCTGTCGATACTACCACCTCATGGTCCACTGCGAAGCGCATCAAGAAGGCCATTGGGAATCGTCGTCGTCGTAAGTCCAGTACCAGCACCACGTCCGGCAAGGGTACTGTGTCGCGCCAATCGACCCAAAAGCAGGTCATGGTGAATGAGAATCAGGGTTCCATCGACAACTCCATTGGCAGCACCAACAGCGTTGCTGTTGATGATGAAATCAACTATGATGCTGATGCCGACGCCCAGGGTTCGTCTGAAGTCCGCTCTCGCGACTTCGGTCAAGCCCTCACCAAGATTGGCACTGCGCAGAGTGAAAAGGCTCGTCGTCGCGAACGCAAGAAGCGCCGCTCCAAACGTGCCGAGAAGGCCGTGGCAACGGCTCAAGCTCAAGCTCAGGCACACCCGCAGATCCTGCCGGCGCACGTTCAGGCCCCGCGTCCTTCAATGGCGGGCGCCAAGTCTGTCCCGAGCTTCGCAGGAATGGAGGGTGCAGTCGAGAACGAGGCCCAACGCAAATGGTCACCCTTTGGACCAATTCCTTCTCTGCTTTCGAACACCGTGTTCAGCTCGCAGAGTCCGGCCAATTCCCCTCAACTGGGTAGTGCCGCTGCGCGCCCGACCATGGCCCGGAGTAATTCCCTCCCCGCGCGGGTCACTCGACAGCCGCCGGTCGGAAACGCGGTGCAGTTTGCCAGGGGTGCATCTCGTCTCACGGATCCTCTGGACCCCATCGCTCCCACCGTACAGCCGCAGGAGATCGAGCCCGAAATGTCGCGCACGGCGGCGGTGGTCATGCTTCTTCTCTCTACCGGTCTGGTCGCCGTGTGCGCCGAGTTCCTGGTTGACGCGATTCCGGAAATGATCGCCAGTTCGCCTGTCAGCGAGGCGTTCATTGGATTGATTATTCTTCCGATTGTCGGAAATGCTGCCGAGCACGTTACGGCGGTCACTGTCGCGACGAAGAACAAGATGGATTTGTCAATTGGTGTTTCTGTCGGAAGTAGTATTCAAATTGGTAAGTTTGACTTCCCTCTTTATCATGTGGGAACCAGCTATGGACACGCGCGCTAATTGCTCTTGTAGCTATATTTGTCACCCCGCTTGTTGTTATTCTCGGATGGTGCATGGACAAGGACATGTCGCTGTATTTCACCCTTTTTGAAACAGTGTGTCTGTTTGTCACAGCTTTCGTGGTGAATTTCCTTGTCCTGGATGGTCGCAGTAATTATCTGGAAGGTGCACTGTTGATTGCTGCGTACGTGATCATCGCGCTGGGGGCCTTCTTCTACCCCGATAACAGCAAGGCCAGCGTGTGGGCGGGGGCTTAGGATCAGTTGACTTGATCTGAGCTGCAGGGCCATTTGCAGTTTGCAGATGGTAGCTCCTTGGCCGAATCTGGGTTGCTCTTTACTAGGTTAGCTGGATAGCTTTACAATGCATATGATTTCTCCGGAACACTCTCTCTTAGTCCTGTTCTCCCCTGTAACAAACCCCTCATCTTTATCTGTCGCCCTCATCCTTCAACTTCCGTCTCCAACTCCACTCTACACCTTCTCTCCACTCAACCCACAAAACAGCCCACTTCCACGCCCAACGACCCAACCTACCCAGCCAAGCCGATGCCAACCATCTCCGAATGTAACTGCGCCACGTGTGCCACTCCGAGTGGCTGTGCAAGCACGCTAGCAGCCCTGACTGGTCCGCCCTATACTCCGTAAGGGAGGCATGGCATGAAATGATTCGACCGAATTCTCTCCTGACAGCCGATGTGGAGCTGCGGGATTTCCGCATCGGCAGGGTTTATTCTCTCATAGGAGGGGTACAGAGTACAGAGTACAGAATGCCTATGCTACCTTCAACAGGATGCCCCTTTGTTTATTGTAATAGTGATAGGGGTGGCAGTGTGGCAGTGTGGCTAGGGATCCATATTGTATTGCATAGGGGTGAGTTAGGGTTTGTTCCATCTCCAGGCTGCCACGTTATTAGCCGCCGTCAAGCTTTGAGCCAACCATGGATTGGAATTAGGGGTTTGTTTGTCTGTATCTAAGACTCCCTACTCCGTATAGCCGCATCCATCTGATCTAGTATACATAGGTACCTACAGACTACATCTACAATTGACAGGACAATATCAGCCGACGGTAACACGCAGCCCTTGGCGTTTCACTTCATTTCATCCCATGCCATCTTTCCACCCGCATCTGCTCAGCTGTTTGTATGCAGCAGCGGTTGTCTCACGAATGGATCTGCCTGGCCCTGAACCTCCATTCCCAACCTCCACTCTCACCCTCCACCATTTTCCTGGCGCTAAGAACGGGTGGAGTCAACGGAGTGGCCCGGATGAAAGTCCCCTTAGTGCCAGTGTTTTGTTCTGTTCCAGTCTAGTCTAGTCTTTTATATCGATATTGTCTAGTCGACAGTTACCAACAAAACACTAGCACCAACATCGACTCCCCACTCCACCACTCCACCACTCCACCACCTCTTATAAACCCTCCCTCCTCCCTCTCTTTCCATTTCCTCTCTCCTCTCTCCTCTCCTCTCATCCATCCATCTCCCTCCCACAATGTCCTACTACCAGGACTACAACCGCCCCCCCACAGGGCAGTCCCTACCAAGCCCCACCCTACGAAGGCTACGGCCAACAACAACCTCCACCAGCACCGTACGACAGCCGACCCCCCCTACGACCGAAGCCCCTACAGCGCCCCTCCACCCGGCGCCCGTCCCCCGCCAAACCCACCCCCACCCGCACCACCAGGCTGGCACCAAGAATGGGAGCCCTCAACCCGGCGCGCATTCTGGGTCGAAGAAGCGACCGGCCGCTCGCAATGGGAATCACCCTTCCCATCCGCCGCACCTCAGGGTCCTCCCAGCGGATATTATGATGGCTCGCGCAGTGTGCCTCCCCCCGAAGGCGGATATTATGCGCCGCCCTCCGGTCCTCCCCCGTCCGGATATGATGAGCGTGGCTATGGCGGCGGTGGCGGGTATCCCCCACAGGAGGAGAAGAAGTCTAGTAATGCGGGTAAATACCTTGCGGCTGGTGCGGCTGGTTTAGCACTTGGTGGTATTGCGGGTGCTGTTATTGAGCATGAAGTTAGTACGTATTTCCGGGAACTAAACCAAACCTCAATTGAGTTGAGGTCCCCAATATATGGAGCGAGACTTGTTGCTAATATAATTTTGCAGACTCCGATGACTCGTCTGATAAGGAAGAGCAGGAGGAGCGGGAGAATGAAATGCGTCGTGAGGCGTACGAGGATGGTCGTGAGGATCAGGCTGATTATGATGAGGAGTATTACGATGATTAGGAGGCTCAGGTCTTTATTCGGGGATATTAGCTCTTTTGTTTTAAGTGCAACGCATTGGCGCGGAAATTCTTCTTGTGCAGTTCGAGTCGAATGATTACAAATATCCTTTTTGTAGATGTGGTATTCCGTGTAGATCAACGCGGAAGTGGCTGATTTCAGCCCTACAGTTCAGATGAACTGACCTCAGCCTTATAGAAAACGGAACTGGGAAGGTTCGAAATTTTCGACCTCCCTTGGCCAGACCAATAAACACCGGGACAAAAAACCAGAAACCCCTCCATCTGGATCTCGCCAGCAAAATATTGGCGCATTGCATCGCATCCACTGTTTCGGCCTATAACGACGAGAGTGGGATGCATCTGCCCCGCATCGTATTCCGGGGTTGATTGGAGCCACGCGATCTCGACAAGTTTGAGGTAAAGAGATCTTGGCAGATTCCTGGAGCCAGCTGAGTTTTACGAGGCTCCTGAGTTTTTCTATCTTATTGGTAATTTGTTTGAAGAACTGGAATCTGAGAATGCTGTTTCCGATGATGAGGATGACTATGAAGATGACGAGTCTTATGACGATCGAGATGACAAGTTTGATGAAGAAGCCAATATACGACCACTTACCATATTTATAATATATAAACACTATCAGAGCTATTTCTAGATAGGAGGTAGATGCTGCTCAATTTTTATTGCATTTTTAGATGGTTTGGCGGCCAGGCGTAACATAGCGATATTGAACGGCCATCGCGGCGGCCGACCATAGCCGGCATCACGCAACGATCATGAAAGCGTTAAGACAGCATGACTGACGATGCGACGGAGCTACTCCAAAGTGGAGAAAGGAGTAACATCGAACCAATCATATTAGGGTAGTCGAATAGGTAGAAGCCGCTCATGATCGTTGTTGTCCTCCATTAAACCAAGGAGCGCCCCAAGCCCAAGGATTACCTCTTTACCTACAGATCAAGTTATCCATTTTGGTACTTAACGAATTTATGAATAGGAAGTAAATGGTTTAATTGCCTGGCTGAAACTCCTTCAAATCACTCTCAACCTGCAACTATTGAAATGAAACCGGTCTCGCTTGGGACAGGAAGGCCTCTAGACCTAAGCTTCCTAGCCCTTTTAGTTCTTCTCTTAGAAGACAGATTTTCCTAATTTTCATACAGAGTCAAGTCTGAGCATGAAATCCTCGCTATGTGGCCCTGGCCAGAAGCTTCTTGTATTTCGGCATTTGGCGTATCTTCGGGCAACAACGAAGCGCGCGGCCAGTCGCCAATCTTAGCAGATGCTCGAGGGATGGTCCAAAGTCCGCTACCCGCTTCAGCAGGGAGCTCCCCGGGAATTTTCTCAGGCTCTTCGGGGAAACACTCAGTCTTCTTTGGGGCAGGCTTAGGCTCTTCAGGGGCAGGCCCGGGTTCTTCGGAAAAAGGCTCAGGTTCTTCGGGGAAACACTCAGTCTCTTCTGGTACAGACTTAGGCTCTTCAGGGGCAGGCATAGGCTCTTCAGGGGCAGGCATAGGCTCTTCAGGGGCAGGCATAGGCTCTTCAGGGGCAGGCATAGGCTCTTCAGGGGCAGGCCCAGCTTCTTCGGAAAAAGGCTCAGGTTCTTCGGGGAAACAGTCAGTCTCTTCTGGTGCAGGCTTAGGGTCTTCAGGGGTAGGCCCGGGTTCTTCGAAAAAAGGCCCAGGCTCTTCAGGGGCAGGTTCGGGCTCTTCGACAAAAGACTCAGGCCCTTCGGAAACAGGCCCTTGAAGAGGGGTTCTATTTGAGATGATGCCGTTCGGTGTCTTCACTAACAGTATAGCAAAACATTGGTTCAGCTTATTAGCGTAAATTTAATTTGCTAGAAGTGACTTACCCTGCTGATCTTTCATAGAAAAAATGCGAATAGATAATATCTCGATGATCATTTTCATCACCGCATTATCAAACTGATGGTCTTGGCCGATAATATCGTAGAACTCGCGTAAACCAAGCCCCGGATCATTAGGCTTTAGTGAGCGCTGCAGGTTCGCTTGAATGTAACCTGGAACCCAAGTTTCACCTACAGGAAGACTTGAAAAAATATCCCTCATTACCCGCAGTAATTCAAGAACAGGAAGCTCCTTATCTAATTGCTGCATCTTTTGCTGAGCAAGGATTTCAAGATCAGTAAGGCCCCAAGTCCTTGACGCCTGGTAGACTAAAACGCTCCTCTTGTACTCTCTGGCGAGATCTAATGTGCCTTCGTCAAGAGGCGAACTGACTGTCTCGTAGCCGCCTGTGTATAAGAAGTGCACTACAGTATGCCCAACGTCTTCATCAACATCAGACATGATGATAGTTGATAATCCAAGAGATGCCACGGTGAATTTTGGATGATTCCGAAGGAACTGAGCGGGAATGCCATATCGCTTACTCCCTATCATGAGGGTAACAAGAGGGAATTCGTAGGGCCAGTGAATAGGTTAGAAAACGCCTATTATAACTCATTCAAGAACTCACGATGACAAAGGCCGATGGTAGTCAATTTTGGGAGAGATCTCTGAGGTGAGGGGCCGCCTAGGCACCTCGTTGGACTTGCGCTGCTTCGTTTTCTTTTTTGCCATGTTTCAGTCTTCCTGTAACTTTGCTGGCTATCAAGTAATCCCCAAGAGATTATACAAGAAACATTTGAAAGATAATGGCGAGAGAAGAAGCCCGACTACATTTAATATAGCCGGGGAGGGGGAGAAGCAAGGTAATGCAAGTATGAGTTGTCCTGCAAAGCGACCGGAACACGTCATCTGTGCAGTGAATGGCAATTTAGTGTCAGTTTTTGAAATGCAATATGAGTCAGTATATGGACTGCTACGAACAACTGCTTTCTCTTCAATCCTTGAAGTCCATAGATCATGGAGATAGCTTATCCGAAAAGCTTGTGTGGGCTGCTGATAATCGCCCGGGCCGTGAACGGAACGGGCCGACGTGTGACTGTTTAACTTTGCTCCAACATAAGAAAAAAGTCAGCGGCGAAACTGGGAACGAGCGGGGTAAATGAGCTATATGTGATATAGGAGAACATGGAGCAAGGGAGCCAGATGCCACCAATTAGTTTCAATAATAACTCTTTATTAGGATCCTTCGTGCGTCATGCCTCCTATTCACTGCACGTTCTGTGGCGGACGATCGGAACCCACAAAAGGATAAGAGAAAAAAGAAAGTACTTAAAATTATATGAAGAACACTCTAAAATTTGCGAAAGAGTAAAAGAAAGCCCCGGCAGTTAATCATTTTCGGAGGAAGCCTCTTTCGGCATTTTTAGACGACAAGTGCAGTCCGTATTGCTCGTGCTGGGTAGCTGCTCGAATTAGAGGATCATATAGCATGATTTATTTGGTGGCTTGAACAGAGACTCGCCACAAAATGTCAGACTGTATCTCAACGTCGCCGCAGAATATATCCCAGAGAAGGCACACGTTTGTGTTGCCACCAGGCTCGGATACTTTTATCTAGTTCAATACCCCTGTAATTTGAGAATAGTTAAGCTAGAGTCTCTTTTGGTAGGTCCAGGAATTTCACTGGCCTGCCCAGCCGCTGTTACTAAGCCAATCAGTCGCGAAGAATCCCCTGATTGGCATTCGCCAATAATAATTTGAAATCGAAGAATGTCGGTTGATCCCTGAGAGAACATAATATGTGACTAGCAATTCTCTATTAAATATACATACGAGACACCGAAGCGCCAAGAGAAATTTCGAAACATATATTATAAGCCTAACTTTCAATCATAGGGAGGGATCCATCGGCGAATATGTCTCCAGAGTTGTCAATGCCTCCGAAAGTCCTGTCTATTGAAGTGGATGATACCGATTCTTTTGAGAGTAAATATCGACTGCGAATCGGAGATTCAGTCAGATATATCATCATAGCTCTTAAAACTTTCGACGGAGATACGATTTCATTCCATATTCAGTCCCTGCCGAGACTTTCTTGGTACGATGAGTGGACAGTAGCTCACATCTCGCGAGACGGAACTAGCGGCGACTTGAAAACTTTCATTTCGAACCGAACACTAGCCGATGTCAAGTGTCAATGCAATCAAACCCTGTTTAATTGCTTAGAGTTAAAAAAAATTAAACTGCTCACCGCAATGACTTTCGGAGCTGTCTCACATTCGATCCTTCCAATTCTCTTCCAATCGCCAGTCACCAGCATCATCGCTAGAATAGCCCGTTTCGAATGGGAGTCTCCTCGTATCGAACGCGAAACGAGAGCTTATCAGCTGCTTGAGGGTTCAGGGCTGTCATCGCGATCCCTCGGTCATCTTCACGAGAATGGACGCATCATGGGGTTTCTATTAGTGACAATATAAGGACGCACTGCTTCCATCCTGGATCTGAGTACCTGTGAAAAAGTTTTGGAGAAACTCCATGAATTAGGATATTTACATGGGGACGCGAACCGATATAAGTTTCTTGTAACGGAAGAGGGGGTCAAACTTCTTGATTTTGAACATCTCCAAGAGAATGCTGGCCCGGAGTCAATATACAAGGAGCTAGAGAGTGTACGTGTGGAACTGATAGAAAATTCAGGGCGTGGCGAGGGATTTATCATCCAAGGTGATAGCAATTGAAATGAATTTTAAGGCGCTAGTGTGTGGCTCTCCTTGACTATGAATAGAAGGTGAAATATATTGTTTAGAAACTCTTCAATTGGTTTTTATTCCCTTGTACTCCGAGTCTTCTAGCCTGTGTATCTTATGGATATGATTACTTTACCATGAGTTATCTCTTCTAGAAGTATAGAAGTCTAGTAGTATTACCTAGAGCCCACTCAACCGTCTTCTCAATGGCACCCGGCTCTTTCACTTGAAGAAGAATGTCTTTGATCCATTCCAACTGCGCCATCCTCTGTTCATAATCCTTTCGCATGCCGTCCACCTGACCCTCCATACCATGCCAATTGCGACAATTATTTTTCTTCCCCCCATTTTTCGTGCGAGTCAAAAATTTGATCATGGCCTTGTAACAAGATAGCATCCCCGTCGAAAAAAACTCATCGCTAGATTCACTGGATCCGATTATCCCATGATATCCACAACTTATGTTATATGCCTCATTCCTCCATTTAGAAGGACATAAGTATATTTCCGAAAGGTTGCTCAATTTCTCATATATGCCCGCAACCAACCTTTTCTTCTGCCGCCCAATATAATTTTCGAGCAAAGGGATGTAGAGCTTTCCGAGTTCCTGTCGACCATAGGCTTGTACAAAGCAGTTGTTGCAGCGCATATCGTCAAACATCTCTTGGTCTTCCGAGGTGTGGTTCCACTTCTGAAGCTCCTCTTGATTATTTGTTTCCTGTGGACCTATTTCTTCATCTGTCATATCTGTGCAATGCACAGAAGGATTACGCTGATAGTCGCGTTGCCAATCCTTCCCAGGCCGGAATGAATGTAACTCTTTCCATGTCGAGCAGCCCGGGCATCGAATCATGTACGTTGTCAAATATGAGTGTTCATCATCGGTATCACCCGGCGAGACAGCAAAACTTGGTTGATCTAACGATTGATTCTTGATAACCAGACATCTCGCTAGTCCTGGAAGATATCTGTCGGCTCTAGATTCGCACCGTAGAAGGCGACTTCGAACGGCGGGGGTTTTGGGAGAGCCCATACATGGGGGTCGAGTATTAAGGTCGCCTTGTTGATACCGGCATTCATTGCATTTGCGTCGGTGACGCATAAGACCACAATGCGTAAATTCGATGAGACATGCTTCTTGGCTTAACAAATCGTCTCTTTCGTCCTTTGATAAATCATCAAAGTCTTCGATCGACATCTCCGCAAAGGCGGCCATTCCGCATGCTTGAAATTGGGCTAATCGAGCTTGTCGCTCACCCCAGCTTATATACTTATTTATATAAGTTATAGCAAGTCTGTATCTCTTTTGGAATACCTCAATCTTATTCTCGATGCCAGGGTGTCTTAGGCGCCAAGCTTCATCTGCAGTAAGGTCTCGTCCTATGCTCGTCGGTTCCCAACTCGTAAATCTGGTGACCATAGGCGAGCCAGGGATAGGTTTTCGGTAGCTTAGCCCGAAAATACGATGGTTGTCAAACGCAGTATGAGGCAACATGCGGAGACAGTCGCCACAGGCCCATAACATCGATTTCCATTCAGTTTTATTGGAGCACTCAGGGTAGATTGTGTTGGTCCTTGAGTCGTATACCGGTACAGTGTTCCCTCCTTGTTGTGTGGATTCGAAGAACAACAGCCGCTCGCATAAATCCAGCTTCGTTGGTTGAATGACACGTCGCAAATGGACATTTGTTTGGCTGAGCGATATTAGGCTGGCTGGGTCCAAGAGTTGGAAGATCGGGGTCAAAATTTCGGGCGGTAGGTTGGATATCGATGCAACAATATTGGGTGCCATGTTATCTGTTGCTTCATTCAAAGAGCTCTGGCTTTCTGTCGAGATTTTGAAGGCTTCATCGCCTTTTAAGAGAGTGAGACCGCCGAAATCTCGAATTCGGTGAGTGGTCACAATTGGGAGATAATTGGCCCCCACTTGCTGCCGCTAGCTGGCCAAGCCTCAATTATGACTCATTATACGAGTGAATGACTTCTACTACGGATATGCAATATAGAAATGCCAATAATTTTTTGGTTGTCACCTGGGCAGTTATGCAGTGTTTATTTAGGATATCCCTCAATCACTCGGGAAATCCACTTTATTAACCCTACGAGTCCCTTTAGGACCTGGCTTCGGATTTCCCATAAGTCCGACTGTTCCAAAACTCTTCATCTCATTATTATTTTGTTAAGTTTCTCATTCACCACTGAGATGTTATTGCGGTAGGATAGTCTTCAGTTCAGAAATCATCGAAATCAGCACCGCAGCCGTGTGGGTATGACTCGTTGCAACTGCAGTGTGCTTGGCTCGACGCCGAAAAGGATTGTCAGCCTTGATTGTCCAACATTTAATCATAGCGAATAATTACTTAGTGAAAGATGGGAACGCTCGCTGGCAGTCCGCGTTGGCAGACGGGTCGATCGCAAGAGGACAAAACCACCACACTCGAAGAGTGCAGGAAAGCAGTAGACAAAGCGGCGCCCTACTGAGAAAACAGCATTCAGAGCATTCGAGCCCTTAGCATAACCGCAGCGTGCATCCGAAATAACGAAAATAACATTGACCCGAAAGGTGGTTGGTAAGTTAACTATCATCGAGGGCTTATATATTGCATGAACGTAAGGCCTAAAGGCCTACAATGTCACTTGACATCACCAGAGCGATTCCCCTACTACATTAGGTATTTATCTTGTGCAGCAATTGCGATCGACATAGGTAACTGCACGCTAATTTCCGTAAGCTAGCCGAGAAATCTACTCTCGGACGGTGGATTCACGCTCATGCTGAAGAATGGATTTACCCTAAAGATTGGGCATTAATATCAAGCGCAATCTTCACTGTGGCATGGGTAAGTTGCCTCCGTGCTATTATTGTACGGCGCTGGTTCGCCGTCGTCAGATTCGTTAAAGAGGATTTGCCTAGGGTCCCCCGGGACCATGCCACCGGTCTCGTAGACCTGTCGTAATTCCTGTTCTTCTTGGTAACCCCGCCCTCCCTCTCCCCCAGCCCTCCTCTGGGGCCTGGTGTCACCAAAATTTCTTCGTTGTGGGATTCTGGAGGTGTCTCCAGGATCCTGTACTTCGTTCCTGGGAACTGCTGTTCCTAGGGTACTTGTGCCCCGCAATTTAGGGAAGGCGTAAAGATGGATGTAAGGACCCACAGGGTTCGAGGTTACGTACTTCCTCTCACCCGGCACCGCCTCAGAAAACTCTCCACATCTCTAAACGCCCGGAAGTGTCTCCGCTGTTCTACCTTTTGCGTTCAGGTCAAACTTGGTAGTACTGGAGGCATATAGACCGGACAATGTATGGCATGTCTTAGCTTTTCTTTTTTGCTTTACAGATCACAATTAAGGTTGCTCCGATTTAAATCTTAGGGATCGAAGTAACTCCAAATATTTCTTCAACTATCTCTTTCAAAACATGATAGTCTTGTATATTATACTACCCCAGCGATTATGCTGATCTGATCGCCCATTCTGCCTTAAGCCGCTGAAGCCATTCTTCAACTGGAAGAACATGCTCTCCAACCTTTACATTGCCCGCGCCGATCTTCTCGCGCTCGGTTGCATCATACGATGGAACATGCAGCATCTCATGGTTCTTTCCACAAATCCCAGGGGCTGAGGTTCCTTCTCGGAGCTTTTTCAAGCAACCTTCATCAAACTCAACATAGTCGCAGTCTCTACACACGTAGATATTGTCTGCGAACGTCCACCTGGTTCTACAACGCCCATCACATCTGTCATCCATTGGGCCTTGAAGCCCAGCTGGCTTGCCATCTGTTTCTGAAGAATTATCCTCAGTCCCCACGGTCCCCATGTCGTCGAGTGGAGCAATTAAAGACCATGCGGCGAGGGCGTCGGCATCCTGACCTGCAAACATCAGATGCATTGCCAACCCATGATAGCCCTGCCAGTCATTGAGCGGATCCTCGTCTGAAAGAAGGTCAAGGTAAACCTTGACGGGACCCCGCAAAGCCTCCTTGGCCTTCTGCTCGTCGCCCTGCAGCACATGCCATCGGGAAATGAGCCGCATTGGGTACGTCTCCTCATATGCCTCTTCCCTATAATTGTTCTTTCTCAAAGACGCCATCTGCTCGAGATGCTCCAGATACTGCGCGGCAGTAACCGGATCGCGTCGAGCTTCCTGGAAACAGACAATCGACAGCTTATTGCGAACCGTCGATTTCACAGTTGGAAGATACGATGCACTGGGCTCATCCATCTGCAGAATAAGTACCCATTGGTGGATGGCAAACTCCCTGTGCTCTGCGATGTTGGTGGTGTTGTTATAGCATAGAAGCGCAACCCTGTGCATGAGTAGGGCCTGACAGACCCTCCCAAACTCCTCCTCGGCGATATCGCCAGCCTTTCTGCCTTCTTTGTATCGCTTCTTTGCAGCATTGACCGCTATATTGTAACTTTCGAGAATGATTTCGAAACTTTCGGTATTGTAAGCTAGCGCAAAGAGAGCTTCATGGTAATTCTCCTTGTCGTAGTTAGCATGGAACGCTTCCGTGCGATGATCTAGTCCAGTCGTCTTATCTGTCGAGTCCTTGCGCGATTGTAGGAACTCAAGTAGACCTTGATAGTCACTGTTCTCGTGGAAGAACATCATCAACGAAAGCGTCACTTCGTAGTCATCTGGCCGGTCCTGAAGTATGCTCTTGTAAATTGCGCACGTTTGATCGGTATTACCAGCCTCCTTGTTCCATTCAGCGAGATCGCGCGATATCCAAGAGAGCTCTTCTTTAGCATCATCAGCGTCTGCTATTTCGCCGGACTCAATTGACTTTGCCGTCGACTCCAAAATTTCGATTGCCATCTTGTACTCCTTTTGGGAGGCATAGCAGTCTGCTAGCCCCCATTGCGAGAGCCAGTTGACACTCTGGAGTGAGGACGCGAGCTTGAATTGTTCAATGGCTTGGGGGTGTCTGCCAAGTTCTCGGAGCGTGCGTGCCAGGTTACGAGTCTCTTCATAGCCCAATCTATCCAATCCAATCTGGCGTTGTACCCATTGCGCAGCGTCGAAAATCCGACTGGTTTCGATGTCCTTCATCTCTGAATCGATATTGAATCGATTGACGCTAGAATTATTTCGGCTCTCAATCTATGAACCGGTCAGCCCTCGGGTACTTTGTTCTTGATAGCAGCTGTGCCGGTCGTACCTTTGTGAGATACCCGTGTATCGCAGCGAAAACGTAAATAATGCCATCCGTGCCTTCCTGTAACCATCTGCGCCCCAAGAACCGAGCGATGTGTTCGAGAAGATCTGCATCAGGCTCAGACTTGGAACTCAGACTTCTCACCCACTTGTTTTGATCACTCGAAAGATTCTTCGTGAAGGCAGAGTCTTGGAACCATCTCAATATGACGTCGGTATATTCATCGTCGAAGATCCACATTGCCCGAAGCCAGGAGTTTTCCGTGGTCCACCACTGCCTAATAGTAGCTTCGTCTGCAAAGAGTTGCACTAACGGAGGACCGAGTGCCCTTTTGTGTTGTGGTTGTGTCAGAGAGGGATCGGCATCCATAAGATGGTCAGCGAAGCAGGCGATAGCATAATCGAGCAACGGAGCTGAATCTGGCGATTTGCTAGAGCAGATGATCTCTAAGCAATCTGCCACGATTCTCAGATCCGCTGTTTCAACATCCACTCCAATGCGAGCAGTCTTCCCTTTGAGTTTCCGCTGGAAGAAATCATCAGACCCGAATTTATTGAATAACTTCGGGTCGCAAACGGACTCCAGACCTCGCCGGACAACCCTTACCTCAACCTCATTGATATCTTCAGTAAGATTCAAGTTTTGGGCATCTTCGGAGTCGTGTGATTTCAACTCTGTTCGTAAAAATTCCTCGATGGAGTCAGAGACTAGCACCACCTGTGACGTTGGCGGGGTGACTTTGGTGACGGGATGTGGTTCGCCCAGGATGCGAAACAGCGAGGAGTACTGGTTCGTGATCTTCTCCGCTAGTGGTCGAAGAGAAGACTCCCGAGTCTTAAGAAAAAGGACTGACTCTAGCTCCTGCAGGCTGAGGGAGCGTTTGGCAAAGACGACCCAGGTGAGGAGAGTATTCAGGTCGGAGATCTCATCGTCACTAAGTGTTTCATTCAGGAGATCCATCTTTCTCACGATCGTGTCAGATCGATTTCCTCCTGATCGAGATTTGACTGGATTTGGTCAAGCACCTCGTCAACAGTATATTTTGGCGTTATTGTGAGATCGACTTTGGTTGTCTGAGCGAATGACCCACACGCCCGGTCCCACGCCTCTTGCAGGTTATAGTCCTCTTTAATCTCAGTAGCAGACATCGGGTAATGTGCCGATGTTTATTGTGAGCTATTGAAGTGGAGCCGCTGTTGCCTCTGCGCGGTGCTGAAAACGCTTCTTTAAAGACAAGCTGACCACTGAACAAATCGGGGGAACAAATAAAAACACAGAGGTAGGGGGGCTGGAAAAATGCCCAACCGACAAGCGGCTAAGTTCAGCTGCTCGAAATGAGGGGGGTTTCCAAGCCAATGGGAGTAAGCCACAGCCCGTCCACTCGGTCGCCAAGCTTTCAGCCGTGGAGGTGATGCTTAATAAATCCAGAGTCAATTGCAGAACAGATAGTTTCACTTTCTCAAAGTTGTAATTACTTCTTCTGGTATAGAGCCACGCAATCTAGATTGAGTATTGAGTCCATTACAACTGCTCACCGATGAGACGATACGCATCCAATGAATACTTACCAAACATGTACTAATGGTGACGGTAAAACTGCCGCCACAGGAAGTGATTGGCTCCCAGAGCACAGGGTGAGTTAAGTCACCCCGCCGCCCTGAGCAGCCTGATCGCTCACCTCAATGCTCAGGCCGACTGGCCCATTCGATCTCACCCTGCTCCTCTGCTCTTTCACATTCCCCGACGATAATCGCACTGCTGGCAACTAGTGTTTCTGGGAGCGAAGGTCAGAAGAACAGAACACCATATTTCCCAGCATAATTAATTTCCCTGTCAGTTCATGGAAACGGTATTCATATAGACTAAATCAAGATACCTTAAATTCTGAATGCATTGGTTGTCCTCTAGCAGAAGACTATTTCACAACGGCTAGCAGAAATCCATCATGAGTCTTCGATCCAACTGTTTGCATCACAACAGCATCGACCCGATCATCTGCTCCAGCCTTAGCAATGACATCAACAGCATCCCTGTCTCGTTGATTTTCTCCCACAATTCCACTCTCCAACATGTTCTGAACAACGTTGTCAATGTAGATCACAGCCCCTTGACCCTTAGACACTTTCACGCCAAAGTCGAAGTAATTCCACTGATTAGGCCAGTCCGCATCGATAAACACAAAGTCGAACGGTTCTCTCACTCCCTTTTCTATTTCTGTTACCAGCGTCGGGAGGACGTCAAGACCTGCTCCGAGGAGAACATCCACTTCATCAGGCACCTTTACACCAGCGGCGCGCAGATTTTCGATGGCAACATCTCGGTGATGCGGCGAGACTTCGATACTGGTAACCTTCCCGCGCCCCTTGACGGCCTTCGCGAACCATATACTAGAGTATCCCCCGAGAGTGCCGATCTCCAGCACATTGCGTGCAGAACCGATGGTTGTAAGTAGCGATGCGAATTTTCCTTGAGCTGGAGAGACCGCGATCATTGGGAGACCCCTTTCGGTGCTGTTTGTATAGGCATGCTCGAGACCTTCGTCGACGCCGATGAGATGTTCTTTGATGTAGGCGTCAACGACTTTTGTCTGATCGGTTGATTTGGAGGACATTGTGGTGATTAGATGTCTTGACTATTTGGAAGGTGGATTATTCTTGATTCGAATGGAGTGTGTTGCTTGTTAGAAATTTCATTTTCTGCTGGATTTTGGTCATTCTTATACAAAGCTCTGATCTGTATGAATCAGCGTCTCGGCTTTAGATCTCGGGCCTGCAACAATCTCCGAGCAGGGGATGCAACTTGCCAAGGAGTGGCCTGTGATTTTAGCTTTCCCGTTATATATTCCGATAGCCCCGAGATCTGATAACGCAAAACACGTGCATTCAAGTTCCAATGTACTAAGAGGTGATTGACCAGTTTCGCCTTTTGACTCTCGGAACTTACTCTCCGAGTCACCTCATACAAGCTGCCTAGTTTCAGAAATTACTCAGATGCAACATTTGGAGCTTGTAGGGGGCTAAATTTGTGTCCATAAAAATTTTCATTGTTTCTGCAATATTTTAAATGAATTTGGGTTAAATGAATTCGAAATTCGAGAATGTCCAGGCAGCCGGATCACCGAAAAAGAACTCCTCCTCCAGAGACTCCAAAGGGAAATCAACCTGACTGGTGTTAGATATCAAATATTCAACGGTATTGTCACTAGATCGATTTCTCTAAGACATACCGGGTTAACTGCTTCATAATCATATGACGGGTGGTAAAGCGCTGCCAGGGCATTGTGATCCCCGGCCGGTGGTGATTCTGTCAAGTTGAGCTGTGTATGTTGAAGTTAATGTTTGTCTTTGGCAAAGATCTCCCAAATACATACCATCATCTTCACGGATATCAAATCCTCTTGAGAGCCTCGAATTCGGTGGTATTGTCTCGCAACATGCTCAATTGCCTGCTGTTTTTGTCTGGTCTCATCTGATGGACTCATGGCTGAATTGAGTAGAGATCGACCAGCAGAAATATACCAATATCGTGTGAAATCAGTGCCGAGGCGTGTAATTCTATCTTCAAATAAAAGCAAGGAATTTTCAAGATACTCGATGGACGGTCTAATATTTATGCCGAACAGATCACCTAGATTGTTGGAGTTAGCTGCCGATTGCCCAAGGTAGGGACTCGGAGGGAATTTTGGGTAGTACCTGGAGTATTATGGGATATATATGCACAGTGGCAAACTGCCAAAGCTGCTCGAAAATATTCTTGTCGAAAGAGTAGAATGAACGAGTACTGATGCTGGGGTAATTGCCGGACCTGCTCGAGAATTTTCTGTGCTGCTTGAAAGCATATCATCCGAGAAACAGAACATCGAGAATTGGAATCCATTTTCCTGGCAAATGGCATATGCAAAAGAATTAAAAGCTGTTGGAGCTGGATTTGTAAAATTGCCCCAGATAGCGCCCCTCCACCATCACTAGGACACGATCGCATCCAAGCTGGGAGATTTTCGAGCTCGGCCTTTACTAGCTCTTCATAATCCACGACTTGCTCCCATTGCAACGGGAGACCGAGGTTATTGACTAGCGAGTTCAGCGTAGCACGAAGTGCGAAGCTAGACTTTGAAGCATGCAGATACGAGCTGTCTGTGTACAGGTCCCAGTCCTTCGAGCGAGATGTATCGTCAGCTTCATCTATGAGATCATCATCATCAATATTCTGAACCGTCGCACAGTCCGAGGAGACACCAGCAAGGGCCGAAGGCATCCCTCGGTCAATCGATGCCTGAAGTTCTAGCTCGGTTATGGTAGCCCATAGTCGTCGTCGCATCTCATGGTCGAAGCCAGTGCACTTTTGACCCAAATTCCCCGGATCTCGGTGAAATCCTGCAGCCATGGCCTGCCTAAGAAGAGTGCCTGCTTCCGTCCAGATGCGTTTCTTCTTGATCACATTGACCTGTTTGGAGAGTAGTAAAAGGCAGCGAATCTGCCATATGGCTAGATAAATCTGCTTATGGCTTTGATTCTGAAGCCAGCGCTCGGATACTTCAATCCACAACGCCGCACGTTCACGTACCACGGCGCTGTCACCAACGTGGGTGCTTTTTTCTTCCGACAGGCAGCTCGCGGTGGACATCATCAGAAGCATAAGAATAACGAATGCGGGCCTGGTAGCCTTTCTGTCCAGTAGGAAGGTTTGATACTCTTTCCAGAAGCTTGGGACGTGAATGATGCGATATGTTGTCTCGACGGTGTCTAGGTAGGCATGAATCAAGCGATTCGTTGTTTCTTCATTCGGAAACAGATGGAGGAAGTCCATTTTGACTGCGGGGAACACTTTTTGCCTTTCTGTCTTCCATTTGATTTGCAGAGACTTTAGTTCGCGTTGGACACGTGGAAGAGATGGATGCTGCTTAATACTGTCTTGCATAAATGAGCGGAGCTCGGGGAACTAGCAAGAATCAGATTAAGCACGTAAAATATCCGAAAATGAAGAGAGACATGGATCTTACATCACCAATCAAGCTCGTGGGATTGCTTCCCCCGTAGAATTGCGTTTTGAAATTCTTGCCTCTAAAAATGACATTCTCCTTCTTCCGAGGCTTTGGGGGCTCCAATAGATGTAGCGAATCTGACATTATAGCTGGTCTTTCCCGCACCAAGGGGTTCATCGCTTGCTCTCCTAAAAGCCCCCAGGTTCCTTGACTCTGCGGGGCTTCCAATATAGGATTTCTGATTGTTGCTGGATGGGCATATTGGCCCTGTGGCGGCGTAAGTATCGCGATTGGCGAAGCTAGCGTGTCAGCCCGAGGCTCCAAGTGGGAGTGATTATTGTCGGAAATCTGCCTTTTGTGGTTTATCGGTGGATTCTCGAAGATGCATTCAATCTGTTGCCCGTGGCATCGACTGCAAGAAGGGTAGCTCCGATCGCATCTCAACTTTCGGCGTCGGCATTGTAAGCACGACAATGTCCGTCTTTTGCGCTTTGGTGCAACTTGCGGAGACGGGGTTGCGGTATTTTCTTTCGGAGACTCCATACCGCAGATATCCGGCTGGGGTGGAATGAAATAAAATCAATAACACCGGGATGGAAGCCGGCGCGCGGAGATGTTAAAGATAGCTCGGATTTGTCGGAGACGATGCGGGGATGCGCTCGGTTATCGAGCATCTCCGAGCCACTCACAGGTTCCCCTTATTTACCCCTCTCAAATATCGATCAGGCACCTTCGCAAACAGCGCACTAGCTTATGTGGCGGATTGAAATACGCAGGTGGATGAATTTTCACTAGCTACGTTACTGGACATCATCGAACTGTCAGCCATTCGAAGGCAACTTGTCAGGCTGGTCAGGCTAGCAGGATCGACCCTTTATCCTAGAACCACCTCAATACGCCAAGTTTCCCGTGATGACGACTATAAGCATGACTAGTCGGAGGCAACGTCTTCCTCTCTGGGCTAAAATTCCGTTGGGTATTTTACTCAGCCCATTGATTGTATTCTATCTCGTGAAAGACATCGTGAAAGACAGACAGAATGCAAAGCGAACGGAAACCGAAAGCTACATTCCCACCGGTAAAGACCAGTGATAGTACAAAATTCAGGGTATTTCGGACTAAGAGTTCTTGAGATTGTCCAGCTTCTCGATTGCAAATGGAGCTTCCATTTGACAAGCATTGGGGCTGCACCTGTTTCGTCTTGAGTTCGCCAAAGCAGGAATAAAAGTCGCCATTGCATCTACATTAACGTCTACCCTTCTGTTCGCCACGAACAATCATTGCTTTGCCTCAACAATAGGGACCGACCCAAACACGACTTTAATGGATCTCCAGCAGATTCGGAGCACATAAATCGTCAAGGCGGCAAGATTCGCCCAGGCGAGAGCAGCACAATAGATCAAAATCTGTGGTGGAATCATCTTAAAAAGTGCCACCGGATCAAAACCAGCCATGTCTTTAAAATCCTCAATTTGGGCGAGAGAAGTTTCGTCCAGGTCAGAGGCACTCGTACTTGCAATTGGATCATCAACGGTTTCCTCGACCCTTTGAAATGCGTCATTGTAGATAGCTGCAGCCATCACTCCGCCGAAAAGGGTCATGAAGAACATGATGACAGCTTTGAAGGCAATCTCATATAGCCAAGCAGCGGAAAAAAGTAGCATGGCGAGTGCATGTTGACGCGATTGGCGGTATCCAGTCGTTAGGCGATGCGCGATAGAATCAGAAGCTTGGTCGCCACCAGGGCCCTTTTGGCTGGGATCCAGGAATACCACCAGGCGGCAAGCAAGGAAGGTGAGCAGACTGATCGACGCGATCGGCTCGATAAACTTGCGGCTCTGGTTGAGGAGGTCTAGGGCCGAAAATCCTAACGCTGTGAGAGTCCACCCAGTCAAGAGGGCAATGGAGATAGACGTGTAAACACGAGAGCCGAAAGAAGGCGAGGGTGATGCCATTTTGATTTCTTTTGAGAGGGTTTGGGAGAAATGGAACGAAGAATTGAGGTTCTTTCAACCCGAAGGTGGCGGTCTTTTTATTTGTGTTATTTTTTTACTGAAGCGGCCCCCATTTGCGGCTCTATTTTTCCCTTCTTCCACCTTCTCTTCCCCACCTAAGTCAGGCAGGGTCTTCTCTTCCGAGCCTCGAGGCGCTGTTTTCGCGATTTTGAGCCCAGTATCGGCTAGTAAGGCCACTAAGACTTCCGGAACACTCTCGGTTATCAACACCCATCGCGGGCTAACAGGAACGGGGTTGAATGGCAGCCTTGTACAGCTGGACCCTGCATTGCACGAGATGGAAATACGTTCGGAGTGGTGAGTAGGACTAGGTATTCTTGGGTTTTCCTGCATTCTCATTACAGAAATCACGATATGTACTCCCAGCCGTAAAGTTAGAAATCTATGACCTTTCCTGGGTTCAGTAACCAATAAGGGTCTAGGCTCCTCTTCAAGGTCTTCATTACAGCGATAGTGGCCGAACCCAGCTCTTTCTCCAGACATTCCTTTTTTCCGAGGCCAATTCCATGCTCGCCGGATACTGTACCATCCATCTTCAAGGCCTGTGTGATCATAGTATCAACACAGCGCTTCACTCCCTCCACTTGATCGGGCTTTTCCGGATTATACATAACCGTTTGGTGAAAATTGCCGTCGCCAACGTGGCCCAACACAGTTGAGAATAGACCAAGCTTCGAAGAGTTCTCCTTAGACTGTTCGACAATCTCAGCGAGGTGGGATAGTGGGACTGCAACATCGGTTGACCAAATCTGCGTGCCTTCTGGTCTGATCGCAAGCATGGCCCAAAGGGCGGACTTTCGTGCTGACCAAAGAGCTTCCATCGTCTTCTCGTCTGTAGCAGAAACAAATTCTGAACCTCCATGGGCGGAACTAATAGTCTTTGAAGCCCCGGTGCTATCTTCGACGGTCCGCTGCGAGCCGGAGAATTTGATAAACAAGGTCGGTTTCTCTTGCCAGAGCTTTCCTGCAGTGCCTCCAACTTGGTTCAAAACTCGCATCTGAACATCATCCATCAGTTCCAAGGCAGCTAGAGATACTCCGCTGCGAATCATCGCAGTCGCCGCGTTAGATGCTTCCTTGACGGTTGGGAAGGCGACAGTGGCAACACCGAAATGCGAAGGCACATTTGCCAACTTCAAAGTTGCCTCCGTGATAATACCGAGAGTTCCCTCGGATCCGACAAATAAAGAATTCAAATTATATCCAGCGGAAGTTTTGCGCGGTCGGCGACGTGTTTTGATGACGGATCCATCTGCAAGAACGACTGTGAGATTCACGACCCAGTCTTTCATTGTTCCATAGCGAAGAGCGTTGGTCCCGCTGCAGTTTGTCGCGACCATTCCCCCAATATGAGCCGTAGGACTGGGATCCAGAGGAAGAAAAAGACCCGCCGGCTTGAGAGTATCGTTGAGATTCACCCAATTGACACCGGGCTGAACAACGACATCGAGATCTTCCTCATGGAAGGCAAGGATCTTGTCCATGCGAGACAAGTCGATACTGAATCCGGAATGAGGCGCAGTGAAGTTACCCTCCACGCTCGATCCCGCGCCGAATGGAATCATGGGGATTCGGTATTTGTTGCAGATCTTTGCAATCAAAGAAACCTCCTCGGTAGAAGTAGGCATGATGACCGCGACCGGGCGAGTGTCGATGTTTGTCGTAGATGCCTCAGAATACCCATGAGATTCAAGGTCATCTACATCCATGCTCACTGCATCTTCGCCCAGAAGACTCTGGATTTCCCTCGCGGCCTGCCAATTATCAGCCTGAAACTCTGCCACGCGGCTCCGAGATTCCTACCTTGAGCATCGTCGATTGATCGGCGTAAGAGGGCTTGCCCACACTCTCTTTCGGCCCTGCATCATTTGATCGCAGGATGCCAGCCGTAGCTAAAACTCCAACAGCCACGCCTACGGCTCCATATGTGAAGGGAGTCAGCGATCGTGATGGACCCGTGGCGGTCGCGTAACCTCGGCATGTGGCTCCAGGGGCTCTGACGGCTTGTCTCCTTGCGTGAAACGAGGATATATTTCCCAGCCTTGATATTGATCGCTTCATCGTGTCACCTTTGCTTGGTTTTCAATCGTTAATTGCTGGTCGCTGCTGCTAGGGAGACGGCGAGTGGAGTGAGCGACCGCGACAAAACATTGACCCACAAGCCCCCAGAAATAGTAACTCCGATCGCTCCTTATCCAGTGCTTCTTGGTTCCACTCTCGAGGTCTGCCCCAGTTCTTCGCTGCTCCATCTCCATGATCAAGCACAAGTCGTACTACTGCCCAGTGAAAAGGTTACATTGATTCTTTCTAATCTTATGATACTACAGTACTGCTAGTAGTTGAGTTCTTGAGTGCGCGTTTAACACTTCGAATAAGTACCTCTAGGTACATGAACTTGAATTGGTATATATAATCATGCCAAGGTGGCTCGCGCTCGTAACATGTAATGCGTGGTATTTACATCTAATTCATCAGATCACCAACTCCGAGTCCGCACTTACTAAATGCAAACATTGAAAACAATTCGATCTTCCCCACTGGACCTGTTGGACAGTATTGGAGAATACTAGTAGGCCCTACTTAGGCATTCTCTGGCAGCTGCTCGGGAGCAGCCTTGCTGACCCTGCGACCCTCATTCTGCTTGCGATCCTCAGCAAGTGCAGAAGCAAACTTACTCCTTTCGCGAATCTGAGGACCCTTCCAGTAGAACACGTAGATGGGGGCAACGACAACACAAGACAGACAGGCCAGGACGGTACTGGCATACTCAACATGCCACTTGCTTCCGATGTTGTTGTACATGGGTGTTGCGTACATGGCTGATATACCAGCGAGGAGATCACGAGCGAAGGCGTTACCACCGCAAGCAGACGCCGAGTAGGGACCATAGGCAGCGATCATGTAGTCGACCGAAGACAGGTAAATCGCGTAATTTGCGATACCAACCATGGTAGAGAAGATCATGGATGCAATCCAGGGAATTCCACGCTCTTTACCAAAAGAAGTCCAGGCAAAACCGAACAGCCCGATCGGCTCGAACGGTGCCAGGAACAGGAGCCATTTCATGCGACGCTCAGGTGCCAGTGCATCATTGCCCTTGGTCCTTCTGATTTTCTCATCTCGCCAGAACCAAGGGAAGTATGTGAAGTACGCGATGAAGTAGGCAAGGTTAATGGGAATGATAGCCCAGGCCTGTGCAAGAATACCGAAGCCCCATCCCTGCTCGTACACGATAGCGAAGCTCTCCAGGAATGTGAAGATCAGGGCATCGGAGAATCCAGACAGCAGTGACAGACAGAAGACGATGGGCTCGGTCAAGAGCATGCGGAAGGGTCGCCACCAAATCTTGCCAGCCTCCTTGAGGGACACACGGGGGTTCTTGAGTTCGTTCGGTCCGTACACGTTCGGATCTTCGCCACTTTTACGACGACGCTTAGCCTCCCTATCCAGGAGGATGGTCGATCGACTTTCGGGCATAAAGAAGATAATTGCCTGAGTGACACCGCCGAAGATGAGCTGGATCCAGAAGAACCATTTCCAGGTGAGGACTGATCGCGACATGTTAGTCTAGGTCTAAATCCAAAAAAAGAATGAGAATGATACTCACATCGCTGGATTGGGCCACCAATCACACCACCAATACTGGTACCAATGCAGGACGAAAGAACAATGAAGGCCAGTGGGAACTGTTGATTATCGGGTTCGTAAATATCGGCAATGAGACCAAGAGTCACACTACCACCGGCGGTCGAGAGTCCACCCTGTGACTGGTTAGCAGATGAAGGTGACATCGACATTGAAAGACCGAGAACGACGTACCAATGCACGCGCCACAACAATAGTACCCCAATTGGGTGCTAAACCAGCAGGGATTTGCCAGATGTTGATCAGGAACATGGAGAGCTGGAGAATGGGCCAGCGACCGAATTCTTCACTCCATGGTGCCCACAACTCGCAACCAATGGAGTAGGTGACCAGGTAGGCCATTTGACCAGTCCGGGCATGCTGTTCGCTAATATCGAATGCTGCTGCGAGGGGCTTGACAGCATTGGGATAGACCGAGGTGTTGAAGTTCATGGACACCTGGACGAAAGCGACAGCAGCGAGGTAGGTCCATTTCTTCCAGCGAGGCCAGCAGTAGCCTAGCACATCGTACGCGTCTTCCTCCGTTAGCTCTCGCTTTTCGGTCGAAGGAATCAAATCATCGTGTTTCTCGGTCGAGGGAATGAGATCATCGCGCTTTTCAGCGGATGAAATTGAGGAGTCGGTCGCCATCCGGGGTAATCGTGGGATGGTCGGGACTGGGGATTGTTGTCAGCGCGAATTCTGCGACTGACATTCCATCCCTTTTCTTATGTACACCGAGTAAAACTTTGATGTTGAGATTGCCCTTCTATCGTCATAGCTCTAGAAACCTGATTAAAAAGAGGGTCCTGTGGAGTACATTTGGGTGGTGTGTGGGTCGGCCGAGGTGGATGCGGCTATGTTTGCAAAAATTTTCGCGATAATTTTGATAACGCCCACTTAATACTGTCTAATTTATAAGGCAGTCCATGGGACATATACAGAAACTCATTCAACCAAATATTTTCGATGGAACCTTCTCAATTTTCCTTCTCCCAAATCATGTCCAGCCTCGTTGGAAGCAAGTTCTGAAGAAGCAGCCAGATCCCCAAAAGTGGAACACAGCCCAGAGGATCGTTGGAAAACTAGCCAATCACACTGACGGGAATACCTCGGGAAGGGTTGAGGAATGCATCCGAGGCTAATGGCGACATGGATGATCGACGGGGGCCGCACGGGTACTTGATAGCATCGAGTCCCTTGGGAAGGTTACACGAAAACGAAAATTCGGGTACAAAAGTCGGCTGGGCGGGAAGGCAAAATAAATCTTGCAAACTCCAGGTACGTGCGTTTATTTCCGTTCGAAGATTTGCGAATCTGGTACTGATTACTACGAAAAGATTTTGCGTCATACCGGTTTTCACGTTGACCCACCCGATGCTGTTCACGAATCCCCTGCACACTTTATGCCCCACAGGTAAGTATTCCGAGGGGGGGCTGACGTCAATCAACGATTGCAAACAGCTGCTGTCGCAGTGATAGTATATGCACGAATCCGAGGATCCCCGCATGAGGACTTGATTATGTACCCCGGGGGGTAATTGGGGTTCTTTAGCATCTGTCGTCACTGCGAAAAGCCTCAAAAAGCGACCTTCCCCCGCCTCAGCAATCAAACAATAGTATAATGTGCGAGTCCAGACTCGGCGTGAATGATGTAGAGATAGACGCCACCTTACTCCGACTCTTTGCCGCCCCGAATAGAGGCCGACGGCCGGTGCCGATTCGGAGAAGCCAATATGCGCTCGGTGTGGCGACCGAGACAAGGAATGCCGAAGTTGCTTTAACGTTGATAGTGGGATTTTATCGCGTGGTCAATAAATAACGGAAGCATATTTTTCATGGGTGCTCTCGGCGAGGCATATTTATGGCCCACTTTTCAGTGCCCAGTCTGTTGTATGCCCAGTTACCAGTTGACAAACACATCTGGTTCGGCGGGAGTATCAACATCCCGAATGCCGAGGCCAGGTAGGCTTCAGCGATTGCGTGTGGATCCAGCATTAACAGGAAGGAATCGAGATATACCACCTGACGTTCAGTGTGAAGAACGATGGGTCAACAAAAATCGGAAGCATCATGATCTTGCTTTACATGTTTGATCCAGGCTAGGACTACATCCTCTCATAGAAGATAGTTCAACCCTTCTTTCGATATACGACAACTTGTCACGAAATTTGACATATAATTCTAGATATACCTGCTGTGAAATATGAGACTGTCTCACATCTGAACGTGAATTTTGCTGCCTTCGGCGAACCACCTGGGCACTTCTACTCGCAAAAAACAACATTAGCGAGCGAGCATTAGTTATGAAACGCTCGTGAATATTCCGCTACCACCAACCACTTTTATCATATTAGACTGCTCATAGTAGCAATAGTTGAACGATAGGTCGAGAAGACTTGATTCAATAAATTGCAGCGATATAGAATGTCTACGACTCGGAGGAAGGAAATATTCCACCTTTGCCAAGCCCTGATGAAAGGGCCCAGACCATGGTACGATCGCAAGTGGGTCTAAGAGAAGGGCGCTATGAGTGCCTAGTTTGCTACTCATCGTCTACTAGTAAGAGCAAAAAAAAGAAATTATATTTGCATATAATTCAAATTACGTCCATTGAGCCCTTTGTCTCTACAGTGGATTCTAAGTTCCAGCGTTCAAGCGTTTGAAGAATGATGAATGCAACTTGATTGTTGCAACTTAAAAAGTTGAATGTATTGCCCGGGGGGCATCATGGCTTGCAAAACCACCGGGGGTATACTACCTACTAGGACTCAAGGTAACCGATTGAAGATTCCAAAGTTATATCACGCAATATTGAAACCTTGGAAAAGACTGCAAGTTTCAGCACAATTCTCAGGATTTGCTTACTCTGCAGAATTTGTGTTGGAAGTACACGTTCCAGGTGGAATTAGGTTGATCGTTCACTATCGAATCAACCATTTGCGCCTCGAAGAGCGGGAAAAGCTTATCAATAGCGCCAGTGATAGGAGCTTTCCGCATTATGGGTCTCTTCTTATATATAACCCCGTTCGGCGATACATTCCCTCAAGCTCCGAAACCAGATTCTCTCTCTCTAATTGATTTAGGGCTGCCCCAGGCATCCAGTAGACGTGCCTGCCATTTGCCCAGGTGTGGATTGCTTCGCTCACTCTTCTGCTTCATCTACTAGTACCTTTTCATGTTTCTTCGTTTCATCCTCTAACCACCCCTCGTACTTGTACTGCGCAAGTAGTGAAACCTTCCCGATTTCTGGAAGTTGTGGATCCAACATCACCCCGACCCTCGCAATGGCAGAGACAACATCAGACAACGCCGATGGAATTGTGAAATTTCTCCGTGCGATATTATCCTCATCATCGGGCCAGAAAAGACAAAGTTGCGTGTCCATTCCGTCGTCCTTAAGGGTTCATCAAAGATCTTTGCCGCCATGTTCAAAGCAACCTGGAAGGAAGGCCGCATGCGATCTTCAGAATGCAGATAACTTGCCAATCGAAATACAGCTCCCCGACGACGATGCAATATCTTTCAAGTACATCTGCACTGCTATTCACGATCGAAATCGGAGACTTCCCGAAGCCTTTACTGCGAAAGAAATTCTTGACATTGCTATCATGGCTGACAAATATGATTTTCAGAGGCTGTTCTTTCAGAAGCAAAAGTTGGCTTTAGCCTGACGACAAAGAGGCTGGGGAGGTCATGACTCTCACTGCAGCCGCCTATCTATTCCGTGATGCAAATGCCTTCAAAGATCTGACAGCGTGGCTAAATTTCAACTACAGCGGCTCGTATGACATGCTTCTTCTCACTAAGAATATTGTACATTGTATAATTTACTGGCAAGAAACAGTTGGTAAGTCATCCGAGATCGTATTCAAATTAGTGCTCAAAGCTCTGGAGCCCACGGGTATTAATTGAATGAAGTCAAACCAGACTTACTTGAATGGTTAGGGTCCTACAGATCCCCTAGTGGCCCCATAGGTCTCACTTGTTGTGAGTTGTCAAGTATCGGTGCACAATATTGTATAAGGCTACTCGAGGATAAGGAACTTTGGCCAAAGAGCCTTAATTGTGTCTCTGAGCCTATATGGCAAAGAGCAGATCAGGATAATCTACTTAGTCCAAAAAGTTCGTTGACGTGCACATGCGAAGTCGGACGTGATTGGAAGAATTACTGGCTAACGCGTGCGATCGATTTGGAGAATGAGGCCAAATGTGTGAAAGTTGAAATGGGCCTTTGCCTTGCGTGTGTTCGCAGAGGGGAACCGAGTGATGTACGCATGAACAGTGAACATTGGAAGAAGGAGCACAAATTCTTTGTTCTCAGAGTAGATACTCTGCACCAAATTGGCTGAAATTTGTCCTAGTGCCGAAATGAAAATCCACTGATAGCCTCGATATTGAAGTTCAAATATTTAATGGCTTCTCTGTGTGCCTGTTTGATAAAATTGCGAGCAACTACATATTGCTGACTGTCAAGCTGAATATTATTCAGCTGTCTGGATGCGAATTGGGCACAACTCGCGTCGCTCAGGCTACACCGCACCCCCGGATTCCCACGTTTCCGCCCTAGTCCATTTAAATAACCCGACTAGCCTAGCCTCGCTTTTGATTTCTCATTCTCCCAGGGCTAGGCGTACCGCAGACTTCTCTTCTTGAAGCTTTCGGCCCTCCTATACTGCAACCGGAGTAACTGCCAAATACGCGGTAAAATATCACGATGACCTCCCATCCCATCCTTTCTTAATCGACACCATCCATGGAGAAACACGAACCCCAATGAGATGATGTGCTCTATCCAAAATCCCCTCGGCATCACATGGCATCTTGGAGATAATTTAATGACGCTAGGATAATTGGGAATTCGGATTGAGACGAAAAGGGATTAATTGTGGTCTCAAGAACCACTCCGGGTACCATCTCATCCGGCTATATTCCACAGGCGGACGGTACCAAACCCCGGCAACGACAAGCTCCCACATTTTCGCATTGTGTGGGTGTCGATTGCCGTTTGCCTCTAGGTACCAAAATTTAAGGAAGACAACACAGCATGTTGACATGATGCCAATTTGTGTTTACGTGAAAGATCGTCTTCTAGATTACGCCCACGGGTACGAGCGTAGAAATACAGACAAATGGTTGTATCGACTGGATAAAGTCGCGTCAATGGATTGATATGTATCATAATATATCCATGGATCTTCCATCTGAGACTTAAGTACAAGCGACGAAGTTGTTACCGCTAGCACCAGTGTGAGTGATCACACCAGCAAGCTGGTTACCAGTGTTGAAGATAACACGGTCTGCGCCAGGAGAACCACCGCTGTAGGCGCTGCCCGAGCTCAGGATGGGGAATTCATAGTAGGTGCCGCTGACGGAGAAATCGAAACCCTCGTAGTTGTGGTAGACGTGGGGATAGGAGTTCTCGGTCGAGCCCGCGGAGTAAAGCTTGTAACCGGCGGATTTGGCAGTGCTCACAGCGCTGCTGGTGTAGCAGTTGCTGCCACAGGTGTAGGCGCAGGCGCGGGTCTGGAGATCGGTGGGAATGGCGACAGCAGCGGCACCGGTCAGGAGGAGGGTGGTAAGGGTGATGATCTTTGGATTTTATATCAGTATAGAATACTTCGGGGATGGAGAGTGAGTGTTTGTACCTTGGTGAACTGCATCTTCCAAGGTTTGGTTGAGATCAACGGGAGATCAGCTGGATTGTATGGATGATCTTCGATATCTTGATGATCAATACTAATAGCTGCTGGATCTTCAAGACCTTATATACTTCTGTCATTGTATAAATATAATAACATCCCCCAACTTTCCTCCTGGCACCCCCTCATCTTCAGCCGAAACGTCGCCAAGCGATGTTACATTTGACCTTCCCGTCGACACAACAATCCAATTGGCCGCGTGAACTGCAAGTCCAGGAACTACTTTCTTCTCAAGAGCAGCCATACCGCAAAAGGAATATCGGCCGATCTGCAATGATTAAGGGATGATTTACAACGCGGAGATGATTGGGTGAACCAGCAGCGTGAGAAAGTGACTGGCGCTCGGAATTTGGACATGTGCCCTCTTCGTCGGCACTGGGCTGAATCTGGCATGGACCCTTTGCATGCCGAAGCAAATGTTTCTGCAGGTTGCTATCGGACCAATGGGTAGACTTGTTTACGGCCACGATGTGAGTTTAACGGTCAGATCGTCGAGTTGATGTGGGGATCCAATTTGCATAGCTAAGAAGTCGCTTGTCGATATTCTTAGCTCGTCGTAAACAAACGTAAGTTCCTTCGGACAATGCAAATTAAACCGAAATTTATGGATAAACAATAACAACTCGGTCGCAATGGGTTTGGTTGTTGCTTTATCGCAGACGGAGGACTCCGATGCATCTTGGCGCTCCGACGGAGTCCGAGTTTGAGGAGGGCGATTGCATACCTCCACGTTATAAATTCTATGCTGATTTATTGATCTGCAAGGTAGTATAATATCTAGGCAATATATTATACGTTGAGACAGGGATATCATTGGTAGCAATACATCAAATTATTGCACCAGTCAGAATGTTTGGTTCTCACACTGGCATTGGCAGCATATGTGACCTGCGTTAATTCGGTCCGCCAAGCAGAAAACAATCATCTCAATCAAATGCCTTGGAACTTGAAGGAATCGTCATGATTAAGCGCCCGTGCATGCCAAGGTGGCCAGGTCGGCATTGAATTAACGTTATTAAATGCCGGGAATTGAAGAATATGAGTCGGCAAATATATAGTACATTCCAAACTTCCAGACCTTGGTTTTCAAGTTCAAGTTCATTTCTGTTCCAAGATTCACAACTTGAAGTTGAAGCACTCCAGTAGACTCCAGGAGCCTATTGCCTAGTACTTGGACACCTCAGTCCGCACCCGCGCTCCAATACAACGGCCCGGATGCCAGATAGCAAGCAGAAGGACAACAAGAGCGATGGGTGCGAATTCAAGACAAGCAAAGTAAACCTCATGAGTCGACAACTTTCCACCCAGACCCTCCGCTGTCTCCGCCAGGCGAAAAATAGTTCGCAAGTAGACCATGATTGTAGCAACCGAGAACGAGAGGCAGAAAAGACGAAGGCCATTTTGCTTGATAGCACGACGAGCCCGGAATTGGAAAGTGGACATGAGAATGACGAAAATGCTCATAGCGAAAACCTGATACGACAGACCACCTAGGAGGATGTGGTTTGCTGTAGTTGGATCTTCCTGGCGCGATTCCTTCACACCGACCAGTACCGCACCCGCAATTTGGACAACCGTCGAGATAACATCGGAGGTGATGAAGAAAGCCAAGATGACTTTCGGACTCAGGAACGAGTATCGGCTGCCCAGTCTTGGAATGAGTGCGGAGAGAATTGTATAGATGCCCGCGGCGAGAAATACCGGAGCCGTCACAATGAAGAAGTAATTCAGAACAAAGTAGATGAGATTGTAGGGGTTCTGCTTGGCCGAAAGAGATCTGGCGATGTATCCGATAATTTCGAAGACCAACCCGACGGAAAATGTCATCCACCACCAGCTGCGAGTCGTGATGTTCTGCACCGTATGGACGATGAGATGAAGGAAAAACCACGCGGCGGCGAAAGCTGCGACTGCGATGGATGGCGTGTAGCCGTAGATAATTATGCTGGTGTCATTTTCCCCGTGGGGGACTGGAAAATTCGGGTCGATGTAGCCAAATGAGCGTTCTAATTATAGTCATTAGAATATGAATAATCGAAGTTAGTCTGAATGGTTTGAAGACGGACCAGCGATCGCGTTTGCACCCATTTGAAAGGCCGCGCGACAGAAGGCGCAAATACTAAGTTGTGAGGGTCCCCTGATGCGGAATTTTTGGAATCACCATGGCGAAGCGCCTGACTTATGTATTTCGACTAGTGAAGAGGCTAAGCTGGCCGAACTTGAATCAGTGAAGATTCGGCTAGTCAGCGGCGTCATCTCAACCACGCCGAGTGGTGCCAAGCTGTCGATGGGAGGCGGCGAGTGCTCGATCGATCCGAATGATGGGCTTGGGGGTGCGATCGGCGTGGGTCCGCGAGCTCGCTTAGGGGATTACCTTGGCTTGAGAACCTTGGAGAAATGCCGAGCGCCATTGAAAATAGAAAGTGGTAAGTTCCTTTAGCATAAATAAGGTAATTGAAGGCTAGCCGACAACAACATCCCGAAGACGCGTCCACCAATGCCCTGTTTCCTTGGGTGGTTCTTCCTCCTCGGCAAATTCCCTTCTGCCGGTCTGAATATCCATTTCCTCCAATTTGACCCACTTTGTCTTCTTCCAGAATTTGTAGATGATAATGAACAAGGCGAACACCGGTAATAGGATGTAGTTAATCACAAAGTCGTCAGGGCTGAATGGCTTGAGAAAACAGGTATACCCTTGGAAAAAGACGAGAAATACATTCAGGCCCAGAGAGAAATAAGTTCCCCAGGGGTAAAATGCAGCGCGGAAAGGGAGTTTCGCAGGATCCTCGCCCTGTGCGACGAGCGCTTTGCGGAAGCGGATGTGGCAGATTCCAATGACGGACCAGACCAAAAATGTCGCGACTAGAAGTTGTTAATTGATTGCAGATATTTTAGAGATGTTTGGTGACATACCTCCAGACAGAGTGATGAGGGCCGAATAGACCTTGCCTGCACTGGATGACTGGCCCAAGAAGACAATACAGGCGAAGACATTGGTGAAGATGAGGCCAACCCAAGGAACCCCGGCCTTGTTCGCACGTCCAATAAATTTGGGTGCCTTTTCGTTGCGGGACATGTAGAGTAGCGTTCGCGATGCGACGTATAAAGAACTGTTGCCTGCGGAGATCACACTGATGACGATGAGAGCGTTGATGAGGTGTGCAGCGGGGAGAATCCCAGCGTCTGCAAGGGCGATTGTTAAAGGCGAACTGGCGGTTTTTGATGTATCGCCAAGAAGTCTCTTGTCATTGTATGGCATGAGGATTCCGATGAAAAATATGGTGCCTGGGAGAAGTTAGGCTACGTTTCGTCCAGGAGAAACATGTGACTAACCAATGTAGAATATTAAAATTCGCCAAAAAACTTGCTGGATGGCCCGCGGAACAGCCTTGCGAGGATTCGCTGACTCTCCAGCGGTGATTCCGACCCTGATATCCGGTCAGCCGTGAACAAAATAGTAGAAGGATTCCGCAACGACATACATTTCGGTTCCAGCGTAGAGTGTTCCGGCAACGACAAATGTCTTCGCAACACCATTGATCGAATCTGCAAAAGCACCCGGTTGATGCCAGTACTTAAAACCAATAGGCTCAGGGCCAATACCGCCGGAACTGATGATAATAGCAAGAATGAAAAACACTATCAGTGCTATCACCTTGATCCTGGGAGTTGTTAGTAACGTGCAAGTAACTTGAGGCATAAATATTACTAACAGTGAAAGCCAGAATTCCATCTCTCCGTATGCAAGAATTCCTAAGTTCGAAAGTCCAAGGAACAGTGCCCAGAAGATGAGGATCCAGCCCCATTGCGGTACGGCCTCAGTCCAATATCCAATAACGAGAGAAATCGAGTTGTACTCGTTGGCGAGGACCTGAAATTAACTACCATTAGCGATCTTGGGCCATGCATAAGGCCCGGGAAATGGAGCAATTCTCCTTGCTGCCGCCGCACTCACCGTCACCCATAGCCACCAGTATGCCCAGCCCAATGCAAACGCGAGAGAATCGTCGATGAAACGCTCGGCATATTCGATGAAAGAACCGGTGACAGGAATGAGGGTAGCCATTTCGCCCAAAGATTGCCTATGATGATCAGCAAGTCTGTCATCGGATCGCCTTGCATTGCAGTAGATTGACCAACATGACAAAAAAGACACTGAATCCAACCAGGAGGAAACTGATCAAGGCACCAGCAGGACCTCCTTCATGGAGAGCATTTCCAGAGCTAACCAACAATCCAGGTCCAATGATACCTACTCAGTTAGTCTCTGAATCCAGATACCCAGCAGCAGAGTAGAGTCGAACTCACCCCCGATCGCGATCATCTGCAAATGCCTCGACTTAAGCTGGCGCTTCAACGGCGCCTCAAATGGATCCTTAACCCCATCGATTGGGCTGCTCGTCTTCTTGATGCTATTCTCAGTATCCGTCGCGCGGTATGCGACCGCATCGATGTCAGTTTTGTCCGCCATCGTCTCGGCGCATTGAAGCTTGATCGTTCAAATGCGAAAATCTGAAAAATGCAAAGCTGCGCAAGGGATGCGTTGAAGAGAGAAAAAAAGCTGCAGGTCAACCATTTTGATCAACACGAGACTGCGGGGCCGACGGTGCTCTCCGATCCACCGTGCTTGTGATTGTGTGTGGTAACATTTGAATGTGGGCTGCGTTCATTTGCTGAAAATGTCGTGATGGGCCACGGTCGCGCTGCGTTTATTGTGGGCGGTGGATTGGGGTTGTGGATTGTGGTGGATTTGAATGGACTTCGGTTGTGCGCAGCTGGTGTGGCTACCAGTGGATTGTGCGAAAACTGAACGGGAATAATAGAAGCCAATGTGGTAGAGAAATTTCGTAGTTACCAGTGTATTTAGAGACTTGTGTGAGTACTCGTACATGCTCGTAGGGTTTGAAAGGGTTGAAAGGGTCAGGAACAAGTGGAGAACTCGCACGCCATAAACTCAACGATGAGATCAGCTGGGTCTGTGTGTACGTTATAGACAGCCCAGAGAAATGTATGAGATGAAGCGTCTACTTTATGACATGGAAGAATCATCTGCGAAATACAAGTCAACCTGAATTCCACTTTCATTCCAACCTTAAATCGGCAAAATTGAGTGGTGTGACCGTCGGCATCGGCATCCAGATGGTCGGCATGTGGGGCCTGGATTTAAGCTTATCAGAGAAGATGCGATAGATAGATCGGGACCGACATTCCTAAGGTTGGCCTATTCAATCACAGCTGGTGATTAAAAGTTGCGCTTGCCAACCCGGAGTGGGCTCTGGAAACCGAAATGATGCTTTCTTATTTTCCCGACTGTTCCAGGGCTCTTAACATGGGAATCGTTTCTCCGGTGCGCGACGCGGACAGGGTAAGTAATCCTCTGGGGACTCTGCAGAGACTCACTGGTTGAGATCTTTAGCCCTCCTTTGCTTACAAGATCACAGGTCTCGAGAGGTATAAATGCCAGGTGTGTTGCCTCATATCCAGGTCCTTGTGAAAGAAGAAAAGCAACACAATCAGAAAGAAGAAGAAGAGCATGAAAATAGTCTCCGAGTCCATCGTGAAAGAATAAGTGTAGAAGGGATGGAGACATGAAGAAATGAATAAACGGAGAATGGTGAGAAGGAGGGTGTTTTAGAAGGGCTACCCCCTTTCCTCGCAGGAAACCAAAGTGAATTGGACACACTGGCAGGCGCTGGCGAAAAGCAAGACGATGCAACAAGCCCTGGAGGTAGGCGCCGCCGGGAGGCATTCATCCCCGGACTCACGCCCGCGCCTCCCGAAGCTTGGGTTACTCGCTCGATCTCCAAATCAACATCTCATTGATCGAAAGGGGAGCAGGTGGATTCTTTTCGGAGTACTCAGCTGTGCCCTTCCAGCGCGGGTGAGGCTACCCAGGATATTAAAATTCCGGGTAATCGTATCTCTTACTATTGTCATGTCTCTTCTAATAAATTATAAAAATCTTGTGATCGTGATAATCAGGTCTAAGTATCGACGATGTCCTTCCTCCTTGGGCCTCTTCCGTTTCGCGAGCAGAATTGGTAGTGGGGAGGGAGGGTGAAATGAAAAAGAAATGATGACAGCTACCTCAGTAGTGGGCGGCTGGGCCTGGGCGATTGCTGTGCCTAGTGAATGTAGACTATCCTTGACATAATTCGACATGACAGTAGTATGTAACGCTTACTGACAGGATTTACGCTATAGGTGGGTGATCAGTGGATGTAGGATCAATGCATATATTGTCCACAGTTGATGGATGACCATATACTCATCGATGATGAGAGAGGGGGATCATAAATATATGCGTATAGCTGAGGCTCGAAGAAGTTGATACTATGTTGCCATGAACTGACTAAGCCTCTGAGTAACATGATGCCCCTGGTCTCAGAATCATCCATTTTGGTAAAAATATACATCCCATGATTGCACTAGGCTACTAACTACTACCCCACTCAATTTAAATTCAACTCAAAAGAGAGCTCCAAGTTACCTGTTTCAACGCGACAATTCGCATGTCAAGCTTACAGTGCAGGGAAAGGGCATACATCAATGGGTGTGCCACACCTTACTCAATTACAGCAAGAAAGAATCCATATAGGCAATGCCGGTATCTATTGCATCTATCATTTATTTCATAACATTCATATCCTACAGACGAGACGACTTCTTCTCTTCCTCACGGCCCTGGAGGTTAGGGTGGGGAGAGCGAACAGGGCGGGTAACAGCGTAGAAAGCGAGACCGCTAGACTTCGTCGAGAACTGGCCGGAAAAAGATCCATGTCAGTGTATTGCTTTTTTCTGAGCGACCCGGCGATTTGAGCGCGGAAAACGGGTTCTCGTCGTAACGAACCTTGACCTTTGTCCCGACATTGAAGAAGGCGAAGTCACCTGGAATGAGGTGGTGGGTGATGCCGGTGGCCTCGTCCTGGGGAAGCAAAGTGTCAGGATGGATTGAGGCAGAGAGGGAAGTTGCAGGTGGAACCAATTGACATACCAGAACATCGATCTGTCCGTTCAGGACATACTTAGTCTCCTCGAAGGTGTAGTGGGCAGGACGAGCGGGGCCAGCCTCGATCTTGTAGAAGCCAGAGGTGAAGTATGCAGGGCTGTGGGTGGTCTTGGTCTGGATGGAGTGGAAGTCGGCGAGGGTGGCGTTCTCTCCTTGGGGAAGGGGGGATGAACTCAGAGCCGGCGCCCTTGATGACAGTGAGAGGAACGAGGTTGGTAGACACTGGGGAGGAAACGAGGGTCAGCACCATTAACAGTTCCCATATAAAATCGCAAGCTTGAACAGATGGCGGGGTGGCAGCAGTACTCACTTTTGGTGAGAGATGTGTTGGCGATTCAGATCGAAATAGAAAAGCTCAACCAACAACGTCCGGGGTCGCCTGTTATAAAGATTGGAGCTCCGCATCGGCGGCATCCCCGAGGGGAAGTCCTGGCGCGTGTCTTTCCCTCATGAGGATGTTGAGTCCCGGCAGCATCACCCGAGAGTGGAGAAATGGCCGGCTGGCAAGCCCGGTGCCTCTCCAATGAGGACATTCTGATCAGTCGAATAGCATTGCGTGCTTCTTCGAGTCTCTCATAAGAGGAAGGTATTCGTTCGAAAACTTCAGAAAACAATGATAATAAGACGCTGGGCTAGCAAGTCTAGTCGATACCTCCCCGCTGCCTGCAATCATTAGAGGAAAGTAAAGTCGATGCTTGCCTATTCGGTTCGGCGCAGGATCGGCCCGTGTGTGCGGGGAAGCCTTGATTGAGTGCGGGGTCGTGCGGGGAGATACAGAGAGTGTGAGGAAGGGCCGTGAGGAGAGGAGCCTGTTGGATGCAATTGTTGTCTATTCATGCTATTAATTTTATCATTAGATCTATTTTCATCATTATATTCATCACCACCACCACCACCATAATCACCAACATGGGTCAATTCAATTCTTCACCCCCTTCCGTCGCAGCCACATTGTCAGCGAGAAACACACAATGCCAGCAGCATAAGCACACCCAGCAAAGGCGATCAAACCCCAATACTCGCCATTGCAGCGGTGGAGAATTTCTCCCGCAATCGGAACTCCTGTCAAAGCCCTGTGAAACGTGTTAGCATGGATATAGGTACTCAGGAGGAGAAGGGGGATACTTGAACTCACCCAAAGCTGACAATGGTATACACCGTCGTATAATAGCGTCCGTAATTCTCAACAGGACACAATTCCCCAACACAAACAGGAACAAGGCTGATATTACTCCCACTGGCGAAACCAAAGACGACCGAGAAAATTATAACAGCAACAACATTCCCACCGGCCGGCATCCAAATCGCCAAAACAGATATCAGACAAAGAATATTCGTCAAGAGCAGGGTGTTAAATCGACCAATTTTATCAGCCAGAATGCCGGGCAACCACCGCCCCGGAAACGAACCCGCGTTCAAAAACACAACCATCATATAAGACAATCTCCGATCAATTCCATTAGCCAGAGCATACGAAGCAATATACTCAAGCGGGATAAAGAAACCCCACTCAATAAAGAAAACACCCAACGTGGTAAGCGCCAGAACGGGATTTTTGAGTATACTCAAATCAGGCAAAAACACCTTCGCCGACGGCGGCGAGGGCGGTTTAGGCGGGTGGTTCGCCTTCACGAGAACGACGCCAGGAATGAGGAGGACCAGTGTAATCAATCCAATAATCCTAGTTGACCATGCGAACCCAATCTTCGGAGCAAGCATCTCAAGAACAAGTGGAAAAATCACACCACCGATACTTCCACCTGACAACGCCAGACCCGTCGCAGCGCCACGTCGACGATTGAAAAAATGCCCAATACTAGCAACCGGGACAATGAAGATAAAGCTAGTTCCCATACCACCCAGAATCCCGATAACGACGAGGAAATGCCAGTAGAGGGTGCAAAAGCCCATAGCGACGAATGTGATGATAATCAGCGCGGAACCAATCCACATCAGTAATCGTGGACCGCGAGCATCGAAGATAGGACCGATCTGAATACCGCAGAAGAAGACCATGAAATTGTATATTCCGAAGATCCACCCGATTTGGCCTGCGCTTAGGGCTGAAAGTTGGTGGGTTGATATCCAGGCTTGGTAGATTCCGATACTGTTCATTAGGCCCAGGCCGCCCATTATCGAGCTGAAGCTTCCACCTACGACTAGGTTGGCTTGGAGACCGCCCTCTGGGTAGGTGGTGTTATTTTCGACATCGGTTTTGGGTTCGTGGTGCATTTGGTGGATAATTTGTTGTGGACGGGTGAGAGTAGATCGAAGTAGGCGGGATAAATTGTAGTATTATAATTCGAGGATAATTGGCGTGAAGATCAGAGCGAGTGTATTGATCGAAAGTATAGATAAACCTTCAAATGAAAAGCATCAAAATCAGGACAATGGAAGCTTATTATACCTAGATCTATCCCAACCAAGCGAAAACTTTTCACCTTGCCCGAGTTCGACCACCCACTGGCTCTTCTGAAAACATCATTTTTCTCGGGGCTCGCCTGCACGTTTCCATCCATTCGCACGCCATGCGCTGCGCTGCCATGCGATGCCGAGTAAGAAAATTCGCCGATGGGCGAGACGACATGTGCAGCGGTGCGGCACGGGGCGGCGTCACAGTGGCGCATATGGATGCCGAGAACTATCAGACCGATATGCACACAACGACCCAATCAAGCTCTCGGTCCAAACGGAAAATTTTCATGGTTTCGTGAATCTGGTTGGGCGATGAGTTCGCCGATGCCGAGGACTTTCTCTGGTTGCGGCGGCAAAATTGCCAAGGTTCGGCCATCGGCGGAGTCGGCCGTGGACGATGCGTTATTAGTACGTAGTTAGTTTAGTCAACTAGTAGTGGAGCTGTTTCATATTTCTTTTTGAAGTATATCTGAGTTGGCCGAGATTTGTTTAGGTCGTTTTGGGTGGTGGTGAATTGTTGTCGGGAAAGCGTCGGCCTTCGAGTTTTCCAATACTTCGTCAGTAGAGAGAGCAATGGTGTAGTAAGTTGGCGATGTTTGCCGCGGATCTTCTTCTGCTATTATTATGAGGCTCTCTCGTACTAGTTCTAGGATAAGGGACTATCGATGGGGAAGACAATTGTGTTTATGCCAATGTACTCCAGGGTCATCCCGCTACGTTATACAAAACCGAATTGTAATCCGACGGAGTCAAGGAAAGTAAATGTTGGGCCATGACCAAGTGATAGTCGGCAAAAAGTGCCAGTGCTAAATACAAGAAAAGAAAATACACCCGAATGGGAAGACTATGAAAAGTATTGACCGATAAAGAGAACACCAATACCAACACCAAGACCAAGACCACCGAGTCCAACCAACCCGACCCATTCCGATAAAATCCACCGGCTATGCGACCATCCCAACCACGGACGGGAAAAGGAAAACAGAATTGAAAGACGCCTACCCAATTAAGAATTTCTTGTTGATCTCACGAGAACTGACGGGTCCGCTTGGAGGGGCTCGGCGAGCGGAGGTGGGCCTCGCGGTCTCGACTGCGTTCCGTGACGAAATCCATACTCGGCGCTTCAAGTCTCAAGGGCACGTTTTCCTTCTCGGCATCTGCGGCGGACGACGGTGCGAGCTGGTGCGACTGCTGTTGTGGAGGGAACCCATAGTTGGGCATCGAGTGGTGGAGCAGTCCCGGGTGGTACATTCTATTCATATCAGAGGAGTTGGAGTATCCTTGTTGCTGCATATAGCCTTGCTGGTTGTTAAGGTTGTTTCTAAACGCGCTAAGGGACCAGTTGCTGACAACTGTCATGACACACATGGCAACCAGGAAGATAATCTGATACGAGAAGGACAAGTTAGCCGAAGATCTGCATCATAGTGGGGGGAACTGCCGAGTAGCTGTAGCTGTGACTGCAGCTGCAGTTGCAGCACTACGTACCACCGCTTTCCAGCTGATTGGCTCGATGAAAGAGTTAATTATTGTCGCCATGGTGGCCGCCGATAACTTCGCGTGGCCGATTTTGGCCGGATCACGATCCATGCAGACCTGCCAGGAATCGCACATCTTCTTCAACGCGGGTGCGCGATGCGGGCTCTCGCAACCATTGGTCAGGTAATCTCTAGCACAATCGTGGATCTCAGTGAGAATCCCACTCGACTCTTGTTCGGCCATATGCTGGAATTCGCCGCGGATGGACTGCAGGACGGACCAAACGACGTACACAGCCATCGAGAAGATGGATACGTTGAGCGTCAATTGCGCCCACCAAGACAGGATGCTTGGCATATTGGGGTGTGATTCGAGGAAGGTGAATAATTGTGATAAGGCGGAGCTGTTCGTCGCTTGATCGTGCTTCTTTGAATATCTCTTATGGTTGTTCGTTTTGCCTGGTAGCCCTTCGCTACTGCTGGGTCGATCACTGTCGTCGTCGCTATCCACGCGAACTCGTCGGCCAATCTCCTTGTCTCGTTGTCTCTTCTTGAAGACCCTACGGGCAACAGCGCCGGAGTAGTGATTCTTGCGAATCTCCCCGCGACCCGGACTGGCGTTGGGAGCGAAGCGTCCGCGGTTGTTGAACAGGGAGTTTTGTCGTTCGTGTCGGAATGGCTGCTCTGGGGTATCTTCGTTGTCTGCGTTTTCGGGTGAAGAGAAGTTCTCTGCGCCGGAGGAGAAATCGATCTCAGCAGGTTTGCGCGGTGTTGTCCAAGCTGACTGGCCAAATCGGGGGGGTCTGTGAAGAGGTTTGCGAGGTGTAGGGTGCTGGCGAGGGCGAAGCTGGTTGTTGAGAGAAAAGGAAAGGATGCGAATTCGGAGCGCGGAGACCGGGGACTTTTGTCTTCTCAGGAGAACCAAATGCGCTGTATGTGCCTACAATGGGATGTTTGTTAGCAAGGAACCATGTCAAAGCCAAAGGCGCATGGAATAGAATGGAATGAAATGCATGGGAGGGGAGGGATGAAGGGCGCACGCTTCTTGTTTTCATGCTGCAAAGCGAACTGATGGAATCCGGAGCTGGCATCACCAGGCTGGCGATGTTGCCACTCGAATTCCATCGGACTCTCAGCTGTTCTGGACTGCATTGTGTGGGCTGCAGTTGGTGGATGGGAGGGGAGGAGGTTGAAGTTGAGGTTGAAGTTGGATTGTGGGGAGAAGTTTTGTTTGGGTAAACATCACCTCCGCGGCAACGTGACTGCACGGGGAGTACTAGTCACTATACACTATGGGACACTACACTGCAATTTGGATTATATTGGGAGGGGATGTAGTCTTTTTTAAATACTACAATGCAGTACAATGTATTACAGTGCAAGACTGATGACATACTACAAGGAGAACAGAGACAATAGATTATAGACAGCACTGTAGACTGCGGACGCCAGCGCCCACCAGTACTACCAGCACCAGCACATCATTCCAACATTAATACTAGTATACCAACACTATATCTATATCCAAACCATACCCCGTCTCTTTCCTACTCATCCACCTGCCACTGGTACTCCAACGCCTCCATGCGATCCCGCTTATTCCTCGATGAAAACCAATCCTTCTCAAACCCATTCGCTCGATCCACCCCATCCCACCGATGTCCCGGCCGAATCCCATACCGATTAGGTTGAAACGAACCCCGATATAAAGGTCTCCCCGTGACACTCGCACCGGGCGCTGCCTTTTTCGTCAAGAATCCCGCAGCAGGATCATTCCAGCGACTCTGCGACCGGAGATCATCATTGAGAGCCTCATCATCAATCGTCCTCGCAACAGGCATAGACTTAATATCCTCAAGCTCCTGCTTCCGTGTCTCCTTTTGTTGTCGCTGGACATCACCCATGGCTGCCTCGCGTTCCTCCGCCTCTTTCTTCTTCTTCTCTTCCTCCACCCTCCTCGCCTCCGCACGTTTCATGGCAACATTGATAATTCGTCCGGAGGCATCACGGTAGATCGTTTCCTGTGACCCTGAATCTGCAGCGGCGGGGTCTTGGTATTTGGCCATCTCGGCCTTTTTCTTCTTCTCTTGCGCTTTTACCATCGCCGCCGTCTGCGCTGCTGTTTGTAAACCTCCGCGAACTCCGGATTCCATCTTCGGTCCGCCCTCATTTTCCTCTTCAACCAGTGTAGGTCCTTCCTCATTATCATCATCCTCCCGTGCAGCACGCTCTGCAGCTGCAGATGCGAGAATCGCGTCGGCGGCGGCTTGTTCACTATCTGCGCCGGGCGCGGATCCGCCAACGCTCGTCCAGGTAGATTTCTTTGTGCGGCGAAACTCGGCGGATCTGAAAGACGCATCGATAGTGGGGTTATACTCGTCGTCATCGCCCGTCTTTGTAGACATGTTGCGCAAGTCTGGAGGGTCATCGTCGGCGATGATGAGGCCGTTGGAGGGATCTGTGGTTTTGGTCTTCTTGCGCTTCTTCTTTGGTCGTTCTGTGGTTGGGTCGGCGTTCAGGTAATTTTTCGCCAGGTAATCGGCGAGTGAACCGGGCATGGCGACGGTTGGAATGTGTGTGTGGGTAGTTGTGATGAAGTTAACTTGGACTTTGAAGCTGGTTCGATCCTCCGCTTTGGAAGCTTCCATATTTGGCGAAGCCGAGCCCGGATCATCTTTTCTCCGAAGTGTATCGCAGTGAACAAAAGTACAAAGTGGAAACAGAGTAGAAGAATTAGATGCTAATTATGCTAAGAGAACTAGTAGTATTAGGGATACGTAATACTACTAATAGGACTCGGTGACTACATATAGTGTGTAGTATTCGGTAGGATACTATATACAGAACTAGATAACCACAGAGTAGTAGTGGACATACTAGTAGAATAACTATGCAGTAGCAGTCACATGTTGACCTAATAGAAGGGTCGACTAACAGAAGCTGAAGAGCTGGGATCCTTTGTCATGGAAACACGTACGCGAAAGCTTGGGCCAGGCCAGCCCCTCACTCAGTTTAGCATTACGGGTATGGCATCGACCTACAGACACCAAGAGCGAATCAAAGATGCTGAACTTCTAGAATTCAAACTACAGGACATTGATGAAAGTAAGCATCCCAGAGGATGCCCTGGTGAATTCGACGAAGAAATCGGAAATCATCTATGGCAAGAGATCCAACTGGACATCGCTCGGAATGAGAACAACAATGGAGACGGATCACATCGCGAGCAAGATAGCCTAGTTGCACATGGGCATGCTACGTATTGCAGACACTTCAATGGTGACATTTCATTTCAGTACATGAGGGCATGGACAGGCAAATAGCAATTGTTTCCAATTGAGATACCATCATACCAGTGCGATCTTAATTATCTGGGATGAAATGGGAAGTTAATACTAGTAGCTCTTAGAATTGTGCCGCCGCTGGGGGACCTCAAGATGATATACATGCTAACTACTAACCGGGTCAACAAGACAAGAAGGATGTTCTAGTACATGGCCGAGCAATCTAAAGGTCCGGAGACCAAAGAAAGATGAAACTTCAAACAGCAGTGAGAAAGATCGTAGAAAGCATTGGGTCGAATGGAAAAGAATGACCAATACTAGCAGAGTCATCTATACAATAACCACTGACTCTACAAGTGCATATCTCAAACACAAAAGTTACCATACCCAAAAACCGGAAGAATAAAGTTCCAGCTCTCGACCAATCACCACACTGACTGACATTCCTTGGACCTCCTCAGGGTACGCTTTGAAATACAACAATCAAGAGTCAAGTCCACCAAATCCAAATTCAACGCCTCAACCTCCCAAATCAAATCAAAATGCCCCGCTCCGAAGAAGCAGAACAATGGGCCAACGCAGTCTACTCCGCCATCCAAGAAATCCCCCATGGAAAAGTGACCTCATACGGACATATTGCCCTACTTCTAGGAGAACGTACGTTTACACCTGATCTTCCTCGGTGCTCTCTCAATCCCCGGGCTTCAAGTTCCTTCGTACCAGGCCAGCTAGGTCATAAAAGCGTTACCAACATTCAAGTTGGGAGACGCACTGACCGTAACAAGCCAAGTCTAACAATCCATCCAATCCAGCCCAAAGACCCCGCCAAGTCGGCGTATGTCTTAAATCACTACCCGACGCTGACTCTGGACAACATTATACGAATGACACCGTCCCGTGGCAGCGAGTCGTTAATTCCAAGGGAATGATTTCTCATCGGTGAGTCCCATCCGGCATAAAACAAACTCAACCTCAAACAAGGCCTTTGTCTGCGCTGTGCTTCCTGATTCTTACTACTTACTATACACATTGCTTTGCTTTCCTTTCTTTCGTGATACACTTCAGTTGCCATATACCCCTTTCTTCTACATAATATCTCCATATACATTCAAGTTGACCACAACTAACCAATCGCCCCCGAATTCACATACAGTGGACCCGGCAGCGCCCAACGACAAGCAGACGTCCTTCGCTCCGAAGGCGTCGAAGTGAAGGGCGATAGCATGGGGGGAATTTTACATTGACTTTTCGACGGTAGGCTGGTTTCCGGCCGAGTTACCTAGCGAAGCTGAATGAACATGGAAATGAACATGAATACGAATCCGAATCCGAATCTACAATGCAGGCAGTTCAAATCGTATACGTTGATCAGACAAGCGGCAGAAGCGCAGTGCTCATTCTCGCCAGATAATCCAAATATATCAGTACTAGCAGAATAGAATCTATAGGAAGCCAGGAAACGCGGGCTAGGCGAGCGAGGGGGAGGGCATGGGATGTGGTGGGAGGGGAGGGATACGGGGAAAGGCAAAGAGAAGAACAGAAAACACCCAACTCAAACCAGGAACGGAAGAAGAACAACAACTTGAAGATATCCAACAAAATCAAATCAAAGACATGGCCCGACCACACTGAATCCCGTAAAGAAGAAAGAAGATAAAGAAAGAGGAATAGAAGAAAGAGAAAGAGAAGATGGAGAAAGGTAAAAAAGATCGTTAGACTCACAACATCATGGTCATAGCTGAAGAAATCCAAATCGGAAAAGAGCCAAGAGAAAGGGAAAGGAAAGAAAAAGATCAACCTCAAACAGAGTCGCTGGACTGGACTGGATGTAATAGATCGCAACTGCAACTGCAACCTCCGCTCCGCTCCACTCAACTCAGCACAAGACAAATAAATCCCCTCCCCCCCTATCCGAATCCAACCCTCTCATCGCCTCTTAAATTCCTGAGCCCATCCATCAATCCCTTCACCGCGGGTTCCGGGCGTAATCCCCAACCCAATGTCCTCCATAGCAATCGCATCACTGATCCACTCATGCGACGCCATGCCACCCGCATTAGCGCGCTTCTCAGGAAGAAGATCCAGCATTGGGAGAAGGAACTCGCTAATACGCATACTCTGCTCGACGCTGTAGTGGTATTTCTCGCGAAGGACCTCGGGCAAAGCCCAGTGGCGTAGACGATGGATGTTACGCAGTTCGCCCTTGCGATTGAAGATCTCTTGAGACCATTTGCCGGACAGACATTGGGATTTGGACAAGGGGCCGAGAAGTTCGATGATCTGGGCGATATGGTCGTCGTCTTTGCCGTATTTTGTGCCGGACTGTGGGTCGAAGAGGTAATCTCCTGTGATGAGTTCGAAGACCTGATGAAAGTTGTTAGTACTGAGGTAGGTAATATGATTCTAAGTAACCCAGAACAAGCCTATATGTGGCTTTCTGCTGAACTCACCATGCAGGCCATACTCCATACGTCCGTGCTAGCACCCCACTTGGCACCTAATATAACTTCGGGGGAACGATATTGTCGTGTTTGAATGTCATTGGTGAAGTGGTGGCCAACCCAGCAGGCGTTGCCCAGGTCGGCGATCTTAACGGAGATTATATTCAGATCGATTTCGTCTTCGGGTTGGGAGGTTTTGTTGAGTGAGATACCAGACACCTCTCTCTCCAGGAGATCGCTGTGATCCATTAGCGCAGTTCATGGAGGGAGTGGGGATGGGCGAGGATGGGCGAGGATTTGGTGTAACTCACGCGGTCTTCTCGCGCTGGCCTTGCTGTTCATCTTGTTCTGCGATGCCAAGCGACTCCTTCATCGATGGAGGGTCTCCCGATGCTGTCAAGTTAGTATACACGGACCTCAAGCATCGATTCATCATCTCAACCGCACTCACCTGCTTCATTGACCATCTGGCTGAGACTGCTGTGTGAATTTGAGGAACTATGCTTAAAGTCGAAACCGCTAAAGCTGCTGTTCAACGGACTGGGCAGCGGCTGGCTGCCAGTAATGAGGGTACGCCTCCGTCGGCGACCATTGCGATTGTCCTCTTTATCCTTCTTCGCCTGCTCCTGTTGAACATGCGCCTGGACAATCTGCTCGACATCGCCGATCTCAATGAGAACGTTTTCGGGCTTCAGATCGGTGTGAATGATACCGCACTCGCGATGAAGGTAATCCAGACCAAGCAACACCTGCTTGGTGATCTGCTTGACGAGGGCCATGGGGATCCCGCGGTGGTTCCAACGCTTAATCAGACCCAGCAGGTTCTCTCCGAGGACCTCGAAAACCATGCAGACGTGGACACCGTTGGGGCCTTTGTGTTCGAAGGAGTCGAGCAGACTGACGACATGTTTGCGACCGGGGTGGGAGGGCTTGGCTTGGACGATGCGATTCAAGAGTTTGATTTCATCGATGGCGGTTTCCGTATAGTGGGCGGCTGAGCGGACGACTTTGAGCGCGACGTGTTTGCCGGTGGTGGTATCGCGCGATAGCCACACCGTGGAGAAATGGCCCCAGCCGAGTTTGCGCACGACGACGTAGCGACCGTTGTTGTAGGTTTCACCGACAGCCACGGGGTGATACCCACCCTTGCAGTAGTCTTCGGAGTCTTCCTCTTCGGCGGTGGTTTCAAGCTCATCGCCAGAGGAGGCGGAGGGCGATCGTGAGGCGGGGGCGGAGGATTTGGAGGCGGAGGCAGTGGAGGCCGCGCCGGTACTGGAAAAAGGCATTAGTGGGTGATGGGAGATGTTGATGGGAGGTGGATGAGGATGATGATGAGAGAGCTCGACCAGAGTGCAGGGTAGAGCAGGGTAGAGCAGGGGTCACAGTGGAAGCTGATAGCTTCGTAGCTGGGAAAGCCGAAAGAAAAATAGTACATACGATTCCGTCGCGCCGGGGGTCGCATCACTGGTGACGATGGGCTTCAAATCACCCTTTCTCCCTTTTTCCCGGCGCCATTGCCATTGGCGGCGGAGGCGGCGACACTGGCCATCTGTTTTCCCTTGTTTAGGACTTTGGTGAGATCAACGCCCTCCATGTTTGTGGAGTGAAGGTGAGGCGGGGCAATGAAGTTGCGGGCCCGTGTTGAGTGAGTGTGGTAAGTGGCTGGGGAGTGGTGGGTGGTGAGTGGCGAGTTGACTCCAGTGAGAGAGATGAGGTGAAGGGAGCCCAGCGAGATGAGTCCAGAGTGGGTATATTCCCACCGTCAAGATCAAGATAGAGATCGTCGATCAGGCGAAGATCAAGATAGAAGAATCGAGACAACGATCGGATTCCGCAAGCAGCAGAGCTGAGTACAGCTGGGACGGATGTGGCAAAATGTCGCATCGGGCGACAAGTGGGCCTGAGTGCAGTAGTATACCTGGAATGTTGGGGGATGTGGCGCATGGGAGAACTGCAGAGTATGGCAATGAGTAATAAAAGGGAGTAAACTAGCAATCTAGGCCAAGGATGTGAGGAGGGAATCGAGTCCGCAAGGTGAGGTGAGGTCGAGGGGAGAGTGCGGAGGGAAGAAGTGGAAGAAGTGGGAGGCACAGCCGGGCAGAGCATAGCAGTAGTAGTAGTGGTGGTAGTAGACAGCAGCAGTACTGTTTATTAGTAGTACTATCAATGTTAGATAATAAATTGAGTAAATAATATGACAATAGGGGATCTGATCTTTGCTAATTGGTGTGTTATTCTAAAATATGCTACACTTCTATGATTGTATCCCCATCACCACTCCTGTGTTTTACTATACACTCTACTGCATCTTATAGTACTGGGCTATCTCTACCCAGTGTTACTTAATATCTTCGCTTTCTGGTATAGACTATAATTTGTATGATATACTGGTTTGAGGGAATATTTTTCTCTATTTCTATCTAATTTATTTAATTTATTCTCTTGTCCAGTTCTATATCCACTCCACTCTCCAAGTACTTTGTCACTTCTATTACTGGGCTCTCCCCCCACAGCTTTGATTATTCTCCCTGATTATCACTAGATAGATACATTCATATAGGTGTCCAGATTCAAAAAATTGTATTTCCCCCTATTTCTCTTTAATTTATTCGATTTAATACTGTCCATCTCTATATCCACTCTCCTCTGTGATATCCCCTCTTCTAGTACTGCAATTGAAGCCGCCGAGTATGTCTACTACTACCACCATGTTATTCTTCTTTATTCTACATCTTTCATATTATATCTGATTTTCTCTTCATTTCTATAATCTTCCCCTATTTTACCCGAATTAATTGCATTTTTCCTGGAGCAATAACTATTGTTGGCCCCTGCTGATGTCATCCATTTCTCTCCGCACTTCTCCTCCGCTTCTTCTTCTTCTTCTTCTTCTTCTTCTTCACCTCTGCAGCTCCCTCCTGGGCCACCCTCACCATGTCAAACCCCTATCACCATCGTTCTATCCCAGACTACTTCATTTCCTCCCCTCTCGTCGCCCTGCTCTACCCTTTCCACCAGCTCCTCCTACGTCTCCGCGGCTCTCCCCGACTCCCACCATCAGAGCCACCAATCCGAGTCGTCTGTCTCTCCGATACACATACTCTACAATGGCCCGATGTCCCCGATGGTGACCTTCTGATACATGCGGGCGATCTCGCCAATGATGGCTCCGTCCGTGAGATCCAAGCTGCCGTCGACTGGCTGCGCAGTCTGCCACACCAACACAAGGTCGTCATTGGCGGTAATCACGATAGCTACTTCGACCTGCGATCGCGACTTGAGCAGGATCGCGAAGATACCAGCGCCTCCGCCTCCTTTGCCGCAGTCTCCTCCTCCACAGCTTCCATCCGATCCTTGGACGAGCTAACCGCCTCGCGCATTGACTGGGGTGACATCCACTACCTCCAACACTCCTCCGTGACACTCGACTTCGCACCCTCCTCTCCACCAACCGCCACTACACCTCTGACCAGCGACCACCCCCGCTCACTCACGATCTACGGCGCCCCTCAAATCCCTGCACTAATGCCCTTCGGTCCCGAACACGCTTTCACCTACCCACCCCACCACGACGCTTGGACACGCACCATCCCAACAAACACAGACATTCTCGTTACACACACCCCACCACAAGCCCATCTCGACATGTCACCCATCTACTCAACCGGCTGCCCAAACCTACTCGCCGAAACATGGCGCATCAAACCCGCCCTCCACGTGTTCGGCCACATCCACAACTCCGCCGGCCGCGAACCCGTCTTCTGGGATGAAGCCCAGCGCGCTTGGGAACGACTCTGTGCGTCGCGCCGACCGCGCGCAAAGTACGGGCGTCTTCTCTCGTTAGCGGGATTACTGCGCGACCTATTCGACCCGGCCAGCTGGCTCGATGCGGCGCGAGTGCTGATTTATGGTGTACTGGGTGTGGTTTGGGCGCAGGTTTGGGGTGGAGAGAGTCAACACGGTGGGTGGATGGTGAATGCGGCGTGTATGTATAGGTCGAGTGGAAAACTGGCGAATGCGCCGCAGGTGGTTGAGTTGTGAACACCGTGGTGGAGTTGACCACTGCTTGCATACTGTTCTTTTCAGCGTTGTCTTGTGTTGTGTGCATACCGTCTGCGCTTGCGCTTGCACCTGAGCCTGAGCCTGGCGTTTTCACTTCTCTGATGATTTTGTCCTATTGGGCTGATTAATTGTAAATATTCCACATTGGTGGCCCCATCAAAGCTGTTGCCACCTAATCCATCGTACTGGTTGCCCATCAGTCGATGTGTATACCATGCCATTTTCTGAAGTATAAATATACCACACTCTTAGCTTTTACCAAAGAAATATTTCAATATCAATGTACATCCTCTATACCAAAACATGCAAACCACCGACCTATGTGTACAGAACTACATCTCAACGGCGAGCATTTCATGGATTTTTCATTAATGCCCAGGAACCCTGCAGTTAGTGATACCCAGCAAAAAGTAAATACAATTCTGACAAATATAAAGCCGTATAAGCTGACAAATATCACTTAATCATACAAACGCAAACGGATACTACGAGTAGTACTGGTAATAATCGTAGATCGATACAATGCGCAATTTTCCATCCAGTGTAGAACAATTCGAGCTATTGATCCTATACTTCCACAACAAACATCAAACCGTCGCAAAGCTACCTCTAAATGGACTAGCCACTCGGCCCTCGGAGCTTAATCCACGCGAGAAGCGAGTAGAAGCTAGCCTTGCGATAGAATGCTGATGTGAGACCCCCACCTACCCCTGCAGGCTGAATAATCCTAGTACTATAGTTAGTTACTGCAGCTATTAAAGCCACTGACATCCTGCTGTCGTTACCTCTTCTACTAGCAAATGCTTCACCCAGGGGGAAGGATATTCCCATCGACCCCGCTTGCAACTCTTTCAAGCACCTAGGAAGAACTCCGATTATGGCTTCATCTAATGCTACTCCGCAAGGAGCCACCATTTTCGAATTGAACAATGGTATGAATCTAACTCCCGTCTTTAATACCTCATAAATACTCACTACAATTCCCCCGCAGGCCAAAAGGTACCAGCCCTCGGCTTCGGTGCAATGAAAAGTAAGCCCTAGCCAGAAATCCCAAGCACAAGTTCTCAATCCACTCCATTCCACTCAACAACTAACCCCAAACCACCAATTCGAGAAGGCGGCGGCACATTCCCACCCGAAGAAAGAAACCACGTAAAAAACCTAATAACCCAAGCCATAAACGCCGGGTACCGCACAATAGACACATCAAGACTCTACGCCACAGAAGACCTAGTCGGTCAAGCCGTGCGCGAAACATCCATCCCACGCGAAGAATTCACCATAATCACCAAGCTAGCTCCCTCAGACACTCACGATGTGCGGGGCGCATTCGAAAGATCTCGCGCTTTGCTGGGCACGTATATCGATATATATATCATGCACTGGCCGCAGGGGTTTGATAAGGATGACCCAGCGCGGCCGCTGAATCCTGAGGAGAGTCCGACTTATATTGAAGTTTACAAGAAGATGCAGGAACTGGTTGGGCCGGAGTGTCGGGGTATCGGGGTGGGGAATTTTACGATTCGGACTTTGGGCCCGCTTTTGAATGATCCAGGCGTTTATGTTAGGCCGGTTGTTAATGAGATTGAGATTCAGCCGAGGAATCCTAATTTGAAGCTTGTACCTTATTGTTTGGAGAATGGGATTCGACCTGTTGCTTGGGGGTGGGTTTGAGTTTACATTTCATTTGCCGGAAATGCCAACAGCACGAAAATACTAACAATTACCTAGTCCCCTGGCCGGTGGAATATCAAGCCAATACACAAATACAACAACCATCTACGACGATCCCCTTTTCAAAGCACTATCTTCGAAATACGATATATCGGCCGGAACTGTGATTCTCTCCTGGCTTGTTCAGCGCGGAGTCATCGTGGTTCCGCACTCGAGTTCTCCAACCCGTCTTGCGAAGAATAGACAGCTTGCAAAACTGACGGAAGACGAAATGCAAGAGTTGAATTCTTTTCACGAGAAGGCTGGACGGCAGCGGGTTACGGATGAGGCCTTTTTTGATTTCGGTTGGAAGGATACGCCTGGTAAGGGGAGGACTTTTATGGGTTGGAGTGTGGTTGATCTTGGGTGGGAGGATGAGAAGGGTAATTGGTTGACTTGAGGGTTGGGATTTTCAACTTGTTTATCGATGGAATATAGTTGGAGTTTTGGAAAGACACTTGAATACATATAGAAACAATCCATTCCTCACCAATTTGCATAGTAGGCATGTTAGGATCAATTGAATGGACTCACAGACATGCTTACTAAAATACACATTTAACCTCTGATGCTTAGCATGATCGTCTAGATTTAGGTCTCCTAGAAATTTATTTACCACATGAAGCTAATTTTCCTATCCCAGTTTTAATATTTTACCTCTATGTGGATACCGAATGATTGCCATGCTGTTCGTGTTCAATTTCATTAAACCATGAGCGAGAAATCCTAGCATGTAAAGTGCGTCCCAATGTTGATACATCCTCCTGCCTACTATCAAGTGCTCATAGTCGGAAATCATTCGATAAATCCAAAGTTCCTTTGCTCTGAATATAATCTGTCCTGTTTATCAATATCGCAATGACTCACAACTAGCGGCCAATGGAAGGCCGGGAAGACTTGAATCCATCATTTGCCAAGGTGCCTGGGGCCACCGTGTTGAGATACTGAGATGGGGGCCAAACCTTTGAGGTGCATAATTTAAATACATTATGATCAGGTATGTTTCTCTTGTGCAACTACTCTACCACAGGACCAATAGTACCGAGATGGTACTTGGATTTGATAAAATGGTTCTTCGGTGTAAGAAGTCATCGTGTTCCCAAGGCCCGTCCTACGGGCTTCTAGGCGTGGCCTGTATCATGCTTCTTGTCATCCCGATATCAGCACTCAATTCACAACATCTTGCAAACCGCCCATCTCAGGGACAAAATCAACAAGATTCAAATTCAAATTCACTTGCGACCGATCAACCAGATCCATACAGACAACCCCTCAGGATCCAGCCATTTGAAGCCAACAAAACGAAGGTCGCTATTATCGGTAAGAGTATCTGCACGAATTTGAAAATAAATGTGTCACCAATAAGGGAACCACATTTTATTCATATCTACTGGTACATGGTCTCTAACATTCCCTCAGGTGGTGGAATTGCCGGAATATACCTAGCGGACCTCCTCGAGAGTAACGACCCTGGACTCACATCAGCAGAAGTTACAATTTTTGAGAAAGAGCCACAGATTGGAGGTCGAATTGGAAAAGCCTATCGATACGACGCCCGGGATAGTTCTTGGACAAGTATAGCACCTACCGATAGCGGAGCGTATATGTTTGATTCGGACGATGAAGCGATCGGTGACATGGTTCGCAGGACCTCTTCCGAGGATCGCATCGATCGTGACTTTTTTGTTTGGAGCCGATCATTTGGCACAAGTCTCCCTGATCGAGCTAGTACCTGGGATGGCCAGACTTTGAACCTGAACCCGACTGATCGAGTGCCTCTGACATGGGAAAATGTCGCAAGGACTCTCTCAAGGCATGCCTTGTCCCCCAAATACTGGTGGAATGTCTTCCATTCCTTGAAAGAGTCAATCAATGGCGAATATATCGAACCTTTATTGACGAGTTGCCGGAATTGGAAGACAGGGCAGGAGTGGGAGGAATATGACGATTGGATAACTTTCCAACTGTTGGTAAAATCGATATTCATACGGGCGCGACCCGGCCCAGACAAGGATTTATTGTCAGAATTCACAGGACATTATTTCATCGGCTCAAAGCCCCAATCTACCCTCGACACTGGCATTGGAGTTCTATTAGATGACGTTGTCAAGCAACTAGGCCGACGAACCAACTTTTCTCTCAATCTACAATCCGCGGTGACCAAATTGATTCAGCGGCCTGATTCGGCTTGGGATGCCCACTGGACTTTCCAGTCTCCTCACGTTTTGACAGAAAATCACAACGGCACATTTGACTCTGTCATTATTGCCGCCCCTTTCGGGCAAGCCTCTCTCCGGTTCGAGCAATCGTTGCCAATCACTCCGGATAATATAAGCTACACTTCTCTTCACGTTACCAATTTCCTAACGGAGCGACCACTGGATCATACGGCTTTCAACATGTCTTTGGATTACGGCGAGGGGCCAAATCTTATATGGAACGTGCAGAGTGACGGAGTAGCTCAGCCTGGAAATCCATGTTCAACCCCGCCGTTTATCTCGATCACAAGGCTTTTCAGCGACGTAGGTTCGGGCTGTGTATCCGACTACGAGAATCTTTACCGTGTCGTCTCAAAAGACCCATTCTCGGACGATGACATTGCTGCCTTGATGAAAAAATGTGGCAAGGCCCGAGAGAGTGTCACTTTCCCGGATCAAAGCTGCTACAAGTTAAACAATGGATACTCAATGAATACCGATCCGGACCTAGCGATCAATTACCCCACACGTCCAGAGACCCGCTGGATGGGCAGGAGCGAATGTGTTGACGAGCCCTGGATTCGATGGGTTGGTCGGAAATTTTGGCCATACGCATTACCTGTAGTGGAAGGAACCAGACGCCAACCGGGCCAGGATGATCAGCTGGAGCTGGCACCGGGTTTATTCTACGTTTCTGGATTTGAAGGTCGACATGGAGCATCTCTATCAGAGAGCACGAACAGTGCAAGAAGGATAAAAGATATGTTATTGTCTAAATATTTAAAGATTCAGGATGGGCATCCTCAAGCTGGCTCTGACGTTCGTTTGTAAAATCAGAGAGGCTTTGAGAAAGGCAAATGATGGGGCTTCATTTTCGCTCTTTATTAAATGCTAACCTTGGAATACATAAACTATCGATCCCGAGGTCCTTGGAAATATATTAAAAATAGTACCTGTGGGCCATATTTCATCGTTGAGGAGAGGTGTACTAGTAGTACTAGAATCATCATTGGCAATAGTTATAAGTTACAAGTGCCTATATATACCTCGGGTGAAGTCCATCTATGAAGGTGAACATTGGCGATGGCAATCGGGAGGGCTGGCTTGAAACCGAAGATGCGGCTGGTAAGATTTCGGTTCTTGAAGAAATCACCGGGCCCATTCAAGCCGAAGCCAATGGTACCGAACCGGAATACATCAATTACGTCCCCCAGTTCCAGATCAGAACACACCATCTGACTTCAGAGATGCTGCCGATTACTATCTTGCTCCACGAGCGCAACTGAAACGTTCTCTAATTTTGGAACTGCTCTAGCAAGTACCAGACGAAGATGACATAGCCCCTAATTTTTCTTAATCTCCTTTATATTTCGGGATTTGAGCTTCGCCTCGGTATTAACATCCCATCTAGACGTAGACATCATGATGCTGGTGGATTCCTGCGATGACTTCTTTACCCCGGCATTTGATAGGCTTTCTTCTGTACCAAGCATCATCGAAACACCATTTACAAGTGGCTCGACGAAAGCCATTTTATTCAGTGGCTGGGCTAGACTCACCCTAGGGTAACTCCTGCTCCAGGAAGCGGCGCAGAATTTCCCTAGCAGTGAAGCCAACCAATCAGCGTCCAGATCAGCAACAAGTTAATAGTCGGAGTGCCAGCAAAAGTTTCGCGAGTAGCTCGCGCGGGGTAGTAATCCTCGTACTAGGGTCCTCATTTCAGGGCAAGAAACAACCGAACACGAGAAGGGATCCCACCCAGCCCCAATGAGAGAGAGGCTTGGCGGGCGAATAGGGTGTATGTGTCGCGACCTGTCTACCATTACTAGTCGGATACACTTCCAAATTGCTTGGCATTATTAGGTAAACTGCGTACAAAGCGGTAATTGCATGTTAAATAGTTTTCATCCAGTATTTTAGAAATGCAGACTTATCGCGATTTCCATACCAGTACCAAATGACGATTAGTGGCCTATTTTGGACTACGAAAGTATGTTTCTCGTAGTGTTTTTGGCAGCGTCAACGTTGGCGTCGGGCAGCCGGGGTTGGTAACCCCTTCCACTCCGTTCCTTCGTTTCAGGGAAATCCATCAATCCACCCATACTGTATAGGTACATAATGTAGGTCCTTGATGATTATCGCAGTAGCGATCCATGGCTGCTAACCGTGCCATACTCAAGCGCTCCCCCATGTGGATATTTCCTCTTCCCAGGAACGATGCGAGCGCCACGTGTGAACAGACGGTGCTCAACCTCACGCTCAATTTCCACAGCCGTTTTCCCATCGCTGTCATAGGTCGAATGTGCACCGGAGAGTACGGTCACACCAAATCCAGCGGCTAGCGCCCCTGTGCACGTCGCCTCCACGCAGCCCTCACTCTGGAGACCGAACATGACAATCTCGGTGATGTTTCTGTTGCGGAGCTTCTGTACGAGATCGTGATTTGACTTGAAAGTATCTCCTACAATCTCTGCTTAGCTAACATAATTTTCCTTATATATATTTCAGAATATACATACCTGTGCTCTTCGCCACTAATATCTCGTCCTGCCGGTTTGATCGAGGAGGGAAAAACAGCTCCCAAGACTTACTGCCCCTCAACATAGTTCCCTCGGGCGGAAACTCCTCATGCTGGACGAAAACAATAAGCCAGGGTGGTGGGCTGTTACTGCCTTCATAGGAGTCAAGGATCAACCTAGAAACCTTAAGGATTTCTTCCGTTGCCTTGATAACCTGCTTAGAATTAGGAATGCAGGTGTCAGGATCGGCTATAAGTTCGTTTTGGATATCAACAACGAATAGCGCCCTTGGAGAAGACATCACTACGTTGGGTGGGAAAGGGTAAAATCAAGCTGGTGTGAGGATTTCACGAGGAAAGAGTGAGGAATTAGGGAAAGGTTAATGTTGGGGGTTTAAGAATGAAAGGACAAAAAGGCACTAGAGATAGGTGCTGTCTAGCTAAAACAAGACCAAGAAACTGGCGGCTTTTAGACCGGCGAGAAAGAAGCACGTACGAGACACATAATTAGTTACAGTAATTTATCATTACTCATCAAGGCTACATAGTTTAAAGGGAGCTTAACCCGATATGGAAATGAGGGTGGCTGTGAGATACCAAGAGAGAATATCGAGGTAAATCTGATTTCGAATATCACTGTATCATCCTTGTAACAGAACGCCAAATGAAAGCCTTTCGGGTCCTCTCCAGTCTGGCCATTAATAGTTGTGGTTTTGTGATGTTTCGATCTGTACGCGAGACACATACAAATTAATCATTTTCGCAGCAGCAAATAAACTTAATGTTTCGAGCGCATCTCTACCTGATCAATATTGCCCACGGATAAAGTTTCATATCTCTGGCAGTCTGATATGCTAGGGCCACGACATCCCGCGAATCTTTCGGATTCTTTGGCATCTTGCCTTTGTAAAAATAATACTTGACAAGATTGACAGTAGACATGCTGGTAAAAGAAGGATATGTGGACATTCTGACTGCGACTGCATACAGGAACCTCGCACTGAGGCGGGCCTAGAGCCCGTGACAGAGAAAGAGAGGGGGGCCTTCGAGACGATGCTTCGAACGATGCCAGTCTTCCAGCCGAACGAAAGAGCGACAGCACAGCAGGTATTGCACTCCGAATGGATGAAAGGCTGGGGACAACCGGCGCTTGAAGAAAGCAGGGCACTGCCAAACCTTTGATGAAAGTGAAATGAAAGATTGCGAAAACAATTGACATCAATTCTAAACTGAAAAAATTACGCATGTGGCAGCTGCTCTCTAATAACTATATGTTGTAACGCCTGGAAAGGTTACGATTACTCTGCAATTTCATTCATATCTCTGTTTCGCGTCACCCAGCGGGCAACATCGCTAAGAAATCGCCGGGCGGCTCCTGATTTTACGCAGTTTTTGACAAGGAAATCTGGATCTTGATAATCGTGGATTTGCTTGAGATCCAGATAATTCTCAAGGGCTATATCGCGGGCTTTCTGGACTCTCTCCTTGAAGGTCTCACTGCTCACCCGTAAATGATGCCAGGTAGCATATTCTTTGACGGCTATATCAACAAGTCCCAGAATATTAATTAGATTAGCTTGCTTAGCAGCTGGATTTTGGATATTCAGCAGTAGCGGTAGCTGTAGGGATAGGTATTTAAGATAGGAGATAAAAGTAGACTAGATAATATATAGATCTACATATAGAGCTGTCTGGGCTTTTCTTCTGTCGTTCAAGCCGCTGATTCTCCTCGGCATAAAATTGTTTACAAACAATATCAGAAATGTTGTTATAAGTTTTGATAATCCCTCCCTGCTATATATATCTAATATGCATCTTTAAGTAGGTTATACATAATCTATAAAAAGTTTTTCCGTATAGGTCCTACCAGCAATATTGTCCTTTATAGTAGTTTAGAGGTCCAGGACAACGTATAATTCTATACTTATCTTACCATACTTCATAAACCCTGGAAGCCTGCTCGGCATCTATCACAGTAATCCTTTAGTAACAGATAATATCCCTGTTTTATCGCTGCTGGATAGAAGTCGACTATAGTTATCTATATAATTAATAGTTATCTGAATTTAAAGTTTCTTACTAAGACAACAGAGATTAGCCTACATCCGCAGCTGATTCTCTACCATAGTCTAATCAACACTAGCGCCTTCAAAGCACTTAATAAGATCAGACTAAGAACGTTCATTTATAGACACTACTAGGTTGGTATCTTCTAGTCTCACCCGTTAATTATAGGCTATCTTTCTCCGCAGAATATTTCCAGCCGTATTCTTTATCCGCTCCTAGTAAGACCTAGATAGCAGAGACAAGTCTTATTCCGTATCCTTTATCACCATATGGTTATTTAGTTTTACCCTCCACTCAATCTAGTAATAGATATAAGTTCCTTCATCATCTACCTCAACCTTTTGTATAAAACCCAGTTTATCAGATTATAGTCTGTATAATGGTGATAAACATTCACTGAACATTATTGTCTCGGGGTCAGAGGACGAGCAGATTACAGATAGCGTCCATTCACGGCCAGATATAGGGGCATACAATAGAGTCAGATCGGGCACTTGGAAACTGCCTAATATATTTCATTTATTGGAACAATTGTCGTGTCTCTTACCCCAAGAGCGAATCATACTTCTCGCGCATGGTCTACATTCAAGTTGTTGTAAAAACTACTCGATGTTTGTAGCTTGAGATGCATATAAATGGAGCCTGTGGTGATATCTAGACCACATTGGATGTGCTTCATCTATTCTTAGCTGAATCATAAGGATGATACTCAAGGGTTATTATTCTAAATAATTGCCGCAAATGTACTCAGCTCCAGTTAGTGGGTAAGGTACATACAATCTGGTATTAGTATGGATGACGCTCCAACTCAGAAGAAACCACGTATTGGCACCTTTTCTCCCAATGATTCCAAGTATAATTCTCAGACGTGAATCGCGCCCAAGTCCGCATAAAAATAGCACAATCGAAAACACAAAGTGGAGACAATGTTCTACAGATTATCGTCGCTGGGTCGAATGATGGACATAGGCCATCCAATAGCATCGGGCGCATTGTTTGTTTTCAGAGAAAGTGATCAGCAACACCTCACTGCCGATCATCGATAATCAGTTCGAGGCAGGTTCGGATATGTAGCTAGAACTATTATGTATTAACGTGTGCGGGCGACAGGGCGTTCCAGGAATGTTCAAAAAAGGTAGGACAAGCGAGACAGCAGAATTCTAGAAGCGACCGCGAGGTCAATGTATCACTAGGGCTATCCCTTGGGAAGGAAAGGCGAGGCGAGAATGCACGCCCGAAGGGCGACGATCGCAACGCGAACAGCCCCTTTTCTGGGGCAGAAAAGGGGCTAAGCTGGGGACTCCGCGACGATTGTAATACCCTCAACCAGATTATTCCAACAGTTAATAGACGGGCGAATTCGCTTCGTTCTGTACAACAAGACAGTGCATATGATCCCAGCAGAAAAGCAGCAAAACAAGTTCACCATCGTAGGGAGCAGATCGATCGGGGGAAAGAATGCTTGGCGACGCCACCGCGGATCCCGCGTTAAGCTTCATACGATGGGGCTTTTCCTGGGAAATTCTTTTCCAGAAAAGACACCCCGGAATATCCCCATACCGAGATTAAATGATCGGGACCGCATTGACATCCACTGCAGCAGTCCATGGACTCAAAAAAACAACTGCATCATTTCATATCCGTCGATACCGGGGCTTCCGAGTGCTACCGCGTCTCCGCGTTGCTGAATCCTAATGTAGGGTCTACCACACGCTGCTAGCTCAAGTATTTGTGTTACTCTATTAAAGAGACTGATGTGAAAAACTTTCAAAGACACATGCGATGAGGGTATTAAATGGCGGGGTTATTATATACATGTGCACTGGATGAAGCTGAACCGTGGACGCGACTGATCCACGTACGTCACAGCCGAGCTAGACGAACCACCACCAAACCATCAGCCGACGTCGTATTGAGAGTTCATAATAAACTAGTAACCTATAGCAGTAGAACCGAGAACTCTCGCCGTATAGCCTTTGCAGCTACATATGAGCGAATGGCGACTCGCTACTCGTCAGCTTCGACATGACGTGGCGATAGCAAAAACAAGGCAGACATGATATTGATCTCTTTAGGCTAGACTAACGCGTCACGGAGTCTGCCCCTTTTCACTGCAACTCGGAGGATGGGGATGGAGTAGGGAATGTTTGGGGAAAGCGGAGGGTGACCGTGCCAGAATGCACGCGAGATGGAGCAAACCTCATTCTGATGAGACTACCTGAGGGTTTTGCCTCAACGATGACACGCAATGGAGACTGAATAAAAGTCCAAGCGATACTCCGAGAACCCAATCGACCTTCTTCGTCGATACTAGTTCATGGCAAAACAAACATCCTTCTACTCAGCGTTGACCAACTCGGGCGTTGTCCGCAGGTTAGTCTACCCAATGACTAAAATGTGGTCGTGGCCGTGGGAGAGTAGAATTAAAATCTCCGTGCTATTTCGTAACCTCGCCCACTCACTGATCGTCCTAAATGGTTCTCGAAGGACTACACGGCCCACTTGTGGCACCTCTATCATGGCGGAGTCTGATTTCGGTTGCCTGTTGGGCCAGAGTTTTCACGGTCGGGTCTTGAGACATGGCGTGGGGCAATATGCTTTAGTTGACGGGTTGGCAGCATCTAATCCTCGACGCGGTATTTGTTTGAGAGCCGAAACATTGAAGTTTGCGGGTGAGAGTACCGACCAGATACCCTGAAGTTGAGCTTGAGATCTACCCTGGGTGAAAAAAAGCCAAACATCAAACTATAAAACACCACGAAGTATGTCGTGGAAAATTCAAAATTGGAATCATGTTTACGAGGAGGCGTAGACGAACAAATGCATTTAGGTCACGAACCACACGCTACACAATGCATTCGGGGTTACGGCCGAGACTAGGCTAAGCTTCGCCTCCAAAACTGCAGACTTGTAACCAGAACGTGGAATAAAATCAAGATAAAATTGTAAGCAGAATATCCAGATCAAAATCATCCCAGCCACTCACCGTACTTTCTGTTTGCCCTCCACCCCCTTTTTGGATTTTTTATTCCAACAATACAACTGATCTGGCCTGCCACTATTTTTATGAGCAAGGAATGCACATTCTCTCTGTGAAGAAGCCCGAGCTCCACGCATGGACCCGCCCTTCGCCCCACTGATCCGCTCGCTATGTAGTTCCAACACGGCTGAATTCTTGCATCATTGTCCACCGTACCGCTTGATTCGGGATGCGGTGAACGGCATCCCGATAGTTGTAGTCCGAGTCCGAGGTCGATGATGTGCCGTGGCCAAGAGATCGTACATGCACAAGATAGATTAGGGCAAGAGTGAGGCCACAAAGCTATACAATTATGTACAGGGGGATTTTGTACTGTAGGTGTAACTACCGCACTGCACGATGGCGTACCTCGACATACCTGCCTGATGGATTCGGAAACAAACAAAATCCGCCGACTCGGGGCGCAAGGCGAATTGACAATCCAGACCCTCAGCACGGTACATAGACTGCGTGCTAATGTTGTTGATGTTGTTTTGATTTTTCGCTTTTGGTGAATGCTTAGAACCAATTTCTCTGTTTATTGGTTTCTCAGCCAGCCCCTTGCCTCAACCGTTAATATTGGAACTGTATTTTTTTTGTCTTAATTATCTCCTCCTTCTAAACCTCATTTGGCCCAAGCAGGCAGGCAGGACCAGGAAAACAACGACAATACCAATCGACAATACCAATCACAACTGGGCCATTTCTTGCGTCCACTTAAAATTCGGCTCGCTCCACCAAACCTGATGTCATCAGGGACGCAAACCGCACAAGCCCGGGCGGGGGTGATGGGAAATGCTTAATCGATGATAATTGATGCATCCGGGATCTTGGCTCCACCTAGCGGAGCCGCCAGCTCAAACAAGTGGATCGTGTTGGACTCCGTACTCGTACCGTCTGGACAGCGTCCTTGGTCCTGGTTCTGTCCTAGTCTCTCCTCGCTGCTGGCTGCTAGCTGCACGCATTGTGCGAGACCAGAGACACGGGGAAGTAAGTTATGCCCCACGATTGCATCTCTTTGCCACTTTCGTAAAATGTCGCGGGATTCAAATATCCCCTTCCTCCCCCCGCGGTTTGTCTCCTCTCTTTTCTTCTTCTCTCCGCGTGTCTCCATTCTCTCCCCTATCCACGAACGGGATTGAACATCAATTCTCCAGTATACTACCTCGAACATACATATTATTAGCATACACCGGCTCGACTGGGACAAACCATGGCGCCCTCCTATATTGGCATGAGTGGGCGGCCACTGTCGCAGACAGTGTCGACCATTGCGACGATGGGCTTCTTGTATCTGCTCCCTCTTCTACTACATTTTTTCCAGTCACGTCTAACATTATCAGACTCTTCGGTTATGACCAAGGTGTCATGTCTGGAATTATCTCATCCACCGCTTTCACCGACGTCTTCACAGCTGCGAAGGGCGACAACACAATGCAAGCCCTAATCACTGCAGTCTACGAGCTGGGGTGTCTCTTCGGAGCCATGTTCGCCCTCTTTACTGCTGACAAGTTAGGTCGTCGCAAGATGGTTATCGGCGGTGCGGCCATTATGATTATCGGTGTCATTATTCAGGTCACATCTTTTGTCGGCCACATTCCTCTCTTGCAGTTCTTCTTCGGCCGTGTGATCACCGGTATTGGAAATGGCATGAACACCTCCACTATTCCCACCTACCAAGCCGAGTGCTCGCGCACTAGCAACCGTGGTCTACTCATCTGTATCGAGGGAGGTACCATTGCCATCGGTACTATGATCGCTTATTGGATTGACTTCGGTGCTTCCTACGGCCCGCCTGACCTTGCCTGGAGATTCCCCATCGGCTTCCAGGTTATCTTCGGCGCTATCATAATCGTCGGGATGTATTACCTGCCCGACTCTCCACGTTTCCTCATCTCTAGGGGCAAGGTCGAAGAAGGAGAGTACGTGTTGGCCGCTCTGGCCGGCAAGGAAATTGATGACCACGAGACTCAGCTACAGAAGCAACTTGTCATTGAGTCCATTGAAGCGTATGTACCCTCTAAAGAGATAACTGAACTCAAAGAAACAAGCTAACTTTCACCAGGGCTGGCGTCTCCGAAGGATCTGGCTACTCCGACCTACTCACCGGCGGCAAGACGCAACATTTCCGTCGCATGCTGATCGGATCATCGTCCCAGATTGCTCAACAGCTTTCTGGCTGCAACGCAGTTATCTATTATCTGCCAGTGCTCCTGAAGCAATCCCTCAACCAAACCGAATTCATGTCCCTCCTTATCGGCGGTGTAAACATGATCGTCTACGCCATCTTCGCAACATTCTCCTGGTTCTTCATCGAAAAAATCGGCCGACGTAAGCTCTTTATTGGAGGAATGACAGGTCAAATGGTCTCAATGATCATCGTTTTCGCTTGTCTGATTCCTGGCACCCCCGGCCCAGCCAAGGGTGCCGTCTTCGGACTGTTCCTCTACATGTCCTTCTTCGGTGCATCGATTCTCCCTCTTCCCTGGTTATACCCAGCCGAGATCTCGCCCATTCGAACACGCGCCAAGGCAAACGCCGTCTCAACCTGTTCCAACTGGCTGTTCAACTTTACCGTTGTCATGATTACCCCCGTTATGATTGAACACATCAGCTGGCGAACATATCTCTTCTTCGCCGTCATGAACGCCGTCTTCATCCCACCGATGATCTTCTTCTACCCCGAGACTGCCGGTCGCAGTCTGGAGGAGATTGATATCATCTTTGCCAAGGGTTTCTGCGAAAACATGTCCTATGTGCGCGCGGCGAAGGAGCTTCCCAAGCTGTCCGACGAGGAGATCGAGCAGAAGGCTTTGGAGTATGGATTCGGCGGTGGAGGTGGTGATGATGCCGAGAAAGGTCACCCCGCTTCGTCCAACTCATCGCATCAGGGCAATACCAAGAAGCAGGGGGAGAGTAGCCAGTTCACGGAGGAGTACTCTCAGTCTCAGTAGCAGTAGAGGGCGAATAAATACTTTACTACTCTTACAACTGCCATGCGATGCGATGAAACGCGATCGCGGTGTTGCAAATGATGTGATTGTTCTTTGTCTGCGGGACTGTGGGATCAGACAAGATCGTACCAGGCCAGACCAGATTGGATTTCTATATACCCATTTCTCTTTGTCTTATGATTTATGTCTAATTAAGGCATCTTCTTAGCTATTCGTACAGCAATTCTACATTTCTACACTTTTACCACCGTCTGTGACGTAGATCACAAAGTAAAAGATCCAATGAATAGAACCAAACAGAGAATGAAGCAGTTGAGCAATAAAGACGCTAAGCAGTAAATGAATAAATAACTAGAACAGAAGGTTCTCTTGCTCAGCAACTGCGTAAATTCAATCCAGTTATATACCATCCCATTTGACAAAGTGGAACTATTTCCCCATACTTAAGAGTAGTTCATGCAGGTCTCCACAGGGCTGCAATCTCACTTACTTTACACTTAACCATTTAACTCTACCCCTCGCTCTATCGTACTAAGGCACTAACAATAATCAAGTGGCGCAGGGCTGACGCGAGTGATCGGCTCAGCTGATCCCGTGAACCTATCTCATCCTGTTTTTAGCGAATTTTCTTCTCTTCCCTTGTTCCCCTTGACTCATTTTCCTCTCACCTCTTCCACTCTGTCATTATCCCCTTGCTATCTAGTATCTCCTGCCTACTGATATCTCTTACTCCATATTGATCCGACATGCTCAAACCCCCTCACACACGATGAGTTCGTCCCTCGAGGCCAAGATCGTCGTCCTCGGCGCACAGGGTACCGTACCCCTCCACAGCAGAACATATCAGACCCTGCATACAGACCAGCTAACACACTACTTCGCCTGTTCAGGAGTCGGCAAAACCTCCCTCGTGCAACGCTACGTCCGCAACGCATTTGACCCCTCAACAACTACCTCCACCGTTGGCGCCTCCTTTGTAACAAAACGAGTCCTCGATACCCCCTCCGACACAACCGTGCGCCTACAAATATGGGACACAGCCGGCCAAGAGCGATTCAGGAGTATCTCGCGACTGTACTATCGCGGCGCACACGCCTGTCTACTCTGCTATGACATAACAGACGAAACCTCCTTCCAAGAAATGGCCGGCTGGCTCCGCGAACTGCGGCGCAACCTCGGCACTGAAAGCGGTGGAGGTGGAGGCGGAGCAGGTAGCGGTGTGGAAGATCAACAACCCCTCGTGATACACGTCGTGGGAACAAAATCCGACATTGTCTCGGAAGATCCGAGTTGTCGACGTATCCCCTTCGAACGAACCATCGCCTACGTCGCCGAGCAGCTCTACCCAACACAAGCATCCACGCCGCCCGCCACCGCCATGGGAATCAACAACGCAGGACTGGGATTTGGGTCTGGCGTCTTCGGCGGTGGTGGGGGTGTGGCTGGTGGTCCTGGCCCTGGCCCTGGGCCTGGGAGTATATCTGCTTCGGCGGGGAGTACGAGTGCGATCGGGATATCGACTTCGGCGGGCGCTTGTGCGTTACAAAGCCCTGACAGTAAGCGGAGCTCAGCATTCTGGGGCCAGGAGATTGGGTGGGATTGTTGTCATGAGATCAGTGCGAAAGATGGGGAGGGGATTGAAGAAGTCTTCCGTGTTATTACGCGGAAGCTGGTTGAACAGCGGAATCGACGGGATGCGGAGGCTGCTGCGCTGGCTGCCATCACCCCGAGCATGGATGGGGTGTTTGGCATGCCGACACCTAGTGTCGAGGGGAGCTTTCGATTGGGGATTGGTGATAAGAGGAGGAGTTGGCTTGGACTGGCGACGCCGAATATCGAGGCTGAGGAGGTGCAGGTTGTTCAGGCTCGCCGGAGGGGGGGATGCTGCTAGAGCAGCAGCGGAGTGCATTCGATTTTGTTTTACCTGGTGGTTTGTCTCTGGTTTAATGCTTAATACCTCCTTTTTTCCCCCTTAGTTTGTGTTTTTTGATACCTGCATTGGCGCCCTACGATACAGTATAATGGACATTCAAGCATACTAGTAGCTACTCTTCACATTTGGAAACAAGTAGTTGTAATGCATGAGAACCCCATAAAAGTAGACCTTAGTTTTAATTTGCCTCAACTTGTAAATCAACAATCACACATCCCACTAGAGCATGCTATAAATGCCATTGCCGAAGCTATGATGTGTGACATTTTCAGTGTTGTACCCCGCATAGGCTATACCCAAGGCAAGGCCGGCAAACTGCATAGGTTTAATTGACTTCACGACAGAACGGGGTGTAGACTATTAACTGAGATGCAACTAACCTGAATAATTACCCAAGGGTGAGGATATTTATGAAAAGTCAACATCCAGGGCGATTGTAGTGCTCTTTAGAAAATCACTCACAGCATTCGAGTGTCGACTTGGAAATGAAGAAAACTTATCTAGTCTTGGATATCGCAGACGGGCATTTAGTATAGAAAGGGGTAATGCCGGCCTCGAAATGGGCTCACGCGATTGCAAAATTGTCCTAATATAATCTAAGCCACCGCTCTACTGCAGTAGAGAAAAGCTATTCTCGAACCTCTCGGATGAAACATGAATTCTACATCGAATGATGGACTTTTAATCGGTACTAGTATGGCCATGCACGCTTAGACATGTTTCGTACAAGTAGACGACTCGCCCGGATTATCCGGCTTCTTTGAACATCGCCACCTGTCGCTAGGAGCTCATACTAAATTGATGTGGTATGGCCAAGCAGGAATACGACACAGCCAAAATACGACTTCTAGTATTGAATATCCTTAGCGAAAATTTGGGCCCCTCAAAGCCAAGACCGTTAACGGAAAAAGGTTAATGGGCCGGGACGCTAACCGTACTTCCATTTAGGCGAGGCTATGTCTAGGACAAAAGTACTGGCAGGGAGTAGTGGCGTTCCGATGAGCCTTGGAATCCCTGCTAGTTACGGTCTTCAAGTTGCTCGCTTATTCCGAGGTCAAGTTATAAGCGGTAGTCAACGTGGTTTCCAAGGCCGGAGATAATTTATGTTAGCACACCGAGCCTAGTAAGTACTAGGCTATGTATATGCTAGCGCACCAGTTTCTGAGTGATCAAACGGGTCCTAGTAGTACTAGCCTTGATACATTTTGCTAGTACTTGATTTTCAATCCCCGTACATCCACCCAAGTGTAGTATACGAAGGACAGCGTGGCAAAATTGCAGGTTTGTCATTTGGAAATTTACTTTATTCAAATGACATCCTTGGAAGTAGGCCGGACTATCATACAAGAATGTTGAATTTAACTTTCAATCCTTCGTGGGGGCTGGCCCCAAGGAGCACATTCAAAAAAAGAAAAAGAAAGGGTTCAGGCTTTCCCTAATGAAGATCCATTAATCGAGATATCTTTGATCCAGAAATTTTACAAACTCTTTGTGATATGGACGCCCATGTTAGACGTAATATGCATGATCGGGATATCGGCATTGGTCTGCTTCGTGTGCTCCATCTATCAACACCCTATTTTGTACTATAATATATGTCCTCAAAGTCGGTCCCGTTGATACTGCTCCTGTTCTTCAATCTCCACCGTCACATCCACCGTCCTCAACACCGTCCCCCTCCCAGGATGATCTTGTGTTAAATGTCTCGTGCTCTCTGTGCCCTCGCTCGAATCAGAGTGTCTACCAGGGCGATCGGTTTGATTCGGGTCCTGGCCCGAAGAAACCTCAGTAATTACCCGGTGCTCACCTCCCCACCCATCAAACATTGACCGACCATTCTTCCTCGGCCTTCCATGCGACCGTGACCGCGACTGTGATTGGGATTGTGACTGGCTTGCTCCGGACCAAGATTGATTCATATATGCGCTACCTTTTGTCCGCGGGCCCTCGAGGCCGATCGCGTCGGGGATCTCGGTTGTTGTCAGGCCAGAGTGCAGGCCAGCGAAGATGTGGTAGAGAGTTGGGATACAGGCAATTATGATGGATGTAAGCATCATTGTTTGGCCGACTATTTCCCAGTCGACAATTGTCCCTACACGGGTGTTAGATGAATTCAACAGACACTGATGGCAGTTGGAAGGGGACCGGGGTGTCACGAACAAGAGACATCATTTGAGTGCACGAATGAAGGTAGAAGCGCTATATGAGCGATACCAAGGACGACGATACTGTAAAGGGGTGTTGGGTTAGCCATCAAATTAGGTGGGAGATTCTTGGAACTCATGCGAGGATACCTTAGGCGTGAAGTAAACGAGGACAGTATCTTGACCCGCTTGTGCCAAGCCATCTGCACATTGCGCATCATAATGAAAGGCAGGACAAGAATAGCAATCTCTGTGAGGATGTTGAAGATTGCTACCGGGTAGAATAAGGCTCCCTGTTCAAGGTTGGATAAGATGGTAAGTAAATAGTCGCTAGTTGCTTGGAAGACTACTCACCTCTCCGGCGCATTGCTCTGGCGAGTATAGCCACGTATCAGGCATTTCACACTGGAAAGCAATGCCCAGAACTGCGAATATTGACCAGCCAACAACTACCCCAGAGGTGATAGCACAGGTGCGCCGGAGGCTCTTATTTGGTGTCAATCTCCAAACTAACAGGATAGTCGACAATTTCGAAAGTGTCAAGACAAGGATGCGCAGAATATGGCCAGCGAAAGCGAACCTGCTCCAGGATTGAATTTCGCCTTCGCTGAGCCGGTCTTGGTGTTTTCCTAGTCCATGGTCAACGGCCTTTTGCAAGATGATGACTTGAATGAATGCAAGGATTAGAGCGATCCAGATCGGAATGTTGACTGCTGATCGTCGCTGCTTGAAGTAAATCGCTGAACCGAACTTGGCTAGCACAAATATTATGGCCACAATCAGAAAGGCGACCGAAGTCACAGTGATAATAGCACCACGATTATCGCTTGACACCGTCAGGAAGGCATTCTTTCGGTCGGCCATGGCACCATCACTTTGTCTTCAGAATTTTCAAAATTGCAAAGATGGGTGCCACCACATAATAAGAGCCTGCTTCATCGTATCCCTGATACTATGAAAACTTTGTTTCTGGGGCCAATTTACAGCTCTTGGTTTTTCTTTCTGTCTGGCGAGTTATCCCTGCGGGAGCCGCGCGCGGTGGCTGTTTATTTGGTATGGCACCACCGTATCTGTCTAGATCTCTGTATGTACAGGGATACGAATCCTGGAGGATGTGAAACCAACAGAAAGTGAACCTTGTCCAGGATGGAGTACAGTTCGTCCAATGGCTAGAGACTAATTAAGTGGGTCTGATATGTTTCCATCAATAGCATTGTCCCTTGGGTCTGGCACAGACCTGAGATCGGCCGGGCGATATGCACGTAGGATCCAGACGGCCGCGTCTGCGGGCCTCTAAAGTATGCCGAGAATTTTACTAGACAAAGCTAGCAGCCAACAACAAAGCGCGGAGGTTTGGCCGTGCTATTAAAATTTGTTACGGAGCGGGGATCAGGGCTGGTTCGGAGGATTCCAGATTTAGCACCAAACAGCACCGGTCCCGCTACTGCAATTCGTACGACAAGGGTCTGCGCCGAAGCTAAAAGGAACAGTTCCAGCGCTGCGCAGAAACTCGCAGCATTGGTGTGGAATACTAGTTTCGTATTCATTGCTCTGTAAAGATCCCTGTCTAGCCCCTGTTTATAAAAAAGAGGGGGGCGAAAGTTATTCCCGAGTACATCTTGCCGTCCACATGCCGATTGGGGTCTATTCTCTTTCGGATTTTCTTCTCCCTTTGACTTTACCGTACTCAGCTATTTTTCATCATGCGGGATAATATGCAAGAAGAGATCGAAATGAAGAGCGAGAGTGCTGTGCGAACAGGACCAGTAGGCAGTGAAAATAACGCCTATGAGGGCGCTACATTTCGCCAAAAACAACAACTGGAGGTCAGTATTTGGATTCAGATGTCATTTCCAGGCTCTAATGGTTCAACAGAGATATCTGAATTTTTTCTCTTCAATTGCATTTTCTGCTACTCTGCTTGCCACGTGGGAATCTGCCGGTGGTAGTTTGCTCGCGGGTCTTTACAACGGTGGCCCTGCCGTGATTGTATATGGCATTATCCTGAGCACTATTGGGAACATGGCTATCGCGTGTTCCTTGGCGGAGCTTGCTTCTATGTACGTGCACAATCTCGGTGTCATCTTCCCCTGCTAACCTTAAGATGAATAGACACCCAACTGCAGGTGCTCAATATCACTGGAGTTATTTCCTCGCATCTCGTGGTCGCCGTTTCATCAGCTTCTTCCAAGGTAAGTACATGCATTTCTCAATTCCCATTCTTATGGCAAAATGCTCAAAATCGCAGGTTGGGTTACTGTATTTTCTTGGTCCGCTCTGGTCTGTATCGCGCCATACTTCATCGGAACTGAAATCCAAGGCATGATTGTGCTGGCACATCCTGAGTATGAACTTCAAAGGTGGCGCGGTACTTTGCTCATGTGGGCAGTCGCAATCATTCCTATTATCATCAATATATTCGCTCGTCGCGTTATGGGAGGCATCGAGGTGGCCGCGGGTATCATGCACGTCGTCTTCCTACCAGTCACTATTGCTGTCTTCGTTATCCTCGCGCCTCGAAACCCCGACTCGTTTGTCTGGAATACATTCGTCGAGGGTTTGAGTGGCTGGAAGGATTCCGGAGTTGTATACTCTATCGGTCTCCTTGGTGTCATCACACCTCTGTCCGGTACGTTCCTCTACCGTCAGACAATTCAACAAATCTAATCTATGACAACAGGTGTCGACGGCGTGATCCACATGGCTGAAGAAGTCAAAAACGCCAAAGTCGTGGTTCCCCGCTCCATGATATACGGTACCTTAATCAACGGAACCCTCGCATTCTGCTACCTAATCGCTACCCTCTACTGCATGGGCGACTACACCGAGGCCCTTACCAGTGCAACAGGCTACCCAATAATCACAATCGCGTATCAGGCTACCGGGTCCAAGGCAGCCACTTTCGTTCTTATGGGAATGGGTATGATGCCCGGCTGGATCGCCCTCTTCAACGGCCTTGCTTCCGTCACGCGTCTCACCTGGGCTTTCGCTCGAGACAATGGACTTCCCTTCTCCGACTTCTTTGCCGTTGTTGACCCAACCTATAAGATCCCCCTTCGAGCTTTGTTCCTGGTTGCATCATGCATATTCGCTCTATCGTTCATTCAGATCGGATCTACTGCTGCATTCAACGCTATTCTCTCGCTCAGCACCCTCGGCCTTTATATTTCATACCTTATCCCTCTCAGCCTCCTTGTCTGGAAGCGTCTGACGGCACCACAGGATATCCCGCAGGGAACATTTAGCCTGGGAAAACTCGGTCTCCCCGTTAATCTTGTTGCCATCCTCTTCGCTACTTACTTCTCTATCTTCCTGCCCTTCCCGGCGACGCTGCCAGTTACAGCGGAGAATATGAATTACGCCGGGCCCGTGCTTGGTTTTGTGATGTTATTCGCCTGTATTGATTGGGTTGTTCGCGGACGGCATAAGTGGGAAGGTCCAACAACCAAATCCTATGCACACAGCGAGTGAGGCCTAGGATATGTGAATGGAAGTCGGAATACGGCCCAGGGGTGGAAATAATTCAAGGACTATTGATATTGCTAATTGATTTGGTAGTCGGTGGACCACTAGTCTGTACATGGATATACATTCCTTTACTGGGGATCGAAAATATACAAGCCTCGAACTTAAACGCTTCAAGTTGACGTCTTTACCAGATTCCAGCATGAGACCTGGGGACTATTTGGAGTGCATTAAAATAATACTCGTAGTACTACTAGTAATCGCAACCTTGGAACGCGGTACTAGAACTAGTGGTACTACTGTCAACTGATGCTTATACTAACTACTAGTAGGAGAGGGGATTTGAAAATCTTCATGCAAGTCCCAATTTTCCACCATTTGCAACCCCTCCTCCGAAATATATCAAGACTGGACCAGGTCAGGACACCGTGACCGTGATCACTCCCAAATTGAAGAACTTCAAGTTTGGAACTCCAATTTCGGAACGTTTGAAGGCTAAGTTCACCTCGGTAGCATTTCCAAGGTTTTATGTCGAACACTGGTGTCCAGTTGCTAGTACCTAGTACTAGGTAATACTAGTATTAGTAGTCCAGGGTTGCTAATATCCGATACTTATCATTTTGTACCACTACTATGTACTATAGTCATCATGAGTTAGTTATATATAGTATGATATGTTCACCGGGGCAACTGACCAAATGAACTGGACTAAGGAACGGGGGGGGGGGGGAAATAAGCGATTTATAGTTGGTCCGTGATGTTCTCCAACGTTGGCGAAAGGAATACTAAGCCTTTTCAAGAATTTGACCGCGGTCATTGCAGAAAGATCCACTGCCAGTGGCACTCCTGAGTTGCGCCCACCTCAAGTTCTGCCACTCCCCACAGACAGTTGTGATAATGACACTGATCATTTTGGAGTGAATCATGTGTGTGGAATTTTGCTCTTTGACACCGCCTCGTCTATATGGAAGACAGCATTGGTCCATTCGGACATTTTTCAAGGATCTTAGCTGATATCACGTGGTGAAATATGTCCGAGCACACATTGACAGGCGAGATATCAGGGGAGGGTTGGCCATAATCTTCGCTTTTACGATTCGGGACGTTCACCAGTGGATAGTTCGCATACCCGCTCAACCCCAACTTGACCTGCCTCCCGGATGCTGTGAATCATTCGCCTTGATAACTATACCAACTTGCTGTACCTGGACATGTCTAGCCGGATCGCATCTGACATCATGGCGGATGCGGTGGGGTCGATCCACTCCAGTAACTATATTGACACGAAATATCCATAGTGACAGGATATCGGATAATGCATAAAGCTATATCGCAGCTATCATCCCTATTATAACAGAATTGTAGTTGCCTACGACGCTTCTGCTCACTGCATTACGGATGGATTAAGCGAGCCAAGACTCAGCCTCACTGCAAGCGCTCGTCTTCATTGGCGCCCCTCACCCGGGTTAAATGATTCATTTTATTCGTGCTGACTGAATCTGGGCCAAACCGCAATGCCTGGGCATTTCTTCTCCTCTGCTTGTCCGAAGCTTGGACTCGTTCTTCCCTTCCCCTCTTTATCCTTCATCCTTTCCATCCTTCCCCGTCGGCCCCCATCTTCAACTATCGCTAATCTGCTTCAAAGCCACACTGCCAACTCTTGGAACACCATTCTATCACCCAAATCGTCCCAACAAGCTCTCCACTCCCCGCGATGTCTGGAGTGGAGGTAATTGCTGTTGTCGCGTGTGTGGCTGCTGGTAAGGAATACTGCTCTCATTCAGCTACCCGGCTTCATGCTCACATCTATATCGCAGTCATCTCCGCCTACCACGATGGCAGCGCTGTCTTCCAGGAAGTCAGAAAGAAATGGCGCGAACGCCGTAACCCTCACCCTCAGGCGGCCTCCTCCACCGCCATTGACCTGGAGAATTCCCTGCAGCGGAGCAGAGTCGATATCCTAACCCAGTGGAACGGACACGTCGGTCGCCTCGGCCAACGGTTCGAAGTCGGCGACGAAATCGCCCAAGCCACGATGAAAGATATCCTCATCGGACTGCAAATAACACTGCTCACGCACCTCCGCGAAGATGGTGCTCACCTCGACATCTTCGCCCTCCTCAACATCTCCGATCTGAGTCGTGCCAGAACCATCTCCGCCATGCACGAACTATATCAGCGTTTAGCACAAACAGCCCCAATACCATGGCAAATGATGTCGCCTGTTACGCCGGGGCTACCTATTATCGAGCCACACTCGGGTCTCGCTCAATATATTGGTGTTATCAACACACTGTCGTCCAGCCAAGCGCCTACCGAGCAGCATTCAGATCCTGCAGGTTTCTACTACCCGCCGGGCCAACCACCGCCAGGTCCAATACCTGGCCGGGTTTCCACTGGGAGTATATCTAGCTCACCGCCGGAAATTACCTCGGCTAGCCATCGCCCCTCAGTCGATGCAGGAAGTCCCCGCGACAGAGGTGATAGAAGATTCAGCTCGATCAGTTCAACATTTAATTGGCTTCGGGACCGACGCAGATCTTCCGTAGAATCAAGCGATCGAAGCGAGCGAGATGATCGATCCGACATAGCAGCTTTTTCAGGGCTACCTTCAGGAGCACCAACAGCGCTCCCTCCCCACCGCAGAGCTCCTATATAGAACCCAGCGGCGCACGTCAAATCCCACAGAGAAGGCCCTCCGAGCTCGAGGCACCGGTTGAGCAGACTGTGCTGAGCGAGAATCCCTGGATCTCGGTCATTGAAGAAAAAGAACAAGAAAGAGAAGACTATGACCTGATTCACGGACAACAGGAACACCATGGTCATACATATGACTATAACTATAGTCCCAGCCATATGCAGCAATATCAAAACATCCCACAGCAGCATTCTTATCACAATCAGCAGCAGCAGCACCAGCCACCACCGCAAAAAGCACCAGTCCACGGATTTCGCCCCGGCCTGAGGACACCACCCCCTACGCAACAATCGAACCCCAACCTCATCGTACCCAGAGCACCACCAACACCATCCATCCACAGTGATGTGTCTCTTGATAGCGGCAGCTCCAACCGGAGCGACATAATCATCCTACCCCTGTCGACCACCGTTGCGCTCTGGCCACCAAGTCGAAGCAACGACTACGCCGGGTTCTGCAAAGGGGCCTGGAAGCAAAACTCCGGTTTTGAGGGATTCAAAGTCCACTCGGTACCTGTTGGATACTACAGTCTTGTTCCGAAATGGAAATGCGTAAGCTGTTTCTTCGAAATGCCCATGGCATCAACAGATTCTCAGTCTCAATCGCGACGCAATGGTTCCAATGACGCGCGCTTCGACCAAAAGGTCTATACACACGCAGCCAGTAAAATCCGATACCGGTGGTCGTTTCTTGCAAAGTCCCATATTGCACGTAAGACCCGAAATAATGGCGATGCGTCGAGGATCGGGACATTTGGGTGTATGTTTTGTTGTTTTGAGAATGATCGGTCTGTTCTTGCATTTGGGAATTTGGATGTTTTTATGAATCATTTAGGGACGGTTCATCGGGGGGTTTGCGGGAAGTCTGCTCGGTAGTACTAGGTGTGTTGTTGGAAGGGTTGCGGGTCTGGAAGAGAATTTTGATATTAATATCCTTCCTGCGTAGGTGGTGTGAGTTGCTAACTTTCTAGGAGTATTCGCTTTCTTTTAGTTTGGATATCCTATATCTCCTTTGGTTTTATTCGGTTCCCGAGGTCGACCAATGTTGAGTTTGACTTGGGTTGGAGTTAGTTATGGTTGGAGGTTATATTGATATCCATGTCGCGACACCCCGTACATAATAAATACTCTGAAAAGCTGGTTTCCTCAATGGGCGAGGGTCGAAAAATAAATATCATTATCGTTTCGGAAATCCCTCAGCCAACTTTAACTTGAAGTTCTGTCTAGTTTCTGACCGGTATCTTTGACACAATTCGAATGACCGGACTTCGGTTCAATGACCCAAGGTTGTATTGTTTTAAAAGTAGTTCGATGTATCATGAAAGTCGATGTCGTGCCACGCAGTTAATCGAGATAAAAACAATTCCAGTACTTCCATGTGACAGTCATATTTTCCCGGTCATGTCCCGAAGGTGCACTTGATAAGGAATATCCTGCCTATTAGCTCCATCAACAGACTCGGCTAGCCGATTTGAAGAGACCCTGTTTCCACAGGGGGCTGACAAAATTGGCATGAGACAGTTCGGCCGACGATATTGAGCAAATATGTTGTCCATGACGAATCAGAGATGGCGATTCACTAAGTGGAGCGAAGACGGAGGCCGCGGGACCGAGATGGTTCCGGTGGGGGTTCCGAAAAAGTTTCTATTGGGAAGGTTTTGACATGGAGAATTCGGAGATGAAGACAAATCAGGAGAGCGGTTATATGATCTCCCGATCGTCGTCAAGAAATGCTAGTAATTTCTTGGGAGGCTTGGCATCATACGAGGCCCCCGGAACAAAGCGTCGACGCGTGGCTTCCTATACTGCCGATTTCGTCGCTTGGCTCGCTTGAAATGTTTGACTTCGCGAATCAACCTTGGAATCAAATTCACGACTAGGTTGTCTATTTCGAATTATCTAAGCTGCTTGTGCTATACAGTGCCAACTCGTCACTGAGAATATACATTAGACAACAGCATCAATTTAAGCATTGAAGCTGAGATAGAGAAGTCCCTGAAGCCCTATGACCGTGTGATTCTCGATGATCTGGCATAAAAATACCTAGGTAAGCACATCTGGATGGGAGAGCAACCAAAAAGTGGTAGAGTGAGCACATTATTCTATGATTCGGCTCCACCCGACCATCAACTCTGCAGAATCGGCAACGAACCGAGCTGAATGTGGACCTCGAAATGGCCCTAACCACTCGAAACGTCAAACAATTCCAGATGGTTACTCCGTACTGGACACGAAATATAGGAGGCCTTGCTAAGTGCGGAATTAAGCAACGAATGCCAAGGCAGCCCTGGCTAGCGCGCCACCTGTGGACCTGACTCGGTCTTATCAATCAGAGATTGATAGAACTCCACCACGCCTGTGGCAATCTTGACTCTCGAGGAGCTTCGACAGAAAGCTGCTCAAGCCACAATTCTCTTTAAAACCACAATATAGCCGAGATGGTTTCCTCCGGACCGAGGAGTTACTGCTGTCACGAATGTCGGCGACGAAAAGTGAAAGTAAGTGCACCATTTATCACACCGCTACCCGGAAGTACCGACTTATGCATCGCAGTGTGATGGCCTCAAACCCGCCTGTCAACGCTGTACCAAGCGTGGCAAGACATGTACTGGCTTTCCTAGTACGTTCAAGTTCCTGGGCAACCAAATGCCCGGGCGAGATCAAATTCCATCCCCTAAACGAAGGACGACCATGAATCCCGAGAGACAAACAATGATCACAACGTGCAACAAAAGGCCATCTCACTCGGAACAGACCAGGAAATTTCCAATGACGGAAGTAGATACGAGACTCTCTCACTTCAATATTCAGAGTTTTCCATATTTCAGGAATATACCCCCAAAGAGCGGGATACAATGCCAAGACAATCTGCTTATACAGGAAGATGCATTCTTCCCTTTAATTGACAACCCCCAACAATCCCTAGTTGAGGTATCCCAGTTCGCCTCGCAGCTCGGTTCCGCTGAAAATACCGCGCCAACATCTTTCTCAACATCAAAGTCAATATACTGTCGTCACCACTCTGAAACCACCCACGGGCGCACAACGTCCTCACAGCGTGAATGGTCAACAAATTCAAGCCTCGAGACACGAAGTTTTGATTCGTTCATAGCATCACCGACATACGCGGCGAACAGAATGATGACCACGAATGAAATACGTCCACCATGCACACCAAATATTCAGCTCGGTTCCTGTCCTGCTTTCCTAGCCGACGAACAGCTTGAAGCATACTGGGAGATGCTCACTTCTGAATACGTGGCATCGTGCCAAAAGAATGATGGGTTAGCTGCAGATTCAAATTCCATGCCTGAAGATGGTACATGTGATAGCGATACCAATAAGGGGTTAGGTCGGCTTCAACTTGAGGAGCCAAGCTTAGATCCCGATCCCGATCCCGATCCAGAAAGGATATCTTGTGGGGACTGGACTTGGAAAGCTCCGTCCCCGAATGACCTTTATCTTTGCAATTTCTTCGTTTGACAGATAGTACTATAATGCAATCATTCGAAAATAAGCGATTATATACTAAAACTCCAAAATTATTGCGTCCACCCAGATGAGAAACAGATCACCACACCTCCCCATGGTCCTCTAGACTAGAAATATGCTAATATTACAACATGGCGATTGAAAGTATGGTTCACTCCATCAGTAGCTTGTAAGTGACCTGTATGTTGAAATCACCCACCAGGGACGGTACATATGGATTGCCCTTATCATCTGTCCACTCAATGGAAGCCTTGCTCACCCTTTCTTCTTTATACGCAAGAAGCCGGGATATGTCCTTCGTCACCGGACTTGTATTTGTTGTAATGACAAAAGATGCTCTCCTCTCCCGCGCGACTTTCAGCACCTCCTCCTCCTCAATAAAATACATACACTTGACCCGCTCCGCTGGGTCACGGAGCTGCCTCCTATCGACAGCCGTAACCATATTTTCCATAAAAAGATCCATGTCCCCCTTTTGTTGCAGTTGGGTTATCACGGGCTCTTCAAGCTCTGCCAAGAATTGCATGAACAGTTTTACAATACCGTCGCCTGGGAGACCTTCGGGGGCACTATCAGAGAGTAAATTGCAACAGACACCTATTAGCGAATTTTTGGAGTCAAAGACTCTGAATGTGATAGGAAGAGTCCGAAGCATAAAAGGTTCCAAAGCACTCAGTATTTGTACAAATTCATAATGGCAGTTTCTCTTAGCTTTAGCAGGATCTGGAGATTTATTCCAAATGTTGTTCATCGGCTGAATGTCAAACATGTTCGATGCCACCATTTCCCATGCTTCATTTGCAGTATTTTGGTTCAAAGGCCTGATTGTTCAACTGGGTGACGGAGAACAAGGTGGAAAAAAGGGTAATTTTTTGACAATCGAGTCAAACACCGCCCTAAGTGATTTGGCCAAAAGAATATCAGCGATATTGATATCCATACCGATTCTCCGAAGTTGGACCCCACAGGATATCAGATTCAGAGATGTACCCCTGGCTGTAGAGAAATTGGCCGCTAGCAGGGACTGGACTGACTCTGATCTGATTCCCTCTCGCCCGAGAATTGCCACAAATTCTTGCAGCTGTCGCAAAACTGCAGGATCCAAGTGATCCATATTAGCCCAATCATATACCAGCTCATTCTTTCCGGATAGTTCTTCTTCAAATCGAGCAAGCATGGATTTCTTGTCGATTTTCCCAGAGGTTGGAAGGAATAGAAATACAGGAACGACCAGTAAACAAGTGAGGGCTATGCAGTTTCGTCGATAAGTTACGTAGGAGTCAGTACAGCTGTGCTGCTCTTTTTGGGCCTATGTTAGGTGGCATTCTCTATCACGCAAAAGGCCATTTCGCGGTATGGTCAATGTTCTTCGCTTTAATTACACTTGACCTGATTCTTCGCCTGATGATGATTGAGCCCAGGGCTGTCGCACGGACTGTTGGTTCCGAAGATAGCGAATCGGAACATTGGTCTATGTTTGAACAACAATATGAGATCAATAATGTGCTAGCTGCCAGTGAAGTTGTAGCCCCACTAGATCAGGGTCAGCACCGCGAGAAGAATTCAAAGTGGCACCCGAACTTTCTTGAAATCTTTATGTCTCCAAGATTCAGCTTTGCCGTCGTCGCAACAATATGTCTGATCACAGTCATCACATCCTTCGACGGCGCACTTTTGTTATATGTTGATGACTTGTTCGGGTTCTCGTCTCTAGAGACTGGACTTTTATTTCTCGCATTGGCTGGACCTGCTTCTATCCAACCACTCATTGGACGACTGGTGGACCGCTATGGTGGACGCTTCATTGGTGCCGCTGGATTTCTGATAAGCTATCCAGCCTTTGTGTGTATGAGGTTTGTTGACAAAAATTCCACAGAGGCCAAGATTCTGTTGGTTTCTATGTTGGTTATCATCGGTGCTTCTATCTCGGCAACGATTCCTGTTTATATGGCCGAAGTCAGCTGCGTAGTGTTGGACAAAAGGAGTGCGCAGGATAATATACCCAATTTTGCGCAAGCTTATTCTCTATAGTCTGCGGCGTATAACATTGGATGTACTCTTGGTCCGTTGTCGGAGGGTTGGATCCAGCAAAGAGCTGGGTGGAAAACGGAGACTTGGGCTGTTGGGTTAGTATGTGGAGTTTCCGGTGTTCTTGGTGTGCTATTTACAGGCCCTGATAATCATAGAGTATAAAGAATCGCATATTATACATCCGTTCTCTATCCAGCTGCCGAGCACCTCTTCGTCTCCCTTTTCAGTAGCTTCTGAGCGAGGCTCTCGCTATACATCCAAATACGCTTGAACTTATTGGGAGCCAATATCAGTTATGCCAAAATTCCGAGTGCTAACAATTCATTATAAAGACTGTTATGCATACGCGACTAACGAGCTATTCGTTGATTTCCTTCATATCCAAACGGAATCCACGAATCATTAAAGTAACTCTGCAGGACAGTCTGCGTGTAGGCCATATCATCCACACAGTATCCACCACCCGAGGGTCCAATATGAGCACAATGAATATCAGGTCTGTAGTGCACCATATGCTCATGAACCTCACGGCAAAGCAGTGTATTTTTCCCTAGCTCATAGCTCTTTCCAAATCGCACATCCTTGGTCAGAAAGTCATAACAAGCCGCCGTGTCCGTGTACTGCTGGTTTGACCCGGTGCAATACTGCTCATGTGTAGCACAAATAGTCTTGGCTAGTAGGTCCGAAACATATCCGACAGCCTGGTCCGATGAGGTTGCGTTGATCTTGGTCGCGACATTTCCAATAATAAAGTCCACCAAGTATTCGAAGTAACGGAAAACCGCGTCATATTGCGTGATCTTGCCATCCGTGTCCCACATGATCCACGTGTCAATCGTGACCGGGACGACCATGCCGAAGGTTGTAGCGTTGAAAGTGACAATGGTTGTTGCGGATGCGATGTTTTCATTGGCGCTGAATTGCGTGATATTGTATGCGATTGGGACACCTACCAGACTGACGTGTGCTGGGTCTGAAAATAGGCCGAATATGTATTCGCGGTTTAGCTCATCGCCGTCGAAGGTACGCGTAATGTCGACACGGCCTTGAACCTACGTTCTCCCGTGTCAGTATCTGCTTCGAGCAAATTGGCCTTAAAAGCCTGCCCAGGCCCCGGTGAGGTCAGCGTACATTGGGGGCAAAAACGGATGATTCGTTTCCCTCTGTCTGTTTCACATTGGCCGGGTAGAGAAACGAATCCCAGAAGGTCTTTTCAAGATTCCAGAGTTGATTGAATGTAAATTTCGCTTTCGGCGACGTTTTCGGAGGATCGCTTGCGCATTGAACTGAAGAAATCAAGACAGCAAAGGCAATCATGAATAGGGATCCCCATGAAGCTCTTCGGAAAATCATATCGAACATCTAGGAATGAGATTTCAGCTATAGGCGATAACAAGAGGCATTAGGGTGTGAGAAAGCTCAGGATGCTACGGGCGTGACTACCTGTCTTATTTGTTATTGATGAACATACCAGAGGTGTCTTGCAAGGAATTCTGGGGCTAAATTTCCGCTCTCCAACCCAAACACGTAGGGATGAATTTAAGGATGCTAGGTTCACAATACCAAGCGGATACTTGAACCTTTCCAGACCTTTTAAGCCTACAATACTAGTATGAACTGGCTTTTTATAGTTCTTAACTTGGAGATCATTCTGCGTTGGGGTGACGAGAAAATTTCAACGTGCCGTGTAATAGCCGGCGAGGAATGCAAGGTGGCACCTCGGCCTGTATTGACAATTGGTTTCCTGGCCAAGGATTTCTCGCGCGGTACTTAAATGAGTGATTGTTAGATTAATTAAATTAATGATCATGTGTTTTCGGTTCTGTATTAAGCTCCGATACTACTACCTAACTCTTCCCAGAGACACGGAGACGTATTAATTGTCCTCTTCGTGTTCGGATTCTTCATTGGAGCCGTCTCACACTGCTTGGATCTACGATGACCTGGAATACCCAATTCGAAATGAATGCAAAACCTGTCTTCGACGAGGCCATCCAATTAGCACCGTCAAATCTGATCGGGGACAAGATTATTTCGCACTCACCAGTTCAGGCTCTCCAAAGAAAATGAAATCCACAATTTTTACCACTACTAGGCGTAGACTCGAATAGATGCTTTCAGGTTGCTCTCGGTCTTGTCAAGAGGGGCCACCACACACCACGAGTCGGACTCGGAACTTGTCTAGTCGTAACACTGGTCACAAACAGTTAGGTGTCGGTGACCACCTGGGATATGTCAGCTATCAGTGGGATAAACGCCCCTGGGAGAATAGGAGCCCTAGGGGACCTATGTCGCGTGAGCGAACGGTCCTGGGATCTGGTCGGTAGAGTCCTTGAGGTTGATTCGAATAAGTCTTTGGAGGACTCTTCTTATGCAGCTTTCTGAGAAGCTGAATCTGCGCTCCGTTCTTATTGTGGACCTCGGGATGAGTAAGCGTGGCACATTAAGGCGAGTATGGTTAGCGAATGAGTCAAGTAGTAGCAATCAGATGTGAGTTTGCTCATGCCCATGGATGCCACTGGCAAAGGGCGAGAATATATATTCCCATGAATCTTGTGCACTTATATATCAGATATCCACGGGTCCATGAGATACCTAGATATTTCGCAGGAAGGCTCATATTGTTGCGCCAGATCTGATTCTGATAACACTCGACATTGGTTCGTTTGAGGCAATGCCAGTGTGTGTCTCGATGGGAGGAATGGGACGCAAATATGTTGCTGGTAACGAGCCTGGCGAGCTTGGGGCTGTTTCCACAGACTTCGCCACTCTTGACGAATTACATACAGCATCATGGGCTGTAAAGCAGCGATGGCCAGAGGCTTCGCGTGGGACAGGGTTGGGTCGACTATATGATATTGCGGGCACGATTGGCAATGGGGTTTCATGTCATCGAAGCGAGTGAACCGACCGGCATATGAAGAAGAAATGAGACCTCAAGTCAAGGTGACCACCCGAAGTTAGTAGCATGAATATAGAACGGGCTGCGATCGGAACCTTAGAAGTTCGTAGAGTCGAAGGATCAGAAGATGAAGGCGAAGGTGAGGGGTGAGGTCTATCATTATTATGTAATACTGTATTGATATTGCCTGATTAGGCAGAGTGTGTTGTGGTTTCCATTTTCGGGAACTTGAAGTATCTGCCCTTGTTGTGTGCCACTGGCACTGGCAGTTATAGACTCGATTGCACCTTCCGATTTAGCCTTGCCATACTACTACCAGTACTAATACTAGCTAGCATAGCTAGCAGTAGTAGTAGATGGCGGGGGCATTCATAAATATGACACTACTCCAGGTAGTATACACTATACACTATATAAGTAATACTAGACTACTACTAGTATCTATTGAGCGCTGCGCAGGTGGCAGAAGGAATAAATAATATCTGCCGATGCACTACCCCGGTATATATTCTGCAGGCTGCAGGCTGAGCTGGTCCCACTAATTGAATTTGGAATTGGCATTAGTCAGCGTGGGTGCTGTACTGTACTACACTACTATATCGTACTGTAACCACCATGCCTAGGCCATGGATCGTACTAATATTACGAGTAGGAAGACAATTCCACTGTCTCGTGTATATTTAGTAATACTGTTAGTAGACACGAACATATGGAGTATCGGAGAGTTCCGTACCGGAACTCTGTTCATATGTGGTTCGGCCGATGCTCGGGCCAAGTGCGAGTGCGAAATTGATCTTGCACAATGGGTATATTTAGGATATATTTAGTAGGGCACAGGGTTACAATATACTACATAATTATAGAATACATACTACCACTATCACTATACATAGTAGAGTATACTATTCTACAAATTATACTCGTCGTATAGTATACTCAAAGTAATATACCCTGCACTCCTCCTATCCAATGGACCCTTGCAGGATCGCCCCACCGCAATCTGCCAATCTCACGCAGTCCCGCCAAGCGCCAAAGTCAATATGAGTTCCACTTCTCAGGGGCTGATGAGACATTGGAATATGAGGACGAGTATATGAGTAGTATGGTTTATGTGTGATAGTATAGTATAGCAACAGAGTACTTCGTACTCTGTGTTACTATTCGACACTATAGTATACTGGGTATACTGGTATACTGTCTACTATAGTACTGTCTATATACACAACTATCTACAGTCCGTGCCCACTCGGGTGATTCTCCCAGCTCCACTCTTGATTCTCATTTTGTTCTGATTTGATTGGATTTCATTTCATGTGTGGGATTGGGATTTTTCCTCTTCATTTTTCATTTTGTTCCAGAGTCCAGGTGTTCTCTGGTGCCAGTGCTAGTCCTTAGTCCTTAGTGCTAGTGTTTTGTTCCCGGGGTTCCTCCTCCGCTCGGAGAACTTCAACTTCTTTTCTTCCCTCTTCACCCCCCCCCTCCACCTCCACCTCCCCTCCACCCGCAGCAGTCCAGTCCGTCTGGCCACGGAATGCCATGAGACTCGCAATTCGTGTCGGTTCTGCCGCCGTGCTCATCTTCTTCGCCCTGGTCCTCCTCAACAAACGCTATCACTCCTCGCGCAGTCCCGCCTCCTTCTGGCATTTTGACACCACATCGTTCCGTTCCGCCTTGCGACCACACGCCCAGACATCCACGACCGCTCGTCGCAAATGGGGAATTGGAACCGACCGCACCAATGGCGTGACCTACCAAAACACCCCCATCGAAGTCCCAAATGAGGGTATCATTGTGATGGGCAAGTTGCGCGATGAGGATACCGCCTGGGTGTCCGCCGAATTGGCCGAGTAAGTCAACTCAACTCAACTCCTGAATTCTTTCATCCCAATGGATGAAACAATTCGGGCTATCCGGGGCCTGCCCAGGACTCCCTCTGCACCACACGCTAACCCCACTAGATGGCGCAACTTCATCTACACCGTCGACGACGTCAACGCCCCCATCCACACCCGCTCCAACAAGGGCCGCGAAGCCCAACCCTACCTCCAATACCTCGTCGAGCACTACGATGACCTCCCGCCAATCATGGTCTTCCTTCACCCACATCGCGACGGCTGGCCCGCCGCCTGGCACACCGACACCATGGAATACAGCAACGTGGACTCGGTGCGGGCGCTACAGCGCGAATGGGTGCAATCCGAGGGATACGTCAGTCTGCGCTGTCAAACTTCCCCCGGATGTCCGGCCGAAATGCAACCATTCCGACAGCCCGCGAAGCCCGGCAACACAGGCGAGAAGCACTACGCCACCGCCTGGAAGGAATTGTTCGGCAACAGCAACGTGCCCAAACAGATCGGCGCCCCTTGCTGTTCGCAGTTCGCGGTCTCCCGCGATCAGGTGTTGCAGCGTCCTCGCGGTGATTATAAGCGCATGCTCGATTGGGTGTTGAATAATGATTTGCCTGATGAGGTGACTTCCAACATTATGGAGTATAGTTGGCATATTATCTTTGGCAAGGAGCCTATTTTGTGAGTTTACTGCGTGGGTCATCCCCCTTCACCAACTACCTGCTAATCTGTTCTTTTCCCTCTAGCTGCCCTGACACATTCGAGTGCTATAAAAACGTCTATGGCGAAGAAGTCATCATGGCCCCTTAGCCGTGGTCCTTGACTGAGACCCAGCTGACATCAGCTGAGACTGGACTATCCCATTCCGCCGCACCGTCACCCACCCCCGCCCTTTTCCTGTATTCACTACATTGTATTCAACTATTTTCCTTCTTCTCGCGGGAGGTGGCCGCGACCGTCACGATCACCGCATGACTATTCTCTTCCATTCTATTCTCTCCGATTATTTGAGTTGAGTTGAGTCGAGCCAAATCGACTCGACCGACTCGACTTCATGTGACTATTCTTTGCTATATTTTGTACATGGAGTTGATGGGCCATAGCTCGCATATTGAGGGTGTTGCTGTATATGAATTGATGTTTGAGTTGCCAACAGTCTCAGCCTCCTGGTAATTATATCCACTTGATATTCTCGGTAGTGCCAGTCTAGAAACCGCCCAGCCCTTGGCATGCTCCCCAACCCACGGACCCTCGGAAGACCCTCGGCTAAACGAGTCCTCGTAAATGATTAAACGAATAACCACTGGCAGTCCACAGACTCGGCGTACCCCGTAGCAAGACAATGTCTCAAGCCACCTCGTGCGAGGGTAAACCCGTCATAAGACATCACAACGGTTCTCTATTTTCGCTTCCAGCTACGAGTCCACTACTACTCGTATTCGTACTATCCCGCCCTCTCCCTCCTCTCAACCATCTCCCTCTTAACCTCATCCCACCCCCAAACCCCCCCCAGAACCAACATTATAATGGTAATAATTATCCGTACCAGCAGGAATAACAGCCCTCCGAAAAGTAATGTTAATTCTCCCCCCAACACCAGCCAGTCCCCTTCCTTTTCGTTTGGGGATACTATGTAACCAATTCGCCTGTGTGGTTCCGCGCATGAGAATCATATCTCCTGAGCTGAGGGGGAGTTTTATCGTTGTACCACCAGCACCACCAGAACCACCACCACCATCCGCAGAGCCAGTCATTGTCGTTGTCGCTGGTGCAGGTTTATGTTTAAGTAAAAACTCTCTCTCAGCCCCAAGCGACAAAGAGGCAATAGAAGGCTGGAATCCGAGAAATCGCTCGTCGTCCGAGTGGAAGGCGATACTATCTTCGCCGGTGGCATAGTAATTCACCAGGACAAAGTTGTAGGTTTCTTTTGTGGCGGACTCGACGGCTTTTTTGAGGGACTGGAGGATTGAGGGGATTGGGCGGGGTGGGTAGGTGTATTTGGGCAGTGTGCTGCTGGTGGTGGTAGTGGTGGGTGATTTGCGGAGGGTTAGGGGAGAGGTTCTATATTGTGAATTCGAATTGATGTCTGCTGCAGCAGGTGTTGCGTCGGCATTGACATTGCCATTTCCATCACCAGCATCATCATCATCACAAGCAAAAAAACACTCCTCATCAACCCCAAAAACAGTCGTAAACCTCGGCGTCTTAATCTCAACATCAACACCACCTCTCTTCGCAAAATACACAACCCGATAGAAGGGTAATTCAGCCCTCAGCACGCGAAACAATTCATTCGCGGTCCGGCGCGGGAGAAATGGTTGGAAATAGACGCAGTCTAGATCGGGTTGGTTGTTCATTATTTTGCCCTCGCGATTTGAGGTTTCAATGGCTTCTGATAGGGCTTTTTCGAGGTGTGTTGGTAATTTGGCAATTGAGTGTGGGTAGGTTGGGTGGTTGTCTGGTGATTGGGGTGGGGATGGGTTGTTTTCTTCGTTGGTGGTGGAGGTGTTGTCGGGTTTTGTTCGTTTAGGGGGTGGTTTGAAGAAGGCGTCTAGAGTTCTTTTGGACATTTTGTTGAGCTTTGAATTTATGGTATTGGTATGGGAGTGGTGAAAGGTATGGAGATGTCGTCGCGAAAACGCGTCGCGGAAAATATCAGAAAAAAAGAAAAGAAACGAGGTTCGTATTGTGTGATGTCATGCCGATCGAGTGGTTCGTCCCGATTTGGATCTGCGATCTCCTTTCAAATTGGGAAATGCAGAATGATCGTCGGTGGATGTCGGTGGGTTGCGGATGTGTATGGCGATCGGAAAAATGGGGTTGCGGGGGCTGTCATAATGGAAAAGATTGAGATTGGGTAGAGTAGAGTAGACTTTGAGGGTGAATTGTGTCTGTATTTTTCCATTCGAAATATCATGCGTGGTTGTGGTTATGGTTCGTCGGGAGAAAACTATTGGATTGCAAGCAGCCGCCCCATTGCCCAGCAGCGAAAGCGGGATATCATAATGAAGATGAGCTAGTATACGATTAAGGGAACTAGGAAGCATGGCCATATTGCTAATATCATTACCGGATAGTTGGTTATTGAGAACTCGATGTAGCACAAAAGCGTGAGTACTCAATCCAAGAACCCCCGAGGTCCAGACACTCAGTCATCCGTCATCATCCAAATCCCACATAGTTTCCACGACATGTTAACTATGGATCAACTGTCTCCGAATGGCGGTTCCAAGTTCCCGTCGCCACTCACATCCTGCGCCTGAAGAGAAGCCAATGCCTTTAAATCCCGCTCATTCGCATTGCATCGTTGCAAAGCAGTATCGTTGAACTGCTTCGCTACACACTCAAGGGCCATGGTAATTTCCTGCGATAAATGGGCCATCTGACGCATATTTGAAAGCTGCTGTTCAGCTCGTGCTGCTATGATCAAGGCGAGAGAGTCCAATGCAGGTCGGGACTCGGGAGGAAGAAGCGACGCGGAGTTCAAAACGTCCATAAAACGGGCCTGGGATATGGTGGCTCGTCAGATTCAAGTGACGGGAAGTCTACTATGTGGAAGTACAAACTTACCATCTGAGCGACGATCTCCGTGCATGCGATGAAGTTTTCGCTCATGGTGAGGAAATATTGTTCAGACATTCCAAGGTTGAGGGAAGATGTGAAAGGGAAGTTTGGTTTGCCCAACAAAGACGACGTGTATCTGGTAAATGGAAATATTCTATTCAAAGTACCGGTGCCTCAATGTGCAGTCGCCTCTGGGGCTGACATATCTATTCCCCGGATATCGTTGGCTCGCCTGCATCAAAGGGCTTTCTGGGGTGGTGATGAAATGATTCCAAACCAAAATAGCTACCTTTGGCGTAAACAAAACGATGATCTGATTCTTGCGCGGTATGGACTACAGACTATCGCGTAGTTTGAGGAAGTACACAGTCCTTTCTCTCAAAGCTAAGAGCCAAATCTGTTGTACGTGGCCAAGGCGAAGCTTTTTTTCCAAATCTAAAGTCCACCCCACGGTGCTACTCGGATCGGAGCAGAATTGTCATGAGAAGCAGTGCTGGCCCGGACTACAGCCTCCGCAGTCTATGAACATGGAATCTATTTCTTGCTGAAATTTAATGCCCCAATAATGAACAGCACCCATCCTATTGCCTGACTCAAGCTTTGTCTGCATCACGATTGTTCCGGATATGAATCTTAAATTAGGCTAGATTACGCTGGGATGTATCGTGGGGTGCAAGAATATGAAGGGAAGGCTGGAAAAGTAAGTGTCAAATCTATTGTAAAGAAGAAAACAAAGAAAATGGCGGCCACTCCTTCTTCAATGACCTGAGTGAAGTCCTGTAGCCATTTTTGCTATCCCTCGTTGCAAGTTGGGCGGTTCTGTCGAAGCTGTTCCATGTGGCCGAGCTGATGTTGGGCAAAGTATTTAGCATCTGTACCAGTAGGGAAGTGCAATTGAGTTAATGAGACTTACCAGCCCGTGGGCTGTCGCCTCGAGCATTTCGGACCCGAGGACTTTCTCTCCGGAATCCATGGTGGTAATCTTTGAATGGTGCTCAGTCGGGCATTACTGGAAAAATGTATTCGGGGGTATGGAAAATGTGGTGAATTGTAAAAGGTAGAGAAAGTGAAGTTACTAATGCCAAGGTTAGGTCAGATTATGGATGCCTGAAGCTTGCGGGAATCGTGCCTTCCTAATGCGGTGAATGTAAACAAACTGCCTGGAGCGGTTGGTTCGTGCTTCATAGAGTTATACTACTCTACCATATAACTGACTGATGGTAAGAGAGCAAGAAATTAGTAACTGTACTCGTAGCCTGTAAAATGGCCTCGTCGATTATTATGAGATAATTAGATGCAAAGGTTGTTGCGATTTGCCTAGGATCCAGGCTCCCAATCTCATGAAACGAAGTACTAGTAGTATGTTCAAACAGTCCTTTGCAGATTCTCGGGTTTCACTTACAAGCTCGACAGTGCCCGTTTCAAGGTAATCTAGTCTCAATGTTGGTAACTAGAAGATGAAAGGTACTGAATTGAAAGAGCAGATTCTGGAATCGCGTACGGTGTTTGGGGGTGGGTAGGAAAAGGTAAAACGAACTTGGAGGGAAGCGGACGCGAAATCGGTTATCTAGGCTACCTTCCCAGTCTGCCAGCCATTGTATGAAAGCCCAAACAAGGATACAACTCATTACCCCGAGCGAACTGATGGAAATTTATAACGCTTGAAAATTTGTATTCACACGCAGATACCATCGAGAATCTGGTTGTATTGTGTGAGCTCGTTGACTTCAGGCTAGCGAGAAGCCGCATCTTATCGATCTTGACACGCACACAAACCTATTTAAAAGTACTAGCCTTTCAAAACCAGTCCATAAACCAAGCGGATTTCTCCAACGTGGAAGGTCATGCCGGGTCTTCCAAGGTTGGATACGTTGAATTGTTGTATATGTTTAGTTATAATATTAATCCCCACTTAGGACCCCGAAAAGTGAAGTGGAAAAGAAGCTGGGCTCTGATGATAGGAGTGTGCAGCAGATTTTAGAGACCTCCTCTCATTTATAATGGAGCCCGTTGAGTAGCAAATGGCAAAGACGCCAATTACCCCTGAAAGCGAACATAGAGAAATAAATGCCAGAGTTCACCGAGAGCAAACAAGAAAGGTGATAGTAATCAGCCTTCAGATAAAGGAAGAAAAAAGACAACAAAGCTATCGGTTTATCGAGAATACCATGTGGGTAACGACGCCTGAGGCCGCATGTGGCATGGGTTTTTACACCTCAAGAAGGGATTCCGGCATGCCCAGTGCCAGAGGGAAGATAGCCTTGGGACTCATGAGCTTGTGTATAATCAGGAAGGAAAGTCCAACCGGAATATCTGTTGCGAGCTTTGATGCAGAATCGTATGCTGTAGATCCCTTCGTAGCGGTTTTTATTCATTGCGATTCTCACGAACTTTGATAATTGGATCGAGGATCCTGATCAGCCTCTCCATCTCGTAGCAGCATTCCGTCATGGATTGCGAGAAGATTTCCGCTGGGGCCGACGCGGCGAGTTCCTGGGTAATTTTCTTAGAAATAGTCAAGGCATATTGGTAATTGGCACCGTGGGCTTTGAATTCAGTCGAAAGGGCGTTGATGTGGTCCTTTTTAAGGTGAGTTAGTCTCATCCGTGATCAATGGCAATAGGTGAGTATTTAGGTATGCGAGAGTAGTTGGTGTACGTACAAGCTCTATGGCACTTTGCTTGTGAACATGGAGGCTCATTTCGGTTGTAGAACAGGTGAAAATTATACCAGCCACATTGTAACATAGGACGAGGGTCCAAGTGAGAGTGGAAGCCTAAATGAAACTTAGGTACCAGCAGACGTGTACATTTGCAAGCTGCCAGCCATGTTGAAGGCAGTGCCATGCCAGACCCAGGACATTGCCAGTTATCGGAGATCACAGGAGTCAAATCATACAAAAGAAAATCTGTAACTACTGCGTGATTATGAACAGATGGAAAACAGACGGAAAGGAAAAAAAAGCGGTGATGCTTTCGTCTAGACGAAAGTTTAACCAGTTGAAAATGGTAGAAGAACATACTGATATAGACTGTACTAGTGTAACGTGAATTAAATATCTCTCGGGAATGAAGCTATACATGATCTTGGATGTCCGTAATCACCGATACCGACATAGACTATTATTTACCAATGCAGATGGTCGGGGTGATCATAAATATCTACTGCTGGACGAATTGAACATTGTGCTCCTTGTACAGAGTACTCGAATCCAGGATATCACCGTTCGAAGAGCTAATGAAATCCACCTTCAAGTTCTGCTCATCGACAAAGGTGATCGAAGCATAGCTGTAATCATCCGCATAGGCAAACTCGGTGTAATCCGGCTTAGACCCAACGCTGCTCAGTCCCTCAATATTTCCAGCACCTCCCGCGATAATGTACATCGGAGCCTTGGGGTTCTTCATTCCATTCGGATCCGCGGTGCCGTTGACCACCGGGAGGAAACGCTGGGAATTGTGAACGTGACCGAAGACGCCCAAATCAACACCATATTTGTAGAAGATATTCTCGAATGCGGCCTGGCATGAATCGCAGGTGTTTCCAGAGCCGGTTGAGTACCACGGGCGGTGTCCTGCGACGACAACCCAGGGGGTGACGGTGCGATCGACGCTGGCGAGATCCGCTTTCAGGAACTCGAGCTGCTGTCCGGATTTTCCGAAGGGACCACTGTCGAGCTTGGCGGACCCATCAGTGCCGTCAGGTGCGTCAGGGAAGTCGGTTTCAGTGTTGATCATAACGACGTGGGCCGTGCCATAATCGAAAGAATACCAGAATGGGGGGGTTGGATAGCTTCCGCGCCTTGGCTGCCAGCTGCTGGGCGGTCTTGTTGGATGAAGACGAAGCAAAAGCAACAGGCATTGTCTTCTCGAAGCGGTGCATAAAGTCGGTGAAGTTCTTCTGACCCTCGGGGCATAGCTCTAACAGGTATGGAATCTCCGAGCAGTCAGCTTCGTGGTTTCCGGGGCTAGCCATGTAGAGCTTGCGACCCGCAATGGGCGCGAGTTGATCGTAGAACTGCTCCAGAATCGCCTGGTATGCCTCCTTTCCTTGCAGAATGTTCTTGAACTTCAGATACCAGTCGTCCGAGTAGCCAAAATCACCGGGGTGAATGACAATCTCGTAGTCGTCAACAGTCTGGGCGAGACGGCCGATCGTGGTATGGTTGAGCTCAGGCTCGATAACAGGGATTGTGTCCTTTTTCTTGCTGTCAACAGTAAATCCATCTTTGCCATAGACGCCTAAGTCAATCACAACGTTCATAGTGAAAGACGTCTTATCACCAGGTGTGCGCGGGCTGAGGAAGTGATCGACAGTGGAGTTGGTGGATACGATCTTGTAATAGTAAGTCGTCGCCGGCGCAAGGCCATTGAGGATCGCGACATTCGACCAGGTCCTCGATGTCGTATAGGTTGTCGATGAAGTTGAGCAAGAACGTTGAGACAACTTGTCTGCGGATGTGCCATAGACCACGCAGCTTTGGTTCAACTTCTCGTATGTATTCCATCCGACAGAGACAGCTACAAAATCGTTAGACTCCATTCCACTTGGAAGCTGACCAAGCTTTGGGGCGTACTCACCATTGGGACCATATACGGCAAGGCGTTGTTGAACAGGGGTGGTGAGATCCTCAGGAATGGGGGGATAAGTGACGCCGGCGAGGGCGCCGACTGCCACAAGGGGCAATGCCTTCACAAAGGTAGCAAATCCAACCATGATTCGCGAGTAATCACCACGACAGGATTGGCCGACAAATTTTGTTTCTCACAGAAGGTATGACAGGCATGCCGATCGGAGGATTTATATTCTTGGGCGCGTCTTCCCAGCTTCTCGCGTAGGGCGCTGATCAGCCAGCCCAATCATGCCGAATAGGAAACCCACGCCGTTCGCGAGAATTCAGCAGCATGCCGATCAACGCGCACTAAGCTCGCGATATGCAACATTATACACTTGCAAAGCGGGTGACCAGATCTCTTTCGGACGAACCCCACTACGCGATCTGCTAGCTCCCTCGCTAAAGCGATAAGATTTCGGACGTCGGACGATTTTCCCACCGTGTCTTCCACGTGCGAAAATCCAATGTCCGAGTGGTTCGCAGAAGTAAATTAAAGTGGCATTTTCACTATACACAGATGAATAATGGCATCCCGTCGTTTGTTCCATAGTTGGATTTCCCGGAGATAATCTCAATCCTATTACGTGCCGAGACTTTTTTTGTTTATTTATTTATTTAATTTTAATTTTAATTCTATTATTTCCCCTTCAGACTAACCTGCAGAAGCTAGTTCCAACGGTCGATTCGTTCCTGCAGCCAAAATGTCACCCTCGGACGCGTTTCCGACGGCGTCCGCCAAACTCAAGTGACAAGCTTTGCAATAGTTCCTACAGATTTGGCGTGTCGGCGAGACGCACTACATACTTGACTGCCGAAGCCTTCCCTTCCCGCAAGTCTCTCAATGCGCCTTCGAGACCAGCCAACCCACGAGGCCGCACCTCGACGGGATGCCCCGTGAACCATCCCTGTGCCAAACCTCTTCCGAAAAAGGCGAAGAATGCAGCACCAAACTCGATGTCGCCCACTGTCTGTCCCGGTTCTGCGGACTGGTGAACCGCTCCAACATTCGTGGTTATGGCCTCGACTCCCTTCGGAAGATCGCTATAGTCTTTACCGGGTAGAACGACCGTGATCTTTGCCGGCACAGTGAGGGCCTCGCCCAGGTTCTGGTATGACCCCTTCTCGGAAACCGCATCGAAGGCATGGTGGATTGGAAGACCGCCGGCAGAACTTCGGATTTTCTCGCGGACGGCGTTGTCACCTTCGCGGTAGTCAATTATGGTGTCCCCCTTGGATCTGTCAATGAGGGTTTCCACAAATGGTGCGCCTTTACCGGCCACTGCGATGATGGGGTGGATATTTGAGAGTTGAGCCAGCTTGATTGCAAAGGCCCCAACCGCCGATGCACCGCCATACACAACCAGGGGTAACGCCTCAGTCGCGGGATGCCACGGAACGGGCAAACTTAATCTTTGAAACAATCCCAGAGCGGATGTCATTGCGGCAAGTGGAATAGAGGCAGCCTCTGTTGAGGTTAATTATTATCCAAGCATAGTCCTCGGTGAATTCCATACCTTCAAAACTAGTTTTCTCCGGGATATGGAAGGTTGTGTGCTCCCAAGCGATCGCATATTCCGCATAGCTTCCCGCAGGGGTCATCATCTGATGGAAAGCGGCCACCTTATCTCCTTTCTTGAACTTGGAGACGCCCTCTCCTACAGCCTCAACAAACCCAGCAATATCATCTCCTTGGTTGGCAGGCGGGGCATCCGATAGCCAAACTGGCAATTTCCAATCTTTTGGATTGGTTCCTGAAACAATCACTTTGATCAAGACTTGTCCTAGCTGGGGAACAGGGATGTCGACATCGCGGATTGTCACCCCGGTGTCCTTGTCGATTACTGCTTCTTTCATTATGCTAAATTGTGATGGTCTGTTTTGCGGGGGTGAAGGGCAGCTTGCACCGCTTCTTTATCACAGAAGCTCCCCACTTTGATTTGTAAGAGCAGCGATCTTCTCGAATTATCCATGACGTTATAAAATTTTATGCAAGGCATAAGATCAGAAACCAAGATTTCAATCAAAAGAGCCCATCCAAGACCATCGTGTCACACCATCGCTCGTCGGTAGCCTGGTTCAAATGTTGTTCTCGACAGCATGTACTTGCGCCCACCAGGATAGCTGGGCCCAATCACGTACTCCGTCCTACAATCACGCCTACCTGAGCAGTACCTGGCAAGTATTCTCTTTGCCAGGTTAATCGGCAATGGCAATCGGGTCGATATTATTCTACATGATGGGTCGTTCGAGGGATTTCGTCGACATACCTTGCTCACACAAACTTCCAGCGCTTCCAGCCTGTTGAAATGACATGGCAAACATCTCGGACAGGGATAATTTTGCCCCTGAGCTTGACAGCTTGCTTATCCTCGGGATCAATGAACGATTGGTGTGGCCAAAATAACAACCCCGAGTGCATCTGCGGCAGCTTCGTGCGGGTCTGATTCGGGTCAAATAAGCTGCAGTACGATTTGAGCTCAATGGACGGCGCCATTGTGGGGGAAAAGCTCATTTCCTCAGGGTGTGTGTCATCTGGCACAGCCTCACCAGCCCCGCCAAACCAATCGCCGATCACTCATGAGGCTTAAGCCACTCCAGGGCTCCTGATCTACGCTGCGCATCCCCCTCACTTCGTACAACTTGGAATATCTGGGCAGATTCCAATTTATTTCTTCAAATTTGAAAATCTCCAACTAAAATGGCAATCTTCTTACCTTTAAGAAAACAATTTGATAACCTCTTTTGACGCTACATCCTGCATTTTTGGGGCGGTGATACATTCCACGCTGACTGATCAGCCAAGCCTCCCCCCTCCCCACCTTGTGCGTAGCTCTTCAACAACGAAAGAACATTGCGAGTCGTGAAAAAACCCAACTCGATGTCTCGACAGCGTGCGAGCAAGCCAAAAGTCCGTTCTGGCTGCCTTACATGCAAGTTCGTTATCCCTGCCGGTATAAAACCTAACTCGCCACTGAATCTTCCCACAGGGCTCGTCACGTTAAATGTGACGAGGAGAAGCCCGTGTGCGCCCGGTATGGTCCTTTACTCTTATATCCTGGCTGTGATGATCAAGTCTAGACACCCTGGCCTTGCGTGTCTGATTGGTCTCCTCAGTCATAGGCCAAAATTAGAATCCCTCCAGCTGATAGACATAGATGCCTCCTCGGCGGGCGAATCTGCGCTTATGGTACGCCTAAATCATCCTCTTCCGTCATTGTACCGCTACCTCGAACCCTGGCCCCATCACCGGAGGTCGATTCAACCACTGCGAAAGCCTTGGAACTTTTTTTTCTGCGCACGGCTCCACAACTTGCCGGCAACTTTCAACAAACATTCTTTCAGAGCAGTGTTCTGCATCTCAGTCTTGCCGAGCCTACCATTCGCCAAGCAATCGCAGCCCTCGGTAGTCTCCATGAGCAAGCCACAGCAGCTAAGCTCCAACCTTTACGCCAAAATGCCTTAACACCGGGGCTACCGAACAAATTATATAATAAGGCTATTCGCTACCTGATAGAAAAGCTCACGACGGATCCTCATGACATTCAACTAGTTGCTATCGTCAATGTTCTTTTCATATGCTTTGAATACTTCCAGGGAAACCTCGAGGCCGCTGCATCGCATATAAGAAGTGGGATCAACCTTTTGAACTCCTGGCGCCAAACGAGTCGCAAACAACTCGGCCGGCCCTGGGGCAAACAATACGATTCACACGAGGCTAACTTCATGGAAACGGAAATCGGGCCACTCCTTTCACTCTTTAACATCAATTCTTTTCAATGGGACGTAGATATGGGCACCACTCTGTTACTAAATCCAGTCGACGCCGAAGGAAATGTCATTCTACCCGAAAGCTTTGAGTCGATTGAAGAAGCCAGGGTCGCCCTTCTTGACTTGATTGCCTCCGCAAGCTTGCAATTCCAGCAATACGATTCACCATTTAACCAACAAGAACGCTCTGACACGCAATTATCTATCATCAAAGAGCTTGTAACATATGATCGGACGCAATGGAACTCCAAATTCGACGATTTGGTTCGCTGCAAAGAGCGGACATGGACTGAAAGTGAACAGCGAGCAGCTGACGCCGTTAAAATTATGTCGTTCGGCTTTGACTGCCAAATTGGAAGCTATCAACAAGAATGTTTCCCCATGGACTGGGCCACCAATCGCTCCGCGTACGATTTGGCTGTGATGACGCGACTGTCCAACTTATCCTCCGACGCTACCCGATCCACCGATGATTTGTCTAAAGCCTTCAGTTTGGATTTCGGAATGGCCTTCCCCTTGCATTCTGTTGCTTGGAGGTCGAGTTGGTCACATATTGATCGACACGGGCTCGATCTGCGAAGTCGCATTGCTCAACCTGAATTGCTAGAAACCACGAAACCTTACAACTCGATCTCGTATCGAATGAAAGAGCTTGAACGATTATATCTGGACTCAACTCCACAGGCAGCTCTCGAGGAGGGTCACCCACCCCCGAGGCAGATTCGAATTCATGATTTTAGTGTGGATGGTGCTTCTCAGACGGACCAGGGACAATCCCCTTTGTTTTCTGTGACGTTCTGGAGCAAGCTAGACGGGCCGCAGGGACCTTGGTACTGCTTAACAGAGGATATGCAGCTAGGGCCTACAATGCTCACGGAAAATCCTGCAGTGTCGTGAACCCGTTTGCCGGGCTAGAATCTGCAATATCGAAAACGCAAGCTGCGAGTTGCGACGTGCTCTAGTGATGGGAGTTCTGTCATGAAATCGGTAAACCTAATCTATCAACTAATGTCAATAATCCTCAATCATGAATAGACTTCACAAGCCTTACGCAAGGGTTATAGCACCACCACGTTTCATTGGCTACCGCCACATTCGACTTTAGTGCGATCTAAGCTGACCTGGACCAAAAACCGGTGAATCAGAAGCTAAGAAGTGGACGCAGCCATCATATGCTAGTTAATTGGCGGTGTGCGTAGTACGGGTTTCTTCCGAAACACCAGCAAAATAAAGTATCCACGTGATTCATCATAACAGCAAGACACAACTGGACATAAATAAATGTCCGGATCGCCCTTCCCGCGAAATGTCTGCAAGTGACTGGGAAATTGTTGGCAACGATGCTGTGCTATGTGACTTTGAAAATTGCAATAACGCCTCCGTTCGCACACATGGCGTCTGCATTTTGTGCAATCGTCATCTATGTGTAAACCATCTGAGACCAAGTCACCACACCTGTCCGCGATGGGAGGTAAGTGAAAAAAATAAAAGAACTAGCTTGCCTCGCCGAAAGCCAAATATTGAATGGACTACAAACACAGGCATGGGGGGTACGCGTATCATATATTTTCTCGTGAAGCTCGTTTTCTCATTTTATCTATTGTAGAACGGGTGATGCCTTGCTTTGCGAACTGGATGTTTCACCTCGGGGCCTGTCAAGGTTAGAAAAGGCTGCCCCAAGTTTGGAGCTGGAGATTTTCGCTATGTAGTTTTCATAAATAGACATTAAATAGTTGAATGATAATTTCTTTGAACCTGGATTTCCTGCTAGTGATTTAAATATCCATCACCAGTAGCAGTCTTGATTATGTAACTGTATTGCTACGCTCAAACGGGCAGCGGGGAGTATATGACGTCGACACCTCGTCGAGTATCCACATTCTCCGAGGCAGCAATTATAGACCGCCGTGGCAGGCGAAAAGTTAGAAATTTGAGTGCCTGGAATCAAGCGAATCCGTCAAATTCTTCACTTGGTATTTCCGCAACACTGGCAGGGTACTCATGACCATGCAGATCTCCAGATGAACACTAGCAGCCCCCTGTTCGTGGCCCAAGAGGCTGTGTGCTTCTACCCAATCAGCACTATTTATGACTCGTGTCCGCGATATTTATTCTACGCCCTGCTTGCGGTCTCAATCTTGACACGATGGACTGGATGGCTGAGCGATGTATTTTTGGGGGCCGCAGCGACGTACGCAGGAACTGCCTCTATCCAATCTTTTATTCTCGTGTCGAGCCCACAAAAGTTCCAGCAGTTATCCGATGTCACAATTCCATATGTCGCAGAGAATACGACGCTTCAACAAAGCTTTCCTCAGATAGTGACAGACACGAACATTTTGTCGATCTCCCCGGGCGCGCTCGAGCTTGATGGCGATGCTGTACTTGCTATTGTCGTTACGGGTTACCTCGTCTTCTTGCCCCTGATGTGTTGGTCACGATACTTTTCTGGTCATCAAAGAGCCCGTGCTCTTCTGTTTTGCTTATGGAACCTTCTCATGCTGGCCGGTGGAATTTGCGCACTGGTATACTCGAAACAAAAGTCCAAAACTCCGACCCAATACATGTTTTGCTATCCCGATCTTCCGCCATTCGATGAAACCTCTAGTGATGGTTGGCAGGCATCCTGGCGAACTTCGTCTTGGAATGAAAGTGTATGGGAAACCTTCTCGAATATATCCCGATGGAATGAGCTCGGAGATCTCTGCTTCAATCCCTGTTTCAACTCTAGTCAGATTCTGCGGCAACCTACCAGCTTAGAGTCTTGGGTTGCAACTAGAGATTCAGAGCTTGACAACCCGAACAAATTCATCAATAAGGTAATATATTCAAAGCGATACATCTACAGCTTAGTTGGTCTATCTGTTATCCTCAACTTTGTTCATCTCACGTTCAAATGGCTACCATATCGCTCAAACATTCCGTCGGCTCAGATTATCGTCATCTGGAGGGAACGAAGGAACATGTGGAACAGTTTCAAGGGTGACCTTCGTGATGCTCTGTCAAAATCAACCAGCGAGCTCACCTTGGAGAAAGGAATGGAACGACCATCCGCGAAAGCTCTTTCGATCTGGAGGAAAGTCCGTCCAGCCTTAACTATCCGCTTCATCAAGGCCGCAATCCGCGTCACCTTCGATTGCCTGATCCTTTTCGGGTTATTGTTCAGCATGATAATCAGTCCCTTTACGACCGTTGCGTTTATTGTCTGGATAGAGTGGTGGATTCATAACGATGGGCCAGGGGGGTTCAAACCAAGAATCGGAGCAGCAGGTAGGACAGTGGTCGTATCTGGTCGGTATCGCTTTGCTCATAATCTCGGCCGCAATACTCGCCTTAAAATATCGAATTGCATCGACCTGTGAGCTAGAGACAGAGATAAGCAGTACCAGGAAACAGTTGGCCAAGTTAGAGCGGATGAGAGAGGCTCGATCACCGGTGGAGATCGCACCATTAGCACGGGATGACGCTCACCATTGATCATGGACAGCACCAGCTATTGCACCTGTGTCGTCGTTCGGGAACAAAAAGGCAGTGGAAGATCAAATATAGCTCCTCCCTCTCTAGTTCCAAAATAAGAATATGCTCCATTGGAAAATGGCCAATAGTATGACCGATCAGCTGACGTTAGACCGTGAAGTAATATACAGTACAGCCTACTAAACCGCAGATATATCCTAATTCTGACCCAGCCCCGCAAACCTTGCGTTTGCCATGATCCAGGACATATCTAACACGAATCATGGTCTGTGGGACCCACTTGGCATTCGTGCGGGGAAGCCTACTTCGAAACCTGATTGGCGTAGTGATCGGCAGTAGAGCTCCCCAGAGCGAATACATCAGCAGCTTATTCTTCATATATGACGGTTTTGGACGGAGTTTGTTTTCTTCCGTCCGAGTGCTCGCTTAGAGAGTTGCTTGCATCATGTCCAAGCTCATGTAACGCCAACCGAACAGATGGAGCCGCGGTGCCTCGCTCACCCCTCCTTGTCTGTGCGGGCGGAATTCGATTATAATTCAACTCCGGACCACCGCGACATTGTCTTCAACTTACCCAGTGTGATCAAATAATCATGCAAGAGTCCACAGACAAGCGTTCCGAGGAGTTTATTGAAGATGTATCTTCTACCGATACCAATACATCTAGTCAGGGGTATGTCCCGCTGTGGCACTCCCTGAAGAAATGGCCCAAAGTGGTGGGATACAATCTTGCGCTGAGCTCCGCCATCCTGCTTTATGGATATGACTTGGTAATTGTGGCGAATGTTGCTTCAATGCCAGCCTTTCAGTACGTTCCCTGCCAACACACCGGATCATACCTAGGCTGACGATTCCTACTAGACATCGCTTTGGTGTCGAGCTGAATAGCAAATATATTATTCCCTCCGAATGGCTTTCGCTCTGGAATGCGGCAAGTCCCATTGGAATGATGGTCGGGGCGATTATCGGGGGTTACTACCAGGATCGAGGAGGTCGCAGACTGTCGCTAGCAACGGGGTCCTTCCTATCAGCCGTTGCGGGAGTTGTTATATATCTTTGTGATCTTCACCCGGACATGGACTCTCGTAGAGGTCTTTTTCTCACCGGGAAATTACTACAAGGGGTCACGATCGGAATGTTGCTCTGCATGATTCAAACGTACATGTCAGAAGTACTCCCTGTCGTGCTTCGTGGGCCGATCATCGCCTTTCTACCGATCTTTACGCTTCTGGGTCAGCTGATAGGCTCGATCGTGGTGTATACCTCGCTCAAACATCCTGGAGCTGAATCGTACAGAATATGCTTTGCATCACAGTGGGCATTTTCAGCGGTGCCCTTTTTCGTCTCCTGGGTGCTCCCTGAAAGTCCGACATGGCTTTTAAGACGGGGGCAATTCGACAAGGCATTGAAAATGCAGTGTAAGCTTGATACCGGAAATATGGACTCTGCGAAGACAATTGAGGATTTGCAAACCTCAATTAAAGCAGAACAGGAGGAACGCGAAACACAAACATATTCCGACTGCTTTAAAGGGCCAGCAAATCGCCGCAGGACGTTCATAGTATGTTTTGCAAGCGCTCTGCCACAATTTTTCGGACTACAGCTTCTGGCCAGCGCGTCCTATTTCATGCAAATGGTGGGCATGAGCGCGACAAACAGCTTGATCTTTCTCATTCTGGGAATTGGGTTAGGTTTGATTGCGAATGGTGTCAGTCTTTTCACACTGAACGCACTCGGAAGGCGCATTCTCATTCTATGGACATTGGGAGCAGCGTTTGTTTTGTGGCTCGCTCTAGGGATCGCCGGATGCTTCACCGGTGTAGTAACTATCTGGTATGTCTCATACAAAAATTTTTCCCCTTCAATCTAACCGAACTTTAGGTACACTGCCGTCAGCATGATGGTCATAACTATGGTGTGCGGTCTAGGAATTTGGCCAGCATCCCACGTTGTTGCCGCTGAAACTTCAGAGCTCACACTACGTTCAAAGTCACAAGGGGTGGGTTGGTTTGTTAGCGGAGTAGCTACTGGAGTCTTTTCCATCATCCTCCCATACATCTACAATCCGGATTCTGGTAACCTACGGGGAAAGACTGGATTTGTCATGGCAGCATTTGCGGCTATTGGCTACGTCGTAACCTGGTTCACCATCCCTGAGATGAAAGACAGGTCGCCTATGGAAATTGATCGAATGTTCGCGCTCAATCTATCTACCCGAGACTTCAAAACCTGGAAGAGCGATGTGGTGATAGAGAGAGGGGCCAATGTTTTGAAGCAGACAACGGAGGCTTAAAACAAACAAATTAAGATCTTCAGTTACATCTATTTGATTAAGTCGATTTTGACGCAATAATTCGATCCCTGAGTAGCGAGTGTATCGAGGCGTTTGAGTAATATAAATACTTACCGTCTAACGGCAGTCAATTAGAAGGAAAACCAGCCACCCTAATATTCCACCGCATCTAAATCTAACACAAGAACCTGATATTGTACCATAGAACTGATTATCCGACTTTGATGCGTCGACAAAGGTCATGACAAATCAATATCTAGACAATCCCAGAAGTCCTTCTTCGGTTTGAACATCGGTGGGCTTGGGAGGGGGGGGGCAGTGCCAGCTGGAGGAGGAGCCGGAGCAGATCCAGAGGGAGGAGGAGGGGGGACATCAGTACCCTTCGGCTCCTCGTCGCGCTTCTCGTTCCCATCGTTGGTGGGTTTGGGAGGGAGAGCACTGCCCGAGGGAAGAGGAGGAGGAGGGGGGAGGGACATCGGTGCCCTTGGGCTCCTCATCACGCTTCTCGTGTCCATCCTCGGTAGGCTTGGGAGGGGGAGGACCATCCGAGCTTGGAGGTGGCAGCTCAGTACCGGTGGGTGGTGGTGGGGGCAGCTCAGTGCCAGTAGGACGCCCATCACGCTTGTCCTTGCCATCCTTGCCATCCTTCGGTGGGGGAGGCAGTTCAGTGCCGGTAGGTGGTGGTGGCGGCAGCTCGGTGCCAGTAGGAAGTTGGTCACGCTTCTGGCCGTCATCTGCTCCCTTGGAAGGGGGCAGCTCAGTGCCGCTGGGAGGTGGCGGCAGCGGGATGGAAGAGAGATCAGTAGGCACTGAGAAGCGAAATGGATTAGCAAACACGGCACTGTGTCCAATATTTGAAAGAGAATGAGGTACCTGGAGCGGGAGGAGCACCAGCAACCAGGCCGGCGGCCATCAGAGTGGTCATAACTGCGGAAACCTTCATTGCGATGGTGGAATTGTAATGATGTTGTGATATTGGAAAGAACGATTGATTGTGGGTTGGATGGAAGCAATGATGGTGGTTTCTTGCAGCCTTTATATACAACCAGGGCATCTTGCTTTCTGGGACAAGTTGCGCTGGAAGAAGCACATCACCAATTCTTGTCACGTCATGGTCTCTCGCAATGATGACCCATCGCAAGTCACAACGTTTGGTGAAGTTGTCGGCAGCCTGCTTCCCTCCAAGGAAGGCATCTACACTCGGAATTGGAATGTAGTTGAAACGATCGACATTTGGCCCGGGGGTTCTAGACTGGAGTCCAACTGAAACGAATGCGATCTGTGGTCACTTACGAAGCTTGTGGATCTTTGTTTCCCGGATGTCCTCTTTACTAATTTTGGATATACTATATCTATGGTGCAATTGGGGTTGCCTGGCGCTAAATAAAGATCTCTCAAGAGAGGAGCCGACCGAGATGAAAGAGTGGTGATGGTAGCTCGGGGTGAAGTGAAACAGAATAAAGCATTCATTGAGATGCACGAAGTAAACCAAGCGCGGGTAGATGGAATAGCGCGTAAGTTAGTAGAATGGTTGGATACAGTGGAGGAAGTCTGATGCAAATATGGGGATCGAGTCCGTGTGATCGACAGCTTCTCGACTTGGGGCCGAAACTGGGCATACTCGAGACACGCGGCACGAAGATCTTATGTGGGTCTCTCCACAAGATGACGAGGAAGCAATTGAGAGTTGAGCGATCGTAATTGTTTATTTTTCTTTATTCAATAGGGCTGAATTCTGAATTACGAAGGCTCCTTTGATCCAAATTCGCTGGAGACAGACATTCAATTATGAGACATGGAATATCATCATCGTCGAGTAATAAGCAGCGCATAAATCTAACCAAGAAACCATCGCAACGGCGGCTGGGGGCGAGATGGTCTGGGGCCGCACACTAGAGCAGGCATGGAGCTTAGCCCGGCTTATTTCTGGCGCAGTGAATCAGCTTGCGCATCTCCCCGTCAGGTACGAGGCTGTTTTGGACTTCTGCATCCCGGGGAATGGCAGGTTCTCTTTGAACGCCGATAGACTCGTCCAAGGGTCTGTTTTTACAGATCTACTCCGTAGAGCGCTTGATACAGGGCAATACATCTCGAATTGCGTATGTGTTATCTTGCGCATTCTTTTGCCTTGCTGAAATCAATACATCAGTAGATCCACAAAGGATGACATATAGCGATTGGATCATTGATATTACTTGCTGTTGCCCAATCATTTGAAGTTACATTTCCTGCTCAGGAGTGTGACTATCACTACACCAATTTGTAGTTTGTCCATACGTTCTAAATCTAGATGTATGCGGAATAGAGAGTTCCACGTCGTGAGCGCCAAGAGACAGAAACGAAGGATCAAATTTGACGTGCTCCGGATGAAGATGGTATCTCACGAGTAGATCCAACTGACCCGTTGTGGCCAATTCCTCCCTACCTTGATACTTCACTGGCTCAGGCGATCAAGAGACGCGTATCACTATTAAATTGGCGCCTGAAGCTCTACATCGTTGTGGTTGGGATTGAATGTATACCCCCAAATTCGTGACATGTGTGAGCTGGAATTCCAGCTCATACGAGCTGGCCGCTCTACTTCCCGAGAATCAAAGACTCTCATCCCAAGTTCTTCCTTCCTCCCCTATCCGTCTTTCCATTCATACTACCGTCCTATTTCATCAAAGTTAATCGTCTTCAAGTTTCAAGCTTCCTCCGTTCCAAAATTCCAAGAATCGCTCTCAAGATCTATTCCGGTCCAGCGACTCAGATTTCGCCAATAACTCCAGGCTTAAATATATATCGTCCACTCGCCGGTGGATACTCGAAAATGGATTTAAGTTCAGCTTGATATCGGGAATTGATGCGAGATGAGGCTTTCCAAGTTTGCGAATTAAGTAGGCTATCACATACTAATACGTACAGACGGCCGATATAAACTGTTCTGATTGATATATTACTGGGCTAGCGGCACCATGTGCAAAGTTTGCAAACTGTACCAGTATACCAAATAGCGGCGCGGTTGCCGGGAATTCCGGGTTATAATGCGCGTTTTGGTATAGCCGTGATAAGAAATGCGAAATCTTGCGCTTATGCATACCATGCAAAACATACAAACACCGGAGCCAAGCCCGGAAATTCCGAGCTGCCGCACGCTTATTGGCTAACTCCCTTCCGAGAAGGCAAATCTTATACTGATTCATCCTGTGCAAACATCAAAAACCTAGAAATCTAGTTTCCCGATGAAACGCATCATACACATGAACATGGGAGTTCGGGATATAAGTTTGCCTCGATTTCCAGAAATCTTCCAAGACACAACTGATAAATTTACTTGAAACTCAAATTTATTGCAAGCAAAGGTAAATTTCCACCGCCCTGATGCCTAATGCCTGTTTAACACACCCCCCTGGACCCCCTGAGCGGTGCCTTCGAAGGTGTCTAAATTTCAATCCACAATCTTTGGATTCAGAGCGAACCAATTGTGCTTGTAAAGTCGCCGGGGGGGGGTAGTTTTGATCGAAGTATATTTCATGTTTACTAATTCTTCGTTCCCGAAGTTTGGCCAAGACAAGAGATTTCCACTTCCTTCCACTTGATCAGATCGGAATCACTACATGTGAGTCAAAATTGGAATCATTGTTCTGTGGAAAAAAGTCTTAACATATCCTCAAGCAAAAAAATGGCTCGCACCCTACTAAAAAGGATGGAACGATTCGTTGAGTTCATCAATTCAGGCGATGAAACTATAGGACAAGAGGTGGTTTCCGAGTCAGCCGTGTTCCACGTTCCATTTTCGGATACCCCACTGCAAGGATTGCCTGGATACATGCAAATTCTCGGCATGATGCGCTCGGCATTTCCAGATATCCAGTGGACACTCGACGATACAGTCATCGAGGGCAATAGAGTTGTAGCGCAGTTTACTCTGCGTGGAACTCAAGAAGGCGCATTCTTTGGTGCTCCGGCTTCTGGAAAGAAAGTCCAGGCACGAGCTATGAACATTTATCGATTCACAAATGGAATGATTGTGGAGGAGACGGGGTTGCCTGATTTGTTTGGGATAATGCTCCAAATTGGGGCCGTGAGCCCACCGGTTGCTCATTAGGCAATCGACACGGTGCTTCAAGAATATGTATCACTCTGCGACACAATATTTTACAGTACTAAATATGTACCTATTAGTAAGCTGAATACAGATTGCGTAGGGCGATACGACTAGCATAAATTGACAGCCTTTTTTCAGGCCCATCTGATGGAGAAGGACCGATGGTAAATTATGTGGCGAGGTAGCTGTAATAGGATCTGGAAAGAGGGGTGCATAGCGAATTATATTCTAGTCTTTTCAGGCTCTTATGACTAGGAAATAGATTTTCAATTATATAAGTCTCCAATAGTCATGCCTGCATGCCGAAAGTGTCCCTCTGCGCTTTTCTCCCTCGCACCAACGACGTCAACACACCATTCGACGAAGTTATCGAATCCTTGATCCGGATTATCTTCGTAGAATTGCCAGTTCCGCCGGATAAGGGCCTCGAGCTCAGCAAAGAACTCCTCAATGGGATTCAAATCTGGAGAATATGGAGGCAAATACACCAGCTTTACGCCAGCCTCCGAGCACATCTGTTCAATTCGGTCCGAGTGATGAAAGGATGCGTTGTCCATGACTAATACGGACTTCGGCTCGGGCTATTCCCACAGTGCTGGGGAAGCTGTTCGATAAAAGCCTCAAAGACAGACGGGTCAGTTGAACCTTCGAACATTCGAGAGAACAATGCCATCTTGTGCATACACAGGCAGTATCTGATAATGTTGGTGACGATGAAATTTGGACACTTGAACTGGCGTGGTACCGAGTGGGGACCAACACGTTCGCCTAAAGCCTATCCTTTTATCACATCCAGATTCATCTACATAAGGGGCTAGAGAATATCTTTGTTGGAATCGCTGCTCTTAGGGAAGGCCGTGTACATAGGAAGAAACTGGTTTATGCGCTGTGATATTGATCTATACTAAATGGATTTCAATAGCCCAGCTGATACCAATAGGTGAACATCAAAGCTAGAGATGTAACAAGCATTAATATCTAGAAACTAATCCCAGTTCGAAGCCATTCCCGCCCATAGAGCAACTTCATCGAGATTACTGTCCTTGTCTTCTCGATATTTGTTAATTTCGCGGCCGATGCGCCTGCCATATCGGTTTACTCTATGACCATTCTCTTCGCCGTCATTTCTCTTCGTAGCCAAACGTTTGGCAACTTCATTAGCTTCGAAAAGAGTCACGAGTTTCCTTTTTTGAGCACCCTTCTGTGCTCGCTTATGACAGAGATCAAGCATAATTTGTACCTTTGTTCTACCGTCCTTGTTTTTGATAAAGTGCTCCGGTCGGTGCGCGGTGATGTTTTGCCACTGGCTATGCCGCTGGGTGTGCCGATTTGACGTGACGGAAATCTGGGGAACCTTGCGAGTCGTCGCATTAACCCAGGCATCCACGGCCATGTCAAGTGGTGTGCTTCCGGTGGCGTTCTCTCGGTAGAGAAGGTCAGGTCGTCGGTCCAAAATTGGTTCTAGCACTTGAGGGAAGCCTCGCTTCACACACTCATAGACAGGCGTGTTGCCTGTGCCATCTAGCAGTTCCAAGAACTTTTGGTTGCTAGCTTGTCCCATATCTAAGAAGGCTTGTGTGATTGACCGAGTCTCGTCCTTGTCCCTGGCGTCGACGGAAAGGTCAAATGGATATCTACTGAGCCATCGTGCAAAGGGGGTCTGTGAACTTTCACCCGCACGTTGCATAAGCATGTTGGATACAAGTTCTTCGTCCATCAAGTCAACCAACTGACGGATCCTTTCCGGCACCCTGCTCGCTGTGTCCGAAATGGAGCATACTGCTAAGTGAAGGATATTGCGTTTTTGGTTATCCCGAGTGGCTTGGTTAGCACCGGCTTTGATCAGGATCCGCGCAAAATTAACCTTCTGAAGTGAAATCGATAGTGCGAGCGGCGTGTGGCCCTCCGATGATCGTACTTCCAAGCATTCCGGGTGTTGGTCAACGAGATACTGAACCAGTTGCTCTGACTCTTCAGAAGTGCGAGCCATCACTGCGCAGTGAAGGACAAGGTTATCTATTACCGAAATTAGTACAATGGATGTTTTTGCCTCGGGTCGCAGACCGGAAACTCACTTCGAGATTGGAGCCATTTGAGAACAGTTGCGTCAATACCCAGCGTAGACTCGGCAACTCTTTTGACATTCTCGTCTTCCGAGTGCGCATGAACATATTCCAGATAGTAACGACTGGGCGCTGTGCCAAGAAACCACTCAGTACTGGCTAAGCTTCCTCGTAACGCGGAAATAAGGAGAGGCGGGCGACTGGGGCTCTCGACTTCGCTGGAATTATCTGGCCGTCCAGAATCTGCCCAGTCTTTGCGTTTCTGGCCTCGAATTGACAAGCCCTGGTAATAGTGGGGCTCCTCGCAGGCAGGAATCCCAGATTCTTCACTCAGCTTCATGAGCGGAAGGCCCACGGCAGTACTTTTGATAAGCATGGCGAGGCAATCAGTATGCCCCAGGGACATTGCAAGCTGAAGTTCCTCTTGGTCAAGAGTGAATGGTGTCTTGCTGGAAGAATCACTCCTCACGCACTCGTGCCCAGCATTTAGAAGCCACTCCAGTAGCCGAACATCGTTCTTAAAAATTGCATATTGGAAAAGGTTGCTAACCAGCAGATGATGCGACATACTCCAATGATTCATACCCACAAGGCGAAAGGTATCCCTTGGGGGCAGTTCCTCGTCCAAAAATAATTGGACGGGGCATTTTTGCTCCAACGCTTGAAGTGGTGACACTTCGCTCTCAACTTGGCTCGCAACTTCTCCGACATTGTCATATGTGAATTTCTCATCCACAGCATGACCGACAATGTTGAGACTCTCGCCATCGGAAGATTCGTTGTCTGAGTCGATGTCCATCTCGAAGTGTTGATGAGCGTCATACTCTTTTATTTTGTATTGCGTCCGAAGTATTTGCAATATGGCCTTTGCAATGCGAAGGTGGCCTCGGAAGATGGCAATTTGAAGACAGTTGAGCCCTAAGGAATCTGTTTTGGAAATATGGAGCGGTAGTTGGTCCTTAGCTGGTCCCCACATGCTGAGGGTGAGAGATTTGATGGTGTCCAGATCTCCCCTCCATGCAGCCTCGAAGCTAGTTTCATATGTTAGCAGTGATATCAAAAATCCCCACGGATACATGGCCTTGTGTACATACAGTTTCACATATCCTTCATGCGCAATATCAGAAAGACCCGAAAGTGAACTAAAGAACTTGATCTTGAATGCCTTCGCGGAAGGTTTCTTCGTGTGATTTCTCCAGTTTCGATGATTTTCAGGCTCAGGCTCCCGTGTTTCCCCGGGGTGAAGCTCTTCCCAAGTCTTTGCGTCTCGGGATAATAACTCGGATTTTAGCAACTCATATTGATCAATCATCCCGATGATTGCTGCTCTCCTTTCTGCCTCGCCCGGCTTGTCTTCGGACGATTTTGCCTTGTCTTCCGCTTCTTTCTGTTCGGCCTTCTTGTTGTTTTCCTTTGCCTTCTCTAGCTGGCCTCTCGCAGCGAACATTTTGTAACTACCCTCATCGAATTCTGTGAAATATGAGCGATCGTGTTGTGCCAAGATGACGGGATCTGGAACACCATATGTGCGGTGCCATGAAGGATCTTCTTTCTTCAGAGAATCCTGCAACTCCTTTAAGTATCGATTTGTGCAATCTAGAAGTGTTTCTTCACGATCGTATCTTTGTTTTTGCATCGTGTTGGGATCGACGCCACGTTTCAGGAGATCAATAGCGACCATTGCTAGATCGTTTTGGATGGCGTAGACAATAGGCTGCTTGGGCTGGGCTTCCGCGAGGCTCGCCTCTCTACCATATCGCACTGCATCAGGCACCTGAGATTTAACCGCCTGCAACCAATCCGCCAGATCATTACTAGGTTTAGCACCTAGTTCGAGAAGCTTCTTGGCTCCAACCTGGTTTTTCGCACATAAAGCATTCACTAAAGCCGAGGCGAAAGTAGAGTTTGGAACAGAGTAATAGGTGCCATGGACTGAGAGGTGGCTGATTGCTCGCTGCATTCCTGGACCGTCATGCTCTTGGTAGATGTCAAGAAGGTCGTTATAGTCGGACTGAGCGATGTACTGAAGCGCAGTCTGGTGGTACATGTCGGCTTGGGCAGGCGAAGCACCGAGCTTCAACAGAGTCTTTGACATCTCTCTTGCTTTATCCAAGGGGAGGGATAGCACCAGCACCAAAGTCATGATTGCCCCTCTCGGTCGCTTGTCGTATTCAGACGTAATCTTGATTGGCAACAAAACATCAGCGCCAAAAGATGTAACGAGCTCTTCGACAGTTTCCACATGCCCATGAAGGATTGCTAGATGCAGGGGCGATGCTAAATTGTCCCAGGCGGCGACGTTAAGGTCGTAGATGTCCGGGTCCAGCCCGTTCTCTTCAATTGTGTTGTAGGTTAGTCCCACTTCGTCCGTTTCGTCTTTGTCCACCTTGACATACGAGGCAGATGTCTGCGATGCGTCATCGTCATGGGCGGCATCGTCTTCATCATTCTCACCATCGATTTCCTTGGGGGCGGCCTTCGTATTTGCAAGTTTCTGACCCTCTGCCTCCTCGTTCTGGTTGCTCTTGTTGAGTAGAATGCGAACAATCTCAGTTGCGCCCCTCGCAGCAGCTAGATGCAATGCGGTCTGGCCATCTGCCATCCGAGCGATAAGTCTCGCACCGTGATCAACGAGGCATTGAACAATCTCTGGAGTAGAGGCCATGCAGGCCAATTGCAGAGGAGTGCGTCCAGTGTAATCTCGGCGATTTGGATCTGAGTCCTCCTGGTCAAGGAAATTCTTCACAGATTCCAGGTTATGCGAGACAATTGCCTGGCAGAGCAACTCGGTACGACCAATGTACGCCATTTCTGTGGTAGGTGTCAGTATCTTGCTCTTCACAAAACCCGAATGTCTGGGCCATACCTGTCCAGTCGGTCTCGGTGATTGGGTTGAAACTGCCAATTTCTTGACGACCGGGATTGTCTTTGATGAAGATGATGTTGCCAGAGATGTATATCTTGCTCTCCTCTTCTGCCACTTTTAGTTCTTCGTCGGTCACTGGCTCGGGGCAGGAACCACAGCAGTCTCCAATGACATGTTCAGCTTCACCGAAGAATGCAGGGTGGCGATGAAGATAAACTTTGCGATCCTTTTTCTGATTCCATTGGGCGTTAAGAAGCAGATCTTTCGTGTAGAGGAGCTTCTCAATCTTCCGTGCGTTGAATCTCCGCCCGTAAGGAATGGTCTATTGAAATGTTAGACTAACTTGCAAGGCGTAGACAGGGTGGAAGGACCTACAAATGTATGGTAGTCTGAGATTTGGTCCTCTTCTTGCCATTCCGGGACTTCATCTTCCCAGTCGTCTTTGATATTGCCTCGCAACTCCTTGCCTTGACGACGCTGTAAATACACACTGAGAGCAGGCCTTCCTCGCTCTTCGCGTCTCTTCCTCAGATAATCGTCACGGTCGCCTGGTTTTGGGAGCTTCTCGAGGACCAAAAGTCGTGCGAGTCCTTCAGTTCGCATAAAGCTCCTTTCAAAAATAGTCTAGTTCACAAGTCAGCACCACCAGTCGTCCACATCGTCTTTGGTATAATGTATTCATACTGGATCGACCTTCGACCGGTCAAGTTGGGCCCAAAACACTTCGAAGCCACGATGGGAGTATTTGGACAAGCGGTTTTCATACGAAGGAGATCGACGCGTGAGATCTACTTGATTTGTCTGCGTGATGTACGCCGCGATGGCTCGAGGAGATGCATAAACTTGTTGACCATCATAGGCTGCGCAGGAACAATCCACATCGAATCCGGTGAGGATTTCGGCAACGGAGCGATAGATTCGAAGGACTATCTGGACATGGCGGTTGGGGTACTGGGATGCAATTGTGATCGTGTTCTTTGTGCGGATAGTTGTCGTTTCGTACAAGATCGTGTTGCGGATCTTGTCTTCGATATGTTTTATTTTCTCAATGGCTTGCTCCTCGGTCAACCCATACAAGAACAAATCTACATCCGAGGCTGGTGCAAACTCATCATGGTAGTATTGACGGAGACCTCTTTTGGAATTGCGATACTGTTCTGGCACAGGCAAGAGAGATGTCACAACAGCACTGCCAGCAGCAATCACATTACTCCAGTCGAGTTCGCCCAATGCACCTTCGGTGAAAAGTGCGAAATTGTTTTGAAACTCCTCGAGCGTGGGAACAACAGCAGGCGAGCCATCGGCTCGGCGCTTGTCGGTGGAGAGAGGTAAGATGTACTTCTGCTTGTGTTCAGGTGTTTCTGAACTCAGATTTCGCGCTCGAACACGAATATCTGTAGATCCAGTCATAACATCATAAAGAGGGACAATGTTAGCATGGTTGTTCTTCAGCAAAGTATGAGCTGGGTCTTGCGCATAAATCTTCCGTGCTGAAGCATCATAGTCATTATAAGGCTTAACGAGTTCCTCGATGGGCGTCTTCTGGTGGGACTGGATATGTTGGACGAAGTCCTTGTGCTTTACAGGCACCGAAGGCAATTGAGAAGTCATATTGGGTAAAAATCAGAAAATTGTGAATTTTCCTTGACGGAGATGATGAATCAGATATTGTATATCCCATTGAGAAGAAGAAGAGTGATTTTATAGTATCAAGGCGTGAGAATTGAGCTGGTCTGGTTTGGATCTAGTGCATCGAGGGTCCAGGCAGCCTTAGGCGACAGGACACGATCCACTTGGTCGGCAACCAATCAACAGCACGCAACTCACTAGTCTTGGAACACTCAACAAAATTTGAGATTAGGCAGGAAAGCTAAGGGGTATAGCCTGATGTTTGATCATGGAAAACACTCAAGTTGATGAAACGACGAAATTATCCCGTGCTCAGTTGTTGCAAACATGGCCCGTCAATAGCAAATATGAAAACTGGGAAAACCAACCACGAAATCATATACATCATTTCCGAGATTTCGTGACTTGAAGTTTTCTTCGCCTTGCACGCAGAGTTCATGCTAGTCGGTAAATCTGTAAAAGCTGAACGTTGTCTGCGGTACTGTAGAGTTGAATGTCTCGCAATTATCATTATCCGTGTCGTCTTCAGATCGAAAGACGGCGACATCAGCGCGACCAGGCCGACCGGTGCCGCGCGATGCAATCTCCTCGACAGTCGTATTTTTGTAACTGTATCAATAGCGATAACAGCGGTACATAATTTAACATCGGAAAGTCATCCCCGGTCGTGATTCTTCAGGACGTCTGCACCCGGTTGCTTTACAGCTACCGGCTCGAAGGTATGGTCGATATCCTGCCTCGGTACTTCCTCGCGGGAGGAGAATATATTCTGGATTCGTAACAATCCCAATCTCCAAAGTATCTCGCGCAAATCAGCATACCTCAGCTAGAGGCGAGATAATGTATCATGAGAGAAGGCCTGGCGCATTGTATTGTAGCTAATGCCAATGTCTCGGGATCGCTTCTTGTTGACCTTGGCGAGGTTTCGCAGGGGGAAAGCGGACTTCGGTGACACATAAAGACCTACTGATTTTATTGTATTTGACTTAGCTAGATGATCAGCTGCCCCGACGCTGAGCGCAAGCTGCTCCCCGTGGAGGATATTGTTGGCCATGTAACTCATGGGTAATGGATGGGATGATCCTTGGAAGTCAAGGGATACCCATCGTCCGAGTTCATGGAATCCTGGAGTCTCTGGTTCGAGAGTGTGACCTTTTTGAACGGAATGTCGTCAAAAAATTCGGCGAACGAAGAAGTATCACGCAGTGGCTCTACTTGAAGAGACCACGATATCAGTTCACTTCTCGTACATTGAGAGATGGAGCCCCTGGAGAAAATGATAAAAACCTACCTCCTTCTGCTCACGGATAGATTCGGCCTGGAAACATCCAAAGCATGTGCACCGAGTAGGTCTAATGAGCATGACACCGGATGCCTCCAGCCAGAATTCCTCGATTGGAGAGTCACCGGTGGCAGTGTATGTAATAGCGACCTGAACATAGAGAGTCGGTGTTTTGAATCGATAAAGAGATGTATTAAACACCCACCGCTTCAGCGAACAGGTGAAAGACTTGATCGAATTCGTCATTGGGGTCAAAGGACCAATCGCGGATGGGACTCCCTCTGAATGGACACATCGTCGGTGGATTGCCACTGGCCTCAAAAGGAAGAGTATCAAGTGTCTTTATTGAGCTCTAGGGCGCACTAGAACTTTGCTATCTGGGAATTGGTGCATCAGCAAACAAAGATCAAGAGGATTGCGCTTTGAACAATTACCATCTGGGCAGTTCTCCGCTGGATATCTATAAACGCCAGTTTCGGGCATGGTCTCCTCTATGAGAGCAAACAACTTTGACAATGACGTCAAAAAGTTGCCATATCTGTTCATGATCAGGAGTACCCCCAACGTCCCCACCTCAGGTGGTGCAGTGGCTAAGCTACTCACCACCGAAGCTCCCCTTCCTTGGGGAGCCGCCCTCAGTGTTGCGGCCTGGCACTGACTGGCGGGTGAGGATCCAGGTGGGCGGGTGGTCAAAAGGCATTCCCAAAGGGCTGTCGAGGTACAATGGTCTTTTTTTTTCTTTTTTTATTATCCAACATCTTTGTCTTCTTTGTTGAAGATTGGATGAGGCTGTTCCCAAATCTTGGGAATGCACTTCCTAATCGGGAAGGAACTGAAGTTATCCCGAAGTTTGGCAACGACGGCAACGGCGACGGCGAGGCTGCCCGTTCGAATCCCGCAACTTTCTGGCCCAAATTATCACTCTATTTATTATACCAGGAAACTGCAGGTCCTAGAGAGAACTGCTCTTGCCCAACCCTACGACCAAGATTTGAGCCACCCCCGAGGCTTGAAGCGCTCTTGGAGTTGGCCACAGTGCCAGGAGAACCGTTTTAGCCGGTGTTACCCTTGGAATATGACGATCGAACTTGAACTAACAGATCTCACCAGCTTCTACTTTGGACAGTAGGTAGTTGACTTCTATGGCCAACCGAATGTTTACTTCGCCCATGACAATTCTCCACTGTGGAGAATGATACAGCAGAGCCTCAACGTTAGCGGGTTCAGCGATACTATGAAATCCGTCCACTACAGAATATCGGGTAAGGACTGACATTCCTTTCGAAGTGGCTTCGGCAATAACTGTCATCACTTTCCAATCTCAAAGACTGACGCGGACTATCCAGACCTCCTCGATTGAGGCCACCACGACCGGAAAGTCTCAGCCCGGTGGCGCGATCGCTAAGAAGCACGACACCAACAGCAAATCATTCAGGCTGGAAAAGACCTAAGTCCGTATACGAGAGGAACGGTCGCCATATGCCGGGTCTTGGAGGAGCGACATGTTTCTGCCTCGATACTCCCTCTTTTTCTTCAGGTGCTGTTGGCCATTTTACGAGAGGTTCGGTGATATTGAATGCCATAAATGTATCTCCTACGCCGGCCAGGCACACAATAAGATTGATTGTCCAAAAATAAAACATTTACCTTCCTTGTTTTTGATTATTGAGGACATAGTACAAGAACTTCAGCCGCCTAGGTATGCTGATTTTTTTCAATATCTGGGCGAATGGATTCAGTAGCGACTGGATAGAAATAACTGAATACTGAAACAACGTCGACCTTGTATGGCCTATTGAATCGTAATACACACTGTAATGCCCGAGATCCTGCTTCAATAAGACAAGGCAAACATCCAGGGGGATTGTTGTTGTGAATGGTTCAAGTTGCTGCCTGAGGCGGGTGGGCAAACGAACCCTCCCAGCGTGACGTGACTGCCTTTTGGTCTTCTTCCTCCTCTTCCACTCTCCCACGCATCCAAAGCTCACTCTTCGAAAACTGATCTCTCCCCATTTCTATTGCTCCAAATCATCTATCCACTACTCGCTCCGTTCTGCGCCATCATGTCATCCAAAGACGAACCCAAGGTACGTATTCCCCATGCTAGCTCTCATTTCCCTCTGCGGCTCAACCAGAGTGCCAGACCAATCAGCACAAACAAGCTGACAAAGGACGAAAGATCCAATTCGTGGAAACCTCCTTTGCAGAGATGTTCAAAGATGATGAAGGCAAGGCCTTTCTCGCGGCCATGGAGTCTCCCCTCGCGAAGAGAATCAAGGAAGATCTCAATGTCAGGAACAATCCGTTGTTCATGACCGGAAGCCCCGAGCAGATCAGACTTGCCCGATTCAACAAGAACGGCGTGGAATGGGAGCGGGATGCCCGCCTGAACGCTGAGGGCAATCTGGTTCTGAGCCCAGTCCCTGACCCGGTGGTAAGTATTGAATTGAATTTCTCACAGAAGCAGTTTGGGTACTGACGCGGACTTTTTAGGTCCTCCATACCGGCGTACCTTTGACCAGTGCAGCTTCCACAAAGAAGACCCAGCCACCCAAGAAGGATACCAAGAAGCCGCAAGGTGCCAGGTGAGGCGAATCCGAATAGTCTTGAATCCCCGGGCAATATCGACCATGTCTGTAGTGAGAGATACCTTCGCGATGTTGATCCTGGCTGGAGGGGACTGCAGCAGCTGGGGTGCGGAGATGTTGAAGGCGAGGTGTGTTTTGTCGGGAGCAACCGAGTGATAGGTGGGGACATTCCGATGTTGCCTACATGCGTTTTGTTTGACTTCGTGGTGTTTCTGCTATTTCTGCTCCTCTACAAGGAGTTTTGTGCTTTGCACTAGGATGAAACTATTCTCTGCCCCGAGTCGCATGCGCCGGTGGCTATTCTCAAAGAGATCACTCTCTCCTTTTCTAAGTTCTTGCAAAACGTAAACAGGATGTCTCAATTCCACGATGCATAGTTTCATGAAATGCGAAGCAAGATGATTTGAGAATGATGGTCTTACTTCTAGAGGAGCCGATCGAGATATACTTAAAAATTAAATTGAATGTGAAAGTCATCCATAGCTAGACTGTGTCTCAAATTCCATAAGAATAACTTCCCCAGAATCCAGTCCTAGCGCAATCTTTCGGTCCCTAGTTACCCAATATTCAGTCCGAGCTTCAGCGGGGAGGAACAGAGCGCGATCACCGTTCAATGCTATCCATTGTCGATCCTGTTTGTTTGATGACTTGTCAGGGAGATGAGCAGCCCGATTTCGGAACCCAAAGCCCCGGTCACCCAGGCTAGAAGAGCCCCCGGGGTCGATACAAGCGACCCTTGATGAGGCGTCCCGAGAAAGATGATTCCGGAAGTGCTGTCGACTATGTCTCTCGCGGCATCCCCAGGTTTACACAAGGCCTGCAGAGGTGGTTAGGTCTCTGTGGGCGGCAATGGTGTTCTGGCGTACCTCTTTTATGATGATACCCCCGAAGCTGTGGCCGATGAATATAATGGGAACGCGCTACCGGCGTCTGTTAGCCTCGTCGTTCTTTTGAGAGTGACTAGTTTTCACCCGATATTTGGATCGATAGTCCACCAGCTCGTCGAGCAAGCGGTGGCCGATTTACTGAGCTGTTGTGACCGGGGCATCGATCAACCAGTCCGAGTTGTGAGCGAATGCTGAGATTCTTGCGCTGGGAAGTCATGTTTGAGGAAGTCTTTGAGCAGTGGACACGCCTACGGTCGTTCTTATTCGAATCAGGCGATTCCACAGCGGCATCCGTCCATGTATGTTCTGAATCCGCGCCGAGACCATGTACAGCGACAATTCTAAGGACGTTAGCGCAGGCGGCCGTAGTGGGAGTAACTGGAAAAGTGACATCCTCCGCATTCTCGGGCTCGGAAATAATGTGAAGGCCGTCAAGACGCCCCGAATTTCCACGACGACTTATCCTGCCAATGATGGGGCGGATGCGGAGGAGTTAGACAGGAAGAACTACCACGGTAGCGGTCGCGGTAACCGCAACCCAAAACCTTAAACGGCTGTAGCCAGCCAACCCATCCATGGTACTGGGGGCGGGACTCCGAGGGTCCTGATTTGCAAAACCACCACACACTTAGAGGTGCGATTCTGAGTAGGAGGAGCTGTTGTTTCTACCTGGGGCTTCCATCGGTACAGGGTACTTTAGCTAGCCGCCAGCCTTAGCCACTTGTTTTAGCATTCCCAAGACACATCTCATCACGCCGGATGCACGGGATAGGGCCAAAATACGTGATGCGGATATTTACTCCTTCTGCATAAGGAGCAGAAGGCAGGGACCATGTTTATGGATGGCTGTTATACTCCGTGTCCACCCTGAAATGAATGGCTCGGGCATGATGCGGGATCTTAACCACAATGAGGACGGAGTCCACACGGAGAACCAACAAAAGCAAGTCAGTGTACCGTGCCTTACCCATACCTAACCATGATAATGGCACTGTGACTAGCACTGTGATGGGGAAATGATCAGCTAACGACTTTGCGCAGACTTGTCCTTTCCTTGTCAACCCTTTGAAGCATGATGACCATGGCACATCCGATCATCGTCATTCCACCCACTCCTTCCGGCATCGTACCGCACCACGTCTGATGATTTAGCTGCTTCTACCACAGACATCACGTCCTGTATTCAGAGGGAACTTGACTTGAACAGACTTCATGTTATTTCTCCATGGCTGTGGATTTCTGGGCTGAATACTTGTCCGCTACCTAACACCTCTACGGGGTTATATGTCGCACTGGCAGTGGACTCGATATGGCGATTTCTTCCAAGAGAACATTGCATGGCTGACCGCTACCACGGTCTATATCGCCATTTTTCTAGGAGCTATGCAGGTTGGCCTGGGGACGGATGCCCTGGTTGGAAACCACACGTTCCAGTCAGCATTGTACGGATTTACTGTTTTCTCTATCCTTGGACCCCTGGTAGCCGTCGGCATCATTGGTGCTCTATTCTGCTTCATGTTTATTAATAATTGGATCAGTGCCGTGGCATTTAAACGGAAAAGGTTCAAAGCTCTTCATTCGGTACAGAGAGCATAGAGGGCTGCGAGAACAGAAAAAACAATGAATTAGCGCTATTACAGCGTGTGCACTTTTTTGCCTAGTAGCGCATTTCAAGTTTTCTCCCCCCCCCCTTTTGTATTGTCGAGGCGCGCAGCGCCTCTGGGCAGGAGGCACGGACCGGGTGACCACTGGCAAGGGCCATGTGTTCCTTTAGCCCAAATCGTGGCTAGTGCTAGTTGGATAATACTGGAATTCCTCGATAGATGGGATCTGGAGTATCGGATCGCAGCGATCTTAGTATGAGCAAAGAGTACATTATGCATAAAAGTAAATATCGTTTCCAATTGAATAAACACGCTGCTTGTGTCCACATTTCAAAAGCAAATCGTCACATACCGGCGGGGAATATATTGAAGGCGAGTCCAGAACTAAGAAATGTGCACGCAAGCATCGAATGATTTGATTACATCAACGGATTGGGTCCAATAAAACTTGACATCGCGGTAGAGGTTGAAGATGGTTGGAAGAAAAGGCTCAGCGGATACCGCCATTCATTCAGTCAAAAGCAAGACAGGATATTCGTAGCGAGGGTCCAAAGTTATTGATTCGCGATGGAGGGGCCTCTTCAACTACATCACGATACAGCAGTTGTTTTGTTCTCGGGATTGCTTATAAAACTTTTGCGAGCTACTGCTCAAGTCGGCAGATTTTGCCATCAGTTGGTCAAGCGTCTCGCCTCGCTGGAGAACAGACTCGATCTGTGAAATGTGAGTATGGGAACACAAGATCTAGGGGCGGGGCGGAGCGGGGAATGGTACAGTTTTGTGCAGAACAATCTTGGTACTGTCAAGCTCCTGCTGAATTTTTATGATACTATCGGCATTTTCGGGATTGTCGTATTTTTCAATCCATTGCTTGAGCGGCACGGATAACGGGTATGCGTTCTCAGTTGGAGAAGGGTCGACAGCGGCACGAGGGTACTTTGTGAGAAACTCGTCCATGATCTTGGAGAGAAGCTGGTGAGCAACAAGTGAAGGATATTCACCATCAGTGACAATAACACCAGATATCCCCTTAACCCGGCTGTAACCGTGAAAGATGTATCCCAGGTGATCCATGTCATGGCGTTGACCGGGCTGGGTGCCCTCGGCGACGCCGTGGACGTCGATCATCATGACCGTCTCGGCTCTGGCGACGATTTGTTAATGAGGGATTTTCCACAAAAGATTCGGAGGAGGGGTAGATGCATACCCAGATCGCTTCAGGTAGTTGATGCTGTTTATGTTTATGGTTAGCGCTTGTCTCTGGCAGCATGCGGTGTGGGTATGCTCTTACGGCGAGAGATCTTTTTCGCCGCAGAGCTGCACGGTATCACGTTTCGGATCACCTGCTTTACGGTCCGGGTTAAGACCATTCCGAAAAACCTGCAGAAGGATCAAAAGTCAGCGCATGATGACACGATGGAGAAAACAGCTCTCGCTGCCTTCGAAACGCACTCCGATATAGAGGATCTTCATGATGGCGGGGGCGGTGAATAAGGTTGATCGGAAAGATGAAGTCGATAAAGAGGGAGAGAAAGCGTCTGACAAGGTTTGAATTAGGAGTCGCTCTGCAGAAGTCAGCCAAAGTTGAGCGAGGGGCAAATGAACAGGTAGAGGCAAAGTAAGCTTTGGTCTCCTGAGGAGGTCACCGCACGGGACGACGTTGGCGGTTCCGCCTTATTTGTCTGGCATAACATTCACCGCCCAGATGACCCTCCTCTCACCGCCTTATATCTTCACCGCCCTGGGACCCGCCGAGGCTCTACAACATTCATTGCATATCGACATATTTACACTTTCGCCCTGTCGAACTTTTGCACTTTCGCACTTTCAAACTCTTGGCCTGCTCTCTGCCTGAGGTACCGAGTCATGGATATTGATACTGCCTCATCGGCTACAGACCAATGGCTATCCCAACTAGCCGCCATGCGCCAGGCCATTGCCGATCTGAAACTCCCCAAAGACTTGCCCCGCGATTCAACGGGCTATGGAAGTGATATCGACCTGGATCTTGACGATGACTATTCCTCCCCGGGAACTGTTGATGACGTATGGGATGCCATTAGCTCCGATGAAGAAACAACTGACGATCTCGACGATTTAAACGACCTGAACGATGTTTCCCACTCCTACCCTCCCCACTCGTCCTCCTACAATCGGTCATGGTTGGAAGGCAAATGCCAGGAGTTGGCAGCTCGTAACTCGACCATGGATCCTACAGAGCTCTCCCAGCAGATCGTGGCTACTTTAGCGGCAGACAGTGATGATGCGGAACTACAGATGTCTCTGGCCGAGATCGTTGGCTTCGACGACCTGGACCTGGTCATTGAGCTTATCGCCAACCGTGCAGAGATCTTGTCGGACAAACCACACCGTGTGGAGTCACAAACAGATGGACTAGCCAAGGGAAAGCTGCTCACACGGGCTGAGAGGGAGGAAGCTGTGTGGCAGCAGGATTACGATCATAAGAACGCCCCTATCATGGCCGCTCAGACCCGCTCGGAGCCAATATATCCGCACGTCTTCAAGTCAAGCACCTCCGGAAATACACTCTCTGCGAACGGCAGGAAATATGGTCTCCCAGTCGGTAGCAAACAGCATGAGGAGCCTAAGTACACCGAATTTGAGATTCCCGCTAGCAAGGTTGGATCGTTGGCCAAAAACCAGAAGCTAATCCAGATATCTGATCTGGATGGTCTTTGTCGCGGGACCTTCAAGGGTTACAAAACACTCAATCGCATGCAAAGTCTGCTCTACGATGTCGCATACAAGACCAGCGAGAACATGCTTATTTGCGCACCGACTGGTGCTGGTAAAACCGACGCAGCGATGTTGACTATCCTGAACGCCATCGGAAAGAACACCGCCCCTAACCCGCTGGAAGAGCCGGATGCTACCGAATACACGGTGCAGGTCGACGACTTCAAGATTGTCTATGTGGCCCCTATGAAAGCCCTCGCGGCAGAAATCACAGAGAAGCTTGGGAAACGTCTCGCTTGGCTGGGAGTTCATGTCCGTGAATTGACTGGTGACATGCAGCTAACTAAGCGCGAAATTGTCGATACTCAGATCATCGTCACCACGCCTGAGAAATGGGATGTAGTAACTCGCAAAAGCACAGGTGACACTGAGCTAGTTCAAAAGGTGCGGCTGCTCATCATCGACGAGGTCCACATGCTGCACGATGAGCGTGGTGCTGTCATTGAATCCTTGGTTGCAAGAACACAGCGTCAAGTGGAAAGCACCCAGTCCCTGATTCGCATTGTGGGTCTGTCCGCTACCCTGCCTAACTACGTCGATGTCGCCGATTTCTTAAAAGTCAACAAGATGGCCGGCCTCTTCTTTTTCGATGCATCTTTTCGACCTGTCCCTCTCCAGCAGCATTTCATCGGTGTCAAGGGAAAGCCAGGCAGCAAGCAATCCAGAGAGAATATCGATGCTGTCTCTTATGAAAAGGTTCGAGACATGCTCGAACGTGGTCATCAAGTAATGGTATTCGTGCACTCTCGCAAGGATACTGTGATGACCGCTCGCATGCTGAAGCAGCTTGCGGCCGAAGAAGGCTGTGAAGACCTGTTCAGTTGCCATGACCACGAGAATTATTCCAACGGATTACGAGACATGAAGCACGCCCGTGCACGCGAGCTGCGCGACCTTTTCGCTGGTGGATTTGGAGCCCATCATGCTGGTATGAGTCGAAGTGATCGCAATCTGATGGAGCGCATGTTCTCTGAGGGCTTGATCAAGGTTCTCTGCTGTACTGCGACCCTTGCATGGGGTGTTAACCTTCCGGCGGCTGCGGTCGTGATCAAAGGAACCCAACTTTACAACGCCCAGGAGGGTAAATTTGTCGACCTGAGCATTCTTGACGTCCTGCAGATTTTTGGTCGTGCGGGTCGTCCTCAGTTCCAGGATACCGGTATTGGCTTCATCTGTACTACCCACGATAAGCTCACCCATTATCTTTCGGCAGTCACAGCCCAGCAGCCCATTGAGTCTCGTTTCTCAAGTCGACTTGTTGATAACTTAAATGCCGAAATCTCACTCGGAACTGTCACCTCCGTCCCCGAAGCCGTGCAGTGGCTCGGATATTCCTACCTCTTTGTTCGCATGAAGCGTGAACCTCGCAACTACGGCATCGAGTTCGCAGAGCTTCGTGATGATCCCATGCTCGTTCAGCGACGACGACAGTTAATTATCCAAGCTGCACAGACGTTGCAGAAGAGTCAAATGATCATCTTCAACGAGAAGACCGAGGACCTGAAAGCGAAGGATGTTGGTCGCATCGCCAGCCAGTACTATGTTCTTCAGAGCAGTGTAGAAATCTTCAACACGATGATGCGTGCTCGCGCTGGCGAGGCAGATGTTCTCAAGATGATCAGTATGAGTGGTGAATTCGACAATATCCAGTCCCGCGACTCGGAATCAAAAGAACTGCAACGGCTTCGCGATGATGTAGCCCAGACCGAGGTCGAAGGTGGCAATGACTCTCCACATGCGAAGACAAATCTGCTCCTCCAAGCTCACATTTCTCGCGCCAAGCTGGAAGACTTTGCTCTGGTATCTGATATGGGATATGTCTCTCAGAACTCTGCCCGTATTTGCCGAGCCCTTTTCATGATCGCATTGAACCGCCGATGGGGCTACCAATGCCAGGTTCTCCTTTCCCTGTGCAAGTCGATCGAGAAGCAAATCTGGCCCTTCGATCACCCATTCCGCCAATTCGACCTTCCGCAGCCCATCCTCCGTAACTTGGAGGATCGCCTCCCAGCATCATCGATAGAGTCGATGAAGGAGATGGATACCGCCGAGATTGGTCAGCTTGTACACAACCAAAAAATGGGAAAGACCATCGGAAAACTCCTGGATAACTTCCCCACTCTCAGTGTGGAAACTGAGATCGCCCCGCTGAACCGAGATGTGCTTCGCATCCGCCTTTCCATCTATCCCGAATTTTCATGGAATGATCGCCACCATGGAACTTCCGAGTCGTTCTGGGTTTGGGTTGAAAACTCGGAGACTTCCGAGATCTACCACCATGAGTACTTCATCCTGAGCCGCAAGAAGCTTTACGATGATCACGAATTGAACTTCACTATTCCACTATCCGATCCCCTGCCCAGTCAAATCTATGTTCGCCTCATTTCCGATCGCTGGCTCGGTGCAGAAACCGTCAGCCCGGTCTCGTTCCAGCATCTCATCCGGCCTGATACGGAGAGTGTATACACCGATTTGTTGAATCTTCAGCCTCTGCCGGTATCTGCTCTTCGCAATCCCATTCTTGAGGAGCTGTACGCTCAACGGTTTCCCTTCTTCAACCCTATGCAGACGCAGATCTTCCACCTGCTCTACCACACCCCTGCCAATGTTCTTCTGGGATCGCCAACTGGTAGTGGAAAGACTGTGGCAGCCGAACTGGCAATGTGGTGGGCATTCCGCGAGAAGCCAGGGTCGAAGGTTGTTTACATCGCACCAATGAAAGCGCTTGTTCGTGAGCGTGTACAAGACTGGCGAAAACGTCTCACTGGTCCGATGGGGCTGAAGCTGGTTGAGTTGACTGGTGATAACACACCCGACACCCGCACTATCCGCGATGCAGACATCATTATCACCACCCCTGAGAAATGGGACGGTATCTCCCGTAGCTGGCAGACTCGTGATTATGTCCGCAAGGTCAGTCTCGTTATCATTGACGAGATTCATCTGTTGGGTGGTGATCGTGGCCCTATTCTCGAAATTATTGTGTCCCGTATGAACTATATCGCATCACAATCCAAGGGCTCCGTCCGTCTCATGGGCATGTCTACGGCTTGCGCCAATGCCACTGATCTCGCAAACTGGCTCGGCGTGAAGGAGGGTCTCTACAACTTCCGCCACTCTGTCCGTCCTGTTCCTCTTGAGATTTTCATCGACGGTTTTCCCGAGCAGCGTGGCTTCTGCCCACTCATGCAGTCTATGAATCGCCCTACATTCCTCGCGATCAAGAACCACTCCCCCGAGAAGCCCGTCATTGTCTTTGTTGCATCCCGTCGGCAGACTCGTCTTACTGCGAAGGACTTGATCAATTACTGCGGTATGGAGGACAACCCTCGTCGCTTTGTGCGGATGTCCGAAGATGACCTAGACCTGAACCTTGCACGCGTCAAGGATGATGCCCTAAGGGAAGCACTCAGTTTTGGTATCGGCTTGCATCATGCCGGTCTAGTCGAGTCTGATCGACAGCTGTCCGAAGAATTGTTCGCCAATAACAAGATACAGATTCTGGTGGCTACCAGTACTCTTGCGTGGGGTGTCAACTTACCCGCGCATCTCGTTGTCGTCAAGGGAACCCAATTCTTCGATGCTAAAATCGAAGGATACCGTGACATGGACCTGACCGATGTCCTGCAAATGCTTGGTCGTGCTGGTCGCCCTCAATTCGATAATTCCGGTATTGCACGCATCTTCACCCAAGACTCCAAGAAGGCGTTCTACAAACATTTCCTACACACTGGTTTCCCCGTCGAGTCGACACTACATAAGGTCTTGGATAACCACTTGGGCGCTGAAGTCTCTGCCGGCACGATCGGAACTAAGCAGGATGCTCTTGATTACCTGACTTGGACATTCTTCTTCCGCCGACTGCACAAGAATCCATCCTATTATGGTCTTGAGATTTGTGCCGAGGAACAAAATACCATGGCCGCTCAGGCTGTTGCGCAAGACTTCATGATTGAACTCGTCGACAAGTCCCTCAATGACCTCGCCGAATCTTCTTGTGTCCTGGTCGACTCTGCGACCGGCGAAGTCAACTCCACGCCATTCGGCAAGATCATGAGTTACTACTACCTCTCGCATAAAACGGTCCGTTACTTGATGTCCCACGCGAAGCGCGATCCGACCTTCCAGGACGTTCTCAGCTGGATGTGCTCTGCCACGGAATTCGACGAACTCCCTGTCCGACACAATGAGGATCTCATCAACGCTGAGCTAGCCCAGAACCTCCCCTTGTCCATCGAAGCGATGGGTGATGTTCCAATGTGGGACCCGCATGTCAAAGCCTTCCTGCTGCTCCAGGCATACATGTCGCGAATCGACCTGCCCATCTCAGATTATGTGGGAGATCAGACCTCCGTGTTGGACCAGGGCATTCGTATCATTCAAGCATCCATCGATGTCATGGCCGAGCTCGGATACATTCCAGCTTGCCAGATGCTGATCACCCTGCTTCAATGCATCAAGTCTGCCCGCTGGCCCGAGGATCACCCTCTATCCATCCTACCAGGCATCGCTGTCGAGAAACCACCCCAAGGCCTTCCATCTTCCTTGGTCGCACTCTCTTCGCAGCCTTCGTCCTCGGTCTTCGGCATGGTTAAGAGACTTAACCTTCCTGCACAATTCCCCAAAGCTACCTCGCATCTGCCCCACATTTCCATTTCCGTTGCTGGCATTTCTTCCAAGGGCATGAGTGTCAATCTGACCCGTCACAACGCCCCTACGCACTCCGAGTTCCGTATTTACGCCCCTCGCTTCCCGAAGCCTCAAACCGAGGGTTACTTCTTAATTGTGTGCAATGCCCGCCCCGACGGAACCGATGGCGAGCTTCTTGGTCTGAAGCGAGTCTCGTGGCCATCCAAGCAATATCACGGCAAGGGCCGCGCAGGTGCAGGTCCCAGCCGAGGTGCTCAAGGGTCGAGCAAGGATAAGAGCAATGGGTCGATCAGTGTGCGCTCGCTGGTCAAATTTCCCGGCGCTGCCCTTGCCCAATCGTCCTCCGTTACGACGGCAGGTATGGCACGCGTGAATGTGAAGCTATTCAGCGATTCCTACATCGGCATGCAGTGGTCATTGTCGAATGTGGAAGTTGATGTGGATGCCGGTACGACACAGGCAGTAGAAGCACCAAGTGCTCCTAGCAAAGCGTAAGGAATGCCATGCTCACTAGAGTAAACAATATATACAACGGGTATTCGATGTAAATACAAAATATATTGATGTGCCCACTACTTCCCTTCGATCTCGGACATCTTCTCAACGACAGCAGAAGCAATCCCTCTAACTTCGTCCGAAGCTTCATTATTCAATTCCCCCGCCCTCTTCTTCCAAAACGCCCACCGCTTGATATTAAACCCGCTCTCTCCATCAAACAGCGAACCTCCCTTCGTAATCCTCGGGTTCTCAACAAGAGACTCTTCAACACTGAGCTCGTAGATAATCTTCCCAGCATGAAAAATCCACTGTGCCGCGACGAGGGCGTGGATATCGTTTTCCGCCACGCTGCGAAAGGGCTCTTCGAATGCTTCGCGCAGGGCCCAGATTGGAAATGTTTCCCAGTTCACGATCTTTGCGCCGATTAATCGGGCAGTGAACGCGTTTGTGTTGATCCATTCTTTTGCGCCCGGCATTTCATGGTATGCTTTGTTGAAGGAGGGGGTTGCTGGGATAGTCAGTATCATTATTTCATACTCTTTCTTTTCATTATATTCATACTACTTACCTGCCCAGTTCCATTTCTCTCGCACGCAGGGTCCTAGTAAGGGTAGGTCGTGCCAGACTTGTAGTGCAGATTGCTAGATAGGATTAGTAGCTGATCATCTAGTTAAAGCTTTGCCTTTGGAAAACATACCCCCCAAATTGCGTAAGATCCTTCAGTTCTTTTGATCAAGGATTGCATCGTAGCGATGAGTCGGTCTTGGCCGGGATGGTTGTAAGGAGTATACTCCACAACGGTGGTCAATAGCGACCACAAACAACCCAGGAAATCCCCGACGACTTCAGTGTCTTCTTCCCTTTCCCCTGAGCGATTCGGGTGGCTACGAAGATACTCGTTGATCTGTTCTGCAGCTCCATCTGGCGTTATCGCATCCCCGGGCTGGACAACATCGTGCAGAACCTTGAATAGTTTCTCTTCTTGACCCGATAAATCGAACGCATTTTCTCCGTGGTTCGTCACGGCTGCGAGGTCCAGTCTCTCATCTGCGACGATATTCATACTTGCGACGATTTTGAAGAGAACAAGTTGCAACCCCGCGGTGCAGACGAATGACCTAGTTATGTTATGTTAGTTTATCAGCCCCGCCAAATCATGGCCAAGGGACTATCAAATCCAGCCTATCAGATCACCCATTCTTCTCACGCGGTAAGGTTACATTCGGAGATTTGTATTCTTCAGGCACCTGCAATCTGGTCTAAACTACCCTGGTCTAGTCTAGTCTATGTATAAGCAAACAAGCTAGCGAAGATGTTTAGCATACCCCCTCTAATCGAGTCGAAAAATACCAAACCATTTCTTCAACCCATTGACCCGCTCCTCCTCCGTTTTAAACTCATCAATCACCCTCGTCCTACCGCCAAAATTGACCTTCACCACATCATTAACAAACATGATTTTTCCCACCACATAGGCATCTTCCGGTCTCTCATTTAGCGCTTCACCATCAAGAACAGGAAGACCGGCAGTTTCCCCGTTGCGCAGAAACTTGACAATCCAAAAATTACCCCTTTCCCGCGCTTCCCAGCTAGTATATCGATTGATCACCTCAAAGTCATCCTGAAAGAATTCAAACTCCGCAAAACTGTAGAAAGTATTCCACTCCTTGTCCGCGCCATTCCGATACTGATACATCCAAACCTTCTGCTCCGGTCGCTGCTGTTTCGGCATAGTACCATAAACCAGTCGAACCTCCTGCGCACCAAGGTTCGGCCACACTTTGCCCGAGATCAAGGGTAGGGGCCTGGTAGGTCCATCTCCACCGAACGCAGCGTCGGCATGGTACTCCTGCCCGTCGTGAAGTCGAATAATATTCACAATATGTGTCCTGCGACAGGATTAGCGGGGTGATTCAATGGATCTGGATCTAGCGCAACTTCGCTCTTCCTCGCTTACCATCCCTTGAATTCCCCCTGCGGAATCCCATCAATGCGCGCCCGGTTCCTCACACCAGTGAGGTAAACCGAAAATCCCAGTCCAAGCAAGACATGGTGGAAAAGAATACTGCATTCAAGACAATACCCGCCGCGCCCGGTGGGTTCATTACCCCGTGGACCCAGGAACTTCGCGTAAATGCTCTGAGGATCGATATTTGCCAAATTCGTCGTGGAATAGTGCACTGATAGATTGTCGTATGGAAATCTGGTTATTTGACATCGGAATAGCGCTGTCAGTGCTTCATCGGTTTTTGGAAATGAGGATGGGTTTTCGATGTATTCTTCGTATTCGGTTGGTAGGGCGATGTAAGTCAAATATTTGGATAATTGATCTTGTGAATATGCGGAGATCATTTTGAGATACCAATTGAGATCTCTGGACAAGTGTCTAGATCTATTACTAGATGGTATGTTACAGTGTTGGTTTTATTTCTGCTTTTGCTGACGTGCTATCCTACGGGGATGACTCATTGCATTTTGACTCAATTGATATCGGACTTGGGATTTAGTCCGCTAATTTGCCAAGAACGTTCGCTACCGAGGATAAACAGCCAAATAGACTATCGAACGCAAAACTTGAATTGATATTCGTGAATCACTCCAGGGCTCTGAGCGTCTTCCTCCAGGGCTGTACCTGCCCAAGTGGGGTACCTAGGTAGTGCTATGAACATGGGGTGGGGCTTCTTTCTTGTATTGCCGACCTCGGGACCTCCGAGTCATTATATATCATGGCATTCTCGAGCCTCGTAAAAGTCTTGAAATGCCGACCTGGGCAAGTGCCACGGTCACGTCTACTTCAAGTTCGTCATGTTGAAAACAATCGATTTCCTTCGAGCCATTATCCAGCTAAATGTTGACATGGTAATAATTTATTCAAACCCGTCCCGAGGTCATTCAAATATTTCATATCATCACGGAGTGTCAGTCAGCCATCATTTCCGAATAGATGACGTTGTAGCTCTTCGAAATCGGCAATGTCTCCCCCAGTCAAAGTAAAGTCTTCTGGGTGATACAATGAATACATTGCCTGGGGGTCATCTGGAAATTCAATAGGCAAGGAGCCTACGGTACAGCCTTCCATGCCTGCATTTCCCATGAAATCGAAGGGTTGGGCTGCTTGACTCTCGTCAATGTTATTCCCGACAGAGTAGATCGGACCGGAGAGATTTTGCGCAGAGAGTCCCGCGTGGTGAGATTCATCATTGGTAGTAGGTCCCTCTGAGGAGCGAGATTGACTCATGAGTGACGGGATGCGGTCGTACAATTTTTGAATCTGGTCGCGCCTCTGGATAGCAGCTTGGTTGTTAAAGCTTCCAAGATAATCCAGCAAGTGTATTGCTTCGGATATTCCTGGGCTCGGTCTCAGGACAGGAATTTGTTGGCCTTCGTTATTTGTCGATTCGATAATTGCAGCGAGTAGCATGATAAACCCGGCGGAGAAGATGGTGTCTAGATCGAAGAAACCGAATTTTGCTATTTCAAAAGATCAGCCTCGTCTTCATGTAGCTGAACATACGAACAAACCAATCATATCTTCTTTTCGTGAGACTATCATAAGCTCCAGGCTTCTTCGAGCTGCTTCTATGCACGTGCATGATAGTTGTTGGAAGTCCTTCGTTGTTTGCGCAAAGGTAGTTTCGCCGTTGAGTATCGACTTTGTGAGATACAGCATGACTGGCCGCAAGGTAAGCATTATGGTCTGGAGACTCAAGTTAGCTAATGAGACCAGTTTTCTTTAAAATATACATACAGTATAGAGAACGGTATACAACGATATGCTAGTCCGCTGCTCTCTCCTCGACGTCTGTTGGCCCAGAACGGAAGCCCCGAGTGAGGATGTATGGGAAATTTGGTGCGCCAATCGTGTGAGAGCAGAAATTATTTCCTGGACGTCCGCAAGAAATATTTCCTTCGCGCGTGACTCGTTGCTATAGATTACAGAATATATCCTGCCCTGTATTTGGGCGATTTGAATATTGATCTGCATGGAGGAAGGGCTTGGAAACCCTGGCGAGTCGACTGGAGGTTTTGCATCGCTGAATGTATCATCCAAAATAAGGGGGGATCCGGTCGCAATCATCAGTCGTTTCTCAAGCATCTGAATTGTCCACCACAGGCGATTCGCGTTCGTAGCTTCTGATCGCCGGAGTCTCTGCGTGGTGTGCTTTCGATGAAGACCATGCATAATAGCTAGTCGAAATGCAAGTCCAACCTGACGAACATTAATACAGATCAACAAATAGAGCAATGTTTTCTCACATAGATAGAGGCATCATCCTTATGATCGATGTTTTGCAAGTAGATAACCATCAAGACCAAAACCTCTATACCCGCTAATCCTTGTTTCCGTAGTTCAGTCGGGCTTGGCAGATTCCTTTCAACGAAACTGAAGAACTGAGAGCCAGGTGGCTTTCCAGCAACATCTGACTCTCCTCGCAATAATCTTCCCACCGCTAACACTAGCAGGGTTTGCAGTGTCCATATATTGGGCGTTTGAAGCTGCTCCTGTTTATTCTCATATAGCCCGGATATGCGATCGGACACATCCCGTGCATCAAATAAATGCTGGGGCTCATAGAAATAAAGCATGATCGCCTCGAGCAAATCGAAGGCTATCTCTTCCGAAGGAAGGACCAGAAAGTTTTCGTCGCCTCCGGGTTCCTTGCGGAGGGTGATCAAAGGCCTAATTTCTGGGAACAACGCTGTACGAGCCGGCCTGGTGGGTGATGGCCGATTTTCTGTGGACTGTAGGGACCGTCGTTCGAAAAGACTTTGCACCCGATCCCCAAAGTCCTGGCTTGATCCGATGTCACGTTCAGCGGTAATACCTAGGGTGTGAGTCAGCTCGTCTAAATACTAGCACCTAGTATGTATCTTGCGAGCACCCACGTTGAGCTGATAGTAATGCTTCGGGCTGTGGAACAGAGCTGAGAGGAGTAGATGAAGCAGCAGTGCCTCTGAGCCCAGAGGGACTGGACAAAGAGGACCCGTCGAATACATTTGGAGACTCGTGTAGGGCTAACCGAGCTTCCAGCTCCTGGATTCTTCTATTACCAGCCTCAGCGTATGTCTCCGAGAAGGACAAAACGATAGTCTGGAAGACTTACGCTGCAGAATATAGCCGCTGTTGCTCCGAAGCTGGAAAAGTGCAAACCAGATCGCGCTTCTCGCACCTTTCACATGGGTAGTTTCCACTGCATTTGACCTTCTTCGTCTTGCAGTTCGTGCATCTGTGGGCATAATGTTAGCGGGCCAGAGCCATATAGCCATTCAGCTCAACGCCACTTCATGTTTGTGTTGGATTTTCTCACGCGGAAATAACTTTATTGAAGTCCCTCCGACTGGCTGGGGATGATCTCGGCTCTGTCCGAACAGGCGGCATGCTAGCTGTTATTACATGAGAAATTAAAGAATCTTGATGTTTGTTCCCCTGCGTGAATTCCGGAAGCTTCCGAGCCTCGGGCCGACCTTCATCCGACTCTATAGACAGACACTTTTCAGAACGGAGAGGGCACATAGTCTGATATATAGTTTGATTCTTTGAATATGTCTAATTTTGTGCGTAAACCTAGGTACATGAAGAGTTCAAATGCCAGAAATTCATTTTCACACACACTCCTTCAACCTTACTTAGTCTTATAAATGTCCAACAACAACCTCAACGTATCATTACAATCCTGCGCATCCATCATAACCTCCACCATTCTCAAGCCCTTCCCAGAATGAAAGTCACGATCGTCCATAATCCGATCAAGCTCTCCCCAAGTGCTAACCTTCGCCTTAAAAATCGGATAAGAAGTCGAGGTAGCCTCAGCCCCAAAGAACGAAGGAGCTTCAAGATATCTCCACGAAGCAACATCATTATAGTGTTCCTCCGGCCCGTGAATAAGTCGTTCGATGGTGTATCCGTTATTATTAATCAGGAAAATAATGACATCGAGCCGGTTGCGAATAATAGTACTCAATTCTTGAGCGGTCATTTGGAAACTCCCATCTCCTTGGAAAAGTATCGTTCGGCCCTGTGCAGCTGGATGTTGTGAATCGGAGGCAGTGAGGTGACGCTGCGCTAAGGCAGCTCCTTGTGTAGCTGGTAACATAAATCCAATAGATAACCATACCGCGGAATTGATGATTGTTGTATTCTGAGGGAGAATGAAATCACGCCCACCCATGCTTGGCGTGCCGGTCTCTGTCAGGATGATATCGCCCGATCGCAAAAAGCTCGACATGCGACGCCAGAAATTGGTCTGCGCGAATTTATCGCTGGGTGAGTTGTTGCCAGGCAGGGTTGCGAGTGTCTGCTGCATATTTGGTAGAGTAGGGTAAAAATCCATCTTGGGGACTCCTTCCTTCTTTAATGTCGAGATGACCTGGTCAAGGACGGATGCTGGTGAGATCTTCCAAATGCGCTCTCCGACTTGGATTGAATCCCGCTCAATGGTGATTGTTACCGTCTTATCGGGGACGGTGGTGAAGTAGTAGGTATTCACGTTGCTGTGAACAGGTCCGATGTTGATAATCAGATCGCAGCTATTGACATAGGAAGCATAGTCGTGATCGCCGACTGTTGCATAAATTCCATGGAAATTGGGCAGGGTCTCATCCAGAATGCCCTTCCCAAATGGAGTCGTAGTAGTTGGGAAGTTGGTCACCCTGACCAAAGCCTCGGTCAATTTCGAGAGTCCATACCGCGAGGTACCACCATCAACCAGAATCAAGGGCTGCTTTGCACCCATGATCCGACGAACAAGGATATCACAAACACCCGATTGCAGCGCGACATCATTCACCGCAGGCTTCAGATCCAACTCATGCTCCAGTAAAGACACTGGAACCTTCGCATCCACCAAGTCCATCGGAAGTTGGATATAAACAGGTCTTGACTGCAGGATACACTCCCGAATAACCCGATCAATTTGACCCGGCGCATGCTCAATATCAACAAGGTCAGCCTGCGCAACAGTTACCTTGGCATACATCTCAGCAAAAAGTTCATAGTCACGCTTAGACCCGGAACAAAACGTATGATGAAGTTTCACGCCCTTTTCCTGCAAAGCACGAATCGGCGTACCGACGATGTGTACAACGGGTGCCATTTCCGCGTATGAGCCGGCAATAGCGTTTATTGCGGATAATTCACCCACGCCGAAAGTTGTGACGATTGCGCCGATGCCTTTGATACGGGCGTATCCATCGGCCGCGTAGGCTGCATTTAGCTCATTGCAGTTTCCTACCCACTCTAGTCCGGATGGGATGACATGGTCGAGGAGTGTGAGGTTGTAGTCGCCAGGAACGCCATGGACAGCGCGTAGGCCGGTGGAGTGAAGCCTCCTGAAGAGGTATTCTGTAAGTGGAATTTCTCCAGACATTGTGCAGGAGGAATTTTCGGGTGTGTAAGATAGTGTAATGAGTAGAAGAACTGTGCTGGAGGAGATGCGGTTGGCCTTTATTCAAATAATATTCGTCTCGGACCCTTCCGTGATTTCGGAGCTTCCGAGTGCTTTGAATAGTTGCTGGTTTTGAAGTTTTGATTGGCGCCCGCTTTACCTCGGGGGGTTCCGAGAGGTCCACCTACGGGCACCTTTTGGCCATTTCCCCCAAGCTGTTTTTCAATAGGTGGGGAGTCTTCGAACTTGAAGTGTTCTACTAGTATAAGCTGCGTCAAATATAGTAGTTGGAGGAAGTTGGAAGGATTCCCGGGTGACATGAAGGAAGACAAATGAATATAATTGAAGAATAGTATGTCCAAGAAGAATTAAGAATAACCTATAAACCGCCCCGAATGCAAGAGCAACGCTCCGAGATGAAAGATGAAACTTCAAGATAAGAGAATGTGGAATAAATGATAATGCAGACCTCGGCAGTCTCACAGCGACTCAATTTGAAGTTGTTGAGATTTGGCAGGCCGATGTCCAGAGGTTACCTCCGTGATCCTCGGCGTCAAAGTCTTCCTCTCCACGAGCCGCTCATTCGAATCGAAATGATCAGCTCGCGATCCGATTGGCACAAGCATTTGCCTTCTCCCTTTCGAAACAGAAACCGACCTGGCGGTCGAGACTTCTATAATTGGAGTTTTCCCGCTCCCTGTTTTGACCATTGTGCCACCGTTTGATAGAGGTAAACGCGCAGGTTGGGGTGACTGTCGCGGAGAGACTGCTGACATTGGACCGGATGAGAGTGGGGATGGAGACATTGTTATAGAAGGCTGGTCCGTGATCAATCTAGGAATTTGCTGGCCGGCAACTGGGATTGATGAAGATCGAACGGGGAGGTCTTTCGCGGGGGGGTTGTGGAAGTGGTGTCGAAGCAGTTTTAATGGTCAGGTTTGGCCGGTTAGCTCTAGGCTTCTCTTGCTGTAAAGATCTCTCATTTTTGAGCGGCGAAGACCTTTGTCTTGGGATCTGTTGAGCTCTTGGTGCCGGGACCGGTGCTGGGGATTGAGATCGGGATTGAGGCTTCGATGGCCTGGCAACAGAATTCTGCGTCATTATCTGTGTTACCCTTGACACTGTTGTCTCTTCGGATGAAGGCTCGGTCTCCGGCTCGGGCTTGATAGCAGGCAATGGTTTGTCGTCATAGCGAGAAGATGCTGTGGATGAGCGCGGGGTATGTGAACGTTGAAAGACATTGGCGATGGGCAACGATTCGAACGACGAGACGCTATTATTATTATGGATTGCTCGAGGGGGTTCCATCGGCGATGCTTGAGATGGACTCTCTACAGGGAGTGTATTCGATCGAAGCAAAGGGCTCGGGCCACGGGAGAAATTCTGAGTTCCGAGGATTTGAGCGGCCTTTGACGGTTGTGAAGTGGGAAAAAGTGTAAAGCTCGAACGTGCTGGTGAAGTTGCTCGGCGTTGGGGAACCGGTGGTACTTTGGCAGCGAGGAAATCCTAGTATCACGGTTAACAAAGGCTCTCTTAATGCCGACGGTGTGACCACTTACCGAGTTGTGCGGAACTTGGACGCTGTCAAGTGTTTTGCTCCTCCTGGCCAGCAGAGAGGGTCTCTGATTCTTATTCATCACATTGCTGAACATCACACTGTACCTTTCCATTTGGACGTCGGGAATATCAATCTCCAATCGAGGTCCGAGATCTCCATTGCTTTCCTTTGGAGACTTTTTATTGGATAAAGAAAATTTGCGGCTGCGCGATGGCGTAGAAGTAGTTTTAGTCGTTGAATACTTGGGATCTGACTCGATGCGCGGCCATTCCTCAGTCCCGGCTTTCTGGGTTGTCTGTTTATCCATCGCGGCGGCATGGTTGGGCAATGCTATTGGAGGTGGTCTTGGTCGTGTCGGAGATGCAAGTGCACTTTTGGCCCTGAATAAACCTCCAATCTTCTTCCATTTGCTTGCCTTCCGGAGTGACTGTGACTGCAGCGGCTGTTCCTTTTGCTGATCCGTAAAGACCGACGTATTGAAACGCGGCGGGGGTAGATTATCCTTCGAATCAAACATGCCTGGACTACCCAGTGCAATGCCAACTCCGATAGGACTGCGGTCCCACATGGCGTGCGAAGGAACCACTTCATCCGGAGGCGCTGTTACTCTAAAATCAAAGGTCGCAACGGTACCCGGGGGCGGCTTTCTTCTTGATCGTCCATCTCCAGAACTGGGCCGAGGGAATTCGAACTGGGCGAGACTTTGTTGATTCTCTTGAAGCTTGGCTCTTTCGTTGATATCGCAAAGATCGGATCGTGGCGCGGCATCGCTGTATGTCAAAACCGGGAATGAAATGGCCTCTTCGGTAGGCGCAGTGCGAGATTTGACCATCGTCATGACCCCAGGCATATTGTCTCGTGAAAATGTGGATCCAGCCAAGATATGCAGAAATGCAAAGGTGAAGATGTCGAGAGAAGTCGAAAAGAAGGAAAGGTGAGAAGCTCGACTCGAAAATGATCACAGATCGAAAGGAAAGGACGGCCTTCCAGAAGGCCTCGGTGCCAAACAGAACCAAAAACCGGATGGGAGAGGGGCCAGCCTCTTTTTAATAGATTTAATGGATTAATTGAATGAAGTGAACTAGGACCAGAAGGAGTGGCACCAGACAAAGTCCATAGTCTCGGTGGTGGAGCCTCCATTACGCCAAGGTCTGTACATGAGACACCGTGTGGTCCGCGACCAATTAATCCCCTCCAACTGAAGCAAAGCTAGCCAACGACAGTCAGAGAACGTGTATCAAATGTGCTGCGCAAAGCCTTCAGGCCGGGCCGACGGCCAATGCGAAACGGGCCATTCAGCCATTGGAAGAAATAAAAAAGGGGCCAGCAGAGAAAACATAGCAATACGCCGTGGGACAGGATCAGAGCAGGACCTTAGCGCAATTAGGGTCGAATTTCGGGGGCCAATCTCATCTGGCTAAACGAATTCAGGTAAGATTCAATTCACCGCTTGACAAGCGTGAAAACATGGGCAAAGGGTCAGGCTCAGGCTCAGACATAAGGGGTCGCAACGCCACGGGGCCAGACCAATGCACGACCGGGCAAAACATCGCTAAAAACCAACACGAGGATCGGGGCGTCCGATGCTTATTTGAATCGGAGCGAATGAACGTGTGAGTTGCGGATTGATTAGCTTCGTTCCACGTTCCAAGGACCAGTAGGGCGTCGCCCGGCGCAGAGGGGCGTGTTTCAGCCCGAAACTGAGACCCCCAAATATTTGTCTCGAAAGGGCAGGGGTCGATGCGACAAGGGCGGCTCGGATGTGTATTGGCCAGGCCGTTAGCCGGTGTGATTTTTCTGGGGGCGCTCAGGGAGTCTGCACAGACAGATGTCGCTGAGTGTTGTTGCGCGTAGCTGAGCGTCGGCTGTTAGGGACTGTTGATTCGCTGTGGTTGTTTGGATCGGTCTTGTGATGCCAAGGTTGCTCCATTCCAATCGGGTATTCCCTTTAATACGAGTTGTATTGAAAAACCCGATGGTGTCTCGGTGGAGGCTTCATGTCTAATACATCCCACGGGCTGGGCCAGCTTTATTATCTTCAATCAGGATCAATTAACCCACGAATAAAATGAGCCTACGGGGCACTGGTTTAACGATCATTAAGTGCTGGTGCAACGCTAGCATGCTGATTTGATTAACCAATCGCCACATTTTGATTAAGACATTCGCATCCACCATGCAATCTATCCAACAAATTAACGCCCGAGCCTATTAAATCCTCCGCGTCGGCAACCGACAGATGTGGCCCTCATATTGTCTTGCGCGTCTTATTGGGATTCAAAGCCCAACGCCGTGCCAAATTGAGGCTCGGCGATGTTGCAGGCATAAAGGCTAGCCCAGGCTCAGGGGGAGTTCAAAGATGCGAAGAAAACACGAGCATACTTCATGAATAATGACAAGCCAATATCTTCCGATCGAAAAGACTTTGGATATTCTACGAGAATCGAAGTCCAATCGGTTCTAGGGAGTGGTGTTCTAACTTCAAGTTCGGATCATCATGATTCGGAAGACCTAAGTCAAAAGTTCCCATCTCAATTTATTCCCATTTCTAGGAGTTTCAATTTCCTTGTCCTATTTACGAGTATATTACCGACTAGCAACTTGCAGATAATGCCCATCGGCAAAAATCTCTCGAGCAAAGCTGCAGGCTGCGACATTCAAGTCCCTCGTGCGTAAAATTCGCCGTAGATCTGGCGGCTCTTCGAACGCTGTTGCCTTCAAGTTGATGCAGAGAATACGGGGCTCTACCTCCCAAAGTCCAAGATGAGCATCATACTATAAGCCTACACTATTCTCATCAACAATTTCGATTTCACGATGAGGCTGAATAATCGTCAGCGGAATACGAGCTCCAACCGCTAGCCCCGCCAAGATATACATAGCCACATTACCGACAACATAAGCAGAATCAATGTCACCATTCCATCTCAACTTCAGCATCCAAGTAGTATGGCACTGTCACTGAAATCGCGCGCTCTCGGTGCTATATGGGGGACTTGTGTCGCCGATGCCTTGGGCGGACCGGTGCAATTCAAAGAGAAGGGTTCCTTTAAACTGATCTCCGATCTTGAATATGTTTATCCATTTGATCAGCCAGCGGGGTAAGTCAAGTCAACTAGCAAGGCATTCATCCATCCCATCCATGCCAAAATAAGACAGAAAAATACGAGCTACATGGTCCAACATTGAAAGTGCATACCAATCTAACCCTCAACTAATGATACTACAGCTCCTACTCCGACGACGGAGCAATGACCCTCGCCCTAGCCCAATCAATAATAGACTCGAACGGAAAATACGACCACGAGCTATGCATAAAATACTACATACAATGGATGCGAAAGGGCCGATTCAGCACGACAGATTATGCATGGGACATGGGGATTTCGACGCGAGAGGCGATTGGAACATGGAAAGACTCATCGGAAGATATTGCCAAGACGCAGCGCAAAGTCAACGACTTACTCGATCGCGACGATAAATCAGGAAATGGCAGTTTAATGCGCATTGCTCCGATCGGGGTGGCGCTGTGGAAGGATTCTAAATTTGCTAGGAAAGTTGCCAGGGCTCAGAGTCAGATTACGCATCCTGCTATTGCTTGTTTGGAGGCTTGTGATGCTTTTACTGAGGTTATTTGTCGGGCTATGAGGGGTGAGTTGTACTCGTCAAGATGGATTTGTTCAAGTTTTTATGGGGGTGTTTGGCCGTCACCGCTACTTTATCCCACCCCATTACTTGGCGATATCACATCACATTCCGTCGCTGGTAAACATATAACTAATTCTATCGATACAGGACAGTCGAAAGAACAGCTATGCGAAGCATTTGCCAATTTCAAATTCTCATCCGCCCTTCGAGTCCGAATGATTCCGTACAAGAGACTTGCGAATTGGAAGGCGAAAGAGAGCGGGGACATCAAAAGTAGCGGGTGGGTCGTTGACACGCTGGAGGTCGCGCTCTGGGGATTTTTCAAGTTTAACAGCTGGGAAAAGGGAGCTCTTGCAGTTGTGAATCTTGGCGGGGATTCAGATACCGCGGGGGCGATTTATGGAGCGTTGGCTGGAGTGTTTTATGGTGCGGATGCAATTCCACGGCGGTGGGTGGATGGGATGCAGAATTCGGGGCAGATTTTTGATATTGGGCGAAGATTTGCTGATCTTGTTGTGTTAGAGGCTGTTAAGGAGTCACAGTCGTAGTAAGGACTTGTACTTCAACAGAAAAGGAAGAGTGCTGGGGCTGAATAGTAGTATATGGTGCGGTGCGGTTGTATATTTTCTATTGACCAACGATCTTCTCGGTTTCCACTTCTAGCTGCGCAGGATCAAAGTATTTCAGCATAAATGCCGGCCTAGAAGTCATGTTGAAGAAGGTAGAGTATGGCTAGCAGATACTCTGGCCAGTGAGAGGGCGGAATGAGGACAGCAACAGCTCCTGCCAGGGCCGTGCATGTGCAGTAGAGTAGATATAGTGTGTTGCAGTATACACTACACACACTGTAGCACGCTGGTAGTACTTAGGGCATGGCGGAACTTGGTGAATACTGAATAGAATAATCCCAATCAATTCCATAAAATATGTTTCTCTCTCCCAATCTATTTTAAATATCCAAATAACCACTTCACCACCAAAATTCCACCGATTCTCCCCCCACCTCCTTTTCACCGTTTCGCGGCGGGGCTTGTTTACCGCCAACGCACTCTCCCCCCCCCACTTCACTTCACCTCCAACTTGAACCTCTTCAACTCTCCTTCTCTCTCTTCTCCACCACATTTTCACCATGGGCGCTCACTCTGCTATCTGGCAAGGTATGTCTATCTGCTCTAATCTACTTTATTGGGTGATCCCCCCCCTGATTCTAATGAACTCTTCCAGGCTACGTCGACTCCAGGTACATTACATACCATTCCACCATTCCATTCCATCATACCTCAGCCCCTCCTTTCCCCCACGAATTTATCCCACGATGCCACCCACACACAACCTGATCTGGTTTCACCCCGCTAACTCCATCTAGCCTGATGGGCTCGGGTCAATTCGACAAGGCCGGTATTCTTGCCGCTGACTTCTCCGGTCTGGAGGCTGGTTCCCCCGGGTTCGAGGTGAGATTCAACCCAAGCTATGCTAGCTAAGCTCGGCCCGGCTCAGCTCGGCGAGCTGTAGCTGTAGCTACAACTAAACAATATCTTTTCTAACTCATACTCCCTCCCCGCAGCTCTCCCAGGAAGACATCAACACCCTAGCCGCGGCCTTCACCTCCGCCGACAACGCCTTCGCCAACGGTTTCTCCATCGGTGGCGAGAAGTTCGTTACCATCAAGGCTGACGAGCGCAGTCTGTACGGCAAGAAGGTACGCCCGCCCCGCCCAGCCCGCAGGAAATAGAGAAAACTATATGATCCCGTCAAAGATCCGACGCGATCAATGGCATGCAATGAAATGAATACCCCGCTAACACCCCTCCTCCTCTCCAGGGCAAGACCGGCGCCATCGTCGTCCGCGCTTCCGCCTGTACTATGATCGCCCACCACGGCGAGGGTGCCCAGACCACCAACGCCGCGACTGTCGTGGAGAACTTGGTCGATTACATCAACAACCCGCAATAAATGGCGCACTGCGCTGCGGGTGTAGATATGGGTTTGGTGTTTATGCTGCCGGATCAGATCGGATCGGATCATCTATCCATCTTTGATATGATATGATATGATATGATAGCTATGGTGGTCGCTGTGCTGGGGCTGTGGCTTGTGGCTGTGGCTCGATCGATGCGCGGCATCATGTCATCATATCGCATCGCATCACGTCGCGTCGTTTGGTTGCAATGTGATGTGATGGGACCTGTGAGAATAGGAACTTGAAATAAAGGAGCATGAATTTCGTTTTCTCTTTGCTTTTCACCTGGATGCGGGTGTTCCATGCCAGCTGGGCACTGGCGCCGCAGGAATTGTATTTGCCTTTTATCTTGCGTCGCGACTTGTTGCTACTGGTTGTCGTTGAAATGCGGATTGTCTAGTCCAATTTCTAGTAACCTTTGAATATGTATACATATACACATGGAGTGCGTATATAACTACTACAGTTTGGCCAGCCCAGCCCAGCTCTGCTATTCCCGAAGCCTACGTATTAGTAGTATGTCAATTCATGAGGAGTTCTATTACTCTATAACTATTAGGTATGTATAAGATGCCAATCCGACGCGAATAGAATAGGAATAATTCCAATTCCGCCTGATCGAGGGTCATTAGTAAATTACATCAAAGCGCCCGTATCTTCGTGCAAGAGAGGAATGGAATGGAACAAGCAGAACACAGGGAAACAGAACAGACCAGCCTCAACTTCCCAGCGCAGTGCGATGTAGAAGCAAGCCACATCCAGCAAGCCGATGTTCTTCTGTCCCTCAGTCCTTCGTCCCTCTCTTCCTTCCTTCATCCCATTAAACAGGCAACTCCTGATTACTTCTCCCACCAGCAAGAATCTCCAACCCGCGCTGGATATAAGGGCCGATAACAGGGATACCACCAGCAAATTGACCAATCGTCACGAGGAAGTCACCGAAAAGGATAAAGAGGCCATACAGCTCGATCAGGAAGCCCGTTAGTGGCCAGCGGATTAGGATGAGGATGATGCCGGCGGTGAAGGCGGCGGTCCCTTTTAATTTTGCCGGGCGCGAGAAGAAGGCGATTGTTTTTTGGATGCCGATTATGAGAGTTAGGCCGATTAGGAAGAGGATCTGTTGTGTGTTAGTGGTGGTGGTCACGGTGGGATGAAGTTGATGGTGGGTATGGTACGCACGTTGCCCATTGCGAGACTGGAGAGAGGGGTGGGTTAGTATTCTATTTTGCTCTTTCTTTGCTGTTGCAAGGGATATGTATGCTTGGTTTGAGGAGTATAGACGTACAGTGATCGGTCAAAGAACATGAGGACGCCGCCGAAGAGGAATAGGCCACCTATACTCGATGCGATGGTTAGGTGTCTGGTAGGTTTGTTGCGCTGACACTGCTGTCGTCGCGGGAGTAAGCGAAGCAATTCACGAACCTGCAGAGCAGAAAACGACTCCGATCTCTGTGGTGTGTTAGCGCATTTGTTCGAGGGTGTCTGTTTGTAGGGCTTGTTGCTGGCGTGTGATCGGGGAAGGTGTGGGTGTAAACATACTCTGATTATCGGATAACCACATGCTGGGCATTGTGAGAGAACTCGACGGTACAAGAGGACAAAACTGCAAAGAGAACCGAGGGGAGTGTTTGGACAAGTAAAACAGGGAGAGAAATCAAGCAGGGCAAGTCGAGAGTCGCTCGCGTCTTTCTGTTTTTGGCCGATTCTGCCGAGATTTGCGGGCGGTGAGTGCTGCCCGTTTAAGCGGCGATGCAAGCCTTTCCTCCTTCACAATTCTGCTTCTTCTTCTTCTTCTTTTCTCATCTCTCTCTGCTACACTCGAATCTACGCAAAGGAACATGCTGATGCTGTTTGGTCTTGGTCATAAGCACCAGCAAAGGCGCTGGCACTGGCCCTGGAATTGTCTTGAATTACCAGCCTAATGAGATGCTGCCTCGATACAATTCATGTTCATGTTCAGCCATGCCCGCCATGTCCACCATGCTATCCACAGCTCCCCCCTCCCTGCCGATTCATGAGAGCAAGGATATCATTCCCCATTAGCTCGATATAGCTCATCCCCACCACCCATATATAGTCACGCCGCGACGACAGCCTCCCAGAAAGTTGCTGTAACTGACACCCCCTCCCCTGGGGCGTCGGTAGTAGTCGAGTGCATCCTGGCACAAGGCGGAGAAAAGAACGGTCACGAATAAGCCGGAGCGCTTTCTTGAGCCTGTCCTGAAAGGGGCAGGTGGGATGGAAAGGGCTTGACTGTGTTGGTCGGACATGCAGTTGTCATTTCAGACAGTACTGTACTGTACTTCAGTTAGAATGAGTGAATATAATCGACGAGCTCAATTGGAGCAACTAAACTCACCTTCCAAATTATCATATGTACTTGAGTAGAAAGAGCAAGCAGCAATGGATTTCCATTGCTCCGCTCTGCCGCTCTTCTCGCACCATCTATTTCAATACCGTATGAGCCCCCCCTAGCCTCAAGATAACTCTCAGGAACCCCCTGTGCCAACGACCGAATAACTCGAAAAAGCTCCTTATCATGATACCGCAACCTAGTCTTAGGATCCGTATACGGACCCGGCAATCCCGTCAAATCACAATAGTGACGCTGGTGCGCCGCACTCAGAGACGGCGCAGACTCGATATTCGTATATGTGACGGTCGGCCCCGTCGCGTAAGCGCGAGCATTCTTCTCCAGGACCATTGTTGAGAGATTCTGCGATGCTTGCGCGAGATTGGGCGGCTTGTTACCCACTGGGGCAGCTTCGGCGGGAGTCTGGGAGCCGTCGGTGGCGGCTGTGAAGGGGGTTGTTGCGCCGGAGTTGGCTTGGGTGGCTAGGACGGAGGCTTCTTTGCGGGAGTTTTCGGAGATAATTTGCTTGAGGTTCTTGTTGCGACGTTGGGAGGGTTTCCAGTGCGGGTTTCGGAAGGGTTTGGGGAGGATGCCGATGTCTCGTTCGTTGAGGAGGGCCTGGTGGGCTTCGTCGTTGGCGGGATTGGCGGGGGGTGGCATTGTGTGGTGTAGATGGGGGTAGTGGAATAGAGTAGTCAAGGTGGAGGTGGAGAGGAAGTGTAAGTGAAGTGGATGAAGTAGAAGTAGAAGTTGTCAATGGTAAATGAAGAAGTGAACTGCTGGGCTGCCCTTGTATAGCGTCATGTGACCCGGGGAAACGCGAGTCGCCCGCTTCAACAACATTCAAGTTTACTTTGACTTTCAACTTTCGATACTCCTTCACTAGTCACATTTCCTCCGGCATGGTGAGTCTTTCCTCCATTATATCCTGCAGAATCCCCTCGTCCAAGCTAACCCTCCTTAGGAAAGCCCCCACGAGCACCAGCAGTCGGTGCTGCTGTCCCGCATCATCACCAATGTGGTTTGTCTGCCTGATATAGACTGGATGAGCTTGGTTGGAGGTGGCTAAAGCTGACCTGGGCACAGGAAAAATTGAATGAAGCTGTTATGGTGATGAACAAGGGTCTACAGGTTTGTTTCCACGGAGTGTGTGGTGTATATATGAACTAACACCGACTAGGAGGTCAATATCCAAAACATGAATGTTGAACTGGTTGCCCAGATGTTCAAGAACTACCAATCGAATGTGCTGTTCCACCTTGAGGGTATGTCACCATGTTCTACTAGTAGCAACAGCTATATCCACTCCCATATACTGATCTTTATAGCCACGGATAACCTGAAGAACCCAACTTAGACTGCCCGAATCTATCTTAAGTCACGAGAAATGAAATGATAATGAATAATCCTCAGCAACTCGAGTATATTGGAGTAATAGTATAGTAATAATAATAGTCAAAGTAGTCAGTAGTTTCGTATATTCTGTATATTTATCCCTATTATCTTCTACTATATTCTATTCCACTGTATCCCTCCCTCTTCTCATCGCTGCTCTTTGCTTTCTCTCCTCCGCCTTGGCACTCTCGCCGCAAACCGTGGGCAACCTCCAACTTCCAACCTCCGCCCTTTCATCTCTCCAACCTCCATTCCACTCCACTCCACTCCACTCCTGCTGAAAACTTCCCTCCTGCATCTATCGACCCGGCCCTGGCCATGAGCTCCCTCTAACCGCCAATCGACTCCAATCTCCAGCTCCTGGTCCACACCCGCGCAATCCAGCGCATCCCAGCGCGCCACCATGACCATCACCTCGGTGCAGACCGTTCTGCCCTCGCGCTTTGCCGTCAATTCCTCCGAGAGGCGCGAGGAAAAGCCTCCACCACAGACACACAGCGTGCCAGACTTCCCTTTCAAGGGTTACCAAGCTCCACAACTCGATGGCTTTGCGCAAAGCCAGGCCAACCCCAACAGCGCCATCGTCATTGATAATGGTGAGCGAGCTTCGAATGCATCTTGGCCTTAACTGCATCACCATACTAACTGCGGTCTTTCCAGGCTCCCACCTCGTCAAAGCCGGCTGGTCCTTCGATAAGACTCCCCGCTTCGTCCTTCCCCCCGTCATGAGCCGATACCGCGATCGCAAGCTCGCACGTCAATGCCAATTCATCGGATACGACGCCTACCTCGATGCGACGACTCGCGGTCAGCTGAAAGGCGCCTTTGATCCGGGCTCCAGCGTCGTCAGCAATTGGGACGTGATGGAGGGTGTCCTGGATTACATCTTCCTCAAGATGGGCGTGGACGGCTCGAACGGTGGTGTCGACCGTCCAATTCTCATGACAGAGCCAATTGCCAACCTCGGATACCCCAGAAAGAGTATGACCTGCCTCCCCTAGTATCCCAGGGTCCCCGTCTCTGTCATACACACTCAGCTAACAAACAACGCAGTGATGAATGAGATCCTCTTCGAATGCTACAACGCCCCCTCCGTCACCTACGGCATCGACTCACTCTTCGCCTACCGCTACAACAAGGGAACAGACGGTTTAGTCGTTTCTTCCTCCCACACCTCAACCCACGTTATCCCCGTGTTGAACTCGAAACCCCTCCTCAACAACTGCACCCGTCTGAACTGGGGCGGTCTCAATAACGCAGAGTACCTCGCCAAGCTGCTGAAGCTCAAGTACCCAACCTTCCCAGCCAAAGTATCCGACCACCAGATGGAAGACCTGGTTCAAAAACACTGCTACATCTCTGAAGACTTCGACCGCGAGCTCGGCGGGTATCTCGATTGGACCGGACTAGAAGCCCGCGACCATGTAATTCAGTACCCCTTCACAGAGCACATCGTGGTAGAGAAATCGGAAGAGGAACTCGCGCGCATCGCGGAGCGCAAGAAGGAAAGCGGTCGTCGTCTCCAAGAACAAGCAGCCAAAATGCGACTGGAGAAATTGGTCAAGAAGGAGCAGGAATTGGAGTACTGGAAGAGTATCCAGGAACGTCTAGCCTCCGAGACAAAGAAGGAGGTCCGTCGCATTCTCGAGTCGGAAGATGTCAAAGACGAAGTGCAGCTTGAGCGGATGGTTCGCGAGCTGGAGAAATCTATCAAACGCTCCCGTAATCGCGATCTTGGTATCGAGGAGGAAGAACAGCAGCCCGAGGAAATGACTTTCCCCCTTCTGGACACCCCCGATGAAGAACTAGATGAGGCGGGTCTGAAGGAGAAGCGACACCAGCGTCTGATGAAGTCTAATGTGGATGCCCGCGCCCGCGCGAAGGCAGAAAAAGAGAAAGAAAAGGCCCGCCGTGAAGAAGAAGAGCGATTGGACCGCGAGAAGCGAGAGAATGACTTTGAAAATTGGATCGACGAGCGACGAACAAACCGACAGGTAATTAGCCCCTCTCTCTCGTAACAAGAAGTGCCCTGTTACTCCTTCCAAACGCGTTTTCTAACACTCCAAACCAACAGATAATTCTACAAAAAATCAAAGACCGCGACCGCATGAAAGCAGACCTCGGCAACCGCAAATCCCTCGCAAGCCAACAACGCATGAAAACCCTCGCAAACCTCGCCTCCGACGGGCCTAAAAAGCGACGCCGCGGCAACGACGAGGACGACTTCGGAGCCAACGACGACGACTGGGGCGTCTACCGCACCGTAGCAAAAGACGAACAATCCGACGACGAAGAAGAAGAAGATCTAGGCGCAGTCCTCAACGGTCTCGAAACAGAACTTCTAACCTACGACCCGGAATTCACCGAAAACCACACCCTAGCCGCACAAACCGACTGGACAAAATCTCTCGTTCACGCTTTCCTTCGCGGACCGTGGCCATTTGACCCGGAGTCTCAGCGCGAGGCACATCAGATGCATCTTAACGTGGAACGAATCCGCGTGCCCGAGGTTGTTTTTAAGCCATCCATTGCAGGCGTAGATCAGTCCGGCCTGGTCGAGATCGCGGCTGATATTGTTAATCAGCGGTTCTCGGGTGTGCAAGATCAGAACCGGTTATTGCGGGATGTGTTTCTTACGGGTGGGAATACGCTTTTCCAGGGCTTTGATGAGAGATTGCGGAATGAGTTGCGGGGTGTTGTTTCACTTGATGCGGAGTTGAAGGTGCGCAGGGCTAAGGATCCTGTTCTTGATGCTTGGAAGGGTGCGGCGCAGTGGGCTGGTGAGGCTCAGGCTGATTCGAATGCGGGTTTTGCGAAATCTTCGGTTTCTAGGCAGGAGTATTTGGAGAAGGGGAGCGAGTATATCAAGGTGAGTTATGCGTAGCGATTGGTTGGTGTTGGATGACTTTGGGCTAATTGTTTTATTACTACAGGAGCATGATCTTGGTAACGTTACATGGTGAATTTGAATTGACTTGAATTTGACTTGAGCAAGTGTGGTCTGGACTGGACTGCGATGCGATGCTATACCGCACTGGCATCGTATTCGCAGCAGAGCAGAGCAGACCGGAGCAGATCAGGCGCTATGGAGTCTGTTGCACGGAATTAAGATTAACGGGTAGGCATTTATTTGGCTTGTTTTGAATTGAATAGCCGATTATAAGGATAAATACAATGAAATTGTTCATTCTAAATGCTTCGGGTTTTTGTGAGTTCTCTTTCAAACATCTTCCCATGTAGATGTACAGTGTACATGTGGTGTTAGAGTAGGTGCTAGTTAGTAGTAAGTTCCGAGTCGAAGGGTTGAATCTGTGTATACTTCACGACTCCCTTGCATACTGGTCTCAGCCTCATCTACGCTCAAGCTGGGGATCTAAGACATTCAAGTTCGAGTTTTTCTTTGTCTTTGTTTAGTTTTGTTTTGCTTTGATTACTTTATTTGCCCTTGGATAGTAGTAACTTTGGGCGGGAAGGGGTCAATTGGCTTACTTCCAAGTGGGCATTCTATCGTTCATATAATGGTACATGGCGCGAAATCTTTTCTGCATACCTTTGATGAATATTCTAGTAAGATAGGTTCACGATCGTTGTCCACGGGTCTCCATGAACTAATCTCTTGCGTCACAATCCTGCGCTGTATCGTAATACTGCGGAATATCCTCCCACATGCGGGACCATGTAGCTTCCAAGACTCCTATAGCTCCCCCTCTTCGGAACCTGCTGTGGAAAAACAACAATTTAATATGGCAGAAAGCATACTCCGTATACTACATATATGCCAGTTGTTGTTTGTCTCAGTTCAAGTTTATTTCCCGGGTCTACTCGGTGCAGGAGCGTTGACATGCTAAGCTCGAGACCCGCAAGGGATAGGTAGGGTACTAGTATGTACATTCATACTTAGCGACAGCCAGGCCCAGGAGCACAGTTCGTCATGTGCTTTAGTTCAATTGGCCTATTTCCTCGGGCTCTGCGCCACTGTCGATCCCGCATATATTTTGTTTTTCTTTTTCTGCAGGGAGAACCCCGCTATTGAATGACTCTGCAGAACTAGCTAGGTCGCCCGTGTTTTTGTGCTTAATGACATGACCCTTTGACCTAATCTCACGCACTCCAGGGCTGGCACGATGCATACATCTTGAGCACGGCGAGGGTGGTGTGATTTTGGCTAATTGTAGGGACATGATTGGCCATACGCACCGTTGGTCCTCTCATCACATCACATCAATCGGGCCATTCTGCTAAGCAGATTGAGTGGGCTTTTTAAAATCGTTGCTGGCGGTTAGTGGTAAACAATCTTTAGCTTCGGCCGTGTGCCGAAAGCCCTGTGAGCTGTCAGCCAAGTCCGACTTGAAGCTTTACCATTGATGTTGGGATTTATGGACATGAGCTTCTTCGCACGAGGACATGACATGCCACTTTTCGGGTACGCAGGTAATTACTTGTTAACTCTGCTACCATCAATCGATAGCTCGAATGGCAGAACTAGACCTTACTCGATGAAACCACCATAGTCTTCTTCTGCGTGGGTGATGCTGAAAAGTCAAGCGCTATAGGTTGTACTACACAACTTACATGTCCTCCCCACGTCGCTTCTTATCCCCCTAGTTCCTAGAAATTAGTTGAAGGATGTAGATATGCAGTACTCCACACAAAAAAAAGCAAGGAACACAATCAACCACCCAAACTCATGCGTCGCTCCGAATCCAGATGCCAAATCCGTCCCCCCCCCTGTACCCCTGCACCACATGATTTGACCCAAACTGACTTCATGCAGAGGCTATCATGATGCATCTGGGGAAGCAGCCCATTTACCCAACAACAAACTAGCTGCAAATCCTCCATCCCTACTGGGCCTGGAACAGCCCTGGGGTGTGGATTCGGTCATTTTGACTTGGCACTAGTGGTGTTTGTGTCTCATGGTGAGCTATCGACGGACTTGCTCTGCTTTGTTTTGCTTTTCATCGCCTGCGTCGGGTTATGCTGGTCATTGGAAACAGATATAAAGTGCATTCCTGCTGTATTCGTGCCCGACTGATTCTTTTTCATCCCGTCTTTCGCTTGTATTTCGATATCCCACCACTTTCTGTTACAGGCTAATTGTGCCTTCGCTCATTCATATCAACATTTGTCTCGAATCTCGATTAACACCGCCGTTATGATCTTCTCAACAGCTATTGCCCGCCCCGTGCAGCTGGCAACCCGCACACTGCAGTGGTCCAGCGCGGTAATCGTTATGGGCCTAACCTCGTTCTTCATCAGCCGCGGTCCACACGGACAACACCTTCTCTATCAAGAGGTCATCGTGAGCACTGCCAAAAATCCGCCCATCGTCCACTGTCAGCTTTCTAACTATTTCCAGTCCGTCCTTTCGGTCGTCTTCTTTATCCCAGCATTTATCTCTCCATTCCTCCCAACAGCACTCAGCAAATTCGTCCTCCTAATCGACGTCATCTTCTCCTACCTGTACGCTCCCCACCCCTCTTCTCTCTGCCACAAACATCCATCTTCATTGAGAACGCCACTAACAGTGATACCACCAGCTGGTTAACCGCCTTCATCTTCGCCGCCCAAGACTACAACCAGAACTCGTGCTACCTCAGCTCCCCACCTGGTGTGACCTGCGGCCGAAAGAAGGCCAACGAGTCGTTTATTTTCCTCGCCTTGTACGTATCGTCACACAAACCCCGTTCTCCATCTCTCCAGATCCCTCATTCCATCCATCCTCATCCGTCCCCACTTCAAGCCCTACTCCAGTCTACTCCCCATCCTCCACAACAAAAAGAAAACATCCAGCTAACCCTCATCCCCAGCATCTTCACCTTCTTCGGCATGTTCCTCGAAGTCGCCGCCCTATGGGCCTACCGCAAAGGAAACACTCCCGCACCGGCCGTACAGGAGAAGGACGACGGCACTCGCGTTCCGCTGGATGGCCCAGTAGGTCCTGCGCCTGCAGCAGTTGTTTAAGTGGGTGAATGAAAGCCCGTGGGATCTTTCGCACACCTGGGTGGCGATGTCTTCCGGCTCGAGGTATTTGGGTAATTTCCTTTTGCTGGGGTATTGTCTTTTTACCTATTTGGTGGATTGTTTCTTTAGGAGGATCTTTTGATCATTTGATACTTTAATCTTCCGAGTTTTATCTACCATTTCCACTTCCAGCTCGAGTTGGTTCTCGGTATGGTTTGATCTTGAGGGATCGGAGATAATGATGTTTGATTTTTCTATGCATATAATGTTTTATGGGGTGGTATTGATCTATTGGTTGATTGAGCCAGTGGGTGGGTGGATTTGATTTGTGGTTGGGTTTTGGGAGGCCCTCATTTCTCCCTCTTTTTCTTTTGTGAACCCTTTTTTGTTTAATACCAATTATTTGATATTTAATTTATTTCTGTCTGATGCCGATTAATCTGTGCTCGCAATATTTGATTTCATTATGAGTGATTTTAAACTTGAATGATTAGCCGTTCCTAGTACACGCGACGCCGCAACTAGTGTAGGAGTAGAACAACCTTGGAATCGCCAAGTTGAGGTATGAAATTCAAATTAAAATATCTCAACAACTATCATTTTCAATTTATAATACTTACTAGTATTAGTAGCTTTCTAAGTAGTACCTAGTAGGTACGTTTGAATATTTCACAATCCCCCAGGGTCTATTCTCAATTTTTCAACTTGAAGTTGTTACTACTTAATAGTACTGGTAGCACTGCCGGAATATATAATTGTAGAACCTGGGGAAAACTACGATCTTGCCCCGATTTCAGTACTACACATGAGCAAATAATCACTTAAACGATTTCAAAAATTAATTAATAAACTGCTATACAAAAATCTAAAGAGAATGAAGCCGTTGTTGATGAGATATCCCGGGTTGAATTTCATTAAATATGGTATTTGGCGCTGTTCGGCCTGGGTTCGGCCCGCTCCGAGTCGTGCCTCCGTTAGTCACCCGCTTTTTCTCGCCTCCGTGACGGGCATCTCTTTCTATCTCATTCGACCGATTCACGTCTTCGTATTTGCACTGACCTCGGGAATACATACTACTACGTATTAAACGAAAGAACCATATTTTCAATACTTTCATATACTCTGTTTTGTCTTAATCGAAAACATGTCCGGGAGCAAGGATCCCACAGCCCACACTGTAGTCCCCCTTCAGCACCCGAGCAATACAAAGTCTTCACAGCGGAATTCGACACAGTAGCCTACGATCCTCTGGACCTTCCCAAGCGATACCACATAGGGATCTTCGTTGAGACAGACCCGGAGACTGTCCGATGAGAGCTATATAACGTCACCGGCGACATCATCTCGAACAGTGGCATGCGATTCGAGGTGAAAGATAATTATGTTCCTAGCGTGGACAAGTATTTTCACAGAACTACAGAGATTGGATGGATTCACAAAGCTGATTATCTGAGACTGATGAATATCTTGGAAGCCTTGCCCAGACCGACCAAACAGCAGGGGATAGTATTCTGGAGCAAGGATCCGGCTCAGCGGAATAAGCTTAATTGGACAAAGCAGAATGGGGATATTTATGGGCCAGACAAACCACGACGGCCAATCATGAAGTGTAATGAATGGACACATCAGTTTGCGATTCCGAAGTTGCACGATGAAAGAATTATGCATCGATTGAAGCATCGGCGTGTCAACGTGGTGGAGACTGTTTGCTATCCGCTAAGGGGCCGACTTCATTTCCCCCTTCTACCCCCCTTGTATCCTCGATTCTATCCTGAATTCCATCACGATGTTAAAATAACTACCCTGACAATAATTTGCAAATGATTTTAGATTAAGAGGATAATCTCTCTTTTCTTTATTGACGGGGTCAAGATAATACATCGATTTCATTCTGAACATAACAACCTACTTGACCCGCTCTGACCGTTACCTAGATCCCGGCTAAGTGATCCACCGGCTGCGTGCTCTTAGCTACAACCCCCTGCCATTATAGGCACCGGTGTTCGGTCGCTTCGATTGGGAGACCTGGTTATTCCAAAAGTCTCGACCTCCGTTATCAGTGATTACAACACCCAGGCGCAATGCAGGACTCCCATTCTGAAGCCTATACCCATCTGCCGACTCGAGAGTATCTTGACCCTTACCGGGACTCAAAAATCGAGGATCTCCCGTGCTGCCGGCAGTTTCCACTGGCTTCGGCACTGTCTGAAACAGGTTCGCGGTCCATTCAATCCCGTCTCCTTTCGGCAGAGTCGAGTTTGCGGTTCCCACCCAAATATTATTCGACATGTTTGTGTGTGGGGGAACTGCGATTTCGAAATCTTTCTGTGGACAGTAGACGACATTGTTGTAAAAGTCAAGCTGCACGTTATCACCATTGCTGTACATTCGACAGTCATTCTGGAACACATTGTATCGAACAATCTGTCGTGCGCCACCGGGAGTTCCACAGCCATCGCAATTTAGGAATATACCCCCTGCGTTGTCATGACTGTAGTTATATTCCACTGTACACGTGCCTTCGTTGCCCCAGTCACAGTCAAATGCCTCGCTGTCTATATCTGACATGAGTGAATCGTGAACGACATTGAATCGCATGACTGCGTCTTGACACCCCAGCACCCAGATGCCAGCGAAATTTCCCCCAGTCCATGGGTATTTGCCATGACCAAGGAACCCAGCTTTGTTCCGTTCGATGATGGGTGACTCGCCGTATGAGACAACAACGCCGTCACCACCGACGTTCGATATTTCGTTGCCCCAAACGTGTGTGCCCTTGCCACGGTTGTCCATTTGACCAACGCGAACTTTGATACCCCCACCGCCGCAATCATATATAGTATTGTTGTAGATTTGCACGTCATCATAGCGACTGAGGTTCTCGGTTCCATTCACGAGGATACCGCCAGAAGCAATAAATGCAGCGGACTGGGTCGCTTTGTTTGTTTGCCCGGCAACATTGTAGACAGTAATGCCATGGATATAGAGGCCGTGGTGGACTGTCCCATCACTTGAAGTCCCAACGATGCCACGCCTCCAAGCGACGGAGGATGCGGGGTTGATTATGGCAATATTTGAGATATCCCAATAATTCTGATTCGTCAAACTCACTGCCTCAGCCGCCCCGGAGCCATTGATGATAGGTAGTGGCCCGCCTCCGTAGCTTGTCAAGGTAATAGGACTGTGCTGGGTGCCACTGCCCTTTGGCGACAGTGTTCCGGCACAAATAGTCCCAGATTTGACTTTCAGTGAGTCTCCGGGGCTCAAGACAGCGTTGTTCGCACTGGCGAGGGTCGAAAAAGGACGCGATCTGCTTCCGTCGCCTGATGTAGCCGACCCACAGTCCAGATACATGTCTTTGGCGAGCAGGGGCTGCGCCAAAGCTGCGACGAGAGCAATGCCGCGAACAAAGCGAATGGCGTTTGTGGTCATGCTTGACAGTCTCATCGTGATGGTAAGCGAGGCTTTTCGCGCCGTCGATGTTCTCAAACGTCTCCGCAGCAACTAAATATTAAATATGGATTCTCTCAGATATGAGGGCCATGGCGCTCTAGCGAATTGTATCCTGCTCATGACGCATCTTTCCTGGATGGACCTGCCGAGGCAATCAAAGGCTGGAAGATTCCTTCGTCCGAGGCGCGTTTATCGGGCGATTCCTTCTCCCGCGACTCCGCACTGAAACAGATAGATGTGATTGTTGCATCCTAAATATGAAACGCAAATTTGGCAAACGCCTCCGCCCGGAATATTAGTATTTATTGAGCACAAAAAATGCAATTTACCAGGGCTACTACTAGTAAGGTATCGTGTGATTCTTGTTCCTAGATCAGTTGTGGCAGCCTTGTGATTTATTCTACATTATCAATCTACCATCCATCATGTTGTGCCATAACATTCTTCTTTCCACTATTATTCCCCTTCTGGGGCTTCTACCATCCTGCTATGGCGATAGTCAGTCAACAGTGACTGCCTCGGCCCCTTCGAAGTGGGTGCATCCAGGGGCGATGATCAGTCAATCTCAATTGGATTTCATTCGCGAGAAAGTGAAGAATGGCCAGCAACCCTGGAAAGATGCCTACGCGGCTCTTCTTGCCGATGATGGTGTCGCAACTCCTACGGATCCATCGCCGCACGTTATCGTGGAGTGTGGCTCATATTCAAATCCTGACGTCGGATGTACCGTGGAACGCAGTGATTCGATCGCTGCGTATGGAAATGCGTTAGCTTGGGCAATCGGTGGTTCCAGTGAATACGCCCAACAAGCTATAAAAATCATGGATGCGTATTCATCGACGATCCAAGGCCACAATAACTCCAATGCGCCACTGCAGTCTGGATGGGTTGGCTCGGTGTGGGCCAGGACAGCAGAGCTCATCCGTTATACAGATGCGGGATGGTCATCCGATAGCATCAATCAGTTCGAGGCGATGCTCCGTGATGTTTATATGCCGCTTACAGTAAATGGAACCGATCACAATGTCGCAAACTGGGAGCTAGGTAAGCTGCAGTTCTCTTCGGATAGCAAGGACTAAAGGCTAACATTTTATCCCCTAGTCATGACAGAAGCTGCAATTCTCATGTCAGTCTTTCTAGAAGACGCCGACACGTACAATACTGCAATGGGGTGGTTTCTGAAACGAGTCCCAGCAACAGTCTATATGACAAGCGACGGTGAGTATCCCGTCGCGGCCAGAGGACAAAGCTCCTCCCCCGACGCAATTATCGCCTGGTGGTTCAACGAGACCACCTTTCAGGAGGACGGTCAAGCACAGGAGACATGCCGTGATCTTGAGCACACAGGCTACTCATTCGCATCCATGGCGCACGTTGCCGAGACTTCCAGAATTCAAGGATCGGATCTTTATAAGACAGATTTAGGGACGCGACTTCGTTATGGACTCGAGTTCCACTCACAATTCGTGAATGGAGAGTCGGTGCCTTCATGGCTTTGTGGAGGGAAGCTGAGTCTCACTTTGGGACCGATCACTGAAGTAGGATATAATGCGCTTGCATTCAGGATGGGTATCGATATGCCTCAAACTAGAAACCTCACGTTCAAGCAGCGACCGGCTAAGGAGAATGGGCTTTTTGTGGCATATGAGACACTAACACATGGAAATAACAATGCCTAGAGCTTGCACTGGGAGGATATAGTTAGCACTACTATCAGAGTTTGCCGGAATTGACTCAAGTTTCAGTATGACCTATTTAACGCGATCTGATTCTGTAATATAGGGCAGATGGGGTCTCCTCATCCATAACAATCCAAATCGATTCGTTTCCATTTTAAGTTAATTTCATGTTCAAATAAATTTCTTCTTGAATGGCCGTTCCTGCTCAGACAAGACCCATGTCTAGAAATCTATTGCCCAGCTCCAGAAAATAGTAATCCGCGTAGACCAACCCATGATCCCAAGTCCGATCTGCATGATCTTGATTAAAGTTCGCTGTTGACCTTTCCAAAATCGCATCAAAGAACATCCCGTCGACAGCCCCTATCGCGTAGGTCTTTATCTTTCCTGTGTCCGAGTCGAACATCATGCCCATCTCATCTTTATTATAAGCCAGCGCAACCGTGTCCTTGGCAATGAGAAGGGAATACTCCAAGTACCGCTTTGCTAGCTCATTTTTCCCAGCTCCCTGAAGTAAACCGTAGAGGATAATCATCCCATTTGCGGCAATCGTTCCAGCAGAAACATCTCTCAATGGGACATCGGAGCCGTCAACATTTTTATGCTTTATTGGCGCATCAAAGTCCCACAAAGGAACATATCGCCCGACACCATTCTCCTCTACAACATTCGGCGACGATTCCAAACGGTAGATGAAGAAGTCCGCCAAGCCCAATGCAGCCTCTAGAAACCTTGGGTCCCTTGTCCAAGCAAAGGTTTGGGCGTAGCCTAGAATCGCCCATGCTTGCCCGCGTGCCCAGGTTGAGTTGTCGTCATAGCCTTGTGCTGTGAGCTTTCTCTTCACTTTCCCATTATCTTTCGGAGAGAGATTCGCGGCGTGGTAGGTTGAGAACATTGTTTTTCCGGGCTCGACGGATTCTCCTCGAAGGTGCGTAGATAGGAGGGTTTCGGCGTGTTTGGATGCGATCTCAATAAGACGAGGGGGACCTTTTGTAGTTTCCGGCGTAGAACAAAAGGTCGAGATCTAGACTCTCATTAGCTATGTGAAACAAGATCGCAAAAGGGCATATCTTACTGCAGAGACTATCAATAATGACCAGAAAATCATCGTCCATACTAGTGATGCTGTGGTGCGCATTTTTGAAACTGTCCCAGCTGCGAATGGCCCCAACACGCTCATCATATCGACTGGCAAGGCTTTCGGCTGCAGTGAGCAACGAATTTAGGCTTTGTTTATTGCCGAAGAGTTCCCAGTCTCTTCGGAGGGCTGGCTGGACGATGAATCCGAGATCATGAGTGTCCGTTCGTTTCGACATAGCATGCAGCGGAGCAGACCACCTTTGACATAGATCTGTGACGTGCTCAATAAGGCTGAGTGGGAAATCCCGTGGGACGTTCTCTGGCTGGCATACTTTGGACACGCTTGATCCAGGATATTTTCTGAGCCTCTCCAGGACACAATAAAGATTCCCGGGAAAAAAGCCACATGTCCAGAATTCGGCATCCCTGCACTGGTATATTCCCTTTTGCGGACCGATCTGGGGTACTGTTTCGGGAAAGCGTTTGGGGGGGATCCTGCGAGATGCGTCAGCGCCAGCGTCAAGAAGCGAGTTAATTTGTCTACACACTCACATTCTTAGCCAAGTACCTTTCTGCAGTGCTCATAATCTTGACCAGATTGCTTTCTTTGTACAGCGGGGCAAGGATTGTGGCGATATCATTGGCGCTGCTAGCTGTGCCAGAAACTGGCTTTCTTGAAGCGAGAATTGAAGCGGCGCCCATTTCCATCTCTCCGCCCCTCGGGGGAGAGTTGATAATTCCCGGTGACATGCTTAAGTAGAGTGAATGAAGATCTGGGTTTAACTGCTGAGAGTGACCTTGCAAATTGTTTTTTAAACCCGAGCAGGCTCGAATGTCGCGACCCTTTTGGTCGACGGCATCTCGGGTGGATACCTCTCCCGAGGCCCGCGTGTACAACAACGTAACATGCAGGGGCCGAAGGACGCTGACTAGCCCATGGAGGAAACTGACATGGTGGTGTGTGATTACATCAGTCTCATTTTCTCTTCTTCTCCTTCTCGCCCACATTCTTTCTTTTCAATGTGTTCCCTATTTAAATTCGATGTGGTCCACTTTATTTTCTGCTAAGCCGTATTTAATTCACAAATGAGTCTTGAAAGCTGATAATACGATCCATGTCAATATATTGAGGATCCGAAAGGAAAGTATAAAGCGGCGCAAACCCATCAATGCTATCTGCTAGTGGCTGCATTTGACGGTGCGCGGGAAAGAGATCGCCAAGTTCCATATCGGCTCTTGTGTGAGGTGTTCTCATATACGACAATGCTGTGTTAGACTGCATTTGGCTTTGACCCGGCGTTCTATCACTTTGAATGGACCTTGAAATCGGTGTTTGCGTGCTATTAAGATGGCGTTAGCAAGGAAACATGGCGTGTTTAAGAAGCGCATGTACCTGGAGCCTAGCGAACTACTATCATGGCTGGAGCTTCCCATTACTCCATCAGTGCTAATGTAATGTGATCGATTTCCGGTGACTGGAATAATACTGTGACGTTGTTGGGCGCGACGCTCCTCTATCCATTGACTGTTGTCTGGGCTGCGAGCAGGCAGCTCAACACCCAGAGCACGATTCACCTCGATGATGTAATCAAATGATAGGGGTGCCGATGCTTCTTGAGACACTTGTAGCTGATCGAGTAGACCGCCGGCAAAGTTTTTGATGTCGTCGTCCATTTTGAGTTCAGGATTCATTGAAATCCATCGGTCGGACATTTGTTGTAGGCTTGACAATAGAACTTTGTAAGTATCCGGGAGCTCTGTTTTGTGAATATTCGAGTGCACTATGGTTGAAGTGTTAGATAGAACCTGTGCCGTCGATTTGAAAAAGCTCACCTAGTATAGCATGAGCACTGATGAAGGTGCAGAACGAGAAATGTGGGCTGACAAGGCCCACAAACGGAGTGTATTGCAGGTACTTTTGTACAATATTAGCAGTTTCGAGAGCTGCCAGCTGACAAGTCTCGGCGCTTGCCGTGCTCGCCAGCTGGAGCTTCTCCAAAATATGCGCTCGCGGATAGGCAATGCTCTGGTGGAGTAGAATCATGGATGTGTTGTGGGTGATATGTGCGAGGGTCAGGTTAGGATCCATGTGCACAAAGGCCGGCTCTCTCGAAATATTGGAATCCTTCCATCGACGTGGGAGAAACATCTTCCAGCTGTCGGTCTGTCAGCTGCGCTCGAATTTTTGGTCATCACTGTATGGTACGCTGTTGTACTCACTGAATCAATTGAAGATCTAATTCTTTGAACCGTGTCAGCCAAGCGCTGAATTCCTGCCTATTTTGGAGATCGACTGGTTGCTGAAGGAAGAATTTCACCACTCTGTTTAGAGCCTCGGTCGCTTCTATACAATATGCAAAGGATCCGATTGTCGAAACATCAACAGCTCTAGCCTCGGGGGCTTGGATAGCGGGCGACACTCGCTCTGAATTCGGACCTGTAGGTGGAGCCTGCTTTTCCTTATCGGCCAGAGATGCAAAGTGACCAGCCATAAAAGAGACAGATTTTCCCAATCTGGCCTTAGAAGTATCCCAGATATTAAAAAATGGAGTTGTTACAGGCTCCTCTTTTACCCAGTATAGCCCATCACTTGGCAATCGGACCTGAACATCATCGCTTGACAGGTTTATGTTCCACCTGCAAATAATTGGTGTTAGGTTCAAAGCTGAAAGAAAGGATTTCAAGGTGGTACCTTACCCAGTCGTAATGGAACAGAAGCTGGCAACAGGTCAGAAAGAGCCAGGTTGGGAATGTCGGACGACCTTACCGATCTAGCAAAAACACATTCCAAAATACTCTTCTTCGTTCTTCCGCTTCAGTCCAAACCCTCGCAGGTGGTAGACACTGCAATGGCTTAAGACAGGCCTCTCCAAGTTCTGTTTCATCAGGCTCACGGTTGAGACCCAAAAGCACGACCGCCCTGCTCAGCGTCCCAATGGCGGGCCAGGCCTTTTTCGCATTTCCGTCCCCAATATGTACAAAGGCGATTATGATGAGGGCCTGTATATTTTCCACCGTAATTTCATTCATATTTGACAAAAGAACGTACTCCCGTGATCTGTGGAGAGCATTGGGATGTTGAGTAATCCATTCCTTTGCTAATCTCTCGTTGGCGACATAGCGAAGGGCACAGACCATCATGGCATGCAATACAACGATCAACTTCGGTCGCTCAGCGGGGTCTCGCAGGCGTGAACGGAAGAGCATCTCATGAAGGATTGGAATAAACGGATGTACAGCAGAGAAGTATGCATCAAGAACCGCATTGATCAGGTTGTCTGAGGGAAGATATGCCCGTTGTCCGCTGGGGTCTCGTTGGTTCGGTGATTCTTGACGCTTTCTCTTACGAGAGGCTCTATTATCTGGGGCTGTGGTAGGTGTTCTTGGCTGAGATGTTTCGTCGACTTGAATGCCTTCGATTGAACTACCTGGACGGGTATCACCCTGGCGAGAGTTGCTGCTCCACCACTCTTCCATCAGAGACGATACCACGCCGCGGAGTATGTTCGCATCAGGGGCCCCATCCTCTGTAGTCGGAGCCACGCTGGGTCTTTCTTGTTGAGATCTGACGGCATCTAGCTCTGCTTCCAGTAATTCTATAACAGAGTCAGTCAAGATTTGCACACAAGAGCCCATTGGTGTCTCGTACCAACTCTGTGGGTCAACGTCTGGATAATACCGATCTTGACACCCGGTTTGTTCCTGTGATAGTCGTACACGCATTCCACGCCTTTCTCGCGTTAGTGCCAATAGCGGTTTTGCTTGTGGGGCACAATCTCACCAAGACGGGCACAACGAGAGCAAGTTGGCAGCTCTCTCGTACAACGCAGCTTCCGGCTTCGACATGTCTGGCAAGCGGGTGTCTCTGTATCAGCTACCTGCTGCATGGGGGCATCTCGGGCATCGGAGGATTCCATACTAGTAGTGTGGGTAAGTAGCGGAGGAAGGGAATCTCACTCGGACTAAAGCCTCCGCGCGCATGGGCCTTGTCTGAGTGTGGAGAGAGTGTGGGGGGGTGAAGGCCGGGGAAATGCCGAGGGCGCTGGATGTCACATTGCCGTCAGGAGGTAGTATATTTTGAACCAACCATGAAGCGCCTCTGGTGTAGGTAATACACCTCAAAGGCTCGGACGATTCCTTCGCCCGAGTGACGGGCCTTTCCCCGCCCGACGTAGCGCCAGGGCTAGCCATTTGTAGCTATTTGGCTACGACTCACCGTAACAGTGGGTCCAATCTAGCAGAACAGCACTGCTGCTTGGTGACATGCAAGCTCCCCCCGGATTATCCGCTGATTAGATTAGACTAAATACATATTCCATGCCTGCCGCCAGGTCATCAACGGAAGTTGCGTCGAAGATCACTGGATATCCATTCGAATTCGAATCTTCATCGCAATGGGCTCTTCAAATCCACGGGAAGAAGAGACACGTAGCGCCAAGGTTCCTTTAGAGAAAACGACGAGCCATGATGAGGGCATGCCAAGTCGCGAGGCTTTGCTTGAGGCTCTTCGATCTGAGAAGCCATCGCCATGGTCACCGAATCTGAGGAAGTTATATGCTTTTTGCCTGATTGCGTTCCTCTGTTCGACAATGAATGGTAAGTACTAAATCATTTCCACAAGTATCTGGAGATCCCTTGCTCATATCTTGATGTGCAGGGTATGATGGATCTATCTTTGGATCACTTCCTGCGTTGGACTCCTTCCGAGAACACTTCGGAGTTGAGAAGAACGGTTCGAAAATCGGATACATCTCCGCCATGTACACCGTCGGTGCAATCTGCTCGCTCCCATTCAGTGGACCGGCCTGTGATATCCGTGGAAGAAAATGGGGCACATTTATCGGGTGTGTCGTTGTGGTTGCGTCCACCTTCGTCTCTGCCCTTTCCCATGGCGTGCCTCAATTTGTCGCCGGTCGATTCTTTCTCGGATTCGGAGTCAACATAATTCGATCAACAAGCTCCATCTGGTGTGCTGAGGTCTGCCCTCCTGCATATCGCGGTATCATCATGGCCTTCTACAACTGCACATATGCAGTCGGCTCGCTCATTGCTGCTGGCGTTACTCGAGGGTCTGCTGGATATGGAGGCAATAAATCATGGCAGATCCCGTTATGGTGTCAAATGATTTGTCCAGGGATCGTCCTCCTTGCCGTTCTATTCTTCCCCGAATCGCCGCGATGGCTTTTTTCGCACGGTAAAGAAGACAAAGCACTGGAATTTCTGGCCTTCTACCATGGCGAGGGAAATCCCGATCATCCACTCGTGCAACTCCAACTGCAAGAATATCGAGAATTTATCTCCCTTTCCGGATCCGACAAACGCTGGTGGGACTTCAGCGACTTTTACAAGACCAAAGCAGGAAGATGGCGATTTATCAACGCTCTCATTACCGGAATCTGGGGCCAATGTTCCGGTAACGCAGTCGTCACGTACTATCTCCCAGCAATGCTTCTGACTACCGGTATCACGGAGTCTGAGCAAGTCTTGAACGTCAATCTGGGCTATACCGTCGTTTCCACTGTGGCATCATACCTCGGCGCAAGCCAGATCGAAAGAATGGGCCGTCGACCCACAATTATCTGGACAGCCGTCGCGTGTTCAATCTGCTTCGCCTGTATCACGATCGGATCTGGGCTCTACGCACATACCCATGCCAGCTCCGCCGCATCTGCCGGGATCGCCTTCATCTTTGTCTTTGGTTTCTGCTACAATTTTGGAATGACGCCCTTGCAGGCGCTGTATCCAGTTGAAGCTCTTTCCTACGAGACACGAGGGAAGGGGGTTGGGCTGACCTTTTCGATTGCTCATGGCTTCACCCTTCTCAATCAATTTTGTTTTCCGGTGGCTTTGCAAAAGATTGGTTGGTATACATATATTGTGTTTATTGTTTGGGATCTTTTTGAAGCGACCGTGAGTTATTTTGTTTCTGTTGAGACGAAAAATCATACTCTGGAGGAATTATCGGAGATTTTTGAAAGTCCGGATCCTGTCAAGGCTTCAAAACAGAAGCCTCTGGCTGCAGGTCCGTGAGATTATCACACATTCGGCGGCACGAAGATCTTTGTTTGGGGTTAATGGAGGTTTTTTTGCGAAAGTGAATTCGGGCACTGTGTAATTTTCGGTGAATAAATAGCAGAAAATCTTCTGATGCCGCAGGATATATATGTGGAATTTGTCGACGTTTAAACTTCGAACTTGAGTTTCCCAGGGCCAGAATCACCAATACTTGAATTCTCAAAAACATCTAAATAAATGCTATTGTGTGGCCTAAACGCGGTCGGTCTTCATGTGCCTGAGGGTGCGGTAAGAAATGGCTTAGTGCCACTTTAGCATCATGATCACGCAGCCACGGGTAAGAAGTATAAGTATGCAATAGACAATACAAGAAGCAGGATACGACAAGGTACTAATTCTCACCCTCAGTCATAGAGCCGCCCTATACACAATATTTGCAGAACAGTAGTGTAAAATTACCACAATTAGTATTCTATAACCCTGAAACACCCAGTGATGATAAGAGAAGAAGTAGAAATTGAGACTAGTTAAGAAGAAGAAGAAGCAGGCTACACGAAGTTGCCGGTAAGGCAACCAGACGGAATTAGATAGGGTCGTCGTTTTCTCAGGAGTCTTGACTGACGAAAACGCCGCAGTCTCCAGGTATTGGTGGTATCCAACTTGTCCGCGTTCGCCGGGTTGAGAAAGCCAGCGATTAACGAATTCCAGGGGATCCACTCCAGTGTCTTAATGAAGGCGGACGAAGTCAGCAAAGCGTTTGATGCGAGCGTAATTATCATGGTAAAAGAATGCGAGTTTGAAACGTTGGTAGACATCGGCTGAGTTTTCGGCAATTTCGAAGAGGCATTTGAGATTTTCATCAGTTGTGGTAGAGATCAAATGCATCAGCATCTGGGAGTAGTTATCCCATTCTTCAATGAGTGTCGGATCCGGATGAGCAATAACCGCAAGGGAAGTGGGAGTGGCAGGTGCTGTGACAACGGGAGCAGGCTTTGAGTACCTACCAACAAGGACCCGATAAAGCTTCGGATCACGAGCTTCGAGGGCGCAGTAGATGCAGCTATTCCAACTGACCCAAGTCTCGGGACCGGTCAGGGTGGGGATAAGCTCGCTCGGGTTTGGGTCGCTGGAGCCAGAGCGCGACATGGCGGTGATGACAGTGACGCCCACAATGGTGGCCGTCCTGGGGGTAGTGGGGTTGTTGATGGTTGGATATTGCTACTGATAGGTGCTGAGTAGAAAAATGGGACGAAAGTGGTGGAATACCCGCGGAGAAGGAGACCGGGGAAGATAAAAAAGAGAGCGAAACTGTCCATAGAAACGGAAGGCACGGCGGGCTGAATGCCTAAGGCCAGGGGTGTCCAACATTGGAAGACACCCATACCTCGACAACTGTATATAAAGAATATTTATTTTGATTGAGTCAGTCATAAGATGCGGGGTGAAGATGACAGTATCGTCGTTATAAGAACGGGAATCGATCGTTTCCATCATATCGTATATTAGGTATCGGTGCAAGTGGTAGCTAGAGTACAAACCTCGGCATCGTACCTCAGTGAATGACCCTATCTCACCTGAGAAACATCATGAAGTATGGATGATGGACTGGAAGATGTGTGGTGCATATACCCCTGTATTTCAAAGCACAGCATCATCAGGGCGGAAAATTTTCAATTATTTCAATGAAGCGGCTTTTTCCATTATTTGACATCACCTGGAGGGGGAATTACAACTTGAATGTATTCCACGAAAGGACAGCATCACTTTAGGTACACAAGGAGGACAAATTGGAAGATAGCACAGCTCTGCAGAGGTTGATCATCGCGCACATCAATCACACTTCTCAGACTACACCCAACTACTTCCCACCACCACCAAGAACCCCCTTCACACCCTCAACACCGCCAGAAACACCACTCCCAATCGACCCAATCAAGCCACCCCCATTACCCCCAGTCTGCGTTCCCTGACCACCCAAAAACTCCCCCCTCTCATCCTTCCCACCCCGTTCAGTCCGATTAATCCCCTCCTTCGAAACAAACTGACCAACCGGGCTCAAAAGACCCTTATCCCCAATCTGGTTTCCAACCAGATTCGACGTATCATCTTGAACCTGGTCGACTTGATCGATGCCGGTGACTTTCGTCTTGGATAGTGAATCTATTCATAGTAGGGCACGGTAGTTAGCAGGTGTCGGAAGAAAAATGAGATCTTCCAACTTGAATTCCACAAACGTAACATACCCTTAGTCGCGTAGGAAGCTTTATTATCGCCCTTCCCGAACCACCGCAGATATTGATCTTCTATCCATGGCATCCAGGATTCGTATTGCGAGTTGTATGCATTTTGGGCCCAGGCTTTATAGGATTGCTTCTCCTCTTGCTCCGCAGGGCTCGGTTGATTTATACCCGTCCCATCTCCCTGCTCCGACGGGAGGTGTTGTTTCACACTATCCTGGACGTTCATGGTGTTCGATTTGAAGTTCGATTTTGGTTGAAGTTGGTTTGAGGTTGAAGTTGTGCGTATTCAAGATTGAATCTCAATATACTAGATCTCGGTGCACGACTAAGTCCTTGGAGCTCACTGGAGATGGAACTTGAAATAATGATAACCGTGTTTTTCTGGCAAATGATTCAAGACTTTCTTCTGAGATTATATCTATCCTCCGGTCTTGTTATAAGTTCCAGAAACAGGAATTACGCAATGTGGTCCGATTTGAGTTTGCTTATATTAAACCGCATACAATGACGTCAATCGCCAGCAAATCGCCAGTCGAGACGATAGCCCCGGAGATCCAACCAAGGTACTAGCCAATCAAGACATAGTTAACACTGTGAATATGGAAAATTCCGAATGATCAGTGCACAGGCAATTGTACTACCAGTATAGGTAATGGTCCAGCACTGGTCAGGTGGTGTATCCGTGTGCTGACTCGGTCTTCTACTAGGTGTATTGGTCGCTGCCTGACTAGGGCAATGGTCCGATGAGGCTTGCGATGGACGGTTCGATGGGGTTTCAGCGCCTATGAATAGACAGTAACTAGTACGATTGGCTAGATAGAGACTGTTCGGATGGATAAGGTGTATGCATAAGATATTTACAAGTCCATTTCACCTCTATCTACTCTATAAAAGAGGGAGATCCAAATCGACCTCGACCTCCCAAGCAAACTTGAAGTCATCCAGCAAAGCCCTTCAAATACTAGCCCGTCTAGGCGCCATAGTCCGCTGCAACTTCCTCTTCTCCTCCGTCTCCTCATGAATAGGCAACGACCCCTCATTCCTAAGCCTATCCAAAAACTCCTTCCCATACGCATAACCGAGCTGATAAATCTCATCGAATTTGCCAAAATCGAGCGTGCCGTACGGATCAATCGGCGGCCTCATATAAAGGCAGCCAGAGGTATTCTTCGCGCGCTCGAGATTCTCAATACTCGAGACATAAGCGAGACGGGCCTGGATCTCGGAAAGTGTCGGCGGGTTCGGTAAGCCAGAGAATGGATTCCAGCGATTGAGAATCGACCAGAATCCGCTTAATGAGTCGCCGTAGCCTTGGGGTGTGTTGTCGTCTATTGAACCGACGTCCACGGCGAAAATTACGTCTGCGCCGAGAGATTTCATGTGGGCTACTGTTAGATTGTCGATGTAGCCTCCGTCCAGTAGCATGCTTCCTTCGTCGCAGATGGGTGGGATGAGACCGGCCAATGACATGGATGCCCGGACGTAGCGCCAGACATAGCCGGAGGAATGGTATTCGGCCCTTGAGCGGGAGATGTTTGTTGTGTTGCAGTAGAATTCGAGCCAGAAGTCTTCTATTTGGCTGTCGCCGAATGTTTTGAAGATTCCCCGATTAAATTCGTGGCCTGTTGTGTATGATACGGTTGGATATGTGAGATCCAATGCAAATCGCCACATACTGCCCATTCGGCCAGAGAACTTCTTCGCACGGCCGTACATTGGGACGACATCTGCGTCGCGGGCGTAGAGGGCCCCGATGAATGAGCCGATTGATGTGCCTCCAATGATGTCGATCGGGATACCGGCTTCTTCGAGGGCTTTGATCACGCCGACTTGGGAGATACCGCGAGCTCCACCGCCGCCGAGGACCAGGCCGACAGATTTGCCGCAGAGACGACGGGCGAGACGGTGGAAGTCGCCTTTGAATGGCGTTTGGGGCGAGTATAGTGGTGTTTGGTTAATGCGGCGTGAAGTGTATTTTTGGATCTCTGCCTGCAGGATCTGAACTCGTTGCTTGAGGACGGTACCGAATTTCTTGGCTTGGGGGTGTGAGGGCTCGTTGGAGAGCCGGAATGCCATTTGGATATGATGATGCCCGCCATTAATCCAGACTCGGTTCTTGAGCCATCGCCGGGTTAGTCCAGGAGGGCAGTAGCGCTCCACGTGGAGGAGGACCAGCTCCTTGCGGGCAGTGGTCTTCATGCCGAGGAGGAATCGCTCATATTCGCCGATTTTAGGAGATGACTCGGCGAGACCAACCAGGAGGATGGAATCTGCTTGTGAGATACAAGTTTGTGTCCAGGGCGCGTTGACATTGGTATCGGCGATGTATAGCACCAGTCCATATTTCTCCTCTAAGTCAGCGAGGTATTGTGATAACTTGAGCTTTCCCATCTTGCTGAAAGCGTGCCGACCCAGGTGCTTTAGAATAGCAGCTTGGTTCAACGAAGTGACGCCTCGGGTCACACCAATCTGGTGCAGTGCGTGGAGCAGACGTTGTCCGAACTCGACAACAGGAGTCCCCACTGTAACTGGGACAATCGCAACGGTCCGGAGATTCATGGTGGAGGTAGCCGTCTGCACGCCGCTGGCCTGGCCTTGTTCAAGACCCTTTTCGGACAGGGGATGCTCGACCAAGTCCCGCATGCGCTGGGCGATGAGTTTTGAAACTTGGATCGTGATTCCGGGATGCTCTTGCGCCAGGCTGTTGAACAGAGAGCGTGGGAACTTGGCCAGCTCTGTCTCTCTGATTGCATGTAGAGTGGCAGGTCGAGTAGATTCGGTCATGACCTCCAGCTCGCCAACACTTTCTCCCTGGCCGTATTCCCCGATGACAGTCATCTTGCCATTCTGGCCTTCGAGAACGGATCTCAGTCGTCCATTCAGGACAAGGTAAATTGCATCGCTCTCGTCGCCTTGATGATAAATGACTTGTCCGGCGCCAACTTGTACCCACTCAAGTGCGAAGTCGATATGAAGAAGCAGACGGGGAAGTAGGCTAGTTATCCTCTTAGCTAGGGTCAACAGAGCAATGGGGTAGCGGTCTGAAATCCGCTCGAGAGACGCCCTTGGAAGAAATCCGACGTAGACATCGGTCTTGGCAACAACATCGGTATAGGAGCGGTAGGATGCGAGCGCACCGACATAGCCATGCATACCGCCTGGTTTGATCAAGTACAGCGATTTGCGAGATTGACACTTGCGACGCGAGTCACTAGTCCCCGTCGCACCAGAGGCGCGTGAGGAACCAGTAGTAGTACGTCTCAGCTTCGGGAATAGCTCTTCCTGGGCTGACGAGGCTGAAGGACGCGAAGATCCTACAAGATCATCACCTCGTTCATTCACGGGAATGCCCACATCCAGGAAGCCATCAATGACATAGTATAGGCCCGGAGGGCGCTCACCCTGTTCCACCAACACAGATCCCTGGGGGAAGTATACGACTTCGATATCATGGCGCAGCTCTTCACGCAGGTTGACAACGGGTGATGTTCCGCCTGCACTTGTCACCGACATGGACATCATAGACTCGGTCTCGCCATCTCCAGAGCCCTCGTAGGGGTCGATGAAGCCAAAGGCATTGGAGAAGACAGCCTTTTGTCGGCGAGAATCATAAGACAGTAGCCTGGGAGAAGCGTCACCTGAGACATGACTACCTTTCCGTAGGGCATCCCGTGTACTTTCAGTCAAACCAATACCCTTCATCATGCAGTCCAGGATAGATTCACGGAAGATAGTGTCCTCATCAATCGAGTCCTTCCGCTGGAACGGGGAAGGTCTGCCATCAATTCCTGCTGGTCGGAATGGCGCACGCTCACGCTCGGCCACGGGGGTTCCGTAGCGTGGACCCATGAGCTCATGGCGAGGACCGAATCGAGAGAGTTGAATGGTGGACAGTAAGTCGCCAGGGCTTACACCCGTACTGTCTCCGTTATAACTGCTTGACTGGCGGGTCGGCAAGGCGGGCCGTTGATCGCTGGTCATGCGGGACTGCAGCACAGCATCCTTCCTAAGTGAGCTGCTTGAGCGTCGTCTACGTCCAGCGAAGGGGTTATGGAGCGCGATTCCTTTCACCACCTCCTCTGGGCCAAGGCGATCCCTTTCGCGCATGAACTTGTCTTTCAGTCGGTCGAGCGCACCACCTCTGAGATCATTCGGGAGATCCCAGGTCGTGTACTTTGCTATTTGCCGTTCGACGCTGAGGACTTCGGTCGTCAACCCGAGATACGAGTGGGCGGTAGCAAATGTGACTCGCTGGAGACGGGTGAGAATCACTTGTACGATATGTGCGGTGGCGCGTGGGTAGACCCGAGTCAGACGGCGGAACGCACTGGCTGGGATGATAGCGATAGTGGTGTCTACAGTCGCTCTGGCGACGATATCTGGGTGAACTGATTTGCGGCGTCGCCTTGGGGGTGGTTGTGGTGTGCGGTTGGGAGTATGATTCCTATCGTCCAAATGTAAAGGCGGCACAGGAGCGAAAGGCTCTGGGTGGCCATCCATGATGGTTGTGTCGCTTAAGTCATCTCTTACGGCGGAGTGTGGGCTATCCATCATTTCGACGCGTGGACTCACCGGCATGGAATCCGGGGCGCGAGGATTTCCACGACCGCTGACGCTTGACGCGCTGGAGCTGGAGCTGCGCGATTTGTGCAATTGGATATCCTCGGTGAACAATTGCAAGATGGAGAATAGAGAGGACATGGAGGCGCCATTCTTCACTTCTGTGAGCAGCTGGTAGCCCTGTCGGCCATTGGTATTGTTGTCCTCGTCATCGGAGCTGTCATCGTCCAAGTGCAAGTTTTCTTCCGACCCGTTTTTGTTCTCGCGGGTGGACTTGACGAAGATCTGCACGAGGCCGTCCACCACCAAACAAAAGCCCTTTTCCTCTTCCAACATAAGTGTTTCGCCGGCGATCAGCTTCCTTGTCTGCATTGTCCGAGTCAATTCGTGAAAGACGGGCCGTTCGAGGTAGCCGAACACCTTGATGGCGCTGAGGAATTCATCGAGGTAGTTGGCCAGGCCGGGTTTGGAGTCGCCTTCTTGGATGTCGGGGAAGAGGTCGATCTGGGCTTCTTTGCGTTGGGGCTCGGGAGGTAAACGGCTGTACATGTTGAGGAAGCGGTATCGAATGAACCAGCTCACAGTGGAGACGATGGCGAGGAAGATCAGCATGAGGGTGGTGAAATTCATGGTGAAGGTTAGGCTCATGGAGAAGAGGGTGAAGAGCCAAGTGGGCAGGGAGATGGTCGTGAAGGTGATCAACCAATACAGGCCGCGGGGAACGACCTGAAAGGTGAAGGTGAAGAACCAACCGAGCCACCCGGCCATTGTGGAAGGAGATGGAGGGGGGGAAGGGGGTGGTGGGGGTGTATGAGGCCGAAGTGGTGGTGGTGCTGATGGAAGTTAGGCTGAGGGCCAGCGATGGCGCTAGCCCAGTCAAGGACAGCGTCATGGCGCTTCCCTGTTCCCTGTCGCTGTCTTCAGGCCTAGTCCAGTGCCAGATCCAGAGCCAGTGGGCCCCGCTCTTAGTTCAGGGCACCGGAAGTCAAAATCAAGGTCATCGGAAACGTGCGGGCCCTGACAGCGATGGGTGGAGGAGAGAAGAGGAGAAGAGGAGGTTGTCGAAGGTCAGTGCAACTCGGTCAGCTGACTACAACAAGTAAAAGTAGTCCCCTGAGGTAAAGTAGAATAAAAGAAAATAATGATAATGATAATGATCATTCTAATTAAAATGGTAATAAATATTTATTACTACAGCCACTACTCCTGCACAGCCGTTGTACTAGTACAACCTGCATTAAGCTATCTATAATCTCCATACAGCCATACTACTACAAGGAGATAGAAAAAAATCAAAGTAAACAAAATCGATACTCTCACTCTTTCTGTCGCTGAGCTTTTGAATATATGAGGAATCTTAACTTCCAAGTTGGTTATTGGTGGAGATCTAGGCTAACGGTAATACTGCCCCTTGGGAACCTGGTCCCTGTTGAGCTAGCATAAGACTGGGATTTTACATATTATCACTGCCGATTATTCGGAAATGGCAGTATCGTTGAGCATTATCATCAATCTCATTCTCGGCAGTTGATTGATCCTCACTCATCCTGACAAGTAACCCTTTAACATCATATATGTACTAAAGTAGAATTGAATGGAGTCGTGGGACTCGGGGAAATTAGCAAAATTTGATGGTCTGCCACCTGGGCAGTTGGTACATAACCCTGTAGTATCTAGTGCCCAAGTAACTATCTGCACGCACACATTTAACATGCACTCATGACTGCACAGCAACCGACAAACCAATCCCTCCCACCCGGGTCAACCCTCCGGCCTTTGGACAAAAAAAACATATCCCTTGTACAACCTTGGAACGTATTCCAATATTCAAGTTTGAAATATCATTCTGATCTCTTCTCCGGTTCCGGAAGTAGCCACCAGGCTCCCCCCCATGCAAATAAAGAGCCCGATGCAGATCGGATGTAATACAAATGTGCCAGCGCGTTGCGCAATCATCCCGGTCATGAACGGAGCTATAGCACCACCGGAACTTCCGACAGATCCAATGAGCGACAGCGACGAGATTAACATTTTGCGAGGTATGAGACGTTGGAAAATATGCGTCGCACACGGATAGACAGGACCCAGGAGTAAACCGGAAAAGGCCACGGCGACCGAGTTACCTACTATTGATGGCACAAACCAAATGAGAAGTTCGAGAACCAAAGCCTGCCGAGATATTAGCGATATGGGTTATAGGAGAAAAATGAGAGGATCATGATGGAATACTAGTACTAGTATCAACATACTCCAGCAGTGACGATAAATATAAATAGCCGTTCCCCAACTCGATGGCCTACAAATGATAGCGTGAAGCGACCTATTTCAAAATAAGTGGTGATCAGTTCCTCGGACCCTGCAAACTTACCAAGTGTTATGCCACCCCAGAAGCCAGCTGTGACGAATCCAACTTTACTTGGATCACCGTGGCGGAATTGTACGAGGAAGGAGATAACCCAGCCAGAGATCGCAACCTCGGCACCTTGATACGCAAAAATAAAGCATGCGCCTAGAATTGTTGGCCTGTTTGAGACGAGTACCTTGAAAGATTGCCATTTTCTTTGACTAAACCGACGAGTTGCCGACTCATGATGACCATCATTAAACTGGTCATCAGTCGCTGATGAAAAATCTGAACCTGATTTAAGTTCGTAGTTCCAAAAGGCCCAGGCGCAGAAGACGAGATTGAACGCCGCAAGTCCTAATTCAATAACGTAGAATCGCGACCATAACCTTCCTGAGGATATGAATGTGGTCGCAACCAAAGGACCACTGATGCCACCGATTCCATATGAGCCCTGGTAGGCCCCGAGAACTCCTGTATTGCTTGCTAAATTTGAGCAGAAGACTTGGCCGATCGCAAGATTTATCGCCGCACCAACGCCGAGAAAGAAGAATCTGGACTCGAAATTAGCGACACTGTAAATATGAGGAGGAGACTTTCTCACGATGCAGCCACGGCAGGAAACGGCGGGGTGATAACAATGACCGCGTATCCCAGAATCAACAAGGCTTCAGCGATAATCAAAACTTTCGCACTTCCGGTTTTCTGAGACAAAGTGCCGATGAAGAACGCAGCCGCGATAAAACCGAGTGCATTACATACAAAAATAACAGAGACGGTGCCATAGTCGATATTATAGTCTCTATGTAATATTTAGTAGTATCACAGGCGTCAACGATCTGATCATCATACTTTTCAATGCTAGCAATTAGTGCTCCAGGGGCAGAGTCGCTCATTCCACCTGCAAATGCAGTGGAGCAAGCTGCTAGCAATCTGAATCTGTTCTTATATGGGTTCCAAACACTTTGGGTTTGTTCTGAAGGTCGGTCGGGTGTTGGGAAACTAATAGTTTCATCATTGGGTGAACACTTGTCTTCGTTAGGCTGTATAACGTCAGACTGTATATCGTCGCCCCTGGTATCCAGGATTTGAACTTCGTTAGACCCAGTATGCATTTCAAGGTCTACTGTGGGGTTAGGAATGCGTGGTTGGTTGGAGAGAGGAAAGGAAACCTCGTCGGGCTGGATTGTTGAGAACATGACATAAGGTAGAAGAACTTTGAGAATCCCAATGCCTTTCTCTATCATTACCTGTCAGAAAAGGGCACTCGTGTAATTCCTCATCGATGCACAGGGCGGGGAAACGAAACTAAACTCAACGTGGTTACCCCGCAACGAGTCGTCTCAGCTGGCCTGTCAAAAAGTACACTTATAATAGACAGAAGAATAAAGGTAGACGGAATAGAAGATAGGTAGAGCATTTTCTTTGGTGGTATAGAGAGAGCTGATATAAGTGAAACCTGAACAACCCTACAACTTGAAGGCGCAGAAAGCAGAAAATCATCCCGAGGTCCATCACGGTCGAAACACATTGTAAGTCCCAGTGGTCCAAGGAAGGTGGAATTAGAGATTCCACAACATATTTTCAATACTCCCCGGCTAATTCCCTGATTCCTTCTTCAATTATCCGCTTTGGCGCCCAGACGATCCATTCAAAATCTTGAGAAAGCGCAGCCTCCGGGCCATCATCATACACCATGACTTCTTTGAAAGGGAGTCTGCCAGGATGAAGTGGTGTAGTTAGTACTTCACCCCGGAGGATACGAATCATAAACGTTTGGATTGAGAGTAGGAATTGCACAGCATCTGGGGAGGTAGTCGTCACATGGGAGCCAGATATAGCTACGCGTGGGGGTGCCCCGAGCTCCGTGTGTTGACCTGCCAATCGAGTGTTTTCCTGTTGAACAAATTCCAAAACTTTGTTCAAACTCCTCCACCAAGTCATTAAATGACTTCTCTCCTCAAAGAGAATTGGTGCCCGGATCGTCTTTTCCACTTCGCACTTTTTCGTGTCCGTAGAAGAAGCCTCATAGAAGCTGTCCCCAACGCAAATTAGATGAGAATCTTTATCGTACCAGGTAAGAGAGTCAGGAGTGTGCCCCGGTGTGTGAATTATTGTAATCCCAGTGGGTATTTTCACAGTCGTGCTAGGGGAGTATACGACATCCTGGTAATCGGACGCCCACATTCCGATAGAGTAATATGGGCACTCTATAGCGCCGAATTTTTCAGCAAGCGAGTGACAACATATACGCTTCCAAGGACTAAGATGATTCGTGCTGTGTGCTGAGGAAAGGACTGTAGTTTGCGGCCCTTTTCTCTGGTCAACGTTCCGGTGTTGCGGGTCCGAGTCGGTAGGTGGTAGCAGACCAAGACCCAGAATATGGTCGAAATGACAGTGGGTGGTGATAACAAGGTATGGTAGCCGGCCACCCGGATTGATCGTTTGTCTGAGTGTTGTATAGATATTCCAATGCATAGGTGTTTCAGGGTCTCCTGAGACACCATAATCGGGATTCTTGATAGACGTTGCGCAACCAGCATCACTGAGAACTATAACCGAATTTTTGGAGCTGCCGCAGTCATTAGCTTCAATTTTTCTCTCTTTTTCTTTCGACTTTGGAGGCAGCAGCATACCCATCACTGTTTCGAGCTGAGCATATCTTTGCGAAGATGTTTGGGAATTGGCGGTAGCTGTCGTGCTCTCGGAAAACATAGATTGATTCATTCAAACGTCTCACGTGGAATGGGCACGATGCTGGAACATCGAGATTATATTCGGGCATTGCGAAGATCGAGAAGGGTAGGGGTGCGTAGTGGTGAAGAGAGAGGGGCTGAGAAGGGAGTACGGACTACTAACTACATGACTAACAATTTCAATGTTTGGAGAGTAAATTCATGCCTCAGGCATCAGCGTATCCCATATCGCCGTTCTTCCCTACTGCCCGGCTTCCTTTTCATGATATCTACTAATATATGGACAGTACGTTATTGTTCTTCTTTTCACCGGACATACTTGAAGAACCTCATCTTGTTTATTCTTGTTGGATAAAGACGCAACTGGGGAATTCCAGCAATTCCTACTTCAAGGGGGCGAGGCCTGAATCTGGCCGGATTTAGGACCGCATAATCAACTTCTAACTACTACTACTACTTGAATGCTTATTTTCGTCGAGATGTATGGGGCATATGTACTTATAAGACAGTGCACTACCTGATCCTTTGAGTGTTGTTAATTCCCGATATCCTTCAAGGACAATATAAACATGTTCTCTGTCTCCATCTGACAATTTAAAACCACATAGCTTAACTTGTCTCTTCCGTACGCTCCTCATGGTGATGACTGTCCGATCCCTTCTGTTCAACAATCTCCATGAAGGTCACTGTCGGTTTCCAGCCAACGGAATTGCGCGCACTACTGACTTCAGAGTACAGCTCATCCACTTGCTCTAGAGTAAGTCCCTTGGTCTCGTAGATCATGAAGTAAACGAAACCAATACAGAGGAAGCAGCATCCGAACCAAATGAAGAAAATCTTTGACTGCAGATTGGCATTCCCGGGGCCGTAGTTTACTAGGTACGGGGTAGAATAGGCGATAGCCCAGTTCAATAACCAATTCGTGGCGGTGGTTATGGAAAGTGATTTGGCTCGAACCTTCAAAGGGAAGATTTCGCCAGTAACAACCCTATATTCTCAGGTTAGCTATTGTTCGTGGCAAATGAATTATGACTTGCTTACCAAGCGATAGGTCCCCATGATGCAGCAAAGAAGAAAATAAAAATACAGATGAAGGCAATTGCGCCTTTCTGTGCCGCATCGTTGAGCACAATAATGTTGCCAGCGGCATCCTGGGTGGTGGTCGTTGTTCCAAGTACAGCGACGAGCAGCTGCGAAACACACATGCCAATGGCACCTAATAGCAGAACTGGTCGTCGGCCCCATTTATCAATAGCGTAAAGACCAGGGACAGTTGAAACCACGTTGACACAGTTGGTAATCAAGCTGATGACGAACTCGTTCTTGAATCCGGAGTTCTTGAAGAACTGTGTGCCGTAGTAGAAGATGAAATTAATGCCAGTCAGCTGCTGCAGAGCTTGAAGACCGCAACCGGTGAGCAACCGCTTTCCAAGATTGCCTTTAAAACATTCGAGATAACTGGCCTGGCCTAGTCTCATCTCGTATTTATGGTTGGCTTGGATCTCAGCAAGCTCCTCTCTAATTTCAGGATGATCCTCCGGGAGACGGCGAAGTTTTGCAAGATTCTTAACGGCCCTTTCATAGTTGTCCTTTTTAATCAAGTAGCGAGGGGTCTCGGGAAGAATTAGCATTCCGATGATCAAGACGATAGCCCAAGCAAACTGGATTGCAATCGGGATACGGTAGGATCCTGTATCATTCCGTCCGTGAGTCGAATTATTGACCACGGAAGCCAGCAGCAGACCAATGGTAATGGCCAGCTGGTAAGAGCCGACAATGAATCCTCGAATCCATTTCGGTGCGGTCTCGGACTGGTATAGCGGAACTGTAAAATTAATACCAGTCAGTGAAAAGCGATTCGCGAGAAGGCGTAAACAACATACTCAATGCCGAAATCAAGCCAACGCCAAATCCAGCAAAGAATCTACCTGCCAGAAACAGCGGAATTCCGGTAGCAATTGTCTGTAATATGACACCAAAAATAAAAACCCAGCTAGACGCAATTAAACCCCACCGACGACCGATAGAGTCTCCCAGAGGAGCGGCGCCGAGAGAACCAAAAAATGTTCCGGCCGAGAGAATGGATACTATGGCAGACGACTGGCTAGAAGTAATATTGAGATGGCCGGTAGCATCCCGATAGCCTGTAGAGAAAAGATCCTGCCAGTAAGGCATGGCAAGAATGCCACTGATGGTGCCTGTATCATATCTTGGTGAAGATACAAGTCAGATGTAATCAATAACCGTGGTAGTTTGAGAAGCTTACCCAAACAAAACACCACCAAAGGCGACGAAGCCCGAGATGGCAATGGCTGGCCATGATGCGCCAGCCGTACTCTGAGGGTTCTTGAGTAAAATACCCATGGAGTCAGTGGAAGAGTAGAGTAAGTTGGAAAATTGTAGAACACAAAGTGGATGAAGGTGAAAAAGCAGGACTCCGAGGGGAGGCGTATCTGCGTCTTATACTTCCCGATTAAGTGAGAGCGATACATTAACATCGAACAAACGAACAAATGTATGAGCAGCTAAGATTATTTTTTCGGACCGGGCGTCAGCATTAGCGCCAATGGCGAAGAAGTCAGACTAAACGATTATGTTGTATATCTGCGAGATATCGCCGAACACGACCATCGGGCGTTCAATCGGTCCTGAAAGAGTTTCTGTATGGGAGTCCGAGCCAAGTCGGACCAGCCACCGGACCAGCCACGTCCTACTCAGTACAACCGAACGTGAAAGGTAGAACATTCTAAGACACAACTGGCTAACCCCGGGGCTTTCCATCCACAGCTAGTTCCAGGGTCCAAAAGTATAGAAATGTGGAGATGCGGGGTGGTGGATCCAATCGACGCCAGCTAATCGTCTGGAGTGCCATAAGCACTGAATCAGCGAGAAGTTTGAGAGAACGACCACATGATTGTTCCAGACCGAGTGGTGCAAAGTACGAGATCACGACCTTGAGCGCATCGGGTTGCCGGTGAAAAGCTCTGCGTATTGTTAAGGCCAAGCGGCCTCGGGTATCCGGGTTGCCGCAACCCGCACCCTTTGTCACTAACTAGTAGTTAGTAGGAGCTCCCCTCCTCCACATCCATATATCAACATGTTTTCCTCCTATCTCATCTCCCTATTGCCAGTCATCTCTACTCGTCACGTATTATGCGTGACTCGGGTATATATTGGAGGTGAAGCCCCTTAGCTTCACACAAGCCTCCACGTTAACAAACGCGGGGTTTTTGACGCTTAGAAAGATCACCCGAAGCTGTCCCGAGATATGCCCGTACTTAGCGAATATCTAGCAGTTCGATTGGAACGATCAAGTACCTAGTACCGATTAATAATCGAGTTATTTCGATGACAAGATGCAACGTTAACACCCGTCGAGATATACATGGTTATGCAGAGAAGGCGTGAGAATCCACAAAGTATCTTTTCCAGTGTAGATGACGAGAACTAGCCCCTTTTGAGTCGTACGCTCCGAAGAAACTCCTGATTCCCAGGGCTCCGAGATTAATCCTTTTGACATGTCAGTATCATCCCCGCCATTCGACATTTTTTGGGTATTTGGATTTGAGTTTCTCCGAAGAAGGCCCAGAGCGACGGCCTCCGTGCGTCACGTAGCTGAACCTCCGCTCGATGTACCAAGATGTTGACGACCTCCAACGCATGAACAAACATCGATTTTCTCCAGGTGTGTTCCCCGTGGGGAATGGGGAATCTGGAGAATATTCGGTGCCTGGGGCCTGGAGCGATAGGCTCATATAAACATACCCGTGTCGTCCTGCAATCTTCGGTGTTTATATTCAATCCATAGTGAATCCTCAGCTGCTGCACAATGATTTCTCTCCCCATCGCCCTTGGGGTCGGTCTTTTGGCGACCATCGCAAATGCATTCACTTACGACCAGCCCTACCGTGGCCAATACCATTTCTCGCCCAAGGAACATTGGATGAATGACCCCAATGGACTCTTATATTATGATGGGACCTACCATTTGTTCTTTCAGTACAACCCCGGAGGTATTCAGTGGGGTAACATGTCCTGGGGCCACGCCACCAGCAAGGATCTCACCCACTGGGAGGAGCAGTCCATTGCCCTCCTCGCTCGGGGATATGGTGGCAACGTCACCGAGATGTACTTCAGTGGAAGCGCGGTCGTTGATGTGGATAACACCAGTGGCTTTGGAAAAGATGGCAAGGTCCCTATGGTTGCCATGTACACTTCGAACGTAAGTGCATCATATCAGAAAATGATTAACTAGAGTGGGAGTGGAAAAATTACTGATTCACTTTCTCTTTACAGTACCCTATTGCGCAGACCCTGCCAAGTGGAAAGTACATTCAGGAGAATCAACAGGCCCAGTCCATTGCCTACAGTCTTGACCATGGTATGACCTGGACCACGTACGATGCCGCCAACCCAGTAATCTATCAACCTCCAGCCCCATACCAGGATCAGTACCAAAACTTCCGTGATCCCTTCGTGTTCTGGCATGAAGAGTCCCAAAAATGGGTCGTCGTGACTACTCTGGCCGCATTACACAAGCTCGCAATTTACACTTCTGACAACCTCAAGGACTGGAAGCTGGCGAGTGAATTCGGTCCTTACAACGCGCAAGGCGGCGTTTGGGAGTGTCCTGGACTTTTCCAGCTTCCCCTCGATGGAGGGAAATCTACGAAATGGGTCATCACGAGCGGAATTAACCCCGGCGGTCCCCGGGCACTGTTGGTTCTGGAACCCAGTACTTCGTGGGCGAATTTGACGGGATCACCTTCACGCCTGACGACTATAGTGTGTATCCCGGAAATGCCACTGCCAACTGGATGGACTGGGGCCCAGACTACTATGCGTCGGCTGGCTATAATGGCCTCGCTGCTGACGACTACGTCCAAATCGGATGGATGAACAATTGGCAGTATGGAACGAACATTCCCACCAGCCCCTGGCGCAGCTCTATGTCTATTCCTCGACACCTGTCCCTCAAGACCATCGGTGCTAAAGCCCTTCTCATTCAGCAGCCTCAGGAAGCCTGGTCCTCTATTGTGAAGAAGCATCCAGCCTACTCACACTCATACAACAGTATCCCACAAGGCTCCGTTAAAGTGGGCACTACTGGAGAGACGATAAAGCTCGACTTGAGCTTCTCTGCTGCTTCGACGGCTTCAAAGTTTGCCATTGCCGTTCGAGCCTCCGCAGACTTCACCGAGCAGACGCTTGTCGGCTACGACTTTGTTAATAAGGAGGTCTTCATTGATCGCACCAAGTCTGGAGATGTGTCATTTGACACGACTTTCGCGAGCGTCTACCGCGGGCCCCTCACGCCTAATAATAATGGCATGGTCAAACTGACCGTCTTCGTTGATCGGTCTAGTGTGGAAGTCTTCGGCGGTCAGGGTGAGACTACCTTGACGGCTCAAATATTTCCAAGCAGCGACGCGCTTCACGCCCGGCTGGTATCAACTGGTGGAGCTACTAAAAGGGTTGATCTCAAAGTCTATAATGTCGCCTCGACTTGGATCTAGTAGCACTGAGATTTTGGGACATCGTAATTTGTCAAAAGGAACCTATGATATACTTCGAAAGTTGAGATTGATACTTAGTCAGAAATGACAATAAACCTCTCTGATTGCTATCCCCATTGATTACCACAGTGACAAGAAGAAAATAACCCACTTTTCCAAGATTTGTGTAGGCATCGAACGCGAACGCGATCGTGCTGAGTCTCACAACAAAGGTACCACCTACTAGCTCCGGGAGATCAGGCGATCGGAAGGTTTAAGCGTGTCGAACAGACTTCCATCAGTCATCATCTGTCTTATCTTTTAAATGGTCGGCTTTCATTGCTTGCTCGATTCTATTTGTTGGCGGCTTCGCTGCCTTCAAGGTTCACCTGTTATCAGCATGCTGCAGATCAACTTCAAAGCCATGTATGTTGCAGATGGAACCGCTACGATTGCGATGAAGAGTATGATATGAACGCCTTGATGCTAGAGTATATCGTGCATTTTGTCCAAATGAAGGCCTGCACCCCATTCTGTCTTCTATGCATCTTTAAGGTTGCTCGTAGACCCAAGCATTTGTTCCCTCCGTAGCACAGTTTTGCGTCCCTCCTTTGTATTAGCAACACAGAGCCAATATACCGTGCATTCCCGAGAAATTGAGTAGAGAATTCACTGTAATAAATAAGGCATCGATTCGCTTTATCAAGGGTGGATATTGGTTTTCTAATTCGAATATCAACTAATCTGTAAATTTGTTGGAATCTGTGGAGCTTTGTTTTGTCATCTTTCGTATTCAGTAATTTGATTTTAATAGACGGTAGAGCTATCTCATTCATGAATGTCCCCTAGGCCCACAGCTGTTCCGACATAAGGGGAATGATTCTGTTTAGTAATCAAGACCGACCCATCGATCCGTCAGCGGTAAAATGATTACAATCGCATTCCAAAGTACACAACACGATTATATCGAGCAGAAATTTGATTAATAATCTGGTATATATCAAGGCCCTACCAAGTTTAGCTATAGAGCTCCAGATCACTTGGCTGAATGCATCAAGCTCCGAACCTTGGAATTCAGAGAAACATACGAAGCGTTGGTTTCATGAAAATGCTGTCGGCATTAACTATGCCACATGCAGTAACACCCTCAGTAATTATGTTTCAGCACCACCTGGGCACAAATGGTTGCATAGACATCTCCTTCTTGGGGGCAGACTTCAATCATCTCATTTCACCGCCTATTATTCATGGTGTTGTCTATTGTAATTACAATATTGTCGATAGTTGTGTCTTCCGCTAATTTTAGAAACAACCAGAACAACCCTTATAGAAGTTGAATTATCCTGTACACACTGACGAACATAGAGCTGGTCTCCTAATACTTCTATTAAACTACACTGCTTTCATTCAGGTATGATTCTGTGTCACATGTGCTTAAATAGCCGCGCATCTGTCTACGGGGAACTTGTTTGAGGTTTGGATGTTTTCACCTCCGGCTGAGAACTGAAAGGTTTGCCCAGGTGTTTCAAGGCAAACCTGTAACGTTTCATGGTAGTGACAGATCTTTGTGGGTGTCAATCCAGCACTAGGTTTAGGAGTTTAACATAAATGCTTGAGTGCATATTGGATTAACAGAACAATGCTGTCAGAACCAGGTATCGCAGAACCCTAATACTAGCTTCTGGACCGAAGCGTAAACAGTGTCTGAAGCGGACGTTGAGAAGCCATTGGAGTGATCTACCAAGGTGGAACCACCAAGTCTTGATACCGCATTCAACTGGTCGATATCATTCGGCATGATCAATAATCACTCCTCAAGTCAGGTTTTGGCCTTGGCCGCCTGTCGTTGGAAAGCTGGAGAACGGAAAGGTGGAGAACAGAAAAGCAAATAAGAAAGCCCATCAATATGATTGATCTATCAATCCCACCGGAGAGGGCTTCTCTCCATATATACCAGGAGATGCAACTTTCTCAGCTGCGGTCTAACTGTACGATGGCATTATACATCCCCTGGTATCGTGTGACACGTGTTGTCCAAACGTCTTTGGCAATCGCCTTTTTTTTACTTCAGCGTACAGTTTGTCAACCTCCTAAATTTACTACTGAAATTGAGATAATTCTTAGTTTTAACAGTGCTGTGCAACTTATCATTCACCATTCCCACGTTGTATACTTTTGGTGTTGCAATTTGGACCTCCAGTCTTGCAGCCCCTTACCTTGCTCTGGCCCCAGTTCACTTTCCTCAATTTGAGCGTCAATTTGCGATTCCGACAGTCGAGGTCCTTTCAACATCTCTTTGGCTGACAGTGCTTCTTTTGCAAGCCTATGCTCTCTCGTCGCCAGCCAAATATAATTCAAACGACCTAGTTTCAACTCAGTGCTTTATTACATTGGCAACGATCGAATGGTATGTGCGGGAAGATAGTATCATGATCGATGTCAATTCACTTTCCAACTTGATTCATTTGCTTGAACATTAATTACTTACATAATGGTATTTAGCGCACTATTCTTTCTTACGACTTATAACTCACTCGTCGTTGCTGTACGGAGAAATTATATCGTTGATTACTTCGCCATCTCACCATACTATTAAATCCTGGCGTGATCAGATATTATCGAGCTCCGTTGTCTTTGATGCAATTCAACTTAGTTGCCGTTCAGCGTCGGCACACTGGAGCTGCTTTGGGCAAGATCATGGATGCATGAAAGATAATCACTTCATTGAAACTCATACGAAGATCTATGGAGGCCAATATTCCGTGTCCAGTGCGAGGTCTGTATGGGATAATTGAAGAGAGACTACCTGCGTCATGATGCAAATCGATATGGTCTCAATTTCCGTAACAATAATGAATATAAATTAATTCTGTTGGTACGTAAGCACATATGACTAGCTAGTATCGCTCACCCAGCTCAGTAATTTGAAGAGTAGCTAAAGCCCTCCAATTTGAATAACCCACAGGCTCAGTGGACCATTCAGAGGTTATTGTTATGCATTGACATGAGCCCCCGACATACAATCCCCACTCAGGTATATTTTCACACTTAGCACTTCGATTTTTAACTGACAGCCTTGGCTGTATTTAGCCCCACTGGCTGTGAATATATACAACTTCTGATAAAAAGGCTATTTCTGGCTCTAATTGATCGCATGTTACTTGAAATACACGCACAAGAAGTATTTGGGTCCCGGCATCATCGGTATAGGGGTTCAAATTTAGTGATTATTAAACATTTTCGCTTACCCAGGATGATTAATAAGTCCATCACTGCCTCCTTAATGGACTATACCTTCAGCGGCCTGCTATGAACGTCTGGGTGAGTTGGTGTCATTCAAATTTTAATCTTCATCCCAGTTGCATGGAAAAATTGTGAACGCGACGAGTCGGCAAAGAGGACGTCCTCGGACAAATGCGAATATAGAAGAATCCCAAGATGTCAGTAGGACTCCATTACCGAATTTACGCAGTACTTATTTCATTTAGCGACGCCGCAAGCAGTTGCGTTCTGCGCAGCAGACGTATCGCAAGCGGAAAGATAAAACCATCGATACACTGCGTAGTCGTGTGTACCAGCTGGAAGATGGCGTTGAGCAGATCGGCCACTCATTTCTAGCTTTCAGCAGTCTCCTCTTGAAAATGGACATCGCGAAACGTGACTCTCGTGTCACGTTGAGCCTCCGAGAACTAGTTCAGCAATGCCTGGCACTTGCCAAGACATGTGACGAGCTCGAGGAACGTGCTCACCTCAACCCTGCTCTCACCAAGAACGCTATGGGAAGAAATTCTATGCAAAGTGACGACTGCGTGAAAGCCCTGGAGATTGATGGAAACACTGCTACGCGACACCAGAGCCCTATGAAACAGTCCAAAACACAATTACTAAATGAACAACAATCGTTATCACCATTTCAATCAACGTGTTCATTCAACACGGCTATGGCGACCACCATCTCTCACTCTTACGCTGCAATACCCTGTTCACCCGACCCTATGCCAAGCTCGTTACTCACAAGCATAGGGAACGGAGAAATCTAGAACATTTTCACACTTTCTAATTAGAGTGTGCTGTCAAAGTGGATACCAACTGCTTGTCAACGCTCCAAACAACAGGAAGGTTCAAGAAATCTTTGGAACTTTCCTCTCTTCAACGGAGCGAAACGCCTTCATTTCAGCTTTTTGTCAAGGACTTCAAGATCAAAACGGCGACTTGGTTAATCAAATGGCTACCGTTTTGGCCCCTCTACAGTTGAGAGGAAGTAACTATACTTCCGAAGAACTCACAGCGTTCTATGCAGGGTCGAACTCTGCGGCTATGATGCAGCTGGATGGATTGATGGATGCCAATGATGTGCAGGACATGCTCTTTAAGAGGGGATTCTACATCAAAGAATTTGCTCCGTCGTTATCTAGGTCGAGCCTCAACTCGACGCTCGACGTAGCTACTTTTGCCGAATGTGAGTTGCTTGTTACACGAAATACTTGGAAATTTACTAATATTGGGATGAACGATAAAGTACTCGCCATTCGATGTATCTGTATTGGATCTGGGCCTGTGTTTAAAAGGCGGAACGTTGAGAGATCATTGCGCCTCGCAATGTGTGATGATCCCATCCAAGTTGTCTCCGATTCTTTTCTGCCGGATCTCGATGGTATTTGACTTCGGTATCAGTGGTTATCGTGTCCATTTGTCCGGGGATGTACCGGCTACGTCAGAACTCACGAGCCTGGGTCAGCTTTTTTTAGATAACCGACCGTATTGGATGACGATTCTATGGCGTTTTCTGCTCAAGCTTCTAAAATGCGAACAGTAATTTCGCCATCGGTTCAATTTGTCACATAGCAACTCGATGAGGTGATCTCATACAAGCCCAATATGTTTTTCATTCTGTTCGTTTTTTAAAATTTTGTGCTGTGAAAATGGAACTTGAAGAGCTGAACATTAGCTATCTGGACAGCACTAGTACTGTATCTCTATAATTTCAACCCAATCTATACTACTAGTAGCCACTTAAACACTGCAGTGCCAAACGATTATCAACAACCTGGGCATTCGGACCTGGGCAAAAGCCAAATAAGGGCAATCTGGAGAACCGAAAAGATATAGAGAATGTTATTCCCCGCTTAATCCTCGGCCTTTTTCGTAGCCTTAGTACGAAGCTTCATCATGAGGAACACGAGCCCATAGATGCCGACAACAAACACAACGACAATCCCCACATTTCTCCATCCGTAGTATTCTTCTTTCAAGTTTAGCGTACGGAGGTAATCCCCACCGGTAGTATACTGGCAAACGCGGCATCCGAGAGTATCATCTGGGTTCAAAAGATTCGTACCTATTCCCATGCCACGTTGGTAAGCGTTGAGATATTCACCACAAGTTTGGTTAGGAGCCGGATCAAACACAGCTAGCTCCTCGGCCTTGCAGTGCACGGGCTTATCCCAAGTGGTGAACACCAATAGGGAACTCATGAGGTAGTTGAAGGGGTCGAGGTAGTACATCCTAAAAAAAGGGCGTCAGAATCTGCTTAACTGCATCACCGAGGGCCATGCCTTACCAGTATCGCCAAAATGTCACAATTTGGCTATATGGAATCATCACGCCGCAGAAAGAGACGAGAGTGGTGATTACTAGCGGGTTGACCAGAGACGCAAACACGGCATTTGGCGTGTAGGCGGCAATCATCTGTCCAATGGCGGTGTAAAGACACTCGTACATTACCTGGGATTTTGTTAGCTGTTGCACGCAAAGAATAACGAGAGGTTAATGGGCGGGCTTACTGCAACGAAAAAGACGCTGCCGGCGTGCTCAGCAGAAGTGGGAAGGCCACTGGTAAAATACCAGCAAACATAATACAGCAGCGCACACACAATCAAGTAAGGAAACTCCGAAACAATAAGACCTGTCACGAAGGGAGCCCAGTGGTACATCTTGCTTTTCTTCTCTCGCGCCTCGAAAATGTCTCGGCGGTCAATAAAGAGCGGCTGCAGTTGAGAGATAACACCCGGCGCAACAAAGATGAAGTTGAACACAGTGAAGAGATTCTGCTGCAGATCCGTAAGTGAGTCTCCGATCTTCCAAAAGGTAAACCCGTTCAGTAGCGCTAGGCTGATATGCATCGCAAATTTGTTATTGAGATATTCGGTGTTCCGGAAAAGAGAGACATTCATGCGATGTGTGACAAGCTTGATTTGCGTCCAGAGCGAAGTGGCAAATTCGTGCGGATCGGTGTTTGCTGCTGTAGGTCGAGTTGCAGCTTCGGCGACCATGGTATCCAGTTCATTGGAGAGGTTGTCGTGCTCTGGGGAGTCTAACCAGACCTGGTTCCAATCAAGACTGTCCTTTGCCGACACCACATCAATGATGTATTCAGCCGGATTGACTTCAGATGGGCAAATTGCGCCATGGCGACTAAAGTATTCCTTGACGGTGTTTGCGTTTAGGCCAATATCCCCAAAGTATACAGTTTTTCCGCCAGCCGCCAGCAATAAAAGTTTATCAAATTGCGCAAATAAGAGTGCCGATGGTTGATGGATTGTGACGAGGATGGCCTGGCCTGCTTCTGCAAGTTTGCGAAGGAAGCGAACAGTATTATACGCAGCTTGGCCATCAAGCCCTGATGTAGGCTCATCAAGGAAGATTAGGATACTCGGCTTCGCCACAAGTTCAACACCAATTGTGAGACGCTTCCGTTGCTCCACTGAAAGACCAGCACCTGGTCTACCAATGAGGGTATGTTCCAGGTCGTTGAGTTCCAGAAGATCAACAATGGTATCGACGTATCGCAACTTTACTTCGGTGGGTGTGTCGCGAGGCTGGCGCAATAGTGCTGAGAATTCGAGAGCCTCACGCACAGTCGCATATGGCTCGTGGATATCAAGTTGTTCAACGTAACCAGCTGAACGTTGGAATGAAATGGGGAGCGGACGCCCATCCACTAAGACAGATCCGTGAATAGTGCCCGATGTTTTGCGTTGCGCGAGGACGTCCAGCAGGGTTGTCTTGCCAGCACCAGAGGAACCCATTAAAGCCCCAAGCATACCAGGTTTGACAAAACCTTGAACGTTATCCAGAAGGACGCGGTCACCATCGGGCGTTTTGACAGAATAGGTGAGGTTTTTCCAGGTGAATATGCTCTTGTTGCGGAGAAGGTCATTTCCGAGGCTGGCTCCCGGCTCATCAGACCCGGTGCTCACAGATTTCTCCGTGGGTTGCGCTTCCTCATCTTTGGGTTTCAAGAGATGATTTGATCTGTTCTGTAGCTCTCGCGGGATCAAGAGCTTGCGGCCTCCTTCACCAAGTAGCTTCCACCTGGAGGTAAAGAATATGGTCAGTGCGACAAAAAGCACCCACCAGGCACAGTTAATTCCAAAATTACGCCATATATGGCTGTGGCTAAATGACATGGCTGCGAGATATTCATCACCAGTCAAGCTCGTTGCACCAGGCATCGCACCGACTACACCGGCACAGGATTGCCCCCCTTCACCCATGTAGCCAGGACCGGTAGGAATAAGGTTAGGGCCGTAACACTGAATGACCTGATCATGGAATTCATTTCCAAGAAGAGCTTCAAATCCGTAGGCCATGGGATTTATCCAAAATATCCATACAAACCATGGATGCATCACAGGCTTGATAATCATATATCCCATATAGACAAAAAGCGCTACAATGGAAAGACCTGAGACTTTGGTAGCAGCGTCAAAGGTGGGGAATGCGGCACCAATCAGGCGAAATAAGGCTGTCATAGACAAAGCAGTCATGAAGTTGGTGACCAAATAGGTGAAGAATGCCGCCGCTGTGGCCTTGAGGCCGACCATGAAATAGAGGACGAGGCCAAAATGCGTAACCTGAATCAAGAGGATGGGAACGTCGGCAGCAATCTGGGCGATGCAGATGGCCGCTGGATGATACAATGCGAAAGCACGGTGCTTGGCGAGAATAGGTCGGCCTGTGAACGAGTCGGTAACTTCCGATAGGGCAAGGAGGGCATTGTACAGAATGGAGAAGAACAGGGCGCCGCCCTTGAGGAAAAGACCGACAGAATTATCCGGCGCTGAATAGAAGAGAGAACCGCCAAGGAGTGCCTGAATCACTGTGGCGCCTTGCTTCATGAGGAGAGTAGCCTTGTCACCCCACAACAACTGATACTGCCGGATTACAGCAGCGATGACTTGAGTGACGAAGCTGGTAGTGACGGGAGACTTATCGGACACGCCCCTGTGCTTCTCACGAGAAACCATTTCTCTAAATATGGTTGTGTTGTCGGCCGCTTCTCTGCTTGTAGGGTAACTCTGGGACTCCTCCAACATCCTGGGCTTGATTTGGGACTCTTCGTATGCAGCACGGATCTCGTTCGCAGTGTGTGGGAATTTGGCTTCATACCCAGGGGCAATTACGCGCTCAGTGGGAACTGTCACACCTGTCAAGAAATCACCCCGGTTGGAACCCGGATCCAGCATGAAACCTAGACCTTCCATAAAGGGAACAGCATCTTTTTGAGGCCCGTAGAATATTTGCTTTCCCTCATCGAGAAGCAGAACCTTATCGAAATGGTCGTAGATGCCGTTTCCTGCCTGATAGAGGGTGACGATTGTACTGAGCCCGAGGATATCGGTCATCACCCTGATTGCCTTGATCCATTCAAGTGCTGTACTGGCGTCAAGGCCTCTGGTCGAATTATCCCAGCAAAAGACGCTGGCACGCGTTGTGAGACACTCCAGAATTGAAACACGTTTTCTCTCTCCTCCCGACACACCCCGAATGAAGGCATCACCGACCTTTGTCCGTGCGGTATGAGAGATTCCAACTGAGCGCAGAAGGAAATCCTTATAGGACTGGGTGTATTCTTCATGACTCGCGATTCCTGGTGGCAGCTTATAGGGGGCCTTCATGCGAGCAGCAAAGTCAATCGTATCCTCAACGCTCAGGGTTGGAAAAAAGATCTCTTCCTCGGTGTTCATGACGATCTGGCCACGATACTGCTTGGCTTCGAGAGCAGACATGTTGCCATAGCTGACCTCTCCGGCGACTTCTTCGTAGCCGAGGCGGTTGTTTGAGAGCACGTTCAGGAGCGTAGTGCAACCCGCCCCAGGTCGCCCTAGAACGAGCAACATCTCCCCTGGCTTAACGCATCCGAACGAATTGTCAATGATGGTATTGGATTTGCTGCCTTTGTCACTCCGATGGAAATTGAAAAGCTGCGAGATGACGTTCTCATTGAACGTGGCATCGCCACCAACACCTGTGACTGTGAGATTGTCCCAGGCGACACCGAGCATTTTGGGCTTCTCTCCACTGGCTTCATCTCGTTCCTGGATCTGGCGCAATTCGGAAGCCATATGCCATGTCTTTTGAGCACGATAGACTGATGTATCTGCCATATCCTTCTTGGCATCCGGTGTTTTTAGACTGTCGTCGGAAATTGTGGACTCTGCATCCATGCTTGATGCACCAGAGGCCATATTGGGAGCAGTCGAAAGTCGTAAAGGTGTGGGTGTTGTGAATTATTCTGAAAGGCAATAAGTTGCGGGAGATAAGTCAATGTATATCAATTTGTGAACATAGTAACCGAAGTGGTTGGGAAAGACAGCATCTTACGTGCTAAATTCATTCCTGGCCGAGAGAATTCATTAGCGAGCCAAGACAAGCTTTTATGTTTGTTGTATAATCAAATTTCGGCCAATCACTCAACAACTCACCTCCTTCGGCGTGATTACCTACTTTGTTGTCTCATCTGGATGAGGAGGTATGTTCGGACGGAGCGATTATTAAACATTCGAGGCTCTAATTTGGCTAACTAAATAAAGTTAAAATGCGAGTACTATCAGTGGGGCTTTATTGCTAGAATAACGGAGTTGGGTGGATTTAAGTTTATTAATCAATCATACTAGTTAATTTCTGCCACGAAAGGCTGTTACCATCTTGTGGCCCAGATCGCTGAATAGTTTCTTACCCGAAAGAAAGAGTCCTATTGAATAAAATGTTTCCAGAATGTCTACAGATCCCTGTCTTGAAGTCAAGATAGCCATGCGAATCGACAAGGCAAAAAATCCAATGCGACGTGCCTGCGATTCGGGTTATAAAGGAAAGCTGAGCTACTTTGGAGAGCGGGAAAATGGGAGTTCTGCGTTTCATTTTCTATGCTTGACTTCCAGGGTTCTCTTTAAACCTTAATACATTAGAGCCCGGTACACCTACAGTATATTTACAAACTCTTCCTCCGATGATTCCTCTTTCAGCCGGGATTGGGTAGGTTATAACCCCTACATTCCCCGTCACAGAGGTTGTGATTTGTTTCTGTCGAGGCAAAAATACCACCGTACAGCGACCAAACTGTGCGTGCGCACTTTTTGGTCGAATGGCATGTTTTGACCCATTTTTCTGTCGCGACTGTTTCTTTGTCCCGAGACAACCCAATGTAAGAAAATTCAGTGGACTGTAAGTACCCTAAAACAATACCTAGATCTACCTTGTCATAACAGTGCTCTGTAGAAGGCCAGCCGTACAACTGATGATTCGATGTTCCCTACTCAAGGGCACCACAGTCAAAATCACGTTGCGATTCATAACTAGCAAACAAAGATTCGGCTGTAGTGGATAAGAATGTCAGGAAGCTTGGAAGATATAGTTTCGAATATGAACTAGCCAATTAGTCTGTAATTATTATCTAACACCAACTTGGAACGTCATCATTTGCGAAGGCCAATTTGTCATTCTAATTTCACGGATGCTTGACCCTTGTCAAAGATAGACTTCCGGATTTTCTCTTGGTCAAGCCCGACCGTCTTTTTCACGGTGCTGTCGAATACCTTTCTCCACCCGATAGCATTCAAGAACCAAACCAATACAGCATTGCTGCCTTTCCACAAATGCTCGCCTTGTCCGTATCTAGGGCTCTTCACCACTACTTCCTCGACAATTTGTTTGGCGAAATCTTCTGGCTTCTGACTGTTTTTGAAATGGTTTCGACTTCGTTCTTTGGTTCTCTGTTCAGCATCGATGTATATGCTCTCCGGGGCCGAAGGAGATATTGTCAGACGACATGAGGTTGGTGGCGACTTCGCCCATGAACACCGTAACCACTTTAATACCGAGCGGATCAAGCTCAATCCTGAGAGTGTCGCTGTAGGTAGCCACAGCTGCCTTGGATGCATTATACGCTGCCGAAAAGGCGAACGGGAGGCGTGACAGTACTGACGACGTATTAATAATGACGGGTGGTGTTTGCGTATTCGAAGCGGAGGCTAGAAGAAGAGGAGTAAAGGTTGAAACCATATCAAACAGGCCGAAGACATTGGCATCAAACATGGCACGTGTGCGAGTAGGATCGGCTTCGATTGCCGGTGCTTCATACACTGTTCAAACAAAGAATCCGGTCAGAAGGTGAAGACTATATAACCTTGGAAACAAGTGGCAAAGTGTCAAAAGACCATGGGTAATCAACAACTTGTTAGACGTACTTGTGCCAGCATTGTTGAACAGCATATCCAATTTGCCGCCAGTCCGCCTCACAATTTCGTCCCTGAGTGTTGCGATACTTGCCGAATCCGTCACGTCGAGGGCAAAGGTCTCAATTCCCTTATCCTCTAAAGTAGACAGGGATCCAGTGGATCGCGCAGTTGCGAAGACGCGCATACCGTGGGCTGCAAATTCAAGAGCAAGAGCGTATCCCACTCCCCCGAGTGAGCACCTACTCAACGTAATGTTTATCAGCTAAGTCAATTATCTAAAAGAGGTGCAAAGTGATTTCTATTCAGGTTTACATACCCAGTGATAAGAATCGAGCGTTTTGGTGAAGTCATTCTGCCTAGATATGGGGTCGAATAATAAGTGAGGCCGAGGATATTAAAGTCAAGTCTGTATTATCAGACGTGGACCTATATATATGGAACGGAACATGAAAAAGAATACTTCTGTCCCGTGGGAGGGCAATTATCAATTTAATCTTCGAGGCACTGCGACCGGTCGGAATGTGAAAGTAATCGATCACCACCAACTCATTGACATTTGGATCATCGGCAAACTTCCCTGAGTTTTGATCGGCCTCGATTAGTGATCCTCCCGCAAAAGGGATTGCTGCGTGAGGTTAGATAACTAGTCAACTAGTTAGTTAACGTAATCCACGGCCGAGCTGCGCACCCCAGACACCATACTAATTACGATATTTCAGATTATGATATTTCAACCCACAAGGGTTTATATAAGTTAATGGGATATTCAAGTATTAAATATGTCATATTACGTATATTTATCAGGTCAAAACTATTTTCAGGTTCTGTAATATTAGTATATAAATATGCATCACCTTGTCGGCGTGTATTTCAGTAATATATGTAAATAACAATGTAATCTATTTATTGATGAATCCATACTAGTTAATGTATTACCAGTAACTATCCTACCAAAAATCAAGCAATATTGTATTCTTGTTGTTGATATATAGCGACCTGAAATATCGCGTTTACTATGGTGTTTAGGGGTGTTCGGGACGGCTGGGTGTTCGAGACGGCCGGGAATTACGTTAGTTAACGTAATTCCCGCCCGACCGGGTCAACCCATCTAAAATCGCGTCTTCCTACCAATCTACCTAATTCAACCACCTACCATGCCACCAAAACGCACTGAATCCTCGCAGAAGTCGGCTCATCAAGAGGGCAAGATCTTATTAGCCCTTGACGATATTCAAAATGGCCGTATCAAATCTCTACGCACGGCAGCCAAGCTATACGAAATACCCTTCTCTATACTGCAAGCGCGTGCCGATGGTCAAACCTCACGCGTTGATAAACGCCCAACTGGTCATAAACTGACCCAATTAGAAGATTATTCGCTTACTGAATGGATACTCTCTATAGATGTACGTGGAGCAGCGCCTAGGCCTGCTACTGTAAGAGAGATAGCTAATACCCTACTGGCTGCGCGGAGTAACCAACCTCCGCCTACTGTTGGCAAGAATTGGCCATCAAAATTAGTTCAACGTCGTGATGAGCTTCATACACGCTACTCAGTACGATACGATTACCAACGTACATTAAACGAAGACCCAAAAGCCCTACGAGCCTGGTTTACGACTGTACAAAGTGTGATTAACAAGAACAGAATACAAGCAGAGGATATCTATAACTTTGATAAGACAGGCTTTGCAATAGGCCTTATATCCTTGCAGAAGGTAGTAACTCAAGCAGAATACTACAGTCAGAGACGTCTTCTACAGCCAGGAAATCGTGAATGGGTTACTGCTATTAAAGTAATCTGTGCCGATGGTTATTCGCTACCGCCGTATATAATTTTTAAGGGTAAAGTGGCTATGGCAGATTGGTTTAAAAACCTACCACAAAACTGGCGATTTGAGGTCTCTGATAACGGCTGGACTACCAACATAATTGGCCTATGTTGGCTACAAAAGCTTTTTATCCCATCAACGAATTCGTATATATACAGCTAATTTCGCCTACTGATTCTTAACGGCTATAGTAGCCATCTTTCGCCCTAATTCAACCAAATTTATACAGCAAACGATATTATACCTCTTTGTATACCTTTGCATACATTATATCTACTATAACCACTAGATATTGGCTGCTTTATAGTTATTAAGAGAGCATATAGCCGTTTTGTCAGCGATCTTGTACGTAGGGGATATAACCATATTAATAAGTACGATTTTTTAGAGAACTATTAACATATACAGCTAGAGGCTTTCCAAAAGCCAGCTATTATTCAGAATAGCTTTACAGCTAGTGGCCTAGTACCGGTCGACATAGAAAGAGTACTTTTAAAGCTTAATATCTCTCTACGAACTCTGTTACCACTAAACAGCCAGCCAAGCAGCAGATCAAGCTAATCTACACCAAAAACACCTAGAACTATCGTTCAGCTACAAAAGTAAGTTTCAATACTTAAGGATCTATTACACCGGCGGTCAAATAGCCCTCTGAACCCATCAAAAACTATATTTAATCAGATTATTAAGGGCCACTGTGAAGCGCTACACAATACTGCATTGCTTGTACAGGAGAACGCGAATCTATGTATGACGAACGAGAAGATAGTTAAGAAATGTAATCGGTCAACTAGGCAGATACCCTGCGAAGAGGGATTAACTGTTGAAGAGGGCCTACAGCTACTTATGCAGCTAGATTTGCTAGCAGAAGAAGCTGTGGTAGATTCGCATACGCAGGGTGAACTGCCTAGTCATGCAGATAGGCGGGCAACTAGGGCTCCGCCTAGGTGTAGTGGGTGTAGGGAGATTGGCCACAAGATTAATAAATGTAAAAATCGCTATATCTAGTTGAATTAATGGGTGTTGGCTGCGATAATCGATTTTGAACTTCTATAATGGGGTTAGGTGACCCGGTCGGGAGGGTGACCTGGTCGGGCGGGAATTACGTTAGTTATTTTGTTCTCGATTAGTCAACCATCCGTTGGATGATCGAGCAGTAACTATATTCTTTCACTACCGAGTGGATCAGCTCGCCCTACCTACTAGATTTGAATGCTTTTCTTTATCCACACGCCATTAAACTGATGAAGTTAAAATCGACGACTATCTGGATATGCATTTCTATTACGGCCTTCGATTCCACATGCCCCACACTTCGGTAAGGCGATCTCGATCTTGGCTGACGAGGTATTAGTGCTATCGTTACTTTCTGGACGCAGATTAATATGGAGACTTCTAAGTCTAAGAGGCCTTTTCGAAGATATTTAAACTGTAGAACCCGTCTTTTTTTTTTTTTTCTCGTGCTTTCTTCTTTCGTCTTAGAAATGGTTCAACTTGAAGTTATTCAACTCTTATGTATCTCGATTACAGTACTACTACTACCCTACCGCTCACCTAATAACGTGGAACACTCCCTGCCCGCCACCTCCCAAACACCATAGTTAAGGCAATAAATTACAACTCAATATCTCAACAACACTTACTTTGTAATAGGATTCTGGATAACATAGCATTATTTATAATATTACTTCCAGGGTTATATGCTTCGATATCCTTAATTTAAAAATTTACTGTTAAAATATATATTTATGATATATTGAGCAAATATGCACTGTAATTTTTGGTATTATACATGATTAATAACTTAAATGATCACAAAAAATAATATGTTATTACGTCACTTGAGATTAACCGCTATGTCAAATTTAAATCGAATAAAGGTGTTGTTGTTGAGATAATTTTATTTCTTAACTATGGTGTTTGGGGGGTGGCGGGCTGGGGGGATGGCGAGCAGGGGGCATTCCACGTTATATAACGCCCACCTGGGCACCTACTACTAATATAAACACCTGGGCAACTTCAAATTTAATGATCTTTCACTGCTCAAATCTCACTTTTTTCTCGAGCATAGCTGGATATATACCAAAATATACCAAACTATACACACTTCGTATGTTTCTTTGTGGCAGCTGACTTTCCTCTCCGCCTCCGCCTCCGCCTCCGCTCCGCTCGACCACGGCATTTCCGAGTGTACAACTACAACTTGAACTTCCTCAGCTCTACCCACCCACCTTCACACAACAACTGCTGCCCAGGTGATTCCCGGTGGCCCTGGATACCTGTCGCGGCGATGTTTCAGGTCTGTTGGCCCTTTGACCCTCTCATTTCATCCCGCTACCCTAGTCGTCAGCCTCACCACGACGCAAACACACCGGCATAAGCTAACAAACCCAGCGCCTCCGCGACGCCATCGACTCTCGCATCGCCGAGGAACAAGCTCGCCAAAAAACCGCTCAGGATAACCTTGCCCGGTCCTCCTCCACCCGTCGCGGCAATCCCAATAACCTCTCCCCCGGCGGCCAGCGATCCCGCCCAAGACGACACTCTGGCACTCCCGTCCGCGGTCCTGACCCCAAAGAATTCGAGGGCGAATTTACCATCGGCGATGATGAATCCTCTACCCGTTCGGCTACTCCACGTCTAGATACTCCCGATGCCGCATCCGAAGTAATCACTCCCGCCGACGGCGAAGGCGATGGCGATGGCAGCCGCGCTGAGGAAGCTGGAGGTGACGCCGATGCCGAAGGCGGAGCCGGAGCTGAAGCCAAGGATGGCGATTCGAAGGGAGACAACAAAGCGACAACCGAGAAGTCTGAAAAGTCAGCCAAAGATGACCCCACCGAGACGGAAAAGCAAGTCTCGGCTGAACTGCCCGCCGAAGTTAAGGGCAAGCTGAGGAGACTCGACAAGTTGGAATCGCGATACCATGGTACGTCCGCCGCGGGGGAAGATGGCTTCCGTTACAATTACGATTGCCATCGCATGCATAATCTAACCACCTATATTCGATTTACCGTACAGAACTCCTCAAAGCCTACCGAACCGCCCACTCGCGTGTCCTATCGATTGAACCTTTCGAAGCCGCCCTTCGCGAAAATACTCCTCTCACCTCGATCGGCGAACCCAAAGCTTTGACCGAGTATCTGAACCAGATGTCACTCAAGAGCGACATGGTCGTGGAGGAACTCAAGCGCGTGACCGAGGACCGGGAAGACTACAAGAAAAAGCTCGAGGAAGCGCAGAAATCGGCCAAGGACGCATGGGACGAGGTTGCGGGGCTGAAAAAGGAGAATGAGGCAAAGCCCGCCCAGAGCTCCAAGGACGAAAAGAAGAAGCAAAGGGAGAAGCAGGTCACCCCCGACGAAGAGAAGGAGACTAGCGAGGAGTTCTTCTCATTCGATAACGAGGTGCCCCGTCTCGAGGGCGAGCTCAAGGAGCGAGAGGAGGAGATTGAGACGCTCAAGACCGAGGTTGAATCGTTGAAAAAGGACATTTCTGTTACGCGCGAGTCGACAGAAGGTATGGTTCAAAATTTGGAGACTTCTGCTCGGGAATTGGTCGAATTGCGCGATACCAAGGATAGCTTGGATGCGGAGATTCAGGACTTGAAGACCTCGAAGGTGAAGGATGTCGACGAGTTGAAAGAGAAGTTGGTATCGGCTGAGACGACGATTGGAAAGGTTACTGCCGAAGCTGAGCAGCTCAGGACCGATCTCAAAGAGAAGACTGATCAGATCGAGAAGTTGCATGCCCAGGTCGCTGAATCTGGTAACTCGAAGAAGTCCGAAGCCGATGCTGAAATTGCCTCGCAACTCGAACAGGCCAAGAAGGACAAGGATGCCAGTGAGAAGAAGCTCAATGTTGTTCAAGGTCTGGTGGATAACCTCCGATCACAGTTGAAGGACACCGAGGCAAGCGTTTCGGATCTGAAGAAGGAAGTCAACGAGAAGTCTGAGAGCTCTGCTCAACTCCAAAAGGTCGTCACTTTCGTCGATGATAATTTTAAGGGCAACGCTGCTTGGAAGACTGCCAGGGAGAACGTTACTGCTGGTCGCAATGCTGACTTTGAGGAGGTTCGTAAGAGCCTTGCTCCAGTCGTGCAGGCGCCGGAGCCCAGTGTCGGCAGCCCCGCCGAGGAAGAGACCCAGCCTGCTCCAGCAGCAACAGCTGCTGGAGGCGGTGGTGGAAAGAAGAAGAATAAAAAGAAGAAGAAGGGCGGCAAGGCGGCTGAGGAACCGGCGAAGCCTGCTGATACTACTCCTAAGGAGAAGCCAGCTCAAACGGAGACAGCCCCAGCGGAGACAGTTCCCTCCGCCGAGTTGGACCAGCTTAAGCAGAAGATTGAGTCATTGACGCATCTTCTTGAGGAGAAGGAGGCGGCCATCGACCGTCTCAGTTCGAAGCTAAAGGGCGAGGAGGATCTGAAGGAGGAGATCGAGAGCCTTCGCGATGATCTGGTCAACCTCGGCCAGGAGCATGTCGAGTCTAAGGACAAGATCAAAGAGCTTACTGCTGAGAAAAACGCACTGGAGGAAACCATTGGCAAATTGGAGAAGGAGTTGATCGAACTCCGCACCAGCAATGAGTCTAGCACAGCCGACTCTCACAAGATGCACACAAGCCTCAAGGAGGAATACGAAACTCTCAAGGTTCGCGCCGCAACCCTGGAGACCGACCTTTCAGCCGCCCAACAACTGGCGGCAACCCGTTTCAAGGATCTTACCGATCTGCGTGAAACTATTCAAAAGATCCAGCCCGAATTGCGTGACTTACGCGCGGAATCTTCCGAGCTGAAGAACCTGAAAGAAACCCTATCCAACAAGAATACCGAGTTAATTGCCCTTGAAGCCAAGCACGAGGACCTACGTGCGGAGGTGCGCAACTCGAAGACCAAGATCACAGAGCGAGACAACGAAGTCAAAACTCTGAACAAGAAGATCCGACAGGAGACCGATAGTCGTCTGAAGGCTGAAGAAAATCTCACCGTCGCTCAGTCAGACCTACGCTCGGCCGAAACCAAGAAGCAAGAGGCCATCAAAGCCAAGGAGAAAACCACCGGAGAACTCACCAAATCCCAAGATGGCCTCAAGGGCTCTCGCACTAAAATCCGCGAGTTGGACGAACAACTAGGACAAGTGACGAAAGAACTTGAAGGCCTGCGCGAAGAGATTTCTCTCAAAACCGCCCAACACTCCAGCGCGCAGTCTTTGATGAACAGCATGCGCGACCAGACAACCGAAATGGCAATGCAAATGAAAGAAGCACGTGAGAAGTGCGACAGTCTCGAAGAAGAGCTAGCAGACGCCCACCGCCTCCTCAACGAGCGAACCCGCGAAGGCGAAACGATGCGCCGCCTTCTCAGCGAAATCGAAGGCCGAGCCGAGACCAAGGTCCGAGACTTTAAAGAGCGAATGGAAGCCGCCGTCGAAGAGCGCGACCGCGCCGAAGACGAAGCCAGCACCCAAGGACGTCGTCGGGCGCGCGAGATGGAAGATCTCAAGGCCAGGGTGCGCGATGCTGAGCGCGCGCTACGTACGGCGGAACAGGACAGAGAGGAGCTGGAACAGTCGCAGAAGGACTGGCGACGACGACGCGATGAGCTGGAACTTCTTTCCGAACAATCGACGCAAGAGGCAGAGGAAGTTCGCGCAGCGATGTCCGGATTACGCGAACAGCTAGACGAGAGTGAGAAGCAGGTGCGCGATCTGGAGAAAGAGAAAGCTGAGCTCCGCCGCTCAGTCGAGGAGACGAATAACAGATTGGAGAAACTGCGTCGTTCACACAAGACTCTTGGCGAAGATGTTCGTCTGCGCGGATCCCCATCTGGGAGACAGTCGTCGCGGTCATCGATGGATTCTGGGTCCAGGCGTGGACTTGCGTCGCCGCCTGGGCAGCAGGAGCGAAGTGCTTCGATTCACCGAAGTGAGACGCCTACGGGGACTGGCAATGCTAATGCGAATGCGGCAATCGACTATATGTATCTGAAGAATGTCCTGCTGCAATTTATGGAGCAGAAGGATAAGAATTATCAGAAGCAGCTTGTTCCTGTTTTGGGCATGCTGCTCCATTTCGACCGGTGAGCATACCCCTCCTTACCCCCTGCGATTTTCGCTTCGAACGATATACTGATTGAATCCCATAGAACGGACGAACAAAAGTGGATGTCGGCTATCATGTCTAAATGATCGGTGTTCCTCCTCATGTATCCAATGGACCAGACCACCCAGCACATTCTCCCTGTATAATACTGTGGCTTTATCATTCTTTGTGTAGAGTCAATACCATACCCTTTCTGCACTTCTTCCAACGACTCCGAGTCGAATTGTCTATCTACTTTAATATCCATTTATACTCTACAAACTCTACTAGGCCGTATTCAAACTGGTTCCTGGCTCCCGGCTACCGGTTCCATGCCGATGTCCGCCCTTTGCTTGACATCGGCCCGAAAAAGCCGACTCGGGGGCTCCGAAAAGTGGAGTCTTTCTCGGAGGTCGCCGAGATGTCTCTACAATATGGTGTTTTATAAGGACGAACAAGACATTTTCACCGATTGATTTGTTACTTTTTCTTCGTTATCCAAGTCAAAGCAATCACTCCCAAATAACCTTCACAGATTGAGTTTCAAACATCAATCTCAACCATCCAATCCCACCTTGACCCAGGCCTTCACTACGTGGGTCCTCCATCCCGATTCTCCCCCCCCGCCTTTCGCTGTCAAAAAAAAAGAACCGCCAAATTTCTCCCTCCGCAGACCTCCGCAAATTTCACTTCAGCACATACCACACACCACAACCAGGGCCACTACTACTCCTACCATAATGGCCGAAGCAACAATCCGCCTCGCGACAGTCGAGGGTACCAAACCCCCACCAGTCACCCCCACCATCTAAAAACAAATAGAAATACTAACGAAACCTACCCCAGACGTCCCCAAAATCCTCCAATTCATCCAAGAACTGGCCATCTACGAAAAAGCCCTCCACGAAGTCGAAGCCACAATTGAAAGCCTAACAAACACCCTCTCATTCGCCAACGAACCCCCCAAACGTGGCTCAGTCTACACAGCCCTAATCACTCCTCCCGCCACACCCACCAACACTAACCCGCAACCCGTGGGCATGGCCCTGTACTTCTACAACTACAGCACCTGGCGCAGCGCGCCGGGAATATATCTCGAGGATCTTTACGTGCAACCTGAAGCTAGGGGTAACGGGTATGGATTTAAGTTGCTCAAGTTCCTCGCGCGCCAGGTTGTTGAGATTAAGGGTCGGAGGTTGGAGTGGAGTGTGCTTAAGTGGAATGAGCCTAGTATTAGGTTTTATGAGCAGGTTGGTGCTAAAGGGATGGAGGAGTGGATGAAGATGATGGTTGAGGGGGAGGCGTTGGGGAGGCTTGCTGAGGGGGTTTAGCTGGAAGGAATGAAGGGGGAAAAGGAAGGGAAAGCAGTGTGAACAAAAGGCACAGAAAGGAGGATTGGGGAGAGAATGGGTGTTTATGGTGCGGAAGAGAAAAGTAGAATATCTCATCGCATCCATGGGTATTATTTCCTTTTTACACATTTCTCTGGATTTAGAATCGTATATCGTGTAGTCAATAGACTAGATTGCGGTTGCGCTTTGTGCTTGGATTTGGTTTGTCCAGTAGTACTATTTCAATTAGGGAGGGATAGTGCTTTGTCTCAAAACTGCTCCCCGACTCAACCCCTCTCTCTCAAACAGTAGCACTTGTATTCTGAAACGACCTATTCATTGACAAGGCGTTGGCGTTACCGGAGTTGGCCACAACAACGGAATCTGAATGGCTATACCTACAAAAGAGAGGTTACCACGAGGTTGAGCGAGTCTTTCATCATATTTCAAGGATATGGCATATCAAAGAGATGCATAAATACAATCCATCTGGTTCTGGCCTCGGGGACCACGGATTTGAAGAATGGAAGAGGCTCAAAGAGGCCACGCTTGCATTTCATTGGCTGAACCACAATGATCAAAAGGCATGAAGTTCTGGAGACCGCCGGAATCTTCTAATTTGTATTGCACCTGTAGATACTATTTTAAATATTTTTATTTTCTACTTCGAATGTTCTTCGAACAGACTTTCATTACTGTGAATATCACTGGTGTCCATTGTAAGAATTTCAAGAACTAGCCGAAGAAACACTGCATGCTTGCGTAGGCACCCTCGGCACAGAAATTCAAAGCTCGCACCATCGGAACTATAAACTAGTCAGATTAGGGCATGTGTCACCATCTGGCAGTGCTGACATCAGCAGTACAAATATTTTGCTTTGAAGGGTTGGCTGTGAAACGTCGGACTAGGTTGCACAGGACGGCTGAGTAGTTCTTCTGAGCATGTAGACCTCTAGACTTGTATTCTGATACATTCAACAGTCAGCTATCCTCGGCAGTCGCCAAATGCCAGTAGTAGCCAGATCTATCTCTATGTACATTAGTCTCAGGTACCAAACCTTTGGGACGGAGTACCTTGGTACGCCAGCAGCGAGCGAAATGACATCATCGGAGATAAGTGTGATAACGGGGTAACGATTCTCCGGTCCGGAAACGGAACGCGTCGCACTGAGTCATGTGACTGTAGCGGCGAGCGCGTCAAACTCATGTTCAAGAGTTAGCCAGTTTCAAAGTTCACTTCAAGTAAATTAGAAATTTGTAAAATAAGAGACATATACGACAGAGTAGCCCTATCTACTCAGGAATACTAATTATTCACAGATACATAGATCCACAGGGGATCAACTACTCTCTTTGAATGCTCCCTTTGAGTACTGCCATCTCCCACCGCCCTGTCTTAGATAATTCGCAACTTCTGCTTACAGCATCACCCACCCAACTGCTTACCTCATTCTAGCTTCAACATCTCAAGATCCCCTCTAGATTGCCTACTCTCGGGCTTTATTGGTTGAAATTGGTCGTCCGGTCGCCTGATTTCATATTCTCCTTATATTCCCCCTTTTTTCTCCCAGCTATCCATGCAACCTGCGCTGGCCCCAGCGCCGCATCCCAGTATGCAGTCTGCTCAGGTAAGCAACCACTCTTCGACGCGTTTGTCATCAGATCGTCTCCCGCGCCAAGTACATTTATGTTCGATGGAAGACGCAAGATTGTCGCGATGTTCCTGGATGCTCATCTCGCCGTCGCTCTGACGCGTGGTCGGGTTCCGGGCTGCGTCCCGCCACCTCCGCGCTGTTCATTGCCCCTCTCCCTGACCTTTCCCGCTAACAATCGCGATATAGGACCATGATGATCAAGGTATGTGATCTACATCGCAATGGCAGGGCTATTCTCGTGCTCTTCCACGACATGGGACTATTGATTAGCCTCGCCCCTTTATCCCCGGACATTTCCGGTTCCGGGCGGGCTGGGCATCTTGTGGCAACCCCATGTTGGCAATGACGCGACGCTATCAAACGGAGAACTAACTTCATATCCCGCTAGTCCTTCACGACCAGCTTCTTGCTGTCCAGCACAACCTGGGTCAACGTCCCCAGCCCCAACCTGGACAGCAACAGCATCACTTGCAGCCAAATCCGGCCGGGTCGCGGGATCAAGCCAACATTGACCCGGCCATCTCGGGGGCCGCCATGATGGCCGCCCCGCAGACTCCCACTCAGCCGCACCAAGGATCTCCAGATGACACGCCCAAGGGGTTCGGCAAGCGCGAGCTGTCAACATCCAAGCGTGCCGCTCAGAATCGTGCCGCCCAGGTAAATCATCCCCTGTCAAGTGAAACGCCTTGGCATCTATCATCTACAAGAGTCCCCACTCACGCCTCATAGCGCGCTTTTCGCCAACGGAAGGAGACCTATATCCGCAAACTTGAGGATGAGGTCAAGAACATCGATGCCAAGAACGAGCAGCTCAAACAGCTATCTAACGAGAACTACGCTTTACGCGACTATGTCATCACCTTGCAGTCTCGCCTGATGGACCTGCAGGCCGATGTGCCCGAGCTTCCCCCTAACATCGATCTCAACCAGCCGCGCCCCGATATCAACCTCGCCAGCAGCCTCGGCGGACCCTCGGGCTCAATGGTAGCTCCCACTGGTCCCCACCAAGGACAACACCCCGGCAATCCTAACGACGACATGAACTCGCTGAACCGCATCGCCTCGGCTGGTCTCATGCGCAAGCCACACGAGGAAACCAACTTTATGAGCAACAATTTCCAGCCCCAACCCCAGCCCGGCAAGCGCATGCGTGGAGATGACAACCAAGAAGACGTTACCGTGCCGAAGCAGGAGGGTCATGGAATCCCCCTCGGACAATGAATTCCTTCCCGGTGACCCAACCTGAATTTTCACTTTTCTCCGTCTCTGTGCAATTCTGCTGGTCACTCGATATCCCTTTTTCGTTTTTAATTTCATTTTTTCGCTTTTTTTGCTTCTCAACTCGTCCCTCGCTCTTCAGTACTGGTGCGCGGCGCGATAAGTGACGTCATGTCTTTGGCTTGACATGGTGGTGTTTTCTTTCCCCCTTCCTTTTCCTTTTACTATTGCTTTTGGGGGCTCTAAATTTTTGCGCTGAGTAACAGTGCATGGTATATTAAATGAGTCTAATTAAATGCATCTAAATATTCCACTCTCTCGCTCCATATCTTGGGTCATGGCCTCGCTTTGCGTACGAGTGGCCCGGTCCACATGTCTCAAAAGGACAAAGCAACAAATACCTTTACTGAGGAACCTCACTGATCCAATCCATATTCCCTAATCAAAACATCCGCACAAGTCGCACCAGTGACATACGCTGTGGCCTGCGTATGGTTATTGGTAAGAACAGGCACGACACTCATATCAGCCACGCGTAAGCCTTCAACCCCGAAAACACGGAACCCACTGTCAACCGCAGCATCACTATCCCCAGTCCTTCCCATCTTGACCGTCCCCATCATGTGCCACGAAGAAGAAGTATGATCCTTCCAAAATTGCAAAATATCGTCATCAGACTCGGACTTGGGTCCCAAAATAGTAGCCAAAGTATCCTTGGCGAAAGAAGGATGCTTCGAGATCTCCAGCAGATGGCGATACATATGAATCACGGCGCGCTGGTCAAAGGGATGCGATAGAATCTTCGGGTCAAAGAGGAGTGGGTCGTCCGGATTCGACGATTGAAGTCGCACCTCGCCGGCTGATTGTTCGTTCATAAGGAAGACGGCTAGACAGGTGTAGCTATAATCCGACAACATCCCCGGAAATAGGAGATGGATAGGGAATCCCGCGACGATCTCGTAGTGAGGGATGGTTTCACGATTCATGAATTCTTGTTCGGATTTTGGCAGTGCTTTGAATTCATCGGTCGAGGTTATGGTGTCGGATTTGAACCAGCCTATTGTGAGCTGGCATCCGTATTTTGACCAGGGTCCAGTCCCATCTTCTTCCCATTGCTTCATGGCGTCGGCCATGGCGGTTTCACTCTTGAAGAAGGCGTTTCGGTCGTTCGTCTCTGGGTTTCGTGAGACCAGAAGGGGTGCGAAGAAGTGGTCTTTTAGTCCTTGGCCGATGGCAGGTATGTCGTGGACGGTTTGGATGTCAAATTTCTTTAGTTCGGATGCTGGGCCAATACCTGAATGCATGAGGATTTTGGGAGAGTCAAGAGATCCGGCGCATAGAATGACTTCTTTTGAGGCAAGGACTGTATAGTTCAGCCGTATTGTATGATTTCCAATTGGCAAACAATACCAGAATCCTCATTAATAAGGTGCACCCACATGTATTTCCTCTCGTCTCAACACCTACAGCCCTCTTATCATCAAACAGAATCGTCTGCACCGGGGTATGCGTAACGACAACCAAATTCCCCGGTCCATCAATCAGCAGATCCCTCGCCGTACTCCTCACTCCATCCCCAGCAGAATGAACAGACAATCCCATACCAAGTGGATCCCCAGAATTATGATCCAAATTTCTCTTCAAGCCCGCCTGCTCAAAACTGTCCATCAAAGGCCTCAAATCCATCTCCCACTCCCTCGCAAAGCCCACCTTCAGCGCACCACCATGGCCATGATCCTCGACATTAGGATTCCCATATTTCCTCCCCCTCTTCACTCTCACAAGCCCCCATCCCAAACGTCTCAAGACTCTTAAATCGTCTCTGCATCGGACCCCACCCAAACCCCTCATCCCCCACAATCTCTGCCCAAGACTCATAATCATCTCTCGCACCAACGCTATAAAGCCCAAAATTGATTTCGGACCCACCACCCAACCCCTTTCCACGGGAATAATCCAGAACACGGCCATCACACCCATCCTGGGGCGTAGTTTTGTATCCCCAATTCATAGACTCTTCCTGGAAAGTCATCCATCGCTTTCCGACGACGCGGTGCGATTTGTCGTCGTTTTTGCTGCCCGCTTCGAGGAGGAGGACCCGCGGTTCGGCAATTGTTCGTGCTAGGGTTGAGGCGAGGGTGCATCCGGCTGGACCGGCTGGATATTGTGTGAAATTTAGTGTTACTGTAGGAAGGAGAATTGCAATTGGGATTCGGACTGAGTTTTGAGTTTGGGGGAAATGGCTTACCACCGACGATAATGAAATCATAAATTTCTTCAGCCATGGTGAACAAATAATGCAATTGACCCGATTATAAGACGAAAAAAGACGTGAAGATACACCTCGCAGTATCAGAGAGGGAAGCCAGAGAAAGAAGAAAGAAGTATAATGGCCGCGGGGGCGCGCGGGGGCGTTTTAGAATTCAAGTCAGCCCTGCTGGGAGCCGAAAGACTAAATGAGCTTTGGTTCGTGCTATACTTAGTTGCTCTTCCAAATGGTTTAAGAATTCGGAAGCAGCTTAAGTGGATAATTTTGCCCCGCTGGGTGGGACGATGATTATCAGGCGAGGAGGGGTCGATTGAGACAGTTCGGAGGAAACTATTTGATAATTCGTATTGAAAAGAAACTTCCATTTTGCTGTACTGTTAATCATCAGATTTTTATTGGGTTTAATGCTGCTTCTTACTATGTATGAGAAGACAACATAACATTTATTTTTCCACCTGGTGTTTCCTTTCGAAGGTTTGAATCAACCATGACTCCCTAGTATTCCCTACTATTTGTAATACGAGCATTGCTTACCTTCGCAGCATGATATTCGCAACCTTCCATGATCGGACCTGATTGTTTCTTGGCATGCAGGTGCCAAAGTAGACAAGATTCTCTCTCACAAATTGGCTAGTACTGTCTCGACAACAGGTGGGGTCGTGACTCGTGGGGCACTCAAACGTGTACGCTTGACAGGCGCTGATAAAAGCAAGCTAATGCAGAGCTGCATGGCTTTTTTTCGGATTTTCCATCGACCGCAACGCTAGCCAAATCACAATACTCGATGGCTTACAGGAATTGGAGTCCCTTCTCTACAAAAAGAATACTGGCTCGTAATCTCAAAACTGTTTGTTCATGCTGTATTATTTGGGACCATAAAATTAGATCATACCTCCCTAACACTATCCATTTGCTTGGCATCTAAATCTCTGATACGTGTGTCCTGAACTTCGTTATGCTTCTCCTCGCGCATTGTGAGAAGAACAATCCCCGTCGTCCAGATAGCCAAAGCAATACAGCACCCAATCATAGCCCACATACCCTTGGTGAATCGCGGTGCGAAGTCGGCCGAGTAAAATAGCAAGATCCACCAGGCATTCACTGCATTGCTGCCCATGTTCATACTCGCGATTACCACGGATCGGAAGCGATCATTCTGATAGCGCATGGCATCATTACACCACGCAAAGAATGTAGCCTGGCAAGCATAGACAGATCCAGCCCAATAATATGCGGCAAAGACAACTGCAGTATCGTCAAAGCGGGTCAAGATCAAAACAGATGTGACTATCCCTGTCATTGCGATAAAATATCCAACCAGATACCGTTTGCCGCCCATAAAGTCGGTCAAGGTCGCCCAAAACAGTGTGGATATAATACCAACAGCGGGAATTCCGGTTGGATAGTTGTTCAATTGGGCGACAGTATAGTGATTGGTTGGATGAGCCTTCATGTAAAGCGCGAGCAGGGCGTTGGTAGAGAATGATTCTGTTTCACCAGCGATAACCCACAACATGACGAATGCGTACCAATACCAAGAGGTGAATAGGCGTTTTGCGAAAGCAAGGTTCAAAGGGACTTTCTCGGCGGCAGATTCTGGAATACGCGCGATGGCCATGGCACGCTCCTCCGAGCTCAGATAAGGGGCTTTCGTTGTTGTCGGTGTATCTGGGAAGAGCATGAATCCGTAGATCGCGATCGGTATAGTGATCAAACCGTCAATCTAGTTTGTCAGTTTGGAAGGAACTTTTTGATCCAGAAGCAGAATACGTACGATGAATAGCCATCGCCACCCTGACAGGCCGTGTCTGCCATCAAGAGATGACTGAATGCCGGTTTGAATAAAGCCTCCGAACATCGTTCCAGCTAGGCCCGACGCGGTGAAAATACCACTTCGCTTCCCAAGCTCTTTCTCCGTGTACCAGGAACCTAGAATGTAGTGTGTTCCGACAAAAGTACTCGACTCAGCCAACCCTAGGAAGAAGCGAATAGCCATGATTCCCTGCGGATTGTGCACTGCAGCAGTTACCATGGTCAAGGCACCCCATATCACCATCATCGCTGGGAAGAAAAGATGCGGTCGCCAATAGGTCACTGCGAGGTTGGAGGGCAACTGCCCAACGATATACCCAACAGTGAAAACAGTGTTGATCTGGTTGAGTTCATTTCCTTTGAAGTTGAGCTCTTCCTTCCTGCGAAGCATATCGTCAGTATATTTCTCACCATATAGTAAGGCTTTCTCGTCCAAGTTCTTGACTCACATTCCCGAAACATAAGCATTGTTAAGGTTGCTGCGATCCAGGTAATTCGCGAAGTAGCACAGGCAGCAGAACGACAAAATAAACGTGTCAATTTTGCGAAGTAGTTTAGCCTCACCAGGCACACTTTCATGGCCCTTCAGATAGGACTTGAATCGGCCGAGTACGCCCATTGTGGTTGATATTCGTACTCCCCTGCTGTGGGGAAAATACGATGGCAAAATTTGACGTCGAGTGGATCGGGGGAAGCGCTATTTATCTATCCGTGGTTATCTCTCCAGGTCCGCACTCAAAAGGTCGCCGCAATCCAGGAGCCAACCGTTATCTTTTCAAATCTCGGTCTGATATACCGGATTTGCGGAGTATCAGCAGATGGCTCTGCTATCAAAGAAAATAAACTGCTATCTCGATCAGATCGTCTACTTTTGCCCGAGGCTCGCTGCAAAAAGTGCGGGGATAGCTCCACTTTTCAGATTAGCGCTCACTGGCAAGCTTGGCAGAAATACATAACCTGCCGGACTAGGAAACTAATCTATACATCTTATCTGTCTCTGGGTGAGGGGGGTAGCAACGGCAAATTGCTAGATGTGCAGTTGAATCACCTGAATGTCTGTTATGGGGCTTGAGCTGTCCAAAGAAACTAAAGGATTCGATTAGAACAAAGGTAGTACGAAATATACCGCGAAGTGGGAGCAATTCCAGAGTTCCACTCACCATTCTGCCTCTAACCGCGTATTTCATATCCTGACAATCGTTTCATTGGCACCCCAAAGGTCCGACAACAACACTACGGTTATCCAACGCTAAGATGAATATCACGGCACATTTTCCGAAAAAAGACCCCGCACGATGAGATACAAATGAAGAGCTCTTCCCATGTTACCCTCGCGGGACAGCCAACTCCCATACCGCCTGTTTTGGTTTTATTGTTGGGTAACTAGGCTCAACCATGTCTTGGGAAACTATTGGGGCTCAAAAGCGCGACGCCCTTAAAGCGTCTATTCCGACAGAATGGGTGATTCCCGCAGATATTCTACCTCCTGACACACAGGCGGATGTAACAGGATTTCCTAAAGAATCTGGCTGGTTCACTGAACGCGAGTTGGAGATAACATCAACCCCCGCACCCCAAATCCTCCTCAATATAGCGACTGGATCCTGGTCATCGGAAGAAGTCACTCGTGTCTTTTGCAAAGCCGCAGCCGCAGCTCATCAATTGGTATATCCGTTCAATTGCCTCTCCACCCGCACGATGATATGCGACAATTGCTAACTGGATCGAACAGACCAACTGTCTATCCGAAATCCTCTTTGACAAAGCCATCGCTCGTGCGCAGGAGCTGGACGAATACCAACGAACAACAGGTAAAACCAAAGGCCCATTCCACGGCCTCCCAATCTCAATCAAAGACAATTTTAATCTCATCGGCTGTGATTCAACTGTGGGATTTGCCTCTCTCGTCAACGACCCGGCGACTTATAATAGCACTCTGACCGACCTCCTCCTTGAGGCTGGCGCGGTCCTCTATGTCAAAACAAATGTCCCCACAGCCATGATGATCGCTGAATCAGTCAACAATGTCTTCGGTCGTACTGTGAACCCTCGCAATCGCAAACTCACCTCTGGCGGATCTTCCGGTGGAGAGTCAGCCTTAATCGCTTTCGGTGGAAGCCGTCTTGGAGTGGGAACTGACATCGGTAAGTCATTTCAACATCAGCTCGCCTAGTACATAACCTAATTCTTCATCGCCTACAGGAGGATCGCTCCGAATCCCAGCCGCATGCACAGGAATCTTCACCATCCGACCATCCTCCGGCCGATTCCCGAACTTCCAAACTCGCTCTGGCCTCGCGGGCCAAGAAGCCGTGAACAGCGTCAACGGGCCTATGGCTCGATCCCTGGAAGAAATTATACTCTGGGCCAAAACTATCGTTGGTCAAAAACCCTGGGTTAACGATCCCAAGTGCTTGCCAATTCCCTGGCGCACTGTGACTCCCAAGCGAACACTCAAACTCGCCGTGCTCTGGCAGGACGAGCAAGTCACACCAACACCTCCAGTTGCCCGAGCGCTGAAGGAGACGGTCGCAAAGCTGCGACAAGCCGGCCACGAAGTTGTTGACTGGGATCCCAAATGGCACTCGAAGCTTGTCTCTATTCTCGGTCGCATGTTCGTCGCGGATGGTGGGAAGTCAGTCCGTAAATTGCTTGATGCGACAGAGGAGCCCTTCCGACCGGAGATGGAGGCGTACTCTCAAGCAACAGAGATGGGTGTGTACGATATGTGGCAGCTGCAACTTGAGCGGAACGGGATTTGCAAGGCCTACCTTGATCAGTGGAATGCGAGCGGTATTGATGCTATCCTTTGTGAGTTTATCCTTTGGAATTTGACTTATGGTTTCTAATTCGGATGCAACTAGGCCCCACGACTCCATACAGCGGCGTTGAAAACGGAAAGTTTGGTTATATCGGATATACTGGAGTTTTCAATGTTCTCGACTACCCTGCTGTTTCTTTCCCCTCCGGGGTGTTTGCCGATAAGGTCTTTGATGCAGCATATCCCAGCGACGAATCGCTGGGTAAGGTCGATACGAAGATCCGAAAAGATTGTAAGTAGCTTTTCCTCCATCTCCATTTGGCCTGGCTAACTGATTAACTAGACAATGCGGACTCCATTCATGGAATGCCTGTCAGTCTGCAACTTGTTGGACGGCGGCTCGAGGACGAAAGTGCTTTAATGATGACCGAGGTTATTCTGCAAGCGCTAGGTTGATCTGGAATAATCAATGAGATGTCAACGAATTGCGTCAGTGCTTCTGCAGGTTCTATGAATTTTGAATATAGACGATCTAGATTGGTCGCTTGGATCAGTAGTACTGCACAATCAGTATGCTCGAGGGACAAATTGCTCGAATGAAAAGTTCCGGCCATGTAAATCCGACAGCGTCTATGAATTGGCTCCATCTACATGTCCTCGCCACCCCCATACCAAACGCGGTTTCTCCTCATCGTCAACCCCCTTTTCCCTCCCACGATAAATTCACCACCCTCACGGATAGTACCATCGGCTTGAGGCCAATATTCAGATTCGAGTTTCTTGTTGATCTCATCAATCTTGTCAATTAGAATCTTCACGCGCGAACGGTCAATTTGACCCTTCCTCTCCCCTTCCTCGATAAGGAATCCATCATGGTTGATAAACCGGGCGATGGTGAGGTGCGCCGAGGGGACAACGTAACGAGAAGCCACTGGAAGATTTGCTTGTCGAGTAAGATCAAAAATGTCGCGGCGAAGATGGTGGTAGCTGTAATCATCACTTGCACCCCTTGATTGGCCCCTTGCAGGCTCACCGGCAGCCGGAACAAAGCTGAGGGCCAGTGCGGCGGAGTCGAAGCTAACGATGGGCTTGAGAAGACGCGTCTTATGACTCGTTGGATACTCGGAGATTTGATTCGGGGTGACTTCTGTCGAAGATTTCAGAGTTTGGACAAGTCCTTCAATCTCATCCTTGGTCAAGGAATGCGCGACTTCCAGTACTGTAATGTGTAGGTTCTGCAAGGGCATTGTCCAGAGCGCTATTATGGATAAATTCGGTTAGAATAGAACAGGTCAAGTCACCATTCAGGTCAGGCAGGTTAATTGAACTCACAAGGTGCAACAGCCTTCAGTTCATCTTGCACGTACGCGATCAAGTCGCGGACTGGAGAGGGTGGGCGCCCCCAAAATACCAGACAATTGCGAGGATCGATGTAGTCATCTTCCTTCCTCGGCCCATCGAGTCGCATAAGAATATCGTCTACCTTCCAGCCTGGAAAGTCATCTGCGAGGATAATCGCTTGCTGCTGAGCGTTGCGATTGACGCGATGATTCTCGTATGAGTATTGCAATTGTGCCTAATTTGATTGGGTCAGTCTAGACAAAAAGTAGTCAAACAGAACTTTATTTCCCTACCGGGTCATCCTGTGTTTCAGTGATCAGCTTCTGGAAGGGATTGTCTGTTGATATGGTGATTGAAGACATGTTGAAGAGCGTGCCTCGGTGGTTCCAGGCTCGAGGCTCCAGACCTTGACTTGGCAATATCCACCGGAATATACCGTTTTTACTGGTAGAAGAGGGTGGTAGATATATGATTGCTGTATATTTGTCTGTATATTGATTGCTAAGGAAGTTGGACCTCGGGACCGGGACTGGCATGAGTCAGGGACTGAAGTTCCTGGAGATGAAACAGCCGCCTAAGCGAGTGCCGGAAATTATTACCCCTAATTTACCCCACAACGGCTGTCCCAGAAGGGCAATCCATGGACGCCAGCCGTCCAAAAATAAACTGAGGAAAATGTCACACAACTACTTGTAGGTAGAATTCGCCTCGATGATGTGAGATCTTTAATGAGACTCTTAGGAATTTCTGGTCAGAGAATGCCAGGTGAAATTTGGAAACACGCCGGGAATCGGGCGGTTCAAGTTGAAGATTCGAATATATATTTCCACAATATACTCATTGGAAAAATTTATAATTTCACCTGGGCACCTGCCAGTGCCAGTGGGCAGCCCTGGAGCTGGCACCTGGGGAACATTGGAATCCATAATACAGGGCTAGTCTCTTCAAAAAAGCATTAAGCCTTGCAGTACATGATGACTGGAATGAATAAATTGAACTTGAAGATAGTAATTTAATATAGAAAGTGGTTACCGAATGGCGTGGCATCGCCAAGTTCAATTTCGAGAAGGGCCCATACCCGTTGCAATTCCGCTGAATCGAGAACTTCGAAGGTTGATGTGATCGGACTACTAGTGGAGAGGGAACTCAATAGTTCCGGTATAACCAAGGGCGCGCCCTTCAAGTTCTGGAACCTCTCAATTGAGATTGAAGTACTAAGTGATCGACAATCGAGCTATTTTTACTATCATCAATCTTCCCCTTGAGCTTGAGTGTCTACTACGCCAAGGAAGCCCTTTATACAGAGGATTGGGGTCTAGAACTCCGAATGAAGAATCGACAACCATTTCCTAGAGAAAGATTATGAATAAACGAAATTTTATGTCAACACTGCGCAACTAAAGGCTACCTGAGATAGACATGAACATTAATTGCGTAGGCAACTGATAGACTCGAGAGACATATATCATGGAATTATGATTGCTGTTGGAATTGAGGCCGATTGAGCCTATTAAGAACAGAAGTAAAATAAGGACTATGTCCAGCTTGAAATGAAACGTGAATGTCGACAAAGAATTGAAGACAAAAGGCAGAGATGCCAACTGTCACTGACAGGATCTACTCGCATCACCGACTAATCCACCTTAGATCCCCATTTAGATCTGCATGGCAAAGGCGCAGAGAGCACCGAAGACAACGGCAACACCGGAGAAGGTGGCACGTCCAGCCGCGTTGAAGGCGGGGGTGGGGGTGGCCGAGGGAGCACCGGTGGTGCCGGGGACACCGCTGGAAGCGGAGGCAATGGGGGCAGGGGCAGTGGGGGTCACACGGCGCAGAGAGCTGGTCTTGGACCAGCCGCTGGGGCCAGCGGAGAGAGGGCAGACAGTCTGGTAACGGGTAGAGGTGACGGTGACGGCGGGCTTAGAGCCGGAGCCGGAAGAGTGACCAGGGGAGACACCGGAGGGAGATCCGGGGTAGCCAGAGGAAGCAGGGCCAGTGGGAGCAGGGCCAGCAGGGCCGGAAGGACCAGAGCCAGAGGCACCGGGGATGACGGTGGAGCTGACAATGGCGCTGGTCTCGGTGTCACAGGGGGTGGTGGTAGGAGCAACAGGAGAAGAGCCAGTGCCGGAGGCACCGGGGATCACAGTGGAGTGCACAATCTCGCTGGTCTCGGTGTCACAGGGAGTAGTAGTGGCAGGGACGGAGGCCTGAGTGGTAGAGGCACCGGGGATGACGGTGGAGTGCACGATCTCACTGGTCTCGGTGTCGCAGGGGGTGGTGGTGGCAGCGGAGGTGCTGGATCCATCCTGGCAGTCAACCTCGCCGAGAACAGCAAGGCACAGGTTGATGGGGATGTTGATCAGACCACCGTTGTCGTTGGAGCTCTGCTGGCAGTGAGCCTCGCCGAGAACAGCCAGGCAGACATTGATCGGGACGTTGATCAGAGAGCCCTTGCCGCTGGAGGTCGAGGCCTGGTCACACTTGGCCTTACCAAGAGCAGCAACGCAACCGTTAACAGGGACATTGATCAGTCCGTTAGAGGAGGAAGTCTGCTTGCACTCGGCATCACCGAGGATAGCGGTGCAGAGACCCACAGGGACGCTGATGAGCTCATCGGTGGCCATAACGCCCTGTAAACCAAACCAATTGATTAGCTATACATGCATTATATTGTAGATCAATGAGACATGCTACTCACGGAGCAGGAGGCAGCCAGGGCCACGAGGGAAGGGATAATAGTTTGCTTCATCTTGTCGAAAAGAACGTAGATTTGCGTAAAGAATTGAAAGACGTGATTGGTATCTTGTTGGAAAAGAATGGACGCTGAGAACAGCAAAAAAGAGTGACAGTGGGACAAGGCCTAAAGGAACGAAGCAGTTGCAGAGAGAAGAGAAAAGGAAATCCGTCAGGTAATGTATGTCAAGGAAGTATTGCCAAAGCGTCCGGACCTCCACGCTTGCATTGTCGGAAAAGGGGAGTCGATGTCGATCCTCATGGAAAGAAGACTGCCAAGCAGGCAAGAAAGGGAACCGGTATACGACGAGGCCGGTCCATTCGCTCAACTGGAGCTTTCTGATTGGCGTGCCCCTGTTACTCATCACCTTTGTTGACAAGTTCGGCTGTATCTCTTCGAACTAGCTTGGATAATAAAACTCTATATGCAATGCACGACCCACCCCGAGCCACTAGCTTTGGTAGCGCAGTCTGTGATTGATCCCACTCGCAGACCACAGTCCTCGGCCTGCTAGTGTGGTTCACTGCCCCATCTCTTGTTTTTGCGCTCGTGACGGCGCTGCCTTGTTTTCAGGGGTTATGCTAACCGGCTTGATGGGACAAAGTTACAAGGCAATGGCTTAGAGGCATATTGACTGGGGTCGATAAAATGACTCTCAAATACTCCGTACTCCGCCCGGCCCCAAAACTGGTACTTCCTCGATAAACTACGAGTACAAATCAATACTCCGTGCACCCACGTCCGATAGCTCAGGTTGTGAGCCCCGCGGTTCGCGCCCAGACACGACAGGGGTACCAAGCAGACCGCTTATTACGCCTCCCGAGAAGCCTCGTCCCTTTCAACTTGGTGGTTCCTTGCATTTGGTGGCGGTCGGCCTGAGCATGAGGAAATGTAAGCAGAGAAAATCCGGGGGCCACTGTCATATGCAGCAAATGCAGAGAAGGATCAAATTAGCCATGCCGCACACATGGACCACGGCCTGGCCCCCAGCTCTCGCCTACCCCTTTCCCCAATCCATGAAAAAGATGCCCAGAGCTGCAGCCCAGTACATCTGCAAGAGCTGGCGCATGATTTTAGATACATCAAATTTAAGAACAAACTATGCCCTGGGCTGAGTGATGGTGCAAGCCACCAGAATAGACCCTGCGAACGTGTGGACCTCGGCTTTTCAGGGGGGAACACCATGCTGAAGATATGAACTCCACTGTCATTTCGATCCTGCCGTGGCCCACATTGGCAGTGCCCACTCAGTGAGAAGCGGGGATGATATGGATCCCACTCGGAGAACTTTCTACAATACGGTGGCAACACGACCAGCGCGGTGTGGCCCGCCTCTCAATTCTCAACTCCATTCCATCCCGTGCTCGTGGGTCAGCTTCGACAAATGGCCAAGACTCTGAGAATATCGAGAAAGCGGACCCCATCGGTTATGGGGTTTCTTTCTGAAAAGTCTCAGATTGGTCCACAGACGTAATCCGTTTCTATCAAACTTTGTGGATGTCCCTCCGAAGGAGGAAGACGGAGTAACATGTCGTTCGATCTCCGAAATGTGATCTATTTCGTTTGTGATCTGCTCAGATCGAGATAGCTATCGTGGAATTGTGTGCTAGAGGCATCACTATGCCCTACAAGAACCCAATTCAGTGACTCGGAATCCGGCTATCGAAGAACAAAGACTAAAGCGCTCTCATTGAGGTTAGTTCTTTCACTATTTTTGGGAATATTCTCCCAATACATGCTTGGACCGGACTAGCCCCCTTCCACATTGAAAAAAAAGTTTCGATGGTGCTATCCTCTACCAATGAACCGTGCATTTGGTTAAGCAAAGGCAAGAAGCCGTTGTGAGGCCCTAGCCCCTTGATCAATTGGTGGCTTAGCTCCGAAGAGGCATGTTTGTCATACGAGATTAGAGTCGCACATACCCTATGTGTGATGCACATGAAGAGATCCAATGAGAGCCGCCGGCTCAGTGAGATCCGTTTGATTTGATGCATCAGAAACTGGCGGCAAGCCTCCCTCTCCAACCACCTTTTGCTGTTGCCTTACCTCCTCGCGTCAGAAGTTCTCTCTGGTACCTTTCACTTCTTCATACTTTGTCCAAATCCTATCTCTCACACTGAAGTGGCAATCCCCACCGATATGACGACTGGTCCGTACTCGCAATTCATGCAGAGTTGGTTGCGGTGATCTAAGAACCTCTCGGTCCTGTTTAGCTAGGATGGCTGTTCAGGTTGGAAGATAGAAGCCAGCTGACTATCAATATTGTTGATTCTGACCTACTTCAAGCCTTTGAGGGTGAAATTTGCAATCATGTTGAATTAACCAGGATATTTTGTTATGAATGGTCGAGCTGCAAACGATGGCAGGCATTGCCTTTCAAAGCTTGAAAAGGACCATTCTTTCAAGCAATGTCCCCAGCATGCATACCATCTGGAGTTCAAGAAGAACCAGGGTAACAACCTGGGCCATCAGTCAGCTTCTTGGTATAAAAACTCTCTTTTTGTTACGGGCAATGCTACCTTGAGTATTATACTACTATAAAGACACACACGCTAGATTATCTTTGAGGTGGTGATACACATAAATATGCCCTTGGGGTAGGTGGCTTTGCTGGGTACATGGATGTATGCGTCCGGCAAGGCCATACTCACTGGCAGGAACAGCAATATTGATCCTATCCTAGGATTCTCCACGATGATGACGACTCCTACAAAATATAGCGTGGTCGGCCTGCCAAGGATATCTCCCAGACCGCTGTACATGAACCCTGATAACAGCGCAACGACCTTCGCCAAGTTGAAGTCAAAGGATAAGGTGGATCGCATGCTAATACATTGGACCTGGCCTGTCGCCTTTATTTGAATGAGATATGACTGGTGCTAGTATGGTGGTCTCTCCGTCACTTACAGGGGATGTTGCAGATAACCAATTCGCGAGGCCGTTAAGCCGACGGGTGGTTCGAGATGACCACCCGCCTCTGTACCTTGCTCTTCCATTTCGAAAGGTTCTGCACTTTTTTCTCCTTTCGTACCCTGTCCTGTTCTACACCTCGCTTTCTCGTTAAGGGCGACGAGTTCTTCGAGACGACGACGACTCGCGCAGAAAATCACCTGATCTCCGTTCCCTCCTTCTTAAGATGGCTGTTGCCATAGATCAAGGGACCATCTTAGACCTCTCTACCTCGGTACTACGTACGGTAGAGTGCAGTTACCTTTGAATGAGTCAAACATTTTGCTGGGTCTGCTGGAGCTCCAGTTTAGGCTGGTTCGCTGTATAAGTAGGTGCCGCAGACAGACATACGCACGTATGTAGTAGTTCAGTTTGCACAGCAATTCAAGTTAAGGTTGATCAACGAGCCTGCCCACGGCCGCTTGTCGATTTACATTTTACCCCTGTTTCACAATGCTCTTCTGCGCATTTTGATTGGGCAAATGGCCCACGGGGTAATGATCCCGCACAGCCCCATGCGTCATCCCTCCAATAAGAACAGCTTACAAGGTTGCAAGCTCCAAATTAGCAGACGTTTATGCGACAATCATTGCGATATGGAGAAATTCGACCCCAAATTCTGGACCCTGAGTGAAGTGATTAAATTATTCTGTTGTGCATAGAATCTATCAGTGTCTCTTTTTGGAAACTGGTATCTCGCAGACCATCAGCCACATGAGTGAGCATTGCCTTCAGCTTACCCTTTGTAGAAACTGCTGACGATAGAAATAGTGCAGTAGCTTGTTTCAGTTCTCTCTCGCTGCTTCAGGTTTCATTTTGAAATGGAAGAAAATTGCGAGGTGGCTGATGAGTGGCAATCGAAGGAACAACCTGAACCTGGCTCGAGTGGTATATAATTCAACAATTTCCTCTCAACACTACGATGTATTATCATTCCAAGGCTACGACCTCCTTTCCATTAGACTTCAAGATCCTACATCTCTGCACGTTATAATATACACCATGACTATTATCAAGACAGCGACTCTCGTCGCCTTGGCCGCTGCACTGGCAAATGCCCAGTCTGCAAACCCTGGCGTTGGTTCAAACCCCAAGGCCGAGGGTGCAACCGACGAAGTCACTCCGAATACTGGACCCAATGGGTACGAAATATTCTTCAAAATATTTCACGGTTGATCAAGCTTGTTAACCGTCTTCATAGATCCGAAGATTGGCTAAACACCGGTATTACCGACAGTGGCTGGAAGCCGCCTTTCCTCGCACTCGAAGACATCTACCACATCTCGCTAGATACTTTCTACGGCGGTATCGGATCTTCTTGCAAGCAGTACGACCAGTATTTCCAAAGTGCCGGATCAAAGTACAATGTCGATCCCGTCATCCTAGCCGTCATCGCGATGCAGGAATCCTCCTGCAATGCTGATGCCGGCGGGCCAACCCCCGGATTGATGCAGGTCTCTTGCGCCAACTATCCTAACGGCCAGTGCACCGACTCGATTCAGGATAACGTCGATGCCGGCACCAACTATCTGCAGGGCCAGATCAGCTCGAATGGCGGCAATGCGATCCAGGCCTTTGGCGCGTATAACGGATGGTTCGTGGCTGGTAATGGATTGAACGATAACAAGGGACTCACAGAGGATTATCCCTGCTCCTCTGAGGGACAATCGAACGGAGTGCCCCAAAACTTGGATTATCTTCACCAAGTACTCAATGGATGGTTGTTGGGGCTAGATGTCTATGGTGATGATAACTGGATTGGAACTTACAAGTGTGACCAGTCTTGCAGCGATGGCAGCAAGTGCTAAGTATCCATGGACTAGATCGGGGACAGATGAGTTGTACAGTGGGATTAGTACATAAATCAAGGATTATTTGAATTGTTTCTCAAGTCTGCCACTGCAATGAGCATAAAGTTACTAAGGTGGACATGCGTAAAAGACATATCATCTTTCCGCTGTTACCTCCTTTCCTCCCTCACACGCACACACACTTTCTCTATCTCTCTCTCCTAGCCACTTTGCATATATCGCCAATTTCATGGTTCTATGTCTGTGGCAGATGTTGCAGCAGGTACTTTGCCGCCACTCAGAGTTAGTTGATCTCATTCGCACCTCGTTCAAATACTTAAATGCTTCTGGGTACTCGCCAAGTCTTGAAGCAAATATCCGGGCGTAAGCGGAAGCAAAATTTGGCGATGTGGCCTTAGTTGTGACAAGAGGCTATCTGGAGTGGTATGAACTGACTCGGATCCAACCTTGGAAGTTGATGCCCGAGACCTAAGGCTTGATCCAGAACTAGTTAGTAGTATGCGACAAATAGCGATATAGAGAGAGATCCGATGCCTCCGCTAAAATCCTCGCCATTGAGCTTGCCCAGACGCATGCAATAATTGCTCTCCCCGCGAGGGTCGATATAACCTTAAGAGCAGAATGCAAACGCCTTGTGGAAATGGCAAAAAATACCTTCTCGGCCAATTCCAAGCCCTTCACAATTGACATTGTGATAAACAACACGGCTGTCGCATTCCTTGGACTTATGGAGGAAGTAAAAGAGGATGAATTCCAGCGCAACTACGAGGTTAATGTTCTGGGCCAAATTCTTCTGACTGGCGCTTGTAACTTGTAAGCCATACCTCCCGGCGGGTCGTACGCGCCGCATATAACTTCTTTCCAGCATAAATTCCAAAGTAGGCACAGAACATACAACACTTTACCCTGGAACTAAGGGCACGATTGAAGCTATGACTCGTGTGTGGGCTCGCGAGCTTGCAGAAAATGCGACCGTGAACTCGGTCAACCCGGGAGCTGTAGCTACTGGGCAATACTGGTCGCACCGGATGAAATCAAGGAAAAAATTGCGCGATGGATTCCTCATACGCCCCTGGCCCCAGTATGGGAGGATTTGATACACCAGAAATCGTGGAGCACGGTGCTAGGTTCGGAGGACGGCCAGCGTATACCAGTGAGATTGCTGGTCTCATTGCGACTATTTGCAATCCCGAATTCGGCTGGTGTACTGGGAGCATCATCTCTGCCAATGGGGGGGCTCTCGTTTAGTATTTGATTAACTTCTAAACTACATATTCCACTGCCTAAAATCTGCTAAGACGCGGAATTCAAGTGTTTAGTGACCAGTGAATACGTATGCTTGACGTGACCAACGTGGACCCAGGCGACTTTGACCTCAGCCTAATCACTCCTCGCTGCCAAAATCATCTACATGGCCGTCCACCATTTTCATACAAACCCCAAAGGATATGAGTTAGAATTGGCGAGTAATTGCACCTGGTCGCAGGGAGATGACGGGATGCATCGGTCAACTTATCGAGGGTTTAGTATCCGGTAGTGCGACCGGGCTCGTGCCACTTTTAGCATTACCCGTGAGTGTGCATAGGTTAGTGATTCGCATAGTCTGGTCAACTCATTCAAGCCTCACTGATTATATGCATCAGTCACGAGGGCCTAGATGTTCTTCCCGGCGAAAATGTTGAAGATGAAGAAGGCGACCTGGCTTGTACAAAACGGTCGCGAAAAAGCGCACTACCACAAAGTCATTCCAGCAAAGCCGCCCGAATCGATCATCACGATATGCATGAAGTTCTTCAACTAGGAGATTTTTCTCGAGTCAGATCGCTATCGAACATGCCGTCTGAAATCCATTGCAGAATATTCGCCTTTTTAGATGATGTGATGGATGTCCTGCACTTCAGTCTCAGCAGTCGATATTTCTGGGCCGTTGGTCTCTTGCGTATTGAGGAGCACATAGTTCGCTCCCTTGCTCCTTGGGCCGGTGAGCCTATTATCTGTATAGATGATCGCTGTGGCCCAAGCAAATATCCACCTGGTTTGCTCACCCCGGAACAAGAGGCCGAGGTAAGAGAATTGAACCAGGTCTTCGACTTAAATTCGTTCTCTATAAAGAATTCATACAAAAGGGTCGGAGGACCATCGCTCTCACAGAACTTGCAAAAGTCGTTTCTCGAGTACGAGTCGCACTACCCGATGCCCGAGGTTGACCGTGTCGAGATCATGATGGGACTGAAGCCCGAAATTCTAGAATTTTTCCCTCGCGACCAAACATGGATTCTACGCAACCTCACTACAAAAGAGTTTGTGAGAGGAGAAGCAATTGCACTCAGGTGCGAGTTTATGCATGGACCTCAGATTGACGTCTTGGACTTTGCGGAAATTCTGGTTTCGCGGATTTCGTGGTCGGATGCGATTGAAAAGATCGGTTGATGTGATAATGTTGCTCGAGGTAGATGGTCGGGTCATCGATTTGACATTACACCTTTATCGCAGATCGAAGGCCAGGCGGTATTCAGTTCATGGACGGATGTAAGTAATGAAATATTTAGAGAGGTTGATTTAATAATTGGTGGTGAAGACGGAGACGATTGGCGCGATCAATTTGCAGAACAACATCAGAAGTCAGCAACTTCAGCCTTTTCTAGGCATCTTTGAATTTAACCTGTCACAGTGGAATTTAATTGCTCTGAACAAAGATGTAGGTTCAAGTTGATTGCATTCTTTTGTTGGGTGAACTCATGCGATGAATCCGGACTTGAGTATTGTAGATCCCCATTATGCCTCAATCAGACACCGATGGCCCGCTGGAGCCATTAGCAAAAAGCACTTCATATGCATATCCTCATCACTCATTCCTTGGGGAATTGATGAAAGAACAAAGCAGTAGCGAGACGAAGCTCTATACGTGCAAGATGCATTCCGATGCAGACTGATGAACATCGTGTTAGCAATATATCTCTTAAGGTATTGGCAACCTAAGGTCACACGAAAACCCACTCCGTGATCCGCCCCCCAAATAGGATTGATATGTCTCTCATTTCCTTGCTCGTACTAGTATATTGCCATTGTTCCAGTTTGAAGCAGGTTTACCATCAGCGATCTGAACCACAAATCCGAGTAGTAGTACGTCTACCTTAACTCTCTGGTTCCGGAAAGATCACCGGGTCACGATGGAGGCTATATGACTGTGTGGAGACTGTCACACCCCCAGGAAGGAAATAACCATTGAAGTGTACACCCTCTGGTGGCACATCTCGAGGTAATCCGCAGGGCACAGCAGTGTACGTAGTGTTTCGGTAATGATATTATCCAGGTAAGACAGATTGCGAAGGTCCTTGTCTGTGAATGACTCATGTAAAGTAGACAGCTCTTCCACAGGTTTTGCTTTTACCTCATGGTTTTTGCAGACGGAATAGATGAGATAGGTCAAAGTAACAGCCATGGTATCGCTACCGGCAACAATATAGTCCTACGCCTCGCTTCGTATCTCGGAGTCGCTGAAGTCACACTTTCTGGTGTCGATGATATTTGTGAATAGGGTTGGCTTAAGATTCTCTGGATTCTTCTCAAGGTATTTCTTATATCGCTGAGTTGACTGCTGTGCGTATAGTCCGATTCGCTTGCCGGCTGCTGCCGTCGTCCTGAAGATAGGAAGTGGTAGGTAAGCCCCGAACTTTTGAGAAACCTTGGAAGATCGTGGTTTCGTGCAGGGTCTACAGTGCAACTATGCAACTCGGTGACTAACACTCCTACTATAACCGACGCGATCCTGAAATGAAAGTCTTGATTGGAAGACCTCTGTGACCTTATAAAGCATAGTTTTGTAGTCTAATTTGTACCGATCTTCTCTAGCATTCGCCGAATTAAGTTGAACTTGAAGCCCTCAGGCTGTTTTTAAGTTATAGATTGATATCGACATGACTTGAACCTACAGCTTAGTGAATAGCTTTAAGTTCAAGTTAATCTACTACTAGTAGTACACCATATTGAAATATATAAAGTACTAGTATAATACATAACTCCACTGGCAGGGCCTTTGCAAGGTTCAAGTTCAAGTTTACAACTTGAACAACCTTGGAATATTCAACGGAAGAAATATAAGTCGATCATGTATGAAGCCCCGAGACCCTTGAAAAATGCGAAGCAACGAATAGGAGCCTTTGGAGCGTTCGTGTATAACATTCCAACCCGGTCTTCGGAGTCCGGGGGAGTGTCCGGAAGTTGGCTAAAGGCCGAGGGCAATGATTGTCGCGGAGTCATGTGCAATAATTCGCACCCTCGGGTTTAAGACAAGGCTTTTGTCCAACCGGCGTCGCTAAATGACTTTGGGAAATTCTTCGGATACCCTGGCGTACTTAAGTCAACCGTAGGACAACGCTGATGGATGAGATGGTTTTCCTAACTACCGATGTGGACCGATGGTGTTTTTCATGGCTGAACTTAATTCGCTCCAAAAGTGATCTGATCACTCCAGATGTTTAATATGTGGCGATCATACTGCGGGCCGGATCTATAGTGTGGAGTTGAGCAAAAAATGGGAAAAGGGGCAGGATATAGAGTCTTATAGCATGGCTTACTAGTAGGCTGAAACTATCTTGCGACCAAATTAATCGAGATATCGATGTTTCGGGGTTTAGATAGCTTCCTAGCCTCCAGTGGTAAATCGAAAGTCAGAAATCGACTATTACACCAGTTTACCATGTTTACCAAGGCATTAAGGCACCAAGGCAACCATATAATAATTGTGCGGCTCTGCTGGCTCGGCGGAGATTAGGCTCCCCCCCCATCTCACTCCACTCCACTCCACACATCGTTTTCCCGACTCCCAACTCCCAACTACCAAGACTCGCTTGTTTCATTTGCATTCAACATGGCTGAAAAACTCTCAATACTGTGCTTCGGCGACTCTCTCACCGCTGGCTACTACAATTATGGCGAACATTACCACCCATATGCTGAAAAGCTCAAAGAAATCCTCCAGCCAGTGCTACCTACCACGGAGATCACGACAGATGTGGCCGGTCTTCCAGGCGATCTAGTTTGTTCTCCGGGCTTATTCGTCTCCCGCATATCAGAGCAGATGACCAAAAAGCGTTATGACTTGGTCATCTTCCTCGGCGGGAGAAAGTACGTCTTGTTTATTATCCCAGTGTCAACATCACGTGATTCCTGATGCTAAACCCATCGACAGCGATATAGGCTATGGCAAATCGTCTGATAATATTTATGACGGTCTGAAAAAGTGTTGGATGATGGCGCTCACCACGGGTGCAAAAGTCCTCGCTTTGACCATCCTCGATTGTGCGGCGAAATTTGCACGCACAGATGAAAACCGCAATGAGGTCAACCGCTTGATACTTGCCCACCAGGAAGACAGATTGTGAGCCAGAACCTAATTCATCAAGGATTATGTGGAGCCTATGCTAACTTTTATATAGTTTTGCCTTCGATTTATGCGCTGCAATTCCCTATCACTCCGCCTCGAAGGAGTTCCAGAACAAGATTTTCGATGATGGACTTCATCTTACTCCAGATGGATATGACCTAATGGGTGAAGTGATCGGGGAACATATGGCGGGTCTACTTCGAACGTCAGCACTCTCCGTGTCGTCTGGTTATGAGTAAAGCCTCCCTGGTCTGACAAGACAGCCCGAGGCCGTCGAGAACTGTTGCCCAGAGATTCGGCGTGCAACATCGATCCAAATTACTTATGATTTCAAATACCCTTAATGCATCTCTCACTCGGAGTGCCTTTCTAGTGACCCTAGCGACAGTCGTCTGCCATGAAACTCCCTCGACAAACCAACTTGTTTTCTTCCAGCTCTAGCTCCGAATCGGGTTACAATAAAACATTTTTCGGACAATTATAGAATTCCTCAACTTCGATTACTCGCAAAGACATCTTAAATACAAAACTTTATCAGGATCAGAAATTACATAGTAGGCTTTGAATATCCAACATCGAATAATTAGGTGGTGTTTACGGTTGTCAAAGTGAGACACGGACCAGAATGAGAATTGCACCTCGCTCATTATCGAAAATATGCCAACTAATGATTTGGAATATCCAATAACTTCGATGAAATGGGAAGACCCTGGAGAATATTATCAATCACCATATATTTGATCGCACTTCAGTCATCAAACTCACATTATTCCCGCGTAACGGTGATATTAGCAGCAAGCGATCTGTGTTCGGTAACCTGAAGCGAGTCCCACTGAGCAGGCTGATAGAGATATTGCTGAGAACCATTGTAGATGAGAGAGAAAAGTGAGCCCGAACTGGCACCCTCGAACTTGAATCTCTCCCAGCTGTTCAGGTCACTTGCATCGCAGGCAATATCTCCGTTCTTGTTCACACCCAAGAGCTTGCCGGTACTAGCGTTGCGAAATCCAAATCCATCATTGTTGGCTTCTGCGCGCCAAAGCTGATTGCGGGCCTTTTCCCAAATTCGCATGTGGACTTCTTCATTTTTGTATTTGCCGGGGACGACGCTCAGAGCACCGGATCCAGAGACCTTGATGGAATAGGTGGCTCCATTGACGAAGCTGGTAGAAGAGGTGGAAACTTCGCTTTCAGACATTTTGAAGAGGATAGAGTTCTTGGAAGAGATTTCTAGGCTTAATAGAATAGTAGTGAGCAGATTGTTGATAGAAAAAGAAGACGCGATGGTTTGGAGGTATTTATATACGAGGAGATTGATTGAAAATTCGGTATTTGTGCTTCAAGTTGGACTCGTTCTTCCGATTCTCGTCCTCAGCTTGTGCCCGACGAAGTAGTCAGCTAGTATGGCTGCATTCGCCAAGGTGTATATCAGGGTTATAGCCCGGTCAAGTCTTCTAGAAGGGCATGAAACGATGTAGAGTTGCATTTTGAGATGACTGTGCCTTCGTTTTGGCCTTGATTGGCGAGGAGACCTGGTCGCCGACCTCGGGATTCAAGTTCACCTTCACCCCGACTCATCGTATTCGACTGCAATATGTTTCCTTGGGCTGGCCGACTGCAGCGCTGGGCAACTGCAATAATGCTTGAAGGACATGCCAAGCGACGACTTGGCGGGAATTTCTGGGCTGATCATTAAAGTAGGCTTAGAATTGCATGAGATTGAAATCTTGGCCATGATCTTCATTTTTGCCCGTTCCTCACAAACTCGCGTTTGGTTAATCTCGAGACACCTGACGAGTTCTTACTTTCTGGAAACTATGTGAAGTTATTGACAGTCTCTGACAAACGAAAACTGTCTAATATCAATTAATATCTTCATATGTTCCCCGTGTCGCGTGTCAATCGAGTTGTCGATTAAAATACTGGTGATCAAGACGCCAAGAAGCCGCCGGCTGACAATCTGCAGACTGACTTCCTAGGCGGCTGACAGGCGGGCCTGGGTCTTTTTGGAATTTCGGAGGTACCCGTAGAAAAATAATTCAGGTTGATCAGAGTCCCTGTAAGCTTTAATATGCTCCCCATAAATGTTCAGTTTCAAGTTGTTTTGTGGGTTCCAGGCAGGGAGAGCAATTTTGTCCCTGGGTTGATTCGAGTGTACATTTCGCAAGCGAAAGATTTCTATTTAGTTCGGATAAAAGAGCATATACTGAATGTCATAATTCCGAAATGCCTTATATTGCTTAATATCGTGAGGTACATAATATCCTCGTCTGCAAACCCAAAATGTGATAGGAAATGGAGAGGAAACCCAGAGGAAATATGGAAGAATAATACATAGAGCAATCTCGTACTGAGCGACCATCGCCTGTATTTGTGGCTTGTATGTGGTCATCCTGCGGGACAATACTCACCCAACCGAGACTGGCTGAATATGAACTCACATCCAATGTGGCTGAGAGTAGCTGAAATTTAGTCTTTGATTTAATTCACAGCATGTCACGCAATTTAGTTCTCATAGGCTGCGACGACGAGAGTTGCTCTGAATAATACGTCGAACTCAAGCTTTCTTCAATAACAACATCCCATATCAACTCATACGAAAAAACCGTCTTTCATGCCGTTTCGCCCGCCATTGATTTGTCGAATAGGCTAGGCTATGACAATTCTGAATGACCCAGCCACAAGAACGGGCAAACGGGTCCGTAATCCCCGACTCCGATGGATCCCAAGGATCACGCCAGACGATAATACCGCCTGTCTGCGATTGCGGACCCCTATTACCCTTCATATCTAGACAAAGCTGTGTCTCCTCTTCAAATTCTCCCACAAGGATCAAGTTATTCCTCATTTGAGGATCAGGAAGTAGGTCTACCCATGGGTGATGTAGGGTACAGCGCTGGATGGCAGTAGGTTGGAGCATTGTAGGAAGAGTATGTAGAGAGTCACTCTGCTATTGGCCAGTAGTGTTGAAGGGTGAGATTGTATTGTCGCGGATTTGATCGGATTTGAGGCCCAAGATTCTTGTGTTTTCCATCAGGGCTTAGGTGAATTGAATTGAATTAGATGAAGCAATCGATCAGTTCGCGGGGTGGAAATTGTTAATTCGCTAGATAATTTTCTTCCCTCGCGGAAGTCGGCCCCTTGCTAATGAGGCAATATTCATGTTACCCTACTGTGTAGATACGTGTAGGTTTGATCCACTGATATTCCCACGAAAATTTCTGGATGTTGAACTTGGAGACTGACCCAGTCAGGCCTGTGATTATCTCCACCTTAACCTGTGAAAGGGCTAGGCCATTCATTGCCTCGATCTTCCTCTTTTCTAAGATCTCCTTCTGGGTTTTTACTACAAGTACCCCGATACCATAGTCAGACCTTCCCTCTTGGCCTCACTCTTTTTCCACTTCCACTTGTTCTTCTCTGAGCATTAGTTACCAGGCGCCTTTGCTTTGCCTCTTTCAGCAAATACAGCTGCAGTTGATAATCCTCATCAGCTGCGCTGGCAAGTCCACGCTTGAGATGCGAGAAATCTGTTACATTTCGATTGCCGAGCGCGTCGAGCCTTTGAATTTCAGCTTCAGTGTATCCCTTCTGGCGTAGCTTCGCGCAGTTATACCGCTGTGATTTTCAAGAAGAGTGAGCATGTTGTGAATGGCGGCGTCATCCCAGCGAACTCGCGGAGTTTGTCTCCAATGATCTTCTGATTGGAGTTCAGGTTGGAAAGATATTTGGTGATGACCTCTGCGGTTGTTACTTTCGGTTTCGTACTTGCAGTGGCTTCGGTAGCATTTTCGAGCTCTTCTTCCGTCACAAATTTGAGGTTTTTCCCAGTGTCATCAAGTACCCAGATTCCCTCGGGGGGGTGATTCAGGTTGTTCTGCAGTCATGATGGAAGATCGTATTGAGAGGATACAAGAGAGTGATGGTTGTAGGCGAAAGGTGGTTATGGGACGAGAATTTGCATGCGCAATGACTCAGTACGCTGGTGTCACTCAGAAGATTGTATGATCAATGATAATACCGAGATCAAGCCCTGGAATCTTCTACAACTTATATATCTTAGTCCAAGGCAGCATCCATGCTCTGTTCTGTTACACAAGACAGACTCAAAAAAGCTCAACCATCGACACGTCAGAATGTGCTCATCTAAGGTTTGGGGGCCACATATTTGTGAAGGCCTTTCCCATGGGTACGAGTTGTAGTTGCAGTACCAGTACTAATTTAGCTTCTTCGCTATTTCTTTCTCCGCCGTCAAATTGCTGTGGGTAATAAGCTGCCCTACCTGCACCCCTAAATTGCGGTGCGGGTGATCACTGATGGATACCCTCGCGCCCCGCGGGTACGCCGCAGTCTACTTATAAGTAATGTCCTTATAACTTACTATCTTAAGTTGCTATCTCCCTAATGACTAGTAGTCATAACTTATCTATGATTTATATAAAGAACCTTGGAAAGAATCTATAGAATTCAAGCTGACTTTCTTTATGGCTGAACAGGCCTGGAAAACAGTACTTGAAATTATGACCTAGCTACAAACACCATTTTGATCTCTATCAGAATAGTTACAGTAATCTCCAGTCCGAGTGCATTATTATGTATTTGTTACGGCATATTTCAATCATAGGGCAATTCACTTACTCGGTGGTTGTGTGCAAATTTTCCCGAGTGCAGCTCTCCGTTGAGACAGTAATAGCATCTTTGGGACTGGCCAGCCGAACAGTACTGGCCGAACAGTACTGGCCGAACAGTACTGCTTATATTTAAAACATTACTTTTCAGTCTCCAAATTACAATATATCATAAAGAGAAGATGGAATTACGCCTTCATAAATGGCTCCTATTCCATCAGGTTCATCTGCGGTTTTCCTGTCCTGCATATCATGAATGCGGTGTTTCTCAATCGATAATTCCTGGGATAGAGCAGCCTCAAGAGCACGGCTAGATAGTAGAGACCCTAATCGGCTCATCAGATCGCTCTCGTTTTTGTAACTGGTAGAAAAATGCAAACTCGAAGCATTACCAGGCTCTGTCTGAGGAAGGGCTGTGACGAATATAGTACCGATCGACATAACATTCAATATAGCGCGTGGAATTTGCATTTTACTAGATGATATCCATAGAAACTTTCAAGGTTGGCTTGATGAGTTGAAGCTAAGCTGTTCAGAATCCTCTTCGGGCGCCGAACAATGGAATCGGGTCTTGCAACTTGAAGGTACATTTATATATTTCACACTTACCTTGGAAGTCGCTTTATCTGGCCCGTGTACAATTCTTTTTTATTTTTCGGTGAGGTTATCGGCTGGAAAGTGTTATAGTGATCGGGATGGTGCATGTGGTTTGTGACTGTGCAATGCATGCCGTGATGCATTTGTAAATGCTACAGTCAGTAACAGACGATGTAACAACCTTGGAAGACAATTAGCTGTGAGATATTCTACCGGCGTTCCTTACTTCAAAGCATGTCACATATTAATCTCTTTTGCTCTAGAGAATGGAAAGCGTAACACCACGTATAGCTACACGTACTGTGTTCCTTTGCCCAGAAGAGCTCATATTGATGAATTGAAGTCAAGGTAAACTAAACTAGGCAGTTGGCGATTCTACTCCGCCTTTTGTATTTTGTTTGTCAAAAAGAACGGAAAGAGTACGAAGTCAAGGATTCGTGTTCATCCCTAAGTTCCGTCTTACAACCGTATGTTTCCAGTATGTGAAACTATTTGGACTTCGTTATATTTGGTTCACTCGTCATCATCGATCACCGGAAAAATTGGGTAAATAGTATTGGATTGAGAAATAGTGACAGGTCTGGCTCCCCCCGGGGCCGAATCGACTTATCTAGATTAACTTTGTGATTAGAACGATCGATACTTTCCAAAGTCGGCCGCGCTGACGTGATACCCCAGATTGGGCATGTGTACTAAGATGCCAAGCCCGCATGAACACCCGATCTAAGCCTCGACAACCATGAGAACGACAACTATTCAATCTGCTGATTCGCTGGCGGTTCATATTCGGTGACTTCCTGGAAATCCTGCATGGAATACTTTCCAAATAGATCTTCACAAATACTCGTTTGAGTGTAGTGTGCCTGTTAGATCTCCGTGTCAGGAATGACTACTTCTCCAATTTCCAGCGGTTCGCAAGGCTGTGCTTACATTTGTGAATTCTACATTGCGTTGATGTTCAGGGTCTTGCTTTTCCAACCATGGCGGATAGTTGTCTGTGCGTGTATAAAGTAGTCATTTCGCGCCGAAGATAAATTTCATTTTCCATATTTCAGCTTACCTATCTCTTCACGATTGAATAGGGTGAGAACCTAAAATCGTGGTTCATCACGATGTTTCAAAAGACAGCCGTGATTACAACACTGTTTATACTCGCAACTGGCGTTGTATCATCTCGCAACCAAGCTTGCACTGCCAGAGGTTTCGCATCCCTCGGCCTCAAAGGAATTCATATCACATCTCTCAATGTCACCGCCACGCATGACCTTTCGACCAGCGGCCGCAATGCTACTGGAGGTGTGGGCATTATACCTGACATTCCGGGCACTCCAGCGCCCACGGTGGATGTCTGCTTGATCCAAGTGACGTATACTCACCCTGGCGAACATGACGAAGTGAACGCTTACATCGGTCTTCCTTTCAATCGAAAGGATTGGAACTCGCGTTTTGTCATGGATGGAGGTGGTGGCTGGTTCGCCGGCGGCAAGAGTACAATTCTTTCGCCACTCTTGGAGGGATACGCAACATCCTCAACGGACGGAGGACACGATAACAATGCCTTGACTGCGGAATGGGGTCTCACCAAGCACGGAAAGACTAACTGGCCGGCGCTGATCGACTTTTCTAGCGTTGCTATTGCCGAAGCAGCCAAGCTTGGAAAATTAGCCACCAAGATTTACTACGGAAAGGAGCCAAACTACTCATACTGGCATGGCTGCTCGACTGGTGGAAGACAGGGACATGCGATGGCGCAAGAATACCCCGAGCTTTTTGATGGAATCGTCGGTGGTGCCCCGGCAGTGAGTTGGGACAAATTCGCTCCAGCTGGCTGGTGGGCTCCCTTCATGGCTCAACTGCTCGGTAAGTTCAAGATGGGGTTCATTTTATTCGGATGGACTTTTCTAATCGATGTGCTGTCACACAGATACCCGTCCACCCACCTGTGTTCTCGATGCCTTCACAGCTGCGGCCACTGAGGCATGCGACGAACTTGATGGCGTCAAAGACGGCATCATCGCCTTGCCGGGACAATGTCATTTCAAGGCCACTTCGCTCGTCGGTCAAAAGATCAACTGCACCGACCCTGCCGGAGAAATTACAATCACAACGAAGATGGCCAAGCTAGTTGAAGCTATCTGGGAAGGTCCTCGATCCAAAGATGGTCGATTCGAATGGTATGGCTTCCACTACGACTCCAGCCTCACCTCAATGCTGGGAACAACTTGCACATCCATCGACAACTGCACGGTTATTCCATTCCCCATCGCCGACGACTGGGTCAAGGTTTTCTTGGCCAGGGATCCTTCTTTCACTTCTGAGGGTCTTGACCACGATGATTACGACCGTCTTTTCCGTCAATCAATCAAGCAATATTCGTCTATTATTGGAACTTCAAGCCCAGACCTCTCCAAGATGAAGCACACCGGTACCAAGCTACTCGCGTGGCACGGTATGGCCGACCAGCTGGTCCCGACGAACGGAACAGTGGATTACTATACACGCGCCACTGCATTCGATCCCCACGTTTCAGACTACTACCGTTTTTTCCTGGCTCCTGGAGTCACCCATTGCGGATACGGCATTGGATTCGATCCTAGTCAGACTGTCTTCGGCGCTATGCGGGCCTGGGTTGAGAACGGCACTGTGCCTGATCGTCTGGAGGCTGTGGCTTCTGCCGTGGGAGCTTCGGACGCCACTGCGAAGCGTACGGGCTATCTTTGCCCCTACCCCCAAGTTTTCACCTACAAGGGAGGCGACCCCAATGTCGCTTCATCGTTCACTTGTGTGTAGCGAGGTCCGAGTCCGTTGTTTCAATCAATGGCCAAAGCCTCGAGGTCGATCGGCTCATAATGAATGTTCATTCTTGCAATGAAAAACGATTCTGCTGCGCCAATTTCTAGTCATTTAAATCATCCATAGACAATTCGAAAAAAAATTCCAGTCGTGTGTCGGTCAAGTTGTGGATTGTATTTTATTTTATATATTCCAGTTGTCATTATCACTCATCGGAAGGCTTCACGTCGTACTCGACATCCGTCCTGATAATATATTTAGCACCCTTCCTCACCCCGGTACCCTCATGGAGAAGGGCACCATTTGCCTCGCCATGCGGGAAGATAGCGACGGATCCCATGACCGGTCGGACTGGATAGGCGTTCAAAGTTCCCTCCCGGGCTGCCGGTAGGAAGAAAGTAGTCTCGCCACCCTCAAACTCATCATTGAGGTAGAGCAAAAAGGTGTACATGGAGCTTTGCCTCTTGTCCTCGGGCGAGGAATCGTACACGTACGTGTCATCAGGCAGGATACCTGACGGAGGCCAGGCACCGTCGATGTGACAGCGGTATTCGGCACCGGGGACGTATCGGTATACACGGAATCGCCGGTTAATGCCGCGAACAAGGCGACCGTTGATAGAGGGCGGTACGTAAGGGGAGATTCGGGCCCAGAGCATATCGTGGAATGTGGTATCGATGACCCAATAGAAGTTGTGGGCTAGAATGCTCACATCTCCATCCTCGCGGAGCGGCGCATCGGGAAGGAAATTGACGGATTCGCCTGCCGCAATAATCGCTTTGCATTCCTCCTCTGACAGCACATTCATGGCGACACCTAGGCCCGGCACAGCAGGGTGTGGGTGGTATGTTATAGTCGGGGCGACGGGGGCGAGAGGAACGGCATTTGGGGCGGTGGTATAGAGGATCGCGGGGTGGTGGTTCGGAGGTTTGCGCTGGGGGCCCGGTGTTTCTTCGATGATGCGGAGTGCGGTGGGAGATTTCGGAGCATGGGCGAGAATCGACTTATCGAGTACGGAAGCGTATATTTCGAGGGAAGGGCTAGAGGGCCGAAGGTCCCAGATTGACTGGAAGGCGATGGGAGAGGTGGAAGGGAGAGCCTTGGGGCTGTTATCGATCGGGGCACTGACGCGGAGGATGGCATCTAGGACAGCGAGGAGCTCTAAATCCTTTGCAGTCCGTTCCACGGGGTCCTTGTCGAGTGTATCTGGGTGCGTTGAAAGGCCACTGACAACATCCAGGTCTCGCACCCAGCGACACAACGATCCGATCTTGGGTTGTTCGCCCTTGATTTTCATCTCGGCAAGGAGGATTCTGGCATCGACATATTTCTGATCGGTTAGGGCACCGGTTATACGCGCTGTGAGGTTTGCACCCTCTGTCAAAGTGTTAGCCACAGCTGTATGATGCAGCCATTGCGGTCTGATCCCAAGAGATACGTACCAGCAGCATTGGCTCCTGTCGTGCAAGCCTGGCGGAAGTCATAGACGGCAACCCGGAGATCTTTGCAAGCCTTCGACTTTGTGAGATTGGGATATTGTGCAAGGGTCGTAAGTGTCTCGATGGTAATGTCAAGTTCTTCGTCTGAAACTACCGTGTTGAGGTGTTTGGGGTCGAGTGATGTGCCATCGGGGGGTGGAGTCAAGACGGGGTCAGGCTTTTGGATCTTCTGGGGGATATCGGCTTGCGCATTGCGCTTCCGCTTGGCTGCTTTGGACTTGGCCATTATATAGATTGATCTGAAGATGGTCAATTGACAGACAATCCGATAAAGAGACGATAGAGGTGGGGATTCTAGGTTTTTTGTGGATGCGTCGTAGGGCGGAAAATCGAATTCCCGATTGGCCCACAGAGTGGCAAGAGTTTTGATGATGCTCTATCAAATCATCTACTTCACTACTCGTATAGAATGCGATCATGCCAGTGGTGAACAGGTTCTAGTAATTTAAGACGAGAGTTAAAAGTCGACAATCGACAATTACCGCTTGATGGTGACGAGGGGATGACGACTGATCACCATTATCTCAAAGTGTGATCTTCCGAGGGCAACAAGGAGGGCGAGAGATCAATAATTTCAGGCGTTTGAGATCCTTTTTGATCCTAGGTGAATTAAGCACTCATCATGAATATAGTCTCGTGGGTATTCCAAGGTTGATGTGTGCATTTACTACTCGAGATATGCTAGCGATTCAAGTTCGTTTGGGATTCTCGATCTGGCTCCTAGCTTCCTGGCATTCAGATTCAACATACCGTGCAACTTACGCGTTGGTTCTTGACATCGTTGTATTATTATTCTTCAAGGTCCAGTCCATATCTATCAGGTAGTCGAGCTAGTTTTGACCAGAGCATGAGTCTCACTTTCCGAGAGCTATCAAGTTTCCTATCCAATAAACTCTCAACCCCTCCATGAACACATGTCTGAGATCTGTTCCGAAGATGCACTCGGTCACATTCTGAACGCGCGAATTTAGTCGCCAGCGGATTGTCTTTCCTAGCACGTCACGATTGAAGTAAAGGCGGGCTTGGCTCGAGCCGGTAGACTGCTGGCACTTGCATGGCGACTGCCCCAGGTCGTTATCCTGTCTTTTTTTCACCCGTTGCGCACGATCCATCTGGACTACATCCAAATCGGCCTGGGCCAGGGCTCAGGGTCGCATCTCGTCCTGCAGCTCGGTACGGGAAGTAGCGGATGCCAGTGGATATTACAGCCTGCTCCTCAACGGCCCGTGCCGGTATTTGTGCCCTTTAACACGTCGCTGTCGCGATTTTGACCGATCGCACGTTGGCAAAACGGTCTAAGTTCGAGACCGGTGTTTCATACTACCAACTAGATAGTATCCACCCACGCAGAAAATACGCTAGAGCAGCTAAGCATACATTTGAAACAAATATTTCATTATTTTATGCATACTATATTTGATAATATATTTGGTTGCGACGCTGCGACATGTCGACGATTTGTGGCGGTACTTTTGTTCGAGTCAGTGCGGGCCTTCCGGGCCTCGGCGAAGCCCGTGCCTTACTAGTAGTAGATCTTCAGGGGCCGAAAGTTCACACGAAAGTTCACGAGGACGAGATATTGATGCATGTCGTAGGGGATATGTAAGTTTTGTTAGATTGTCATGCGGAAAGCAAAATGTGATTTGAATTATTGATTGAGATTTATTATATACCTAAACTTTTGGTAGGAACTAAGATTATTGGAAACACGATGACAGGTCTGCTAGTATAAATACTAGAGCGGAGACACGCAGTAATATATCATATATCGTTGGACACGGATCGTTCATCATGAATCGAAAATAGGCCCATAGGCCGGAATCCCCTGGGATTCAAACTCGTAAATAACCTTTTTGGTCATTGCAGGGTTACTGATCACAAAGACGGCCTCGGCGCCGAATTCAGTCACCTGCTGGCGTACAGTCGGAAGCATGTCAACACGACCATCACGACTGGTATCGAAAATAATGGGATCGGGCCCCATTTGATGCACAAGGTCCATGACACCCTGACCATAGGTCCTGACCGGGGTTCGGGTTTGCCAAATAACCTTGATCAGAGGTCGATTCTCATCACCCAGGAAGCCGAGGCACGGTCCAATTCCAGATCCGGTGGTGACAATGATGATGCGGTTGAAGACACGCATACCATAGCCAACACCACGCATCAGTACAGCACGCTTCCAGAGGTAAGCTGGCGGATTTTGGATGGTGTCGGAGGTCCAGTCACCGGCCTTGGATACCACAATTGACCAGCTCCTACGGTGACCATGGCCGTGGGGCTTCACAATCCTTTTGGGCTGCTGAGGTTCTTCGGGCTCCTGAGGAGGCTTTTCAGGATCCTGGGGCTTCTCGGATTGGGCCACATTTTCAGACGATGCGGGATCAGGGAAACCAGCAAAACTGTGCCAATCTCGAAGAGGATGTTTCGTCACTTGAATACCCTTGGCAAACGCAATTGGGGTGTGATCAAAGTGAACACGCGTAGCATGGGTAGAAAGTGGCTCAGTCTGCACCTTGACCTTTCGCAGCAAAATCCATGGATGGGCCACAGCGACGATGGCTGCAAGCAATAGCCAGAAAGCAGGAAGGGTGATCAAAAAGTGGCCGAATGAGTCCAGCTCTGCTCTGCTAACTTCGTGGACAAAGATCATCACCAGAACGACGAAAAGAGCCAGGACCAGCCATGAGGCAAACCGGTGAGTGAGCTCGAAATAGTCGTGCATCTTCATGCGAAATGTGGGGTATGCCACAATGACCATCACCGCTAATAAAGCAAGGATGATATATGAGACAGCGATCGGCGCAGCCGAAAAACCGTGATCCGAGGCGGGACTAATGGGCGAAGATGTCCAGTAGGTTTCTGACACCACCGCAACGAATCCAATATACCATATTAGAGATGCCGTTCCACAGCCGCTGTGAACACCTCCGTAGTGGGCAGCATTTGCAGCTCTGCGGCGGATCCAAAGGGGCCAAGATCTAGGAACTGAACACACAATTCTATAGATGGCATTGACGACCATTGGGTGTCGTGCCAGACCGCAAGCCACCAGATTCACAGCCGTCGCATCGACAAGTGCCAGTAACTGGCGATTTGAGATCATAACCCAAAGGAACACAGCCAGATTGGCGAAGAAAACAAGACCGAACAGACGTCGATAGACTGTCAAGACGTTGTATCTCAAATGGGAAAAAGCCTTGCGCTTCGGCTTAGAAGCCTGGGCCTCAAGATCATCTTCCAGAGCAGCTGTCTTCTCATTTTCTGCTTGGGGCTTTTTAGAGAAGTAAAGCTCGAAAATAGTATTGTCAGAGTTAAACCGATTGTGGGCCACCCTTGCAGGGCGTTTCGGGAGGCCCAATTCTTTCCTTTCCGCGTCCGACATGGCAGATAAGGGGTGAGTATAGGAAGAAGAATGGGATCAAGCGGATCACGTCCCAAAGGCAGAAACAAATAGTTTATCTTGCGGGGGACTAGAAGAGGGCACGCAGTCTGCGTTGAAGCTGGCTGGTGGAGGGAAAAAGTCTACGGAAAGGGGATTTCATGGAAAGTCTCTCACGAAAGCCCCATAGTTCCCGGTTTACCCATCGCAAGTGGGGATCTGAAAGATGGTGGCAGCACAATTGAGGTAGTGATATGCATCACCCACAGCCAGATGATTTCCAATACAGATTGGAGCAGCGCCAATGAAGAACCTTGCTGATCCAAACACCGACACCATTGCCCCGGGACATTCGACCAAGGTCCAGTCTGGGATCTACACGGCGTAGCGTGCCCCTCATGTGGCAACCAGGGCCACTTGAACTGCCCACTTAGGTTACCCAAGCTCTCTTTAGGGTTCTGTGGGAATGAGTCCACGTTCGGAGAGCCTCGGCCGCCCCGCGGTGGGACAAGCTGGGCCAAAAGAAAACACGAATGTCTTGCTGATAGTTGGTGTACTCATCTTCATAATCCACATACACACGAACTCATGGTATTTCCTATGGCCGATTAGGTTCTAGTGGCGGTGAAGATTCGAAGAAAAGAAAAGAAAGAACAGAGAGGCAATAGCGGGAATAATCGGAAACTCACTACTAGTTCAGACGAAGCATCAACAGGTCCCGATAGGTCGCTTAAAACAACCTTACTAGTACAATCCCGATTCGGATTGCAGAAAAAGATCCTTGCTTCATGCACTCACGTTTCTGCCACGCATGCATACGGAGTCCGGCTGATGTGAAAAGCCGCTGCTGTAACTTCCATATGCCAATGCGATGTTTACAGGGGTCCAAAGTACGAAACGTGGGACGTACGTCGTACTCCGGACGGATTCCCGTATCTCATTTGTTTTCCGATTTGGAGTCGAAGGATTCTGATGAGACTTGGCGTATGCTAGCTTGCTCCGCAGCGGACTGTCACCTCGGCACGAAAAGTTCTGTCACCATGTTGATCTGATCGCCTAGATCGCAGTCTCGTCGATCTGGGTCCCATCTTCACGGCGCAGAACCCTTTGCCTGCAAGCTGCGGGGACCCGCCTGCAACGCAAACCCCCTTGATGGAGTGGAGCCACGGGCTAAAGGAGATCTTTTCGTGGCAGACCTTCCTCTCCGCGCATGAGTGCCACTCAGTGTCTCGTGCGAAAGCGAAGGATCTCGAATTATTACATTCCACCAGCTAATCATGCAGCTAAAGGGAAATGATCTCAAATCCTTCGTATGTAATTGAGGGGAGAAGGATCTGGGAGACAGGGGAAGGGGACGGGGACGGTTGATGTCCGAGACCCGCCGGCGCCACCGTGGTGGCTTGCGATAGGCGCTCGACTAAGTGGAGCTTCTTGTATTCACGATTATTGTACGTCGTACATTGTTGAAAGTATCGAAACATTTCAAGACACAGTATTGTAAGTAAATTACACTGTAGAGTCTCACTACTGCGTGGGAATTACTAGACCTCGTGCGTTGGAGGATATTAATGTAACGGATTAAATTGGTATGGATATATTAGAAACCCTCAAATGAAGGGAGAAAAGCATAAAACAAGAAGCGCCGGTGTAGGTCGATAGAAACCATACACCACAAGAATATTCACATGAACTCCAAGTCAAGAGTAGCAGAGGATTCCATCCAGTAGTCTCCACATTCCAATATCCCTTGTCCCGAACAAGGCCGACAATTTGCCTCAAAATAACGCCGTGCCCAAAATCTGATCCATGTCTATCTAGCTTGAAGCCGGAACAAAGGAGCTAGCGTCAGCGATCTTTTTCGCTAGGGCCTTGGTGGGCTGAGAACCAAGGAACTCGAAAGAGGTCAGCTCGGCGCCCAACTCGCGGGAGACCCAATTTTGAACTGCTGTGGCTTTGAGAGAATCAACTAAAGACAATTGTCAGCATTATAAGCCATAAAAATGAATGAGCCAATGACTGAATCACTTACCTCCCAGCGCGGACAAGGGCAGATCCATATCGATAGCATCGGCAGTTGTAGCCATTTCGTTTGCCAGGTATTCACTCAGCACGTCGATGACGATCTGGGTGGCTGTCTCGGGAGAATCAGCCTGTTTTAGCAGGCTAGCAGTAGAAACAGCGGACTCATCCTCCTCTTCAACGGCGAGAGACAGACGGTGGTCGAATTTGCGGTCAAACAGCCAGTCTGCCGGAGGAGTCTTGCGAGACAAATTGTCAGTCATACCAGCAACAATCTGAGGCGGCAGCGAGATCTTGCTGTTGATGACCACCCGAAGCAAGGTCTGGAGTTCATGAGTCATGATTTCAGTTCCTTCCAGGTGCTTGTATCGGCGGCGACGTTGTTCCTGATCTTCAGCAACATCACTCAGACCACTGGCATCTGGAACAAGACCAATGTTGATGGACACGCCAGAAAGGCCATTGGCACGACGCCACTCCATGAGAGCGTCGATAAACCCGTTTCCAGCAGAGTAGTTAGTCTGACCCATATTACCAATGACACTTGCCACAGAGGACAAACCCACGAAGAAACTCAAGTCATCCTCCGAGAAGAGGTTGTGCAAATTCAGCGTGCCACGGATCTTTGGATCAGTAGACTTCTTCCAGTCATCAAATGTCATATTCTCGAACATTGCATCCTGGGAAGTAAGTTTTAGTTAGCTGATGTTAGAAGGTGAATGTAGTGATTCGGTCTTACCTTGAGAACTGTCGTGCATTGTATAACACCTGCAACATTCCACTTCATGCTTCGAATCTTGAAAGCAAGGTGCTCGATATCTTCGGCTCGGGAAATATCACATTTCACTATGTCGACACGGCAGCCCTGATCACGGAGTAGATCGAGGGATAGTTGTTGGTCGCGTTGCGCCACGCCAGATCGTCCGAGAAATACCAGATGCCGAGCCCCAGATTCAACTAGAGTCTCAGCAAATGCCAGTCCTAAGTTGCCCAGGCCACCGGCCAGGAGATAGGTGTTTTGAGCAGGCAATCTGGTTAGATCAGGCAGTGGGAGAACAATTGGAACCTTTCCAGGTGCCTGCACGTCAAGTATAGCACGAGTATTATTACCCTGGGAGTGCTTGAGAGCAATCTGGAGATCGGATATAGGGAATGCACGGTAGGGCTCAACTCGCTCCAGCAGTTGATGCTTTTTCATGAAGTCAATGACATGACGAAGAGAAGAATGGAGATTTCCGGGCTTCTCCGAGAATGTCTTTTGAAGCTGAGGAGAAGAGAAGGTACAGCCACTGTCGATAAAGCTCTCTGGCAGCGCGCTGAGCTTCATATCGCTCGACAGGTTGATGTACTGCCCACCAGAAGCAAGACATCTTGCTGCAACTCGGCCGGGATAACCACCCATGAAGCACACGCTAGCATCAACTCCACTTCCATTGGTCAGTCTGGAAACACTGGTCTCTAGACTGCTGTGAACGCTTAGAACACGGTCTTTGAGAGTCGGATAGCGGGAAGCCAGAATGTCGATTGTGTCTTGAGAGTCGGTAGCAACAATGACTTGCATATCCAAGGCAAGGGAGTAGTCAATCATTGATCGCAGAGTTTGGCTGATGGGGCCAACAAGCAGGATGGAATCGTTCGAGCCGAGACGCCCGACCTTGGTGATAATTTGATGCGCGTTGAGATATGCAATTGGAGTAGAAATGACCTTTTCTGGGCTCATATTGGCATGGATTCTAACTGTCTCACTCTCGGGCAGGCACATTGTTGTCGCAAGTGGCGATGCTTGCGAAGCCAGTGTCAACACCTTGTCGCCGACGTCAAGATCTCGCACACTGGAACCAATGCGAGTAACCTTGCCGATAATCTCAAACATCGGGAGAACGGTATCTGGGGTCTTGCCGGATTCACCATTCAAGTTGGACAACGATGCCATCTCAACCTTGATCTCGGCTTGGTCCTGAGGAAGCTCCGCAACGACATCTGGCTTCTCCTCCCAGTGGAATGTATCTGTATCTTGGTATTTCAATTGGAGATGTCTGGGATCAAGCGCAAGCTCGGAGGGAACTGGTCTAGGGCCATGCATCAATGTCTGCATAGCCTCGTCAACAGCAGGTGTTTCGACAACTCGTGGAACAAGCAGCTTGCCATTGGAAAGTCTGAATTCCAAGTCCGATCGGCGCGTGGATGTTTGAGTGGTCAACTGTAGTACATGGATGACTGTGGAGGCTAGATGGGTGTCATTCTTCAAATCATGCTCATCGACAAGCAGTTGGGGAATAGTGGTATTCCAGTGCTCATTGCGTAGTGTTCGCAAGAGGCCGCCCATGGCACCATTTCCAGTATTCTCGATCGGCCCTTGGCCCCAGAAGGGCGAGACCCATAGAAGATTTTGGGCTTTTATGAGGCCCTGTAGGCTCTTCAGATCACTTTCTTTCCAGTCAGACACCCAGGAACTTTCCAGATCGAGCAACGAAATGACAGTTTTGCCTGCCAGAGAAGCAGCCTCATCTAATCCAGTTGGTACCAGTCGAGCACCACGAGTGGCGAAGACCTTGGTGAGGGAATCGAAGATGGGCTGCGATTCAGACTTTTCCTTTCCACCCAGAACGAAAATCTCAGGCCCAGTGGTCCAGGCCTCCGGTGTTTTGCGAGCGATAATGAAGCCGCGGTCTGCAGTCAAATCATAAATTTCTAAACCGACAAAGCGTTGGAGAGTCTCAACGGCAAGACCAAAGTTCTTGTCCGACACCCTGATTGCTGCGAAGCCACCTTGATCAAGGATTGTGGGCAAAGAAGACACGACAGCATTGGTAGTTTTGCCGCCCCAGATGCTTGGCTCATCAATAACAATCAAGTCATAAGTTGCCTCCGAGAAGGATGATGGGAGATCGTCAAGAGCAGATAGAGACGTCACTTGAGTTCCAACATTCTCCCCAGATATCTTCTCCTTCAGCTCATCATCACCGCCGCATAGGGCTATGGTG